ATTTATAAAAATCCAGGGCATAGAGATCTCTCGAAAACCCTCTGACTTTCCTCTTAACTCCTAAGCACAACTTCATTTTTTGAAGTTTTATCTAGACTGATATTATTTATAAAAATCCAGGGCATAGAGATCTCTCGAAAACCCTCTGACTTTCCTCTTAACTCTTAACCACAACTTCATTTTTTGAAGTTTTATCTAGACTGATATTATTTATAAAAATCCAGGGCATAGAGATCTCTCGAAAACCCTCTGACTTTCCTTTTAACTCTTAACCACAACTTCATTTTTTGAAGTTTTATCTAGACTGATATTATTTATAAAAATCCAGGGCATAGAGATCTCTCGAAAACCCTCTGACTTTCCTCTTAACTCTTAACCACAACTTCATTTTTTGAAGTTTTATCTAGACTGATATTATTTATAAAAATCCAGGGCATAGAGATCTCTCGAAAACCCTCTGACTTTCCTCTTAACTCTTAACCACAACTTCATTTTTTGAAGTTTTATCTAGACTGATATTATTTATAAAAATCCAGGGCATAGAGATCTCTCGAAAACCCTCTGACTTTCCTCTTAACTCCTAACCACAACTTCATTTTTTGAAGTTTTATCTAGACTGATATTATTTATAAAAATCCAGGGCATAGAGATCTCTCGAAAACTCTCTGACTTTCCTCTTAACTCCTAACCACAACTTCATTTTTTGAAGTTTTATCTAGACTGATATTATTTATAAAAATCCAGGGCATAGAGATCTCTCGAAAACTCTCTGACTTTCCTCTTAACTCCTAACCACAACTTCATTTTTTGAAGTTTTATCTAGACTGATATTATTTATAAAAATCCAGGGCATAGAGATCTCTCGAAAACCCTCTGACTTTCCTCTTAACTCTTAACCACAACTTCATTTTTTGAAGTTTTATCTAGACTGATATTATTTATAAAAATCCAGGGCATAGAGATCTCTCGAAAACCCTCTGACTTTCCTCTTAACTCCTAACCACAACTTCATTTTTTGAAGTTTTATCTAGACTGTGATATTATTTATAAAAATCCAGGGCATAGAGATCTCTCGAAAACCCTCTGACTTTCCTCTTAACTCTTAACCACAACTTCATTTTTTGAAGTTTTATCTAGACTGTGATATGATTTTAAAAAATCCAGGGCATAGAGATCTCTCGAAAACCCTCTGACTCTCCTCTTAATTCCTAAACACAACTTCATTTTTTGAAGTTTTATCTAAACTGAGATATGATTTTAAAAAATCCAGGGCATAGAGATCTCTCGAAAACCCTCTGACTTTCCTCTTAACTCTTAACCACAACTTCATTTTTTGAAGTTTTATCTAGACTGATATTATTTATAAAAATCCAGGGCTTAGAGATCTCTCGAAAACCCTCTGACTTTCCTCTTGATTCCTAAACACAACTTCATTTTTTGAAGTTTTATCTAGACTGAGATATGATTTTAAAAAATCCAGGGCATAGAGACCTCTCGTAAACCCTTTGACTCTCCTCTTAATTCCTAAACACAACTTCATTTTTTGAAGTTTTATCTAGACTGAGATATGATTTTAAAAAATCCAGGGCATAGAGACCTCTCGAAAACCCTCTGACTTTCCTCTTAACTCTTAACCACAACTTCATTTTTTGAAGTTTTATCTAGACTGTGATATGATTTTAAAAAATCCAGGGCATAGAGATCTCTCGAAAACCCTCTGACTCTCCTCTTAATTCCTAAACACAACTTCATTTTTTGAAGTTTTATCTAAACTGTGATATTATTTATAAAAATCCAGGGCATAGAGATCTCTCGAAAACCCTCTGACTTTCCTCTTAACTCTTAACCACAACTTCATTTTTTGAAGTTTTATCTAGACTGTGATATGATTTTAAAAAATCCAGGGCATAGAGATCTCTCGAAAACCCTCTGACTTTCCTCTTAACTCTTAACCACAACTTCATTTTTTGAAGTTTTATCTAGACTGATATTATTTATAAAAATCCAGGGCTTAGAGATCTCTCGAAAACCCTCTGACTTTCCTCTTGATTCCTAAACACAACTTCATTTTTTGAAGTTTTATCTAGACTGAGATATGATTTCAAAAAATCCAGGGCATAGAGATCTCTTGAAAACCCTCTGACTTTCCTCTTAACTCTTAACCACAACTTCATTTTTTGAAGTTTTATCTAGACTGATATTATTTATAAAAATCCAGGGCATAGAGATCTCTTGAAAACCCTCTGACTTTCCTCTTAACTCCTAAGCACAACTTCATTTTTTGAAGTTTTATCTAGACTGATATTATTTATAAAAATCCAGGGCATAGAGATCTCTCGAAAACCCTCTGACTTTCCTCTTAATTCCTAAACACAACTTCATTTTTTGAAGTTTTATCTAGACTGAGATATGATTTCAAAAAATCCAGGGCATAGAGATCTCTTGAAAACCCTCTGACTTTCCTCTTAACTCTTAACCACAACTTCATTTTTTGAAGTTTTATCTAGACTGATATTATTTATAAAAATCCAGGGCATAGAGATCTCTCGAAAACCCTCTGACTTTCCTTTTAACTCTTAACCACAACTTCATTTTTTGAAGTTTTATCTAGACTGATATTATTTATAAAAATCCAGGGCATAGAGATCTCTCGAAAACCCTCTGACTTTCCTCTTAACTCCTAACCACAACTTCATTTTTTGAAGTTTTATCTAGACTGATATTATTTATAAAAATCCAGGGCATAGAGATCTCTCGAAAACCCTCTGACTTTCCTCTTAACTCCTAACCACAACTTCATTTTTTGAAGTTTTATCTAAACTGATATTATTTATAAAAATCCAGGGCATAGAGATCTCTCGAAAACCCTCTGACTTTCCTCTTAACTCCTAACCACAACTTCATTTTTTGAAGTTTTATCTAGACTGATATTATTTATAAAAATCCAGGGCATAGAGATCTCTCGAAAACCCTCTGACTTTCCTCTTAACTCTTAACCACAACTTCATTTTTTGAAGTTTTATCTAGACTGATATTATTTATAAAAATCCAGGGCATAGAGAGCCTTAGCTTTTGTACTCATTTCGATGCTATGATGAAATTTTTGTTGAATTTCAACAAGAAAAACGTAGTTTTGAAATCGAAATTCTGAGTATTGTACGTTGCTCAGAATCACCAGACGAACAACTTTCAAAAAAATTTTATAATTGGACAAATTTTTTTTTTCATTGATTTTTCGGATTTTTGAAAAATCGATTTTTTTTGTGTTTAACTGCCCATAACTCGGTTCATTGAAACGATGGACCTAAACAATTTTTTTTTTTTAAATTGTAGCGCTAAGCGAGCTCTACAAGCCTGAATAGGACTCACAAGATAAAAATGCAAATTTTCATGAGTTATGGAGGTGGCAAGATTTTGGTACATCACATATCATGGTATGACCATGAAACCTATGCATGGGATATTGAGAAATTCTTATGAAAGCTTGCAAATGTCCTCATAATGAAATTCCCGAAAGGAATTTTTCACAACTTGATTATTGGTCTTGTAAATATTTGTTTCCCAGGACGCATTTTTGAAATTTCGCTTTTTCTACATTAAAAAGCCGTCAAAATCAATTATAAATGATTTTTTCGGTCTCAAAATCAAAAAATACCCCTAGGTGAACATTTTCAGAAAGTTTCAGTCACTGGGAACCAGAATTGGTACTTTTTTGTTTTTGCCCCATAACTCACGAACCGTTCGTTTTTACGAGAAATAGATGCTACCAGCGTGTTCAGGACACTCATTTACCCCTAAGGAGATATTTTTTACATCATATAGTCCATTGGGACCATTTTCGAAAAAATATTCCACAAAAGATTACTGTAGTTGATCCATTTTTTCGGAAAAAGCGAAACACGGATAGAAAAATAGGATAAACTATTATTTTTTCTCTCAAAAAATTGAGAGAAAAGGAGAGAAAAATAATAATAGTTTATCCTAAATTTCACGATTTTTTTTCGATTTTTGAAAAATTGAGCAAAACTTTTGAAATTTAGGGGTGGGGGGTTTTCGGCTCCGTGGAGCATCGTGGTGATAATGATTTTACACGAAAATGAGCTTATCACCTCTTATCAGTGATTATCAAAAAATATCAAAATTATCAGATTGAGCTCAAACTTGGAGAAAATGATGTCTGGGGCTAGTAGAGACTTATTTTGATAAATTTAGAGCTCCAGCTTCATCCCAGAAGCTCTTATCAGTCATTATCACTAATTTATCAATATTCTCAGATTGAGCTCAAACTTGGAGAAAATGATGTCTGGGGCTAGTAGAGACTTATTTTGATAAGTTTAGAGCTACATCTTCATCTGAAAAGCTCTTATCAGTCCTTATCACTGATTGTGAGTTATCAATATTCTCGGATTGAAATGAAACTCGGGGAAAATGATATTTGGGATGAGTTGAACACATTTTTGATAAATTTAGAGCTTTTTATCCGCATCAGAAGCTTTTATCACTCCTTATCAAAAAATATAAAAATTATCAGAATAATCTGGGAGTTAGAGGAAATGATGTTTTGTGATTGTAGATAACATTTCTGATGATTTTAGAGCTTCAGCTTCATCCCAGAAGCTTTTATCAGTCCTTATCACTAAGCTTCATCCTATACGATTTGATGAACAATATCCTGAAAATTAGAACAAATTGCGAAGTTGTCTATGATTTTTTTATTGATGTAGGCATTGAAAATAGAGGAAACTTGTAAATCAACAAAATTGAGATTTAAATTTGGTTTTTTTTCTAAAAGTTCCACGCGTCCTTTTTGGGCCAAAATATCGGTTTTTTTGCCACGTGGCTTTTTGCCGCGTAAATTTTTTGCAATTTTAAAACATCTCAATTTTTCTTCAAAAAAAATTAAGCTCACAACCAAAAATCAAAATTTTTTTTATATTTCAACAAAAAATCAAAAAAACAACATAAAAATCAACAAATTTTGCAAAAAAAACGTTTTGAAATCAATCCTCCATTTCTTCATCTCCTTCTTCAACAGCAATATCAACTCCTTCCGCTTGCATTTTCTTGAATGTTTCTCTGGCATCCTGTGTCATTCTCTGGAAACACTCAACAATTTATCAACAAAAAAATGGCTTGTTGAATGAAAAAACCAACCCTATACATTTTCTTTGCTTTTTTCTTCGTAATATACTGTGCAGTTGTTCCTTTTTTACCCGATGGAGCATCCAAAACTTTATGACCTTCTCTGACTGGAAGTTGGAATTTTCGGAACAATTTCTTCTCGTTGACTTTTGGCAATTTTTTCAAATCGAATTCTCCAGCGGCCAAAGCTTTCTGAAAAATGAAGGGTTTTTGTAAAATTTCGGAAAACAATTAGTAGTTTTTGTATCACTGAGAAAACTTCAATTTTTCTGAAATATTGGTCAGACAAAGGAACTAAACCTTGTGAATTGTGAAAATGAATTTTTAATAGTTTCTAAATTGGGGAATTTCGGAGACTCTAAATATTCAAACGTTCCTATTATATCCATAATTATTTCGTTATCATTTCATTTTCCAGATTGTTCGAGAGATATAATTGAGTGTGATTAGACTATAAATATTCAAAAGTTTCGATTATCTTCAGAAGTCGTACAAATTTTGGACAACCAATGCGGCTTCGTGAGAATCGACAATGAACAGAATTTATGGAGCGCGCCAGCTGATTGAAACATCGAGAAAAACAGAAAAACCTTCACCTCTCTTTTTTTTTTGAAAATTTGTGGATATTTGAACATATCGGTTTTAATAACATTCTTAATAAGTTCCTATAAATTGTTATTGTTACCAAACACTTGTATCTCATCATTAAATATAGTCCTAAACATAAATAACCCGACTGAAAAGTTTAAAAAGATTTTCCCATATGATGTTGCAGTGAATCATGTGTTTATCGATCTATGTGGCTCCGTGGACTTCTAAAAATTGTGAAAATAATTTTCACGTGTTTTTGGTCACTCCTATGACCCCCTAACAACAAAAAATAAATGTCAATTTTTTGTCTCGCTACTCTCTCACTATTTCTCTTTTTGCAAGAAAAATGGTGTGATGTACTAAAAAATCTGATCAGCCGTCGTTTTTTTCTCACAAAATCTATATCGGTTGGGTTGTGAGCGTAAAATAGGTCATTGTTTTTCGTTTTTTCTATTCCCCAATCTTTTATTTTACGATGATTGAATATGGATTTGAAAATCCAATTTTTTTCTAATGGGACTATACAACTTATTTTCTCAGCGCGTCGAGAAAATCGCTGAATAGTCCCATAAGAACATGTTCGAAATTTTTATGATAAATACATTGTCGACCCAACTGCTGCAATGAGTGTACGGTTTTTCAGTTTTTCCACCAAGTGCTACAAGAAGGAACATTGACTAGAATTAATGAAACGTCTTATTTTGATAGAATTGAACGCGCTGATCACGAATATGTTATCAGTTTTCCAAATGGTTCAGCAGTCTCAAGACAAGCCAATGTAACATATCCGGGCTAGTCTGAGCGTTCTATTATTCAAATACAATGTAGAATATTATATTTATTAGTCGTCCATCTCGAGGGAAAGTGTAATATAGAATGAGGATAGACGGTTATTAGGACAGATTTCACTCTAATATGAGAGACAAGAGACGCATGCATCACAACAGTTCTTTTTCATTTTGATGCATTCTGTCTGCAATTTTTTATTAAATTTTCACACCATTTGTAGTTAATTTTCAGTAGAGACCCTAAAACGCATTTTCATCGAACATATGCTCTGAAAACTTTTTTACGAAATTTACGGTTTTTTACTGGTTTTCAGACTCGTAAAATCAGCATTTTACGTTTTACGGTAGTTTTCGAACCCGTCCCAGGTCTGGTTCATAGTATAAGCGGGAGAAGGGGGACGGGGAATGGGTGGGTTGTGTGGCGTCAACCTACTCTCCAACCACTCAAAATGTCTCACAGAAACTTTTATTCAAAATGTATATTTCCAGCTGAAGAAATGTTGACCACAATCATCCTATGTCTTTGCATTGCAACCATTATGAATGCAGGTATGTTTGTGCATCAAGCATTTGAAAAAATATATTATTACGATTAAAAGAGTTGTCCTTCTACGTGAAAAAGACAGTCCGCAATTGTGCAAATTGTGCACTACATATTTCGAACTAACTAGACTCAGAAAATTCCCTGACAGCTAGCACGCCAGCCGGCAGACGGCCGTCGAATTCTGATCTTAATTTGCAAGTAGCTGGCGTGCTAGCTGTGGACGCACAAAGTTGAACAAAAACAGCTTTGTATTTAAAAATGTTAGGAAATTAATCTGTCCCAAATTTGCTGTCCAGAATGCGCTATTCATGGGCAGCCTCTTGAACGCTCTAGGGGCTGGTTCTAAGAGCAACACTGGTGCATTCAGGGGGCGGCCTAAGGGCAATCGAGAAAAACTAGGGTATGACGTTTTTTTTTAATTTCCGAATTCTCGATAGGTAAAAAATTGTTTTTCGAATTTTTTTCAAATCATTTTTTCTCCAAGAATTCAAATCTAATCAAAATATTTGATTTTCTTTTGAATGAGCTTTTTTCGACTTTTATTTTCTATTCAGCCTTTCCACGAGATTTTTAAATCTAATCAAAAACTTCGATTCTTATAATTTTTGCAGACATGCTGCAGATCTGCAAAATTTTTTGAAATCTGCAGCAGACGCGCAGCAGGCACGCACTTGTCTGCATATCAGCATGTATTTTCATCTTCAGTGCCATGCATGCGAGAGATGAAGAATTATTTATATAATCTGCATGACGGACACATGACAAACACTGTTATTTTTTGTGTAGGGGGAGGAGCTTGCCTTCCTTAAAGGATCGTTTGAAGTACGCTCAAAGATCACTTAAAGGATACTTTTTTAGTGTTACATTTTTGTTGGAATTTTGTATTGTTTCATGATTATAACACATAATTTCTCTCTTTTTTCCGGTCTTTTTCATCCTTTGAAATTTAAGGATGAAACATTTTTTGTTTTCCTTTAAAGGACGCTGGAAGGATGAACGGTCCTTCAAGCGTCCTTAAAGGATCCTTCGCGGATTGCCTGTGTATTAAAAACACGAGGATTCAATCAATTTGACAAAATTACATGGATTAATTCGACTGATTCACCCCATTAGAAATGCCAGTGTATCGTAAAAATTGTAAAACTCAAATTTCCCGGGCTCGTGACAAAAATCAAAACTTCTAAAAAAATCGCTTTTCCACTCAAGAAAAACAAATTTTCAATTTTCAATTTTAAAGGGGTTGTCCTTCTACGTCGAAAATCAAGTCCGCAATAGTGCGTCACTTTTTAAAATTAACTATAAGCAAGCCTAAAGTTGATTAAAATCACTTTGCATAGTTGAAAAATGTTAGGAAATACGTTTCGCGAGAAATACACACAGATAAATTATGTGTGTGAAGAGCACACATGTTTTTTATATGCACTAAAACCCTAAAAAAACTAACAAAAACATGAATAAAATGGTGAAAACTCGCTCTAAAATCAAAATAAAATATGGAATGTTTCAGGAGCACCTTAGCTCTATCGAATATCGAATGAACATAAGTTTCCTTGTAGCAGGACAACCCCTTTAAAAACTAAATTTTTAACATTATTAAAGGTAATTCAACATCGACAAAATCGACAACAACAGCTAACCTCTCTTCTGAACATGCATTATCTCCTTTACATTTAGTCATTGACGAAGAGCTGAACAAGATTGCCACTTCCTGCATCACACATCCAGATCACGAGCGACTTTCAGGCTATATACTCAAATGGCGATTAGCGCGTCTTTTTAATTTTCTATTGATCGAAGAAGCTGATGCAATTATTGGACTTGAAGAGTTACGCGCTGCTCTTGGCTTCGCTCCTTCGGGATCATGGAAAAACTTTCGGATTACAAATAAAGCTGAGCTAATTTCCATCACCAATTTGCAAGAATACTTCGAATTGACGGTTGCCACCGAAAATCGAAGTCTTGACAGCGAGTATTTTTACGAGAAAAATCTCGCGCCCGTTATCGATTTTTTGGACAAACGCTTTCCAACCATTCGTCAAATTTTTAAGCAAAAATTTGAAGAGAGTTTGTGTGTTAATGGTGGAACAAATAGTATTAACAAAAAGGTTGTTGACGATATGATTCACGAGTTTCGAACTATTCGTGGCAAAGTCAATAGTGCAATGTCAGAGATGAACAGCAGAACAAATGAATGCGAATGGGCTAGAAAACATCGGAACAATTAATATAATATATAATCATGTGCTGCTTGTATAATAAAATCGAAGCATTGTTTGTCAAAATAACAAATTAGTTAAATGAGAGGTTGCAATAGGCAAATTGAGGACAGATCTGATAGGGATGAGCCTTATTGAAAAGTTGGGAAAAGTTTGGGTAATGTGTATTGTTTCGATAGGAAACAACCCCTGCGTAATTTTCCATTTATTTTTTAAATCTCACTGACTTCAGATCAATAAAAACATTACGATTTCCGAAAGAATTCGAAAATAAATTCAAAGGTAGGGGGGTAAAAACGCAGAACAAGTGTGATTTTTCAAATGTGTGACAACTCTATTTTCTCTGTCTCTTTGAAAATTTAACTTTTTTTGTGGATCACTAAGCCTAAGTCCTTTTAGCATGTAATTTTTTAGGTTTACACTTACCTAGTTCAATATTTCGCCTTTAGGAACCTTTCCGTAGGCTTAGGCTTACGAAACCCAAGGTTTCGCCTTCAGCAATCTTTCTGTAGGCTTGGGCTTCTGTAAGCGCAAGTTTCGCTGCCAGGATCTTCCTCTCAGGCTTAGGCTTAGTAAACCACCCTGAACCAACTTATTACGCTTAGGCTTAGGTAAGTTTTCCTTTTTTAACACTGTTAAAAAAACAAGAATTTGTGTTGTTGGATGACGTCATCCCGCCCAAATGAAAATTTCGATTTGGGCGGGTAGCAAACAAAAATTGAAATTTCGATTTTCGTGTATACATTCAACAAAAAAAAGTAACAGATTTGGAATAATCCAAACATGTAAAAATGAAGTCGATGAGTTTCAGAGTAAAAATTAACAGATTTGGAATAATCAAAAATGTAAAAATGAAGTCGATGAGTTGGGACCTAAATGACACTTCCTCTCAGGCTTAGGCTTAGTAAACCACCCAGAACCAACTTTGAAGCAAAAAAAATAGAAAGAAAATTTTTAACACTGTTAAAAAACAAGAAAATTCAGGATTTCATCCAGAAATGAAACTATGGAGAAAAAAGTCCATGGAAAAATTAGAAACCATTCCTGATTTTGCCACGAGCCATTTTTTGAACGAAAAACTTAATCCCAAATAATTTTCGAAATGATTTTCTAAGTAAAGCCTTAGCTTTTGTGCTCATTTTGATGCTATGATGAAATTTTTGTTGAATTTCAACAAGAAATTCGTGATCAGCGACCTCGATTGGACTTGTATACCAAATTTTAGCTGTTTATTCATGAAATTTCGAAAATCCCTCCCACACTAAGCCTAAGCCTTTTTTGCATGTGTTTTTTAGGTTTACGCTTACGAAATTCAAAATTTCACGTGAAAATTATTCTTACAATTTTTAGAAGTCCACGGAGCTACATAGATCGAGAAACACATGATCAAGGGGTCACAGACGTAACCAAAAACACGTGAAAATTATTCTTACAGTTTTTAGAAGTCCACGGAGCTACATAGATCGAGAAACACATGATCAGTGGGTCATAGGCGTGACCAAAAACACGTGGAAATTATTCTTACAGTTTTTAGAAGTCCACGGAGCATAGATCGAGAAGCACATGAACAGCGGGTCAAAATCAGGGCTACCTAGGATTGACAACAAATTTCTCATTGAAAAATTTCAAATTTGGGCATAGAATGCGATTTTTCTAGTCTCATCTCACACAAACTCCATCGTCTGGTTAGTTGTTCGGAAGTGCATTAGAAAAATTCGAAAACCCAAACAAATCACACTTACTAAAATACAGTGCTGGCCAAAATTCTATTTAAAATGAGTTTTTGCTGGAAAACACCTTAAAAATGGTGAATTTTCACACAAAAACTTGAATAGGTTATTTTTCACGACGATTATGATGGTACCTACCAATTTGATAGATAACATTTGATTCATTGATGTCTTCCAGGCTCAACATCGTAATGAGCGAAAATCATAGATTTTGACTTTCGGGAAAACCTTGAACATGTTTGAAAAATGTTATCTATCAAATTGGTAGGTACCATCATAATCGTCGTGAAAAATAACCTATTCAAGTTTTTGGGTGAAAATTCACCATTTTTAAGGTGTTTTCCAGCAAAAACTCATTTTAAATAGAGTTTTGGCCAGCACTGTATATGTTTCCCAATCGTGTGATATATCATTTTGTAGAGCTTTTCCTTCCAAATTCGAATATCCCATTAATTCCCCATAGAAAAGACAAAAAAAACAGTTTCGTATCGTGAAAATCTCATTTAAAAATGTGCAAACACGAAAAACAACGCACAATTGCACCATTTTTAAAGCAAACATAAGGTTGCTTTCTACTTACCTCATTTAGCAAAAACTGCTATCGTCTTTTCCGCCATAAAATTCTCTATCTCCTGATCTATAAATGGTCAATAAATAATTCCGAATTCCAGAGAAAATTAAAAGAAAATAAAAAAAGAGAAAATAGTGTGTTGTATGAAAGAGACGCAGAAAAAAGCGAAAGATTCGAGAAATAAGAGAGCAGAGACAACGAGACAGTTGGAATTGTCGTCAAATAATATGTGGAGAGTGTAGTTCTGTTCGGTTTTATTTGTATTGTCCGCAAGGATTTTTGCTATGTTTCACAAGGAATTCTATGAGTAGTAGAAAAATAATATATTATAAAAATTATTTTCTCAACAGAATTGCATTTCTAACAAAAATCTTTCAAAAAATCTAAGCATCTTGTTGAAAAACTAAAAACTAATGGAAAAATAGGAAAAAAAACGTTTTAAAATATTTTCTGAAAAAGAATTTTCTCAATTAAAAATTAACACACTTCATTCAAAATGATGTTCACAATAAATAGTCACATATAGAAGTTTTTCTCTCACTTGGTGATCTGAAAAAAATGTTCCTTATCGCAAATAAAACAGACCCAAGTTTTCTTACATAATAATAAGTTCCAGCCATAGGAGTTCCAAGTTGTTTTCCAGTATCAGTTCCCAAAAATTCAGTAAAACTTGTATAATTTGCATGAAAATCATTCCAAACTTGTGGATTTCGTTTAGTTATTCGGAATTTGGTTTTGAAGACTAGAACAATGTACAAGCGGCGGACTGAAATTATTTGAACTGTAGGTTAGTATTTTTAAATTTTAAAACAAACTTTGTCGACTTGATGTTTGGTCAGATTGAATTGTCAAAACTCGATTCATATTTCTGAAAAAAACTCCTTCATCCCAAACCGGAACTGATAAATCAATTTCACGAGATAATGAAGATGGACGATTATAATAGAAATTCATTGATTCTGGGTTACCATGAGGATCTGTAAATATGTATGACTTATTGATTTTTTGGACCATTCAAGAAGAATTTTCATAAAAACCGTTTAGCCGACTGTATTCATCTTATAACTATCCAAAAAGCGTTGTAATGTGAAAACTTTCAGGCAAAAGTTACCAAATGGGAGTATGATTGAAAAAACACTTCAAAAAACTCACTGAACAACACCAATACATGGAAGAAAAACGAAGGCATTTGTTCATGAAACAGCACTACTTTTTTAAGGTAAACTGGTTCTCTAAATCTGAATGGTAGCATAGCAAAATGATCTCCAGTTCGAACTTCTGGAGTAGGATTTTGTTTTGATGGCACATATTCGTTGAGAACAACCTAAACTGACATTGTCATTATTTTCAAATAACATATGTAATTCAATAAACCAACATAATCAATTCCACTTCCAGGTGCGTTCGGTATAATACTTGGTGATAAACTAGTCACGTAAAAAATAGGCATTGATAGATTGCTCGACATTTTGTTGATCCCTACTTTTGTTTCATAAAACACATTTTCAAAAGAGTCCAATGTTGATGTTTTACAACATAAATGCATATTGTAGGTGGTTAACATCTGGTGATTCACTGCCTGAATGAAACTTTTTTATTAGAAAAAAGGTGTTTTGCGTGTCACTCACTTGCTCACAGGTGTAATCTTCGGGACATGCTTTGTCTTCTGTTGGATCGCAAAGAAGTACAGATGGCAAGTCGTAGGATGAAGCTCCGTATGGACAAACTGAAGAATTGTTTTTGAATTTTTGTAAAGCTGAGAAGCTTTTTGGAAATTGATGAACCATTATCTAGAATTAGGCTGAAGTTCTTGAAATTCAATAAAACCAAAGAAATTTCTGAATTTAAAAAAATTGTTTTTTTTTAGATTCTAGGTAATAACAAATGAAAATCAACAAATATATATGAAAAATTACAGTTTTCCTAACATTTTGTTTTCAAATTTTCAGCAAACCAACTCACTTGGTTTAACCTGTTCTGGAACTCCTGGAGGATTGCTCAAATCCTGTGGAACATCAGCACAACATCGGTAATCATTTGTTTGTTTTGATAGAACACACATTGGATTTCTGCCAGTACATTCGATTGGATCATTTGGTGTGCATTTTACACCTTCGTGCATCACTTCTGAGCACATGGAATATTGAGCCAACACATTTTGTTCGTGAGTTTGCCATGGGAGAGGACATACTGAAATTCGTGAGGTTAAAGGTGAAATATCCGATTGTCTATCACATATAGTGTATTACGCCATTCATTTCAGAATTTAATTTTATACATGCACTGTTCAGTTCCCAAAATCCATTTTAAATACACGTATTTCAGCCGGAAAACAGCTCCAAAAAATCATTAGAGCTACAAGAATCTCGATTTTTTAACTGTGTCTATTTTTCTGAATTAATCTATACTAGAAGGGCTTCGCTGGCTAACGCCATCTACAGTAGTTTGACTCACGTTTTTCTGATTAATCTATTTTTCGGTTAGAGAAAGAGAAACATTGAGAAATGACTAAAAATATTCGACTGTGGGAGAAATTAGAACGATCAGATAAGAAACGTGGCCTAATAATTTTTTCGAATAAAAACGTGATCATTCTTTTTTACATGAAAAAAGTTTTGATTTTTCACGTGAAAACTCGCGCATTTTTTGAAAAATCGAATATTAGCGCCTCGATGGGAAAGAATTTGGGATCGAATGGTGTAGGTCCCATCAAACATGGTCTTCTGGAAATTGAGAAAAGTCGAGCGACACATTTTAAATCCGAAAAACACATTGAGATTTTCAAACTTTTGATTCTCCGCGCACTCGCAGACATTTTGAGAAAGAATGAATAGGAAGCGCATCGAGCTGCCAACATTTAGAAACTTTTTCTTTTTTTGATCATCAATTTTTATGCACACAGTTTGGAGAACGGGACCCAGACACACTATTGCCAAAAAATTTTCCCAATTAGTATATAGTAAATATTCACAAAATAAACTCACTTTCTTCAAAACTATTATCTTCCTCCTCGTTCTCTTCTTCTTCTTCTTCTTCTTTTTTCTCAACTGTCTCTATTTTTTTACTAGTTTTTTTTGACTCCACAACTATCACAGTACTTAACACGAGCATTAAAAATAATATAGAGCACTTCATTTATTTTATAAATTTCAAAAATCAGAAATCAGTAACAGAATGAGAACAAGAAATTGAAAAAAGTCAAGAATAGAACTGACCCCTTTGAAGTGATAATAATAATATGGATTTATTTTCTATTTGATTTAGGGATTGAATAGGGTGTGAAAGTCACGAAGAAGAATCATTTTAGAATGATTGTTTGCTGCATATTATTGGAATTTCTCTCGTTTTGGAATTTTGAAGAATCACAATTCAAAACAGAATCGGGCAGTTTTTCTTGAACAACATTTCAAATGTTTCATATTTGGATATTTTTGGTGATATTCGATGGTGTTTATTGTCAACCAGCTATTCCGCCACCAGAAAGACCAGGTTTGTGTGGGTTAATTAGAAGTTTAGGAGCATTTTCTGATCGGTGATTTTGTGAGCTTTTTTTGATGACCTATTGGTTGAAGAAAAGTTATAGTACAGTAGATTTTAAAGCTAAAACGAATAAATTATTATTATTATTATTATTCTTCGAACGTATCAAAAGTCTATAAGACCGAGAGGACCAGAATATGTGTTCACTTTTCACTTTCGTTTCCAAAATGATACTTTTCGATTCTGATACAAATCTGTGCTTTTTTGTTTTTGAAATAAAATATGTGCTCATTTTGGCTTCTGAATCAAAAAAAAAGTATGCTCACTTTCGGTGCTAAACACAAAAATGTGATTCTTTTTGATTCTGATCACAAAGATGGGCTCTTTTTTGCTTCCGGACAAAACTAGGTGCTCATTTTTGTTTCTGAATCAAAGTTGTGCTTATTTTTGCTTTTGAGCAAAACTATCATCTATATCATAATTCCTGAAAAACACCATATTTCCTACAGAACCTTTTATTTTCCGAAAACCCTCTACTTTCTAAAAAACCCTTCATTTTTTCTAAAACCCTTATTTCCGAACAGAGCTGAGCTTTTTTTATTCCGAACCAAAAATATTACTAATTTCAAATCCTGAGCGAAAAAAGTTAATTTCTAATTCAAATGTTATGTCCAGTTTTGCTTCTGGAACATACTCAGAGATTCGCTGGCCAGCTCGCCACTAGATCAGGACCAGGTGGCCGTAAAGTTCAAAACGAGCTGAATTTGATTCGGCCACCAGGTCGCCTTGAGTTTTCCGGCCACGCGGCCTGTGTATTTGAAATCCTGGAAAGCTAGCAAGACGGTGGTTTGTACTCAAAATAGTGCATTTTTTACTGTTTTTTTCACTTCGTAAGGTTTCTAGTACTCCGAAAAAACAGAAAATGAGCCAATTTCTTTTAGAATGCTCGGATTCACAAGTTTTTTGGACTTTTTTCTCTTAAGCGAGACGATCTGGACGCGAGGTCGGGTCGAGCTGGACAACCTGCGCGAGGTGGTCTGCATGAACTGAACCACCTCGCGACCAGGTCGTCTGGCAAAAAATACGGGCGATGTGGTTGTCCGTGTCAATTTCAGATGGGCAGTCGACCCCACCTAGTGACCAGCTGGCCAGCGAATCTCTGAGTAGTTTCAAGTAAACTTTGGCGGAACTTGTTTTAAAGGACTTTTTCAATTCCGAAGCAAAAATAGCCAGTTGTTATCTAGGATTTGATTGTCGATTTTTCTCAAAAATTTCTTCCTGAAGCAATTTTCTGAGCCAAAGTTGTTTTGACTACTATTTTTAAATGATAAAAAAGAAGAAGCCTCGGAAATCAAACATTTTTTGACACACATTTTTCAAAAACCGGGAGGAACATGTAACCTAACCCATATTTATTTATATGTATGCACTTATGAAAAATTGTGGCATCAAAAATCAAACAGGATGAGAGTAGATTAAATTTCAATCTAAAAAAATCAGGGATACTGTGGTTTTTTATTCAAAAAATGTGTTATTATGAAAAATGATAAACTATTGTTAAACACTTCAAAAAATGTATTTTTAGAATGTTCGGCTGGCTGGCAATCACCCGACTTAACCTATGTTCCATCAATCAATCAATGCACAGAATATACAACCGGAAATGGTATTCCGTGTAAACCAAACAACCCGTTCACCTGCACTGGAAGAAATCCATTTTGCGCCAAATCGCAAGACACAAATGTATTCAAATGTTGTAGTGATATTATTCAAGATTCAAGTGAAATGGGTAATCTGACTGAAAGTCAAGTAAAACCAAGTAAGTTTTGAAAAATCTGTTTTGAAATGTCAAAACGAAAAACATTATGGGAAATTATCTGGAAAGCCAGTGGAAGCAACATTAGTTTGAAAATTTAAAAGTTCAAAAAAAGTGAAACACCGTGTAAAATCTCTTGACAAATTCAGATGTTTCGAGCTGCGTTTTTCTGTCAATTAAGATTTTAATGAAAAATAGAAATGAAATTGATTCAAATGAGTATATTTTTATGTTAAACTCTACCTGTAAGATATCAAGGATTTCATATTAGGATGTTCATTTTTCTAAACTCCCCCTTCCGCGGGGTCCTCACCCCATTGAAGACATTTTTTGTTCATTGGAAATAATATTTTGGATAGTATTAGTTTTTTTGTTTATTTGTTTTTCGCTTCTTATTTGTTTTTATTTGATTCTGATGGGTTTTTGGCGAAGAATAAAATGTCGACAAAAACGTTCAATTACTCGTAAACGATTGGATAATGAATCAATAAAATTAGTAAATCAGAATGGCCGGAACTTTTTTAGATTTGCAATCATTAATGACAAAAACTAGATATTTTCACCAATAATATTCTGGAATTTTTCTCAACATTCTATTCTTCTCTTTCTCCCTTAGTTTTATTGGGTGACTTTGAAAAACCTTACAGTATGCCCTGCGGGAGCAATTCCCTACAAAATGCCACATGTTTTGTTGTGTGATCCGTCAATTGTCAATATTTGTCCATACGATTATAAGGTGAATTTTTTTTTGAAACGTTTTGAACCTCAAACATCTTATTTTTTTAATTTCCTCACTTGTGAGTTTAATTTCGCTCACCAACAATCCTATTTTCCAGTGTGTCGAGGCTGCAAACGGTGCCCAGCTGCCTCCGGATGGTAGATCGCTCTGCTGCAAAACCACAACGCTTTATTCATTTGCCTCAGTTTTTGGTGAAGCCAAAATTACACCAAGAATTGTGCCAAATCCGCCATTGTCTGCTATTGAATTTGTGAGTTTATAATTTGACTCTAGATTTTGAGACTGTGGATGAATAGGTTACTGTGAAGAAAAATATCAGACATCGCAAAATTAGGATTTCAGGAGTAGATTTTTTGAAATTGGAGTGATTTTTCAGATAAAGTTAATCTTAAATAGAAATTACTGTATCTAGAAATCAGGAGTATTTCAAGTACGTGAACAATATTTTGATTAACTCACTGTTACTTTAGTTCAATTGGAATTTTGATAATACAATAACTGACATTTTAAGTAAAAACTATTCACAATATTTTCCAGGTAACTCTAAACGTGCATACTTCGGCCAAAGAGCATGCTCCCGAAATCCGCATCGGCGATCATTTTGTGCTCACCCCATACAAACTCTATGAACCAGCATATCTCAAAAAAGTGAAACTTTTCAGTGATTTTGGCTATGGTTCATATGTTCATGTTTTATTATTTGGTCAGTTTTTTTTAGTCTTGCTCAGTGAGCCGGAACAATTGGATTTGAGTCGAACGTATTTATTTTTGTTGTTTTTTGCAGATCCTCTTTCAACAACCGAAACAATGCAATTATATTATGATCGACCGACATCTAACGGCAAAATGATTCCATTGGATGAGCCGATACCAGATGGCGGATTCATTTCAAAGAAAATTTTCAATGCTGCTCCAATTACACAGATTGAAAATCCAACAAGACCTGGGCCTATAAAAGAATGTGAGAAAATTGGAAACCATATTTATAAGAACTCAACTCCGTTCTCAAAATCTATTTTCATACCGTATCATATTTTTCCAAGTTTCCGTTTTGAAGCATAGAAATCGTGCAAAGTCTAGAAACCCTGAAAAAACCAGATTTCTCTAGACCACCATATTTTTGTTTTCTTCACAGATCGTAAGCTTTGGATAGTATTGGTCTTCAAAACAGTTAATCCAATCACTCGGCTATATATTCTTTCTTCAAAAGATCTCCACAAAAATTATCGATCGGTTACTGAATTTTTGAAATCAGACACTGGAAATATGTTGGGAACTCCAGTAGCCGGCACATATTTTTACGTGAGTTTTTGAAATTTGAATTTTATTTTTGATTTAATCTAACTTTTTTCAGCTGACAACTGATTGATCAAACCTGTGTCATTAATTTATTTGTTCAATCCTTGAAAAATTTTTTTATATAATAAAAAGTTATTTATTGTTTTTTGAAAACAAAATCCCTAGAAGTTGTGGTGTAAGAAGAACACCCGAACAAACAAACAAAAAAATGCTGAGACAAATATGAAACATGTCAAAAATGTAAAGACAAAACGCGCGAAAAATTTTCGCTTTTCTGTTTTCACAAAAAGTCCATTGGGAATCGCGGAAGAACTCTCTTCTTGCACCAAAAAATCTCCATTTTTCTCTATATATTCCCAAAATGTGTCATTTCAGTTGTCTTCACACCACATACACAAACAAAATTGGGCGTGGCTTGAGGAAAAACGGGGGGAGAGCCGAAAAAAAAAAAAGAGAAGCTGAAGCTTGAGCTTAAACCAAAAAATCTTGACCACGCCTTTTTTTCATATGTGAGTGAGTGAGTGAAAAAAAAAGAATTTCGTGAAAGTGGTATGTTTTTTCACGGTGAATAAATACATAAATGATTAAAAAATCCGAACCAATATTCATATGTATTCAGTTTATATTTATTCTGATTTTATTTTCTGCCAACTTCTTTTGCCAATGTGATGAGATTGAGGATGAACTTTTTCGAAATTCTACAAATTCGAATTCTTCAGATAAATCTTCTGGTAAGACCTTTAAAAAACAATTATGAAACTCGAAAAAAAAGGCCAAAAAAATGAAAACCTGGAACCCCACAATTTTTTTTTGAAAAATTGTTCAATCAAACTTGATGGATGCTTCTCTAAAAAATTACGTATTTTCCAGATGCTTTCGAGAGAACCTAGAAAGGCTCGAGAGCTTAGAGAGCCTAGAAAGCCTAGAGAGCCTAAAGAGCCTAGAGATCCCGGATGGCCTAGAGAGCCTAGAGACCCTGGAGAGCCTAGAATTCCAGACATATGTTAACTTCGCGTGAATACTTAATGAACCATTTTTTCATTTTCTCATCAATTACTTTTTCTTTCTTTTTTTTGAATAAAAAGAGACACAAAAAAAGAAAAGTACACAACGCCTAATTTTTATGTTAATTTCAAATTTATTCGAATTTTTTTGTTTTTGAAAGAAAATTGACAACAGTAGTAATGTCAAAGTCTTCATTAGAAAAAGTAATAAAAAAGTTGGTTTTAAATGTGTCACATTAAAAGAATGAAGGATTTCTGAATATTTGGATTGACAAGTTTTATTAGACCACCCAAAAAAAAGTAAAAGGGATCTTTGGGGGAGAGGGAATTTTTTTCGGATTTTAAAAGCTTGAAAAATTTTTGAACTGAATTTGAAACAGTAAAAAAATACTGTAGGATGAAATTTTCAAAAATTCTAAAAATTCCTAGATCCTAGAGAACATAGAAAGCGTAGAGAGCCTAGAGCCTAGAAAACCTAGAGAGCTTAGAGAGCCTAGAAACGCTTATCTACAGTACATTTGTGTTTTCCTGTCATATTTATTTTTGATCCGAAAATCTTGTTTTCTGCCGCCAAAATTGGAACCAACAAACAAAGAACAATTTATTATCCTTAATAATTGCTGACTCATTTTAGCGCCCAAAAATCTTCTTATTTTTTCCAATTTTTCCAAGCTCAAAAAAATGTTACCCAAAAATCTCTGTCTTGCGTGTGTAAAAGTCGTACCGGAAACCAATCGCCATCAGTGAAATGGCGGGGATTCTCTCTTTTTCTTGAATTGTGTGTGAAAAAGTTGTGTTGGCGTAAATTTGGGTGGTGCAGGAAAAAAGAGAAAAGGGAAGAAAAATGAAACAATTTGCATAAATGACGCATATAAAGTGTATGAAAATTGGATTGCAATCGGAAAAAAAGCGTGGTGATTCAATTTTTGATGAATGTCATTTTGTTTGTTGACAAGGGAAACATTCTGGTTGTAAAATCAATGAACATTTTTAGATTTAGAGAAGATATCAAGAAATTTGCCAAAAATTGATATAACCTAAAAATATGAAAACTTATTTTAAATTTTAAAACAAGGACTCGGGGAAAAAGATTTTCCTTCAGAAATGCGCCAGCGCATCCCAAGCATCTAGAAATGCACCCTCAAAACTTCCAAGTTTTTTTGAATTAGGAATAAAGAAGTAGACAAGAACAAAAAAACGCGAAAAAATTTGTCTTCCGTTTGTTTTTGTGTGTTCTGGTAATTGAATTATTATTGCTGGCAAGCCACCATTTTATTTATTTTTTTTATAGCGAAAATGATGGAAAACGGATGTATTTTTAGGATTTTGTTGAGGGAAGACAAGTTGATTGAGAGAAGTTCTGGTAACTTGAATAACATTTTTCTCTGCAACATATTGTTCAAAATTTTTGAAGTGTTGTTCGTGATGAAAATTTGATTACGTAATTTTTACAAAAAAACTGAGCAAAGTGGAAAAAATAATATGCATATAAATTTTTTTGGATTTATCCAGCCAAGCCTTAATTTCTCAGAATCCGAATACGACGATGAAGAACGTCTTCTTATCGACCTATTTCGCGAATACAATTATCTAATCCGTCCAGTTCAAAGTGTTCACAGTCCTCCGGTTGAAGTACAATTCGGTGTTGCTATGATTCTTCTGATCAATGTCGATGAAAAAAATCAGATTCTTCAGACAAATGTGTGGCTTACAATGAAATGGACAGATTTCCAATTAAAATGGAATCCAGAGGAATACGGTATGAAATACTTTTAATTATGCAATGAACTAACAATAAGTGTAAAAATATTGCAGGAAACATCAGAAATCTGCATATTCCTTCGGATCGAGTTTGGCTTCCTGATATTGTACTTTTCAACAAGTAAGTGTCCAAAAAATTCTAGATTTCGGCCAAATTTCTGCTCAAAATCTAGTTTTATTTTATTTTATTGAATTTTTGTCTTCAAAAAAATTCAATTTGATAGAAAAAGAGAGATATACACATGTCACCTACTACAATTTATACTAGCCTTTCCTAACTAACAAGGAAACATGTTTTTATTGCATTTATGTATGTTAGGATCTTTGAAAAAGCAAGATTTTTGGGAAAATGTGAAAAGAGGGAAAGTGTTAGAAACAATTTTGGTGGAAGCTTTGAATCAAAGGAACCGGAAATTTTGAATTGTTAGAAAATCTTTAGAATTCTTAATTTTTCCGGAAACTGGCGAAGAATGAATGGGTTTTAGAAATTTTGTTTAAAGATTTCTTGGTTAAAGTTTCGAAAAAAAAGGGAAACGGAAATCTTGGATGCCAAGGAATCTTTCAAAAAAACTTTGTTCCGGGTGCAAACTAGTTAGACTTCTAAAAATATACTTCTGAATTTCAAACAACAACAAAGTTTGACTAAAATAATCAGATTTATTTTGAACTCTTTGTTGTGCACGAATCAATGAAAAGCAATTTTTTCAAAAATTGATAGAGATAACATGAAAAGTGAGGGAAAATAAATTTATCAAAAAAATTTCAGCGCTGATGGAAACTATGAGGTGTCTTTCAAATCGAATGTTTTTGTGGAATATAATGGAAGTGTGACTTGGGTTCCACCAGCAATGTTTAAAAGTAGTTGTCGGATTGATGTTGAGTGGTGAGTTTAAAAAAATAAGTGGAAGAGATAGGTTTTCAGAAAATAGAGAAGGTCGAAAAAAACATTCACAAGGAATGATCGCACAAGTGACCCCCTGAAATTTTGATCTACTATGTGGAAGTTGATGTATATGGCGAGATATGAAAAACCCCAAACGGATTTTGTAGGAGAAAAATCATTGGGGAAGTTCCAGGGGGTCTAAAATTTTAGTTACAATAAATTTCGAAAATGACATATATTTTCAAAAAATCGTATTCCAGCTCAAACTTCATGAAAATTGACAAACTTTGCGTCATTTTGCAGCTAATGTGAAGTACTTTTAACGGTACTTACGACCATATTTATCAGATTTTTTTCAAGATTTGGAAACATGAGGGAAAAAAATGAAATTTTTTTTTTACATTTTCATATAAAGTCGCCGTTTTAGAAGCCTGGGCGGATTGTGGGACCCGTTCCATCGGATTCAGCGTCAAAAAATACGTCGGAAAACATACTTGAATATTGTTAGAGTCAGCCATTGTTGATATGTTAATATCCGATTTTTATTATCAACCCATAAATTTTGACAAAAAAATGTCATTTGTTTGTTTTTTTGAAACAGTAAAATTTTCCTATGTAATTTTTCATGGTAAAAATGATTAAAAATCGTTTTCAAAACAATTTTTGTGACTATCAGACGTTGTTTCATAATGATCAGATTTCAAAAAATTTTCGAAGCATTCAAAACTGAAAAAAAAAACATTTTTTGCAGTGTAAGAGTCCGAATCCAAAAAGTTTGTTTGCAAAACATTGCTTACTTTTTTCCACGCAAAAATGGGCCATAAGGTGCTCCATGAAAGTAACAGTCTCAAGAGTTGGCTGCTTGGAAAAAAAATTCTCAAGGCTCGGCTCCTTGAAACAAACAGTCCGAAGGCTCGGCTTCTTGAAACAAACGGTCTCAAGGGTTGGCTGCTTGGAAAAAAAATTCACAAGGCTCGGCTCCTTGAAACAAACAGTCCGAAGGCTCGGCTTCTTGAAACAAAGAGTCTCAAGGGTTGGCTGCTTGAAACAAAAATTCACAAGGCTCGGCTCCTTGAAACAAACAGTCCGAAGGCTCGGCTTCTTGAAACAAACAGTCCGAAGGCTCGGCTCCTTGAAACAAACAGTCCGAAGGCTCGGCTTCTTGAAACAAAAAAAAAACACTGTTTGTTTCAAGAAGCCGAGCCTTAGGACTGTTTGTTTCAAGAAGCCGAGCCTTCGGACTGTTTGTTTCAAGGAGCCGAGCCTTGAGAATTTTTTTTCCAAGCAGCCAACTCTTGAGACTGTTTGTTTCAAGAAAATTTTTTGAAATCTGATCATTATGAAACAACGTCTGATAGTCACAAAAATTGTTTTGAAAACGATATTTAATCATTTTTACCATGAAAAATTACATAGGAAAATTTTACTGTTTCAAAAAAACAAAAAAATGACATTTTTTTCTCAGCACTTGACTCTGTAGACTGACTGTAGAAATTTCGTTGGTACTTTGTACGAAAACGGGGAAGAGAGAATTGCACATAAGTAACATCCGTTTATCTACAAAGTAGCTACAGAACAGCAACGGCGTAGCTACGGATTCAAAAATAATAAAGAGCGGTCACTTCACTTCATTTCTGTCCGCGAATTGTGTAGCTACAGCGTAGATACGCTGTACCTACGTTTTCATCTCTGATTGTGTGACGCTTGGCAGCTCTCGTCAGAATTTAAGGTGTGCGTAATAACGATTTATCATCTGCGTAGCTACGAATTTGATTTTTTTCGTAGCTACGCTGAAGATAAAATGAACCTACGATTTTCGGGAAAAAAAGTGTAGGTACAGCGTTCATTCGCTGTATTCACACTTCTTCAATTTGTACAGTCAGTCTACAGAGTCAAGTGCTGAGTTGTCAAAATTTATGGGTTGATAATAAAAATCGGATATTAACATATCAACAATGGCTGACTCTAACAATATTCAAGTATGTTTTCCGACGTATTTTTTGACGCTGAATCCGATGGAACGGGTCCCACAATCCGCCCAGGCTTCTAAAACGGCGATTTTATATGAAAATGTAAAAAAAAAATTTCATTTTTTTCCCTCATGTTTCCAAATCTTGAAAAAAATCTGATAAATATGGTCGTAAGTACCGTTAAAAGTACTTCACATTAGCTGCAAAATGACGCAAAGTTTGTCAATTTTCATGAAGTTTGAGCTGGAATACGATTTTTTGAAAATATATGTCATTTTCGAAATTTATTGTAACTAAAATTTTAGACCCCCTGGAACTTCCCCAATGATTTTTCTCCTACAAAATCCGTTTGGGGTTTTTCATATCTCGCCATATACATCAACTTCCACATAGTAGATCAAAATTTCAGGGGGTCACTTGTGCGATCATTCCTTGTCAGATTTTTTCCAAGCTAATTGACTTGTGCAGAAGAATAAGATGTTGACAAAAACAAGATTTTCTCTTTTTTTCTAAATTTGGAACCATAATTTTTTGACAAAATCTAAATTCTTTCACAAATAATATTTTTTATTTTTTGTCGACATTTTATTATCCTGCGTTCGCCCATAAGAAATTTGGGATTTCAGCGTTTTCTCTTTCTTTCTAAAAGCTTTTCCCCGTTCAGACCTGATAAAAACTTTTAATTTAATATTCAATTCAACTTATCAATTTTCAGGTTCCCATTCGACGAACAAACTTGTTCACTAGTTTTTGGCTCATGGACCTATAATTCTGAAGAAGTTTTGCTTTACTGGTATAACGATATTCAAGCTGTCCAACTTCATGATTATTCATATTCTGGAATTTGGGATGTTATAGGTATATTGAAAATGCTCAAAAATTAAAAAAAAACAACTGAATTTCAGATGTGCCAGCGCAATTAGTTCACAAACCAGAGCTCAAAGAAAATAAAATGGTTTTCAATGTAGTTATTCGAAGGTGCATATAATCTTTTTTTTTTATTAAAAAAATCAATTTTTTTCAGAAAAACCCTTTTCTATACTGTTATTCTGATAATACCTACCGTACTCATGGCGTTCCTTTCAGTGATGGCATTCTATCTCCCAGTAGATTCTGGTGAAAAAGTGTCACTCACAATTTCACTCCTCCTTGCTTTGGTGGTTTTTTTGCTGCTTGTCTCCAAAATTTTGCCACCAACTTCGAATATTCCACTGATGGGCAAATATTTGCTGTTGGCTTTTGTGCTGAATATTGCGGCTGTTGTGGTGAGTTTGGGAAACATGGTTTTCGTAATTTTTTTTTTGAAATGTGAAATTTTGATTTGAGAAAAAACCACAAAGTAGTAAGTGCTAATCATTCAGAAAAATCTCTCAATTGATCCGAAAGTCTTTCGAAACAGTGGAGAAAAGGGTTTGACTTTTACAATTTTCAAAGAACGAATATAACTGGAAAAGTTGGTTCGATGGATTTATTATAAGTAGGAATTTCTGAATTGTTTTTTTCTGAATTCCCAGAAGTTCACTGGTTCTAGAAATTTAGAATTTCGAGAATGTTGATTCCAGAATTTCAAAATTTCAATATTCACTCTAAAAATACGATTGTTCAATATAATCTAATCCCATCACAAACTTCAGAAAACACCAAAAAATTGCTTTCCAGGCCACTGTTCTAATCGTCAACATCTACTTCAGAAGTGCGCTCTCACACAAGATGCCAACATGGGTTCGAAAAATATTCCTCGAATTTCTTCCTCATCTTTTAGTGATGAAGAGACCGGAACGAATTCCAATTTTCAATGGATATTTTGTTGAAGAATATTGTGCATCAGAAATTTTTGATGCTAGTTTGGTAATGCCATCAATGACTGCAACAATGTTGCCATTTTTACAAGTCACATCGCCCACAATGGAAAATGCGCCAACAAGTAGCAGCACGGCAAATAATGAACATCATGAAAATTGCTCGAGGTGGAAGAAACGATTGTCTTTTAGAATGTCGAGGAGAAGAGCGCCGAGGGTGGGTTAATTTTTGAAGTCTCGTGCTTCACAAAAATTTGAAGTACTTCTCAAAATACGATATCTGAAACTTTATATTCTTCATTGATTAATTATCACAAAAAATTTTTGCTAACAAAAATATTTTCTGATTTTCAGGTTCGTCTTGACGAAGAATCCGAAGACATTGTCGAAGATTCAAACTCAAATCACATAGATCCATATCACGAAAAAATCAGTAAAGAAATGATCACAACTGTCGAAGCAATCGCATACATTGCCGAACATATGAAACGAGAAATGAGTTTGAAAAAAATGCGCGATGATTGGAAATATGTGGCAATGGTATTAGACAGATTGCTACTTTTGGTATTTTTTGGTATTACTCTTGGTGGAACACTGGGGATTATTTGCTCGGCTCCACATGTTTTTGAGTTTATTGACCAGGAAGATATTATCAATAAATTGCGGATAAAATATGTACCAGAACATTTGAGATAAACACACACACACACATTTTCTTTCATTTTTAGAAATACAGTTAGGGTATATTTCACGGTTTTTGCAAATTTTTCATATTTTTTCTCGTCATAAATGATTTTGAAAAAAAAAACGTTTAAAAAAAACTGTTGTATTCTTATATTTGAATAAATGGGATCTAAAGCTCGTATATAATTTTATCGAATATCCAGAAGAATCTTTACTTTTGAAACATCGTTGTTCAAAAATAAAATTCTAGAAGTGTTCTAAAAAATATAAAAAGTTTCAAAAAAGTCTACATAGTCCCATAATATAACACACATTCTTGCCAAATATAAAAAATCAATCGATTACAAATTGTCTATTGTCTCTTCACAACAAATACACTCTAATTCTCACCACCTGCCAATTCCTCCTCCCTATTGCTCACCATCCAAAAAATAATTGGCATTGTTCGTTTTTTTCTATATGTGCTTTGACGATGATTTATTTTATTTGAATTCCAATAAATTTCGAAGACGAGAAATTGCTGAAGGATTTCGAGCTTTCCAACTTCCAGCGTATGAAGAAAATACTGCGAAGGAAATTGGATGTTGGATTGAAATTCTATCATTGAAACAAATTGTGAGTTTTTATTTGAGATTACTATTCTGGAATATATTTTGGCTAGAGACAACGTTAAATTGAAACAGTTTAGAGAAATTTCAGGAAAGTTTAAGCTTTGAAAGAAATTCTACATATTTTCGAAAACAATGTGATTACCAGGAACATTTTTTTTATTCCAGATTCAAATGCGGTTCATGAATACGATGTTGAAGCGAATTGATCAGAACGTTATCTATCATAGAAATGAAATTGTTTCACTTCGAATTGCAATCGCAAATTCAGAATCAGGGATATCAGGGGTGAGTATATTTCTACATATGAACACAAAGTTTTCAAAATTTAAATTAAGCACATAATTATTTACAGACTGATTACGAATTTGTTTGTCGTACCTACAAAATGTTTACCGAGCATCTGCATTTCCCAGGGACCGAACAATTTCCGAAACTAAATTCTCATCATGATTTTGGCAATATTGGACAAATTTTTGAATTCATGACTTCAGCATAATCTGTGTATTTTTTGGTAATTCCAGTCTTTCAATTTTTAATGGGTTTTCAATCAAACTTTTGTGTTTCGATTGGAGTTTATATGAAAATGTTGCTAATTTTTATAGTTTCACATATCAAAATTGATAAAAATTTTTAGGCTGTATATTGTTCAATACAAACAAAAAACGAGACTCATGTTTATGAATTCACTGAAAATTGTCTCAAATTTCAAAAAATCATATATTTATTGAACCTGAAACCTTTGCATCTTTAGAAATGATTCAAAAATGTTTATATTTTCTATTTCTGATCCCGTTATGTTTCTCTGAACTGTTCCGTCTGCCAGAAACAATAGTACCAGTTAAGTATTCTTTGAAACTAACAGTTTACCTGGATGGATATGTGAATTTCCCAAATCACAAAAATCGAACATTTGATGGTGTTATTGAGATTGATCTAAATGTCAAGAAAAACACATCACAAATTAGTTTCAATTCGTTTGAGTTAAATTTTGAGAAGGAAGATTGCGAAGTGTTTGATAAGTCGGGAATAATTCAAATTTCTAATTTGAAAAAATTTCAAGAATATTCTACAATATACTTAAACAGTACAATTTTTGGCGAAGCCACTATCAAAATAAAATATTCCGGAAATTTTTCGAATACATCTTTTGGGTTGTACAGAGATCCAGAGGTCTTTTCGAAACCAACCTTGTTGAGTCAATCCTTCCCTTTAACCCATAAAATTGTTCCATGTTTCAATGAACTTTGGATGAAAGCAATCTGGATAGTTGAGATAACTCATCCTGTTGGAAGCGTTGCTCTTTCCAATGCTCCAGAAAAACAAATCGTCTATTCATCACTCGAAAATTTCAAAACCACAAAATTCAATGAAACTCCAATCATGTCACCATATCAATTAGCAATTATCATCTCAAATTACAAATATACTAGTGGTTATTCAGATTCAGGAACATTAGTGCGAGTTTTTGCTCCATCAAGTCAACTGAACAAGACAAGCCATGCTCTTCAAGTTGCGATAAAAGCTCTAAACAAATTTGAGATAATATTTGATATTAATTATCCACTTTCGAAGCTAGATTTGTTTCCTGTCACACAATTTCCAGCGTCAGCCATGGAAAATTGGGGTCTAATTATTTTCGAGTAAGTTTTTCAATTATATGTGGAATAAAATTGGAAAATTCCTTTTTTTGAGAGCTTCTCAAGCTCTTTTAGAATAAACCTTTTCAAATGTAAGAATTTTAGATTTTAGGGAACTGTCATTGCTTGGAAAAAATTTGAAATCTGTGGAAGAAGTTGTGATTCATGAAGTTGCTCATCAATGGTTTGGAAATCTTGTGACAATGGATTGGTATGCTGATTTTTGGTTGAATGAAGGATTTGCAACGCTATATGAGACAGATTCTGAGAATGTGAGTTTTCGAAAAAAAATTGATAAATTTGAAATAATATACTATATACTAATTGGGAAAATTTTTTTGGCAATAGTGTGTCCGGGTCCCGTTCTTCAAACTGTGTGCATAAAAATTGATGGTCAAAAAAAGAAAAAGTTTCTAAATGTTGGCAGCTCGATGCGCATCCTATTCATTCTTTCTCAAAATGTCTGTGGGTGCGCGGAGAGTGAAAAGTTTGAAAACTCCAATGTATTTTTCGATTTTAAAATGTGTCGCTCGACTTTTCTCAATTTCCACTCAGAGATTCGCTGGCCAGCTCGCCACCAGATCGCTGCGGCCACCTGGAAACCGCATGGCCGCCAGGTCGCCTTGAGTTTTCTGGCGACGTGGCCTGTGTGTTTGAAATTCTGGAAAGATGGCAAGACAGTGGTTTTTACTCAAAACACTGCATTTTTTACTGTTTTTTTCACTTCCTAAGGTTTCAAGTGAAAAAACAGAAAATTAGCCAAATTTTTTGAAAATGCCTCAATTCACAAGTTTTTCAGACATTTTCATGAAAATTCATTTTGACGCGGCGAAGTGGCCATGTGGGCTTGACCTAGCCAGGGCTTGGCCACCTTGCCAGCAAAAAAAACCGGGCGACATGGTTCCCAGGTCAGCCAGCCTCCCCACCTGGTGGCGAGCTGGCCAGCGAATCTCTGAGCAGAAGACCATATTTGATGGGACCTTCACCATTCGACCCCAAATTCTTTCCCATCGAGGCGCTAATATTCGATTTTTCAAAAAATGCGCGAGTTTTCACGTGTTAATTCAAAACTTTTTTCATGCAAAAAAGAATGATCACGTTTTTATTCGAAAAAATTATAAGGCCACGTTTCTTATCTGATCGTTCTAATTTCTCCCATAGTCGAATATTTTTAGTCATTTCTCAATGTATCTCTTTCTCTAATCGAAAAGTATATTAATTAGAAAAACGTAAGTCAAACTACTGTAGATGGCGTTAGCCAGCGAAGCCCTTCTAGTACAGTTTGATGCATAAACACTTTCAGCAAATACTACATGATTACTATAAAAGTTATGCAGAGCATGCCCTCGAATCGCCAATTAGATATATAAATACAAGAAATTTGTGGAGCAAGTTTACACTGCAAAAAGATGTGACAGTTTATGTCAAAGGTTCTTCAGTGCTAAATATGTTGAGAAAGGTTATTGGAACTTGGAGATTCAGAAAAGGAGTTCGAAGATATTTAAAAGACAATGCTTATAAATCAGTAAACACCCAGATTCTCAAAAAATATTTTGCTGATTCGATGCCAGAAAACAGTCCAAATATTGATGATTTTTTGGATCCATGGCTAGAACAAATTGGACATCCAGTAGTTATTGTGAAACATTTCAATAAAACGCATAATATTTTAAGTCAACAAAGATTTGATAATCATAAATTGGACTTTTATGATCAGACATTTGCAAAACCAAAATGGAATTATACTTGGTATATCCCTCTTTGGTATAAGAATGATGTCAAAGAAAAAGAACAATTGATATGGTTGAAACCAGGAGAATTGAAGCTTATTGAAGTTACCGAAACTACAACGATCAAAAACCCACTATGCAGATTTGATTCAACCGAATCAAACTTCAAATCATTAAATTAGTATTTCCACATAAAATTTTCTATCGCTTTATTTATCCAGTTCCAAATTTTCTATTCATGTGAATTTTGTTGTTTTTGATGACTAATTCAAAATTTTGGTCGAAAACTATTTTTTTGTGCACGCTGAAAATCTTCTATTGCGAAACATTATTATTTCCCATTAGAAACAATAAAGTGATTCATGAAAATAGGGCGTGGTTTTTTTAAAAATCTTTCTCATTCCCAATCAGAAAGAAATCAATCGCAAAGGGTAGGGCCCGAATATAGAAAACCCCAAAAGATATTTAAAAAAAAATAGAAGTGGTTTACCCTTTTAAACATGCCGTAGCTCTCTCTCTCTCTAGATATTTTTTCCTGTGATCTTCCCCCCCCCTTGTATTTTTTATTTTTTTTAGTAGAAATCATGCAATTGTTTGAAACCTACAGTATTGGTGGATATATTTAAACCATTGGTTAAATGAAATCAAACTTGAAAGTTTATAGTTTGAGAGCATGCCAAATTGGAACTCAATGGGCGTTTGTATTCAATTGGAGAGTACTAAAAATGAAGTGAGTTTTTGGCGGATTGGTACATAATAAAACCAAAAAAGTTGTTTCCCGGCTGCTGTGTTGTGTCTTTTCAATGTCCTCTTTTTTCCTCTTTTGTTTTCCCTCTTTGGGCGCAAAAGTTTTTTCTTCAAGTTTTTGATTACCTATTTTTAAAAGTTGAATTTTGAAGTGTTGTCCTAATTTTGAAATGTGTTCTCCAATCTCATATTTGCAATTTTAAGGGTACAATATCGATGTTCCAAAAAAAGGTTATGTTTTTTACAATCAAGAAACTCGGAAAATGTGGTTTCCAATGTGTCATTGATTTCGAAATGCAAGTTCATTTGGTATAATTTTTTGCAATTTTATGTACGATTAAAATAAATAAAAAATTTCATTAAAAAAATGTTTTTTCTCATATTTTTTCTGAAGTAATTTGAACATAAACTACTATCCAATCTATCCAATGCAAATTATCTAGAAAGGTGAATGTTAGTCTGATCTAAAAATAATTCCAAAGAAATATTTTAATTGTTGTTCTTGTTTATTTTTCGATTGTTCATCTTCCGAAATATTTTTTTTTCTAAAGAAAAAAAACAAAAAACTAATAAAAAAGTCTCATTATAAAAACTGCTTTGAAAACATATTTTGTCATTTGAAATGAACTGTTCTATCAAAATAGTCTCTATTCTTCTCATCATAAACATTATTTTTCCAGTTGTAATATGTGATAATTCGTAGGTTTTTTTCAAATGTTCACAAAGTTGAATATAAATTTCAGATGGGGTGCATCAGATGTGACATCCACAACTGCAAATGTACTGATGTCAACCACAACAAAACCGCATAGAAGCTGGCCTATAGTAAGTTTTATTTTTTTAAATCACATAATGGATTTTATTGTTTCAGTATACATGTTGGGGGTGGATTGGTAGAAGACGGTGTGGTTTTCGTCCATACCCAAGATACAGATCTTCATCAACTTTATCTGATTACTTACCATCGGTTTTGATTTTTGGTTTTCTTTATTTATTGAGTTGAACTAATACTTTCATTTACATCTAATTTTTTGATTAAAATAACAGTATGCGAAGATTTACATGAATTTTTTTGAAAAAAAAAAATGAAAAAACTGATGTTCTCATGGGTCTGATGACATCAATATAAAATGTTATAAAAACATTATTTTTTCTATGCTGAAAAACGTTGAAAAAATATAAGGTCTTTTAATTTTGAGTATAGACAACGTTTGAAAAAACATTTTCTGTCCACCTAAAAATAATATTTTCAATCACATTGCGTTTAAAAAAATGTTACTTTTTTTTTCTAAATAAAAAACTATGTATATTAAGAAATAACAATTTATTAATGTCCAAATTCAAAATTATATCCATTCATGAGTATAACTCTTTACAGCATACTTGAACGGGCATTTGTCAATTGTTTCATAAATCATAATAAAATTCGACAATCTTGTTGTTTTTGTATGTCACATCAATATCACCATTGATCAACTTTTTCTTTTTTGTTACTTCACTTAAATCATAGAAAATCAAATAGCTTGTGTTTCGCAAATCTTTAATAAACTGCTTTCGGTCTTGTTCCTCATTGTATTTTTTTTCACGACTCTCTCTGAAAATAAATTCAATATCTTTGTGAATGCAATGATAAAGGCTGTCAAAAAATTGGACTTTGTTCAAATCACGAAGTTCTTTTTCGTAAGTTTTGACAAGTTTTAGCAAGTGTTTATCAATTTTGGGCTCATCTTCATCGTGACATTGGAAAACATAGATGATTACGAATAGAAGAAAAATATTGTAAATTTTCATGATTTTGTTCCCATATGATTTGATCTGCTTTTTATGAAAAACACTTTGAATGATAATCAAATTAAAAATTATGAATTCTCCAAGCTCACATCGTTTTATTTCACATGTCATAATAGGATTGAGCTTTTTCATCATGAAGAAAAATATAAAACCCGAGGAATTTAGGGGCAAAAAATCATTTTTCCTTTTTTTTTCCAATTTTTTTAAAGAAAAGGTGTTTCTAGAGACACAAAGAAAACGAGATAGTCAAGTGATATTGATAGAATTTTTCTGGAATTTTTTTCCAATAAATACAAGGCTAAAAGGTTTTGATTGTCAGTTCTGAAAATTTATCAATCTTTAGATGAAAAATGGCTGATAGAGAAAATGAACCTTCAGAAATTGAAAAAGAAAAAACGACGTGAGTTAATGTTATATTGCAGCTTTTGACAAGTGACATTTTTTTCAGAAATTTGATGGTTTCACAATGGTCTTCTCTGAATTTGACGTGAGTGAAAAAATAATTTTAAATTTGATATATGAGAAATATATATAAAAACCAAAAAATTTCATAGAATTATGTATATGAATTTTTCCAGAAAATCGAGCATTCCATTTCTCAGTTTGAAGTGAGTGAAACTATTTTTATTAATTTCAATGTTTTATTGTTTATTGTTAAATCGGAAAAATTTCAGAGAACTCGAGGATTTGAATCCAAATAAATTTGAATCGGACATAGAAGTGTAAGTAAATGTGTTTCATTTCATATATGCTGACGATTAAAAAAAATTTCAGAACTGTTCCTGGGATGAAAGGTTCGAAAAAAGTGCACGAACTGACTCCTGAGGAATTTTTGAAATATTGTGGTAGTGTGAATGCGCCTATGATTTCTCAAGAATCACCTTCGGTTTCTCAAGAAAGTGCTACCACTTCGAAAAGTATGAAAGAACTAAATAACTTAAAAGAATTATTGTCTGGTTACGAATCAATACAGACAATTCAAACAAATTTCGTTGAGCTTGATGGAATCAAAAAAAAATTGAAGGCAGACATTGTTGCGTTGGAAAAATAACAATTTTCATTCATTTTCCGGTAGCAAAGTATTGAAAAATGTATTTTTTTATTTGAACTCACAGGTTTATAAATGTTCCCACCTGAATATTTTCAACATTGCAAATACTATAGTCAGATACACACAAAATGTGTTTTATTTCAAATATGTAATTTGAACTTTTTCATATGTTTTACTACCTACCTTGGTATTTTCATCTTTTGTCGAGCTCATTCTTCTATGCTCACTAAAACGATAATATTTTTTGCGTTTTTCAAAACCGCATATAATCAACTTTATGGTGAGTTACATGTACATTTGTTTACAACTTTTCGAAAAAAATATTTCAGATCAAACGTGGATAGATTTTCTGAATGTTCAGAAAAATCTAACCACCGATTTATTCAAAAATTATGATCCAACTGTATCGCCAGTTTTTACACGAAATAATTTAAAAGAAAATTTGACTTTTGATAACACCAATTATACCACAAAATGGAACTATACCATCGAACTGTTTTATTTGCAGTTAGTTGAAATTGATGAACCTTCGGAAAAGGTTACTGTGGTTATTGAAATTATGGAGGTACGTTTTCAACAATTTCCTGAATTTTTTTTTTTTGACATGTTTGAATGTATGACAGTATTTTTCTATCCGAACGTGAAGAATGAAATAAGAAACTGATGAAAATAATTTTGAGAAATAAACAAATTTCAATGATCTATGATCAGAATCAAAAAAAAAATGTCAAATTTCAGAACTGGTATGATCCACGCCTTGTTTGGGCCGCAGAACATTACAGCAATATAACAAACATTTATGTGAGACAAGAAAAAATTTGGAGTCCATCATTGTCACCATATGGAATGTGAGCTTCCCATCTTTCAAAATATTCTCTATCAAAAAATTATTCAGAAACGATGTTGTTGATTTTCGAGATCAAGATTTTCGCCAAGCCGCAATTGATAACACAGGTTTTGTTTTTGTTTTTGAGGTAGTTAGAGTTTCGGTAACTTGTGATTTGGATATGAGAAAATTCCCATTTGATCAGCAGCGATGTTTGATTCAATTCGGACTACCAATGTATTATATCAATGAAGTTTCGGTGAATTTTGAAATCTATGAGGATATTATGAAACCTGAAAAAATTGCGCAAATGGTATTTCTCTGATGAGAACAGAAATTTGAGAATGTTTTTTTTTATCTAGGGAAATTCCGAATGGAGAATTATTAATCTGACAAATAAACATTGCATCAATGGATATGATGATAATATGAGTGGTTTGGAATTGAATGGATTTTTTATCACAATGAAAAGAAATCCAATGTATTATTTTTATATGATTATTTTGCCAGCTTTTGTCATAAATACTGTTTCATTATTCGGTGTTTTTATGAAAGCATCGGATAAAATGTCAAGGGTTAGACTCTGTTCAAATCTTCATGTCTAAATGTTTCGAGTTCTATTTTCAGCTCAATGTTGGGCTTACAACACTAATGACTATGACCTTTATTCTTGGAGTAATTGCTGATGATGTTCCAAAAACTGGAGTTATCCCACTTCTAGGAATCTATATTATCATCCATCTTGTAATTATGATTTTATCAATTGGAGTTGTAATGACAATCGGTAAATTCCGAGTTTTAATGAGAGCTCAAGTTTCGGATGATAAAAAGTTAGTTTTTCATCATTTTTCAAGACTTGGATTTTTAATAATCTCTAATTTAAGACTTCAATTGCTCCTTGGGAATCCTCTGGAAAATTCAATTTTCTTAATCCTTCAAACTTTGAATATTGCAAATTTCTCCATGATGGTTATTTTCTGGATTATTGGGTGATGAATTTTTTTTTCAAAATCTTATATGGAACATTTCTTTACTTGTTCAAAAACTTCAAAATGTGTAGTTTGTTGTATGTAATTCGAACTTTTCTATGACAAAAATGTCAAAATTTTCAACAGAAATTTTTGTTGTTGTTGAAAAAATGTTTGAGTTTTTGATTCTAATTATATTCATAAATTCAACGGGAAATCAACTATATGGTGAGAAGAACAAATTATATACATATTTCATATTTAAAGAAAAATTAAGATTCAACTTGGACGAATTATCTGAACTTGCAAAAAAATTTGACAGACAGTTTATTTAAAAACTATGATTTTTTCGTTTCTCCAGTTTTTACAAGAAAAAAAGAAACTGAAAATGTCACATTTGACAACTGGAATTATACACAAAAATGGAATTATACCCTGGAAGTGTTTTATTTGCAATTAGTCGAAGTTGATGAACCTTCCGAAAAAGGTTACTGTAGTAATTGATGTAATGGAGGTATAGTTTTACTTGAAATAACAAGAATAAATAATCAATTTTATAGTATTGGTATGACCCGCGTTTATATTGGGATCCTGCTAAATACAAAAACTTGACAAGTTTATATGTGAGACAAGATAAAATTTGGAGTCCATCCTTATCACCTTATGGAATGTAAGTTCTTTTGATTTTTATTTTCACCTTCTCTTATCCCAAAAAATGCTTCAGCAATGATGTTGTTGATTTTCGAGATCAGGAATTGCGCCAAGCATCAATTGGATATACAGGATTCATTTTTGTTTATAGTCTTGTTAGAATTGCAGTAAAATGTACTTTGGATATGAAAAAATTCCCATTTGATCAACAAACTTGTTTAATTCAATTTGGACTTCCGATGTATTATGTGAACGAAGTATCAATCAATTTCATGTTTTTTGAAGAACTTTTAAAACCATCAAAAATTGAGCAAATGGTAAGCTATAATGATTTCAGTTGAAAATTCTTCAAATAATTCAGGGAAATTCTGAATGGAAAGTTGTGAATCTATCGACAAAACGAAGCATTCAAGATTATGAAGATGCTGTAAGTGGTTTGGAATTGAATGGATTTTTTATCAAATTGAAACGGAACCCAATGTACTATTTTTATATGATTATTTTGCCAGCATTCGTTATAAACGCTGTTTCCTTATTTGGTGTTTTCATGAAAAAATCCGATAAAATGTCAAGGGTGAGAACATTCCTAAACTGTTCGAATCTTTATGTCTAAATGTTTCCCATTTTAAGCTCAACGTTGGGCTCACAACATTAATGACAATGACCTTTATTCTTGGAGTAATTGCTAATGATGTTCCAAAAACTGGAGTTATCCCACTTCTAGGAATCTATATTATTATCCATCTTGTAATTATGATTTTATCAATTGGAGTTGTGATGTCAATTGGAAAATTTCGAGTTCTAATAAGAGCTCAAGTGTCGAATCATAAAAAGTAGGTGATTTTCCAAAAGTGATTTTTCTTTGTTGTTTACCACAAATCAATATTCTCAGACTGCAAATGTTCCTTGGAGATCCATTGGAAAACACAATAATTATATCTCTTCACGTGTTAAATGTTGCTAATTTTTCAATGATGATTGTGTTTTGGATGACTGGATGAATTTTTGACGTCAATAAATTCGAAAAAATTGCATGTAATTTGACTCTTCTTTTCACATTTATTCTTTTTTTGAACACTTTTTTCAAAAAAAAATTTTGGTTATGCTCAATGAGATCTTAACAATTGTATTATTCCTGAAATCTACAGAAAATCAATTATATGGTAGCAAAATTTTAAAATGTTTTTTTTTCAAAAAAAAAAATTGCAGATCCAACTTGGTTATCTTTTCTTCAAGTACAAAAAAGTTTGACTGACATTTTATTCAAAACGTATGATGCTTCGATTTCTCCAGTTCTGACTCGCCAAAAAGAAAATGAAGATATATTTTTTGACAACTCAAACTATTCTCAAAAATGGAATTATACTATAGAACTTTATTATTTGCAGTTAGTTGAAGTTAATGAGCCTTCCGAAAAAGTTACTGTAGTTATTGAAGTAATGGAGGTAGAAAACTATACTTTTAGAAAATATAATGTGTAGAAATTACAAATTCCGAATATTTTAGCACTGGTATGACCCACGTTTAGTTTGGGACTCTGTCAAATACAAAAATATTTCGAATTTATATGTTAGACAGGATAAAATCTGGAGTCCTTCTTTATCACCTTACGGAATGTAAGCATTGCATTTTCAGCTCTATTTTCAAACAAAATTAATATTTTTCAGAAATGATGTTGTTGATTTTCGAGATCAAGATTTTCGTCAAGCCTCAATTGAAAACACTGGCTTTGTTTTTGTGTTTGATCTTGTCAGGATTGGTGTGAATTGTGACTTAGATATGAGAAAATTTCCATTTGATGTTCAAACTTGTTTGATTCAATTCGGACTTCCAATGTATTATGTAAATGAAGTTTCGATAAGTTTCAGTTTCTATGAAGATTTATTAAAACCTTCAAGAATCAAACAAATGGTTAGATTAATTTTGAACATACGTGGAGAACATTTATTTTATTTTAGGGAAATTCTGAATGGATCGTTGTGAACTTAACCACTAAACATAGTATTGAAGGTTTTGAAGATTCTATCAGTGGACTTGAACTTAATGGATTTTTTATCACCATGAGAAGAAATCCATTGTATTATTTTTATATGATTATTTTGCCAGCATATGTAATCAACGCTGTTTCATTGTTTGGTGTATTTTTGAAAAAATCAGATAAAATGTCGAGAGTGGGGCTTTTCATATTTTATCTTAGGGAAAAATTTTTTTATTTCTGCCAAATTTTCTGTTTATATGTCACAATGTTTCAATTACTATTTTCAGCTTAATGTTGGGCTCACAACGCTAATGACTATGACATTCATCCTCGGAGTAATTGCTGATGATATTCCAAAAACTGGAGTTATTCCACTTTTAGGAATTTATATAATTATCCATCTGGTAATTATGATAATTTCAATCGGAGTTGTAATGTCAATTGAAAAATTTCGGATTCTAATAAAAGATCGAATTTCAGACCAGAAAAAGTGAGATCTTCAAAAAACACTCAATTGTGATATGTGTTTTTCAGGCTTCAAATGTTGCTTGGAAATCCTTTGGAAAACATAATAATTATATTTCTTCACATATTGAATTTTGCAAATTTTTCAATGATGATTGTATTTTGGATTACTGGATGAATAAAGTTCATTAAATAAAATATTACAATTTCACAAGTTGAGTATTTTGACTGAGCTGTGAATCTTCAAATTCGATCTCACTTGTGATTTCATTCGAATCATCATCATCATCTTCACCCAAAGCTTTGCGACGAAGTCTGGAATGTTGTGTTTTTTTCTCTAAATCTCTCATTTTTCTCTCACCTTCTTTGTCTTCTTTTATAACATTGTAAACATTTTGTTATAAAAAAGCAGGAAATGAATAAAATAAGACCACCCAGAAGAAAAAGAAGGACTGCAAAAAGAACTGATTCAACATCTCGACTGAATGTTGAGGTAACTAGGCCATTCGTAATTTCGTCTTTTTCTGAAAATTTGAATATTTTTGTAAAGAAAGGTTTTATGTTTGAAAAACACGTTGATTTCTGTCATGAGTTTGGAAAACATATTGAGAAATTGAAGAAAAAGGAGCTTTTATTGAGAGTTCAGTGTTTTAGCTTAAATTTAGATTAATGAAAAAAATAGCTTGAAAGTTCTCAGATTTAGAAAATCGGTCTTGAAAATAATTTTCAGTCCAAAAGTCAAAAATAGTTCTCAATCTAGCAAAACATACCTGATCTACCCATTCCCCTGGAAAAATTTGAAAAAACTATGTTAGAAAATCAAGAGAGATTAGAAAAAATGTTCTGTTTCTCCGAAACAGCGTGTGCTCATCTAATGAGAAAAATCATCAAAAACATATGTTGGAAAATGAACAAAATGTGTAATTTTTTCAAGAAAAAAACATTTTTTTCAGAAATCAAGAAAAAAACTTACCTCTTCGCATTTTTTCAAAAAATAACAAAAGTTGAAAATTTGTCGATTTGTTACATAGAGACACAAAAAAACCAAAAGGAAAAAAAAGAGAAATTCAAGAGGAACAGCTGACAAAAATATAAATCTCTCACATTTCATTCATGAAAAAGTACAAAAAACAAGACAAAAAATTGCAACCCGTAGACAATTTTTAAGAAAAAACAGAAAAATATGAAAAAAAAACTTCTAATCTAACATTGTGTTCCATAACATTGTTCTTCTTCTGCGTCTCTGCCTTGACATGATCCTTGATAACATCTTCGTCGTCTGGTTCTATGACCAGTTCCGCATTTTGAAGTACAGTATGACCAGGTAGACCAGCCTGTCCAGAGTCCCGGTGGTCCGCAAGACTGCAATTTTTTTTTAATTTCGGAGGAATGTGGGAAGTTGAGGATAGCATTTTTTTCAATTTTTTGAAAAATTTCTCTTCTTATTTTTCAAGACTTTTTTCGGAATCAAGTTTGTAATTATAATTTTCCTGATTGTGATATAAGTGTTGTTCTGATTACAACATATGTACTCTCGAAAATCTTACCTGTGTATTACAACTTCGATTCTCACTTTCATTTCCTCGACACGGTGTACGAAAACATGCGCGTTTTCGAACTTGGCTCCCGCCACCACAAGAAATCGAGCACTGGGACCATAAAGACCAGGCCGTCCACGCGTCATTGAAAACTGTTTCACGGCATGCCAGTTGAGTGCAAGTTGATGTTTCAGAACAATCTGAATACATTTTTTGAAGATATCTCCAAAAAAATGTGAAAAAAAACCAACCAATTCCTATACAATTATCTCTGCGTCTTGTTCTCTCGCCTCTTCCGCAGCTCACACTACAGCTCGACCATTCACTCCATTGTCGCAACACAATCCGATTAGCGATTCGATTACGGTAGATTTGTTGAGGAGGTGCAGCGGTGCTGACTACTGTTCCACTTACACAAGGTTTATGACAAGTTGCACGCTCTTTCATTTGCCCAGTACAAATACCAGCAAGACAGCGACGAACGCGAACACGCAGTCCTGGTGTGTGACAATCGTAGGTGACACATTCAGACCAATCAGACCAACCGGACCATTCATTGAGAAAGGCTTTTTCTTTTTCGTCCTTTTTATATGGGCTCACTTTGGAGTTTGCAGCAAGTGGACAATCTCCTTCACTGAATGCAAGGGTTGTTCCACCACATCGTAATGCTCTGCACTCTCCTTTAATACAAAATTGATTGATTCCACAAGGAGTTCCATCAGGAAAATTTGAAACTGTTCGAATATTTGTTGAGCCAGAAATCAGACACCAAATCTTACACATCGCTTGTTCAAATTGCATACCTTCTCCGGATAAAATTGTATTAGGTATCGCATTTTCATCACGTAGTTTGGTGCAAACTTTGGTGGCATATCGATCAACACTATCACCTTTACATTTACCACTTTCTTTGTTGCAAAGCACACCACGAGCTTCATCTCCCTGACACGGAGCTCCGCCATTATTTGGACTTGGATAATTGCATTGACGAATATGACGGGACACCCGGATTTGACCGGCAATTTCACATTGTGCACATTTGCCACCACAAGCTGCGCTTGGATTATTATTCCAATCTGACCACCCGCCAACTGTGACTTTCATAATCTGATTTGAATTAATACAATTTCCTTGCTTACAAATCATGCCATAGCCACAATAACTTCCTTCTAGAGCTGGATGAGCAGTTCGAATAACTCCTTCACCATTTCCACACCAAACCATTGAGCAGACATCAAACATTGTCTGTCCATCTTTTAACTCATGTTTCCAGCATTGACCATGAAATATTTCACATTGCTCATCTAATGTGAAAACTTGTCCTGGTGGTTGTGAGTCTTTGAACTCTACTGGAGAAGAATCTGCAATATCTTGCAAACAATTCGGGGGTCTTGAAGCTTCTCCCATATGACTTATAAATGTTGCCATCTCATTCACTGAACAATGACTCCAATGCGTTTTACCACTTCCGACGGATGGTGACATTATACAGCATTTTAGATCACAGTTGTTGTCTCCGTCGTGATACATTCCGAGAGAATGACCAAGTTCGTGGGTGACTACGAAAACGCTGCCAAAATCGAGACCTTCGTTGATTGTACAAGATCGAACCCCACTGCACATTCCTTTAACAGGAGCGTAGCCGGCCACTGTTTTTATGCCGTTTCGATGAAGATCATGCCTGTAAACATTTTTGTGATTGTTCTATTTTTTTGAAAAGAAAATTTCGAGAAAAAGTTTGACTTCTTATGACCTTATGCAAATTGTTATTTTGTGATAAAATGTACTAAAACAACCGAATTCTGTTCTTTGCAGAAAAACGTCCGAAAAACAGAATAAACATCATATCATTTTTGAGTAGAGACAACGTAAATTGAGAGAGCGTTTTTTTGTAACGGTAAAAAGTATAAGTTACAATGTTCAAATTTTATCTCCAGTTTCCAAGCTTCAAACAGAATTTTTTTTTTAATTATCATTTTCAAAATTTTCCCACAACAATGAAAAAATTAATCATTCCTATTTCTATCTCTCATCATTCTCATATTTAAAAAATTACTTTGTCCTCCTTTTACACCTTTTATATAATCAAAAACCACACGCACACATATTGGCAAAAAACTCAGCCTCCCCCATGTGATCTCGTGGTGTAGTGGTTATCACATCTGTCTAACACACAGAAGGCCGGCGGTTCGAGCCCGCCCGAGATCAGCAATTTTTTCCGTAATTTTTTGAATTATGAAGAATATATTTGTTTACCCGGAAAACAATAAAGCGTGGTCCCAATGTTTTGGATCGGCATCATTTGGTGGATTGATATCGTGTTGATATTGACAAAAGGCGTCGAGTAATCTGTCAACATCACCATTTGATTGTTTCATGTTCCAACTTGGATTCGCTTTCAAAATTTCGTATCGGACGATTTTTATGGAGACGTGTGGTTTCAGTAAGCGCTGCGTGTAAAGAACATCTATCTGGAAAAATACATAAATTTTCTAGAGAATTTTAAAAACGCTTCAAATTCTGGAAATTTGACTCACATTATTCACGACAGCCATAATGAAAGTATGCATATTTTCATCCGCCTGACTTCCATACATTTTTCGAAAATGTTGCCACATTGCATCATCTGCAAACACCGCCAACTCAACTGTCAATTTTTCAGTTTTCTTATCAGATCTTCTCACTTCCTCCCCAATTAAAGTCATTAATTGACTTCTCATTTTCAATTCTATTCGATCTTCAGGATATGGATCTTGTGAAAGATCGAAACCACATTCATGATTTGACGAGGATATGCTTCTTTTGTGAATCACATGTTTTCCAGTTGAATGATGATTTTGGATGAGATGGAATTCTCCAGATTCTGTGATTATCATGCCGTTCTGAAAATTACTCATTAAAATGTGATAAATTTAAATTAAGACTGATTTTTTGATTTTGAAGAAACATTTTTAAATGAATGTATATTTTTATTTCAAAAATGAGTTTTTCTCGGACCAATTCAAACATTAGGTCGTTTGATCGGAATTTTGCCCTAACTAGAGTCCTTTTTGTCCCATATTTTTTTTATTTAAAAAATCCAAACTCACATATTTATCATCACATCCAGTCAGAGCAATATGCGTGTTTTTTCTCTCCAAACTCTTCCCTTCAAACACGCAAACTCGATTTTCCCGCACATAATGTTCTGCCAAAAACCGCTCACTCTTCTCAAAAACCTCAAACTTCTCCCGAACACCATCAACCATCACGAAAATCACAAAACCTGTTCCATTTTGAGATCTCGATAAGATTTCAAAATTATCCAAAAAATATTGGGGAACATCAGACTCTTCTTGACATCCGAAAAAATGTTGGAGCTCCAAGGAGCTCATTCTACGATGAAGTTCTGCATTGATTGAAAATATCAGTAAAAAATTGAGAATCGAAATCATAACATGACCTGGAATAGATAGGAAATGAAAATTTTTGGTAGGTGGGTAGATCAAATAACAAGAAAATTACTAAACAAATCGAAACTGAAAAGGTTGATCGGGAAAAGTTTTACACTGTGCGTCAGTGTCAAAAATCATCAGTGATAGAAAAATTATAACACACAACACACAATGAAATCAAGCTGTTAATGATGATTCATTTATTGTATGGGGAACTGATTTTTATTGGGGGTACTGTAGAGAAATAATAAAACGCCGATGAAAATGTTCAAAATCTGAGACTAGACTTAAGATTACTGTAAAAAAAAGATTTGAATATTAGATAAGAACGTAATTTGGCAAACTAGAGAGATTAAAAGATATGGAGAGAGATAGAGAAAACATGTGTAAAATTGGTGTTGTTCCCAAAAATTCTAAAAAATTCTAGACAAAATGGCTACAGTACTCTACTATCAAAATATATTTGCGGTCAGATTTCTATTGTAATTTTCAAATTCAAATTTTGAATAACCTCATAAATGATTTTTTTTTTAAAAACGTATCGAATTTTTTAATCATTTCAGATTTTGTTTCAAATTCAACATTTAAAAAAAAACTTCCTCTTCTATACATTAAAACACAAACTTTCTCACTCTTTAATCGATTTAATTAAGAGATTAAGACTAGATATTTTCATCCCAAATCATGGAGAAATTACACAAAATCGTTAGACAAGATCAACTAAAAAAAACTTTCTGCCCTTTTTGTTCTGTTCAAGCAAGTCAAATCAAAATTCTATACCATGAAGGTCAAATCCACAAAAATTACACTTGTCTACATAAAGCAAATGTCTAGATAAATAAATAAATAAACAAATGAATATACATTTCAAGTGAGGCTGAACATGAAGAAAAAGAAGAAATCAGTCAGAAAAAAATACACGGAAGTTTTTTTAGTCGATTCTCTTAAAAAGTTCAAAAATTTTGATTTGAAAGAAAGTGATATTTGATAAGTTTTTAGTAAATAGAACAGAACAGAACAGTTTTTTGGTTATTGAACACGAAATTTTTTTTTCACTTTTAGGTAGGTCAAATTACAGTATATCTCATTTTTTGTAAGATCAAAATTGACAATCATAATTCTCATCTTACATAATTTTAATCCAATTTAGTTAAGAAAAAAAGTTTCAAAATGGATTAGCTAAAAGAAAATGGAAAAAAATTCCGAAGTGAAAGTGACAAATGAAACAACAACTTGACAACAAAACCGATGCGGAAGATGTTTTGTGTTGTATTTTATTATTTTCGGAAAATGAGGATAGATAATAGATGTTACATAATATAGAGGTTTTTTGAGAGGATACAATTTTTTGAATCATTTTTTTTTGTTGGAAGAAAAACTGTTCGGAAAGAAATACATCTGCGTCTCTTGATTTTGTGTGTTATTACTTTTTTTTTAATTTCAGAAAGTTTTTAACTGAACATTTTAGAATTCAAAAAAATTTCAGATTTTTTTCAAGTTAAAATAGAAAAAAATCTCGGATATTTTTTGATTTCACACCAATTTTTTAAAATTTAATAACAATTTTTAAAACTTTCAAAATCAGAAAATTTGCAAAGAAAATAATTTTCGAACACTTACAAGTGTTCTCAAAAAAAAACAATAAAATTATACATGAATGCTATCAAAAGACAGAATGACAGATAGAGATGACTAACTAAAACGTAAGGCTTAGCCAAAGTCGAACAGGAAAATTATTGCAGATCAAAAAAAAAAGAAGAAAAAGATGAACAGCTAGTGGCGGGAAAACATATCTAGAATAAAAGAAAAACAATAAGCTTGAAATTTCTGTTCATCTAAAAAAAGTTATTATTATTGTTGTTATTATTAATGATGTTTGTTTTTGACAGTTATCTGATCTTTTTGCAGCGTTTTTTTGAGAAAGAAAATGAATAAATGAATAGATATACAGTTTTTGACTTGAAAATTTTGTTTTGATTTATGTGATGAGATTGGTTTTGAGGTTGTATGAACAGGACAGGTTTTTGGATTTTCACACTTTTTAGGAAATATTTGTACTATGCAAGTTGACTGCGCCTGTTTGGGCTTGGGTTGGTTTTTCAAAATTCTTGTGATTTTTATTCGATTCCAAAAATTTCCTAGTTATTAAAAACCAGCTTAAAAATACCAACGAGTTATTTTCCTCGTTCGTAAATAGCACCTGGCAATGTGCCAAGAAGGGGGAAAGCAGTTACAATGGGGCGTACTTTACCTAATCCCTTTCAAAACCTACGGAAGGGACACACACAAGAATAAAGGTTTCTTTTTTATATATTGTCTGAAATATCTTGTCATTTTTTTTTTGAGTTTAATGATTTTTGGATTTTTCAACGATTAGAATTGTTAACGTTTTCAGGGAGTTGTCAAAAAAACGGTGGTTTCGCGCGAAATTTCAGGATTTCCCAAAAATTTCTAAAGCTGTTCTTGAGTATTATCTTCATCACTACTCTGTTGCTACAATAATTTCAAAAATTTTTATTCTACTAAAAAGAATCTTTTACTACAATACTATTAAAAACCAACTAAAAAAATACAAAAGAATTATTTTCCTCGTTCGTAAATAGCACCTGGCAATGTGCCAAAAAGGGGGAAGGAAGTTACATTGGGGCGCATTTTCTTCAGTCCCTTTCCCTCTTTACAGGAACAGGGACAAAACGCCTGCACACTCTTATTTATGCGTTCTCTCTCGCGAATAGTCTTTTCCTACGTGATGGGGAAATGTTAAGAGTAATACAACAGTTTTTGTGATGACTGTGAAACAAAAAATGGTGTTGAGTTACTGAAAATAGAAAGCAGATAATTTTTGTTTAAAAGTTTAGCTTTACTTTAACCTACAATTTTTCTAACTTCAACAAACTTCTAATTATATAGTTTCAAAAAATCTGAAACCTTTTTCTGAAAATGAAAATGAACAAGCTTTCTCGATTACATACTTCATTTCATTAAAAAAAGACAACAATCCCAAAACTTATGGGAAAAACTGAAGACTTAATCATCAGCTTCAGCTTCCAATTGCTCAGCAACAATCTCGGCATCATCGTGAATTTCAGCATCCGATTCGTGTTGCATGCATCCTTGATGAAGACTCGGTTCCTCGTTGATATCCTCGAAATCATCGACATCAGGCATTCTTTCACTTAAGAACGCGAAAATTCCCTTTGGCTCAAGGAGACGATCTATTTGTAAGAAGAATTCATCGAGTTTTCTGAATAATTCTTCGGGGATCTCGTAGTTTGGGAGCAATATTCCAACTGGGAACTCCGCCAATTCGATTTGATTTTGATTTTGATTTCGATAAAGATTCTGAATTTCTTGTTCTGGATTAGCATTTGGAGCTAGAACGTAAACACCAAGGCCAGCGATTTCAAAGGCCCTGAAAAGTTTTATAATGTTTTGATTCAATAATTAAATTTAAAAAAACTCACTCAATATTGGGGTTAACGTTGTATTCAACAATGTCCGGCATTTTGAGTCAAAAATTATCCAATTTGAAGAGACCTGCAAATTTTGAAATATAATAAAGTTAAATAAAATTAAAAGAGTAGGAAAGACATAATTATAGAGTTTGCTTATAAACATGTGATTTGATAAGCAATTGAACTAAGGAAGCGAAAAGAAGAGTTTTATCATAATATCATAAAATGTTTCTAGAAAAATCTGGAAATCGTTACGAAATGTGATAAGAATGGATGATTTTTACATGAGTCAGGAAATTTCGAAATAGTTTTTTTTTCAACAAAAAATCGATTTTTCAATAGAAAATATTATTGAGGAAAAGAAAAACAAAGTTTTATCTCACACCAATTTTGAATATTAGATTAGGAACTTCGAAAACCCTCATGAATTTCATAGAAAATTTTTAACAAAATCGAGAGCTTACTTGGAGAATTCGCAACACAATTTGAACACAATTTAAATGGTGAAAATTAGTTGAATTTAGGATAAAAGCTGGCAATCATTTTTTTTAATATGAAAGGTCTATACGTCATTCACCTTTTCACACAATCAAAAACCTACGTCAGCTTACGTCAAACGTGAATCACTACCAACATTTGTCATCAAAACAATTTCCTTTTCTTGATTTTTTGGCTCCAGAAATATTTGCAGAAAACCTCAAGAAAAATAAGAACTACAAAACTATTAGGCTACAAAATTGACTTGTTTTTCTCACTTCAGAATTTCGAAAACCAATACGTAAGCAGGAAGAACAAAAACCAAAATTTTGTATCATTTTGACTTACGGTACAACCAAATTTATTTTCTCAAGAAACAGCGAAAAAAGGGAACAGATTTCAAAAGGGAACAAGCGAGAGAGAAACAAAAATGAAAAGCGCGCACCAAATCTGCACCCTCCTCTTAATTAACACTATCTCTTCTCACCCTAAATCATGAGAGGCGACAAAAAACCAAACAAAAAAAAGATAGACGGTCCGCTTTTTGCGGCTGGTGGGAGCGAGAAAGTGATTGACATTTGCATTTTTCAAGAAATTGTTTATTTTTCTTGGTTTGGTGTGAACAATTAATTAATAGTTGTGGTTGTTATGGGGATATTTGGGATGAATTTTGTGATAGACAGAAGAATGAATAATAAACTGGTTGAACGTACACAATAATAGAATCTCAAAAAGTTTGAAGTTAATTAAAAAAAAATACTAATTGTAAATAGTGCCAATACAAAAATATTTTTTACGAGGATTCTCTTTTTAAATCTGGCTGGAAGATAAATTTTCAAAATATTCAAAGCCGGATTCTTGAATTGTGAAGTTACTGGCAAACACGAGCGAGTAGATTCCTATCTGATTTATCAAGAAAAACCAATAGAATCTGATCGAGTCTGTGAGTGGAATGTATGTAGCTCGAAAAAATATTGGCTCCAAAGTTTTTCTCAGGAAAAATTCCAGAATGTTTTCAGGTTCAAAAGATTGAAATTTCTGAATTTCTCAAATTCAAATTTTTCACCGAACAATAGATGTTTTTGTTTTTTTTAACCGTCATTATCTCTCAAAAAAAAAGACTTGAAAGCTTGGTAACTCACACATGTTAAGTAAATCTCAATTTCAGATAAAAAATAAGCGGTGAAAACATCAACCACACTTTGACAAAAGTGACAGAAATCCCATCTCATTTTTTGAAATTTCAATTCAGTGACCTTTTTTGATTGACATGTAATTTTCTCTTTGTATGATTCATAAAGGATAAAGTCAAATCAAATTTATGTTTTTCAGATTTTTGTTGATGAACTGGAAGCTGATAATGTTTGCCCAGTTTTCAAATTTTGAATGTGAATATGGAAAAAATTTGTATTTTCCAGGGGATTATTAAAAGACTCTGAAAACAAAACATTTCAAACAACTCTCAGAATTCCCTGTGAACAAATAATTTCCAGGTTAAATAAATTTTAAGACAAGTTGTGCTAGAATTCAAGATTTATAGATTCTGATAAACCTTCTGGTTCAAAAATCTGGAATTTTTCCATTTATCAAATTTTAGCCTTTCTTGTCAGGCCCAAAAAAAGTCTTCCAAAAAATTAGTAAAAGTTGTACAGATTTTTATCAAATACAAATTAATTCGAAAAAAAACTACGATTCCAAGTTTTTCTCGTGTTAAAAGAAAACATAAAAAACAAAGTTAGTCAATATGCCCTTTTTATCATTAAAATTCGGAGAGTATTTTCGATTACAAATCTGTTTGTTAACCTTTACCTAATCCAAAAATTGATTACATTTTATAGTTTTCAAACTCCACCCATGTACTTTCGAGTTTTTATTCTCATTATTTTCGAAAATTTTCGAAATTCTTTCATGATTTTCTATTTAAAATTTTTTATCTTTTCAAGAACCTCCTTTTTTATATTGAAATACGTAACTTGACTATTTTGAGTTTTCAGGTATCTATTTTTGCCAAAATCAACTCTCAAAAATGCCACGATCATTCAAGAAGTTGTAAGTTTTTTTTTCCAAACCAATCTTGAATGATTGAAACATCGTTTTTTTTTCAGGGATTATCCACCATTTCGACGAGCTCTCTCGTGCTCGCCAGTTCGAGTAACTCCAAGATTTGAGAACCCGGCTCCAACTACTTTGGAAATCACAGTTGCTAGAAGAGCCCTGGTTGTTGATATCAAAGTTTGTATTATTCGAACTGCTTCAGGTATTCAAATTGTTCGACTACCAAAAATCCATTTTGAAACGGTTCAACAAGTTGTCGAAGTCAACAATCCAACTATGTAATTTTTGATTGATGTTGAGTTTTTGAATAAATTGTCTTATTCACACACGTCTTTCTCTTGATTTCAAAATTTGCAGCTTCAAATGTTTTTGATCTTTTGAACTCATTTTTCTACTAATTTGTTATGAGTAAAATGTGTTGTTCGAAAAAAGGATTTCATGGCACATGATAAGATTGGAAAATATATTAATTTTTATGTCTCTGGGGAATAGAACTCGTTGATATTTTCCAAGAAATTTGAGAAATGAAAAAATTTTAATATGAGTCAAGTTCGGAGTTTGGAAAAACAAGACGAGAAAAACAATGCTCATGATACCAAAATGAATATGTAGGTACAAAAAAGGATAACACGTTTTTGGAAATCCGAAAGTCAGATTGAAAAAAAATTATTATGGCATTTTCATTTATAATTTCAAAACTTTTTAAAAAATGAATGTTCAATTCAAATTTATTCTTTTCATAAAAGATACTTTCGAAAATTTAAATACATGTACGGCTAAAATCCAAGCAAAATCTGAAATATGGCGAGCATCAAAAGAGCGCGACTAATCCTCATAATTATTCATATGGCACACATTTTAACAGGTGACAAAAATGCGGTGAAAGTAATTATGACTTATCCGTATTTTGGTATTTGGTAACAATATTATAATCCACGGAAGGGGAAGATGTTGAGTTTTTAGAGAAGAAAAAGGGATCAAAATATTCGATTGAATTGGTTGATAAGTTTTTAAAAAGTCTCCGATGTTTTTTGAAAAAGCTTCTATGAATTTCGGAAAATTTTCTAGTGCTTCTAGGAGATTTCTTTTTGAAAATGATTCCCAGTCCTGTTGAAAATGTTTAGTTTTTTGTTTTCTATTTTTCACAGTTTTTTTTTTAACAGGTATGATTTCTATAAAAAGAACAAATTATGATTTTTGAAACAATACAATAGGCGAGATATAATTACTTTTTGGCACCTGTCTCAGAAAATGATCCACATAAATGAGTAATTAAGAGATTCTGTGAACCTCTGTGAATCCTCCTCACGCTCACTATTTTCGTCGGTACTTGAAAGATTTTTCTGAAAATCTCAGTTTTTTGTCAAACTTGATTTTGACTTCGAGTTATAAAAATGGAGAAAATTTGAGCCATTTTTCAAAAGGGCTGATTCACGAACGAAAAAAATGTTTAAAAATGTTTTTTTAACATCAAAAGATCAATTCACGAAAAGTCAAAAAATGTCGAAAAAACATTGTAGGTCAAAATTAGTTTTTCGAGTTTTCCAGCCGAAAATGATGACAAATCGATTTTTTTCAAGCTTCTGGAGTAATTTCTAATAAAATTGACTTTGGAATTCACTTTCCAGAAGGCTTTGCTGATTTTTCGGAAAATAAAAAAATTTTAAATTTTGATGAATTTTGAAAAAAATCATAAAATAAAGCAAAATAGGGTTCTCGAAGCTTATTTTCATCAGAAATCACTCCAGAAACTTCAAAAATTTCGATTTGTCATCATTTTTGACTGAAAAACTGGAAAAACTAATTTTGACCTACAATGTTTTTTCGACTTTTTTTGACTTTTCGTGAATTGATCTTTCGATGTTAAAAAAACATTTTTTAACATTTTTTTCGTTCGTGAATCAGCCCTAAAAAGCCGAAAATTTACAAATTCTTTTGAAGAAAGATGTGAATGTTTTTCTCATGGTGTGAGATTTGGGGACTTTTTTTTCGAGAAAATATCGCAATCCTGGGAGACTTTTTTTCGAAGTTTTTTTTTTGAAAGCTCAGCAATTTATGAATTTATAAAAAGGCTTGCAAAAATTCTAGAGATCCTGCAGGGTTTTTAAAACGCTGAAAAAACTCTAGAACACTTCTCTGAAGTTTTCAGAAACCCGGAAATATCTGAAAGATCAATAAAATTTTCAAATTTTCGAGAAGGTCGTGAAAACATCTGAAGGACCTAAGCAATTTGTAGAGCGCCGGAAATGATCTACAATGTCATAGTATTGTAGAAAGTCGGAAAAAATCTAGAAGGTCTAGAACATTCTACTAAAATTATTAAAATCTCAAAAAATCTCAAAAAAAATTGCTGCCTCATATTTTTTCTGAAACTTTTCTCTCAATTCAATTTAGCAATAAAAATCTTGGTCCCTAATTTCACTCACAAAATTCAACATCTTCCCCTTCCGTGGATTATAATATTGTTACCAAAAGTAATATTCAGATAAGGCATAATTACTTTCCCCTTTTTTCGTCACCTGCCTAAAATGTGTGCCACGAAACGAATAATTAATGAGGATTAGTCGCGTCTCCTTTGATTTTTGCCATAATTCTGAAATTTGCAATTCTTTCAGCCGTACATGTATTCAAATTTTCGAAAGTAATTAATTTGGAAAGATGGAAAAATGTGGAACATTTTCGAAAAAACCCGGATAAAATTGGATTATTCTGAAAATTTCTAATAACTTTTTGAACATTTTGGAGCAGGTGTAGAATTTTTGGAGGAAAATTGTGTTTCTCAGAAATTATTCTTCGCGGTTTTCAAATCTTTTGTGGTTAGTTTTTTGAAAATAATCTGTTGATCAGAAAATAATCGAACAACAGTAGATTTTCATTTCAAAACTCTGGAGAAATCACATGCTGTGAGGTTTTAAAATATTTATTTGGTTTTTTAAATTTTTAGAAAAATTTGAAAAATTAAATAGAAGAGGAAAAAATACATGGAAAATTATTTCATGGAAATCTTGAAATTTTAGAAAATTGTTTGATATTAATAAAACACAGAAAGGTTATTTGAGAAAGAAGAAAACATTTTACAATTAACAACAATCTACTGTAATATTGTTGACATAATCTCCAACAATAATCTCTTCACAATTCTCAAAACCAAAATCTATCACTTCGTCATTTTCGGAGATTCTTTCCAGTTCTTCATCACTTTTTGGCTTTTGTACATGAATCAATCGACAATATCGGACAACTGGTTCGATGTGCAAGTAGTTTCGGATTCTGTAATAATAAAAACAGTGTAATTCAAAAAAAAGTATTTTTGAGCGACGAGATACTGAAGGAAAAATAGTGCTGCCCTTCACATGTGCCTGTATAGCTCAGAGGCAGAGCGTCTGTCTCGTAAACAGAAGGTCGGCGGTTCAATCCCGCCTGGAGGCATTGTTTTTTTTGTTTTTTTTTTTTGAAAAATATATTTTTTTTGAAAGAGTAAAGATGATCAGAAAGTATATCAAGTATAGACTGAGAAAGTTACTATTTTTAAGCTGTCCTAATTTTTGAGATTGGCTCGGCTATAAGCGCTCCTAAACTTTGAGGCCAAGAAAAGTTACAAATCATGATTTTTTAAAGGTAATTTGGTGTCAAAACTAACTGTTCGGTAACACGTTGATAAATAATCCAAGACACAAGGCACATGCAAACTATATATACAAGCCAAAGTACTGTGTAGGAAGACATCTGAAAATAAAACTGGTATAATTTTTTGCTTTTTCTAACATGCCAGTTAGAGAAAACACTAAAGCAGCTTTGGGGGGGGGGGGGTGAAATGATATCTTATCATTTGGTGTACACTTTTTTAGCTATCTTGATAACGTTAATTTTCAGAAATTCTGTTTCAAAATTTCAAAGCTTCCTTCAATAAAAAATTTGAAGTCAGAAAAGCTTCAAAAACAATTATTATTCAATTTCTGTTATTGCGCATGTTAGCTCTCATTTAGAGCTCTCGAAAAATGGATAAAAATGCTTACAAAAATTATCTCCGGCGAAAATGTGACTCAACTCACATATATTATAACTTTATTTCTTCTTCGCTTCTACTTTATTTCATTTTGAGCCTCAGACTCTCTGTTCTTCTTTTTTTTTTTGCAAAACTGAAATTGTATTTTAGAAAAAAAAGTATTTTTGTTGCCTTTATTAAGATACTATATCAGTGCTCCAAGACTCCGCCCATTTCCAGTAATTTTCAGCGTCTTTTTCTGCGTCTCTAATCACTCTGCATAAATAATTTCATTTTCTAAAATTAAAACGTTTTTTTCTTCTCTCTACAACTGTCTCATTCCTGAATATAGATATTTTTGCAGATGGGAAGTTATTTGTCACGCCGCCGTGAAGCATTGGCTGCACAACCGCCACAATACAACTCAAGGGCCAATGTGTATGAAGTTGCTCCATCAAAAGCGGAGCGTATTGAAAATGAAAAAGAACGTCGCATCCAAATCGAACTTGCTCGACAACAACATCAACTGCAACATATTCCTTATCCTCCGGGCTTTATAGATCATTCCTTAAACTATGAACGTGGGATTCACAGAAAAAAATTGGTCAATCATCTTGGTCCTAAATAATTGTCTTTCATAGGCATACTGTTAATTTTTCTTCCTGATGTATTCTTGAATATTTTAATTGTTAACATATTATTTTGTTTCAATAAATACATTGATTGAAAATGTGTTCTTTGTGTTGCTCAATTTTCAGTCAAAAAGTTGTTTAGATCAAAATTCAGGAAAAATCTTTGCTCGAAATGTTTTTTGATTCTGAATATCAAAAAATATAAATTGTGATGTCTACGAAGTTACAGTAATTTTAAATGTCTCTCTCACTCTCTCTTTTCCTCTCTCTCCTTCTCCCCTCTTCACTTCAGACAACACAAAATCGATTATCCATCTAATAGTTTAATTGGAGGTTTGAAAGTTGGATATAAATTGAAACTGAAAAGAAATTCACAAAATATAATATTTAAATACAATCTAAAAAATGCACAAAAAAAATTAAAATAAAAAATTAAATTTTGCAATCAGAAGAATTTAGATTGTTTTTCTTACAGTAGCCCTTATTCCTAAATTGAATAAGGTTTGAAAGCTTCCAATTGATATTTTCTAGAAACAAATAAAGTTTCGAATAGATTACTAAAAACAGGTAATTTATATTTCACAAGACAAAAAAGTTAATGAAAATGAAGAATAACAACGTTTGATATGAATTTCCAGACAACTTTGAGCTCGATAAGTGCTCAAAAGTCCTGCGCTATTAATTTTTGACGTCTTGATAGTGATCAGCAACGTCTAATTAGTATTACAGCCAAGTTGATTTCAGGAAAACTCTTTCCCTTGGTTTTTCGATGTTCTATTTTTGATTTCTTGGCCTTGCTTGTTATTCAACAACACTCGTGATATGAAAGAAATTTGTATCCAAATAGTAGTTCTCATTAGTCTCATTATGCAAAATATACGGTAGCTCCGCCCAATTCCAGAAAAAATAGCTATTTTCCGAGCCTCTCATTTCTATCTTTTTTTTCATTTTTCCTCTTTGCCTGCTCAAAAAGAAGACTCAGAATTTCAAGATGGGCGACTGCAACTCCAAACTTCAAAATGCTAACACTGAAAAAAATCAACTTCAAGTGGTTTCTACTCAACCGTACCCAATTCCGGAAATTCGGATCGATACTTCATATTTGAAGGTTGATAACACAACAAACGAGCACCTCTTGAACTCTTTGAGAAGCGATGAGTTTCCAGCTTTTGGAAACATTTCCGAGGAGAACAAAAACAGAAAAAGAAACGGCCCAGGAGACTATCAACTCGACACAAAAATCAACAAATACATTAAAATCGCATAATTTTTGTTTGTTGTTTTTTATGAATAAATTTTATTGGAAATTGTTTTGAAGAAATAAACACTGAAATTTCCAGAGAGAAGTTGAGATGAAGCTACAGTAAGAAGTTAATTTATAGTCTTGTGATATTAAAAACATAGAGTGTTGTTCTGACGTGAGCAAAAAATGAGAAAAACAAGGGACCCCTAGTACAAAATCTCCCAATTAATAAAAAGTCTATCTCTAGATTATGAAAAAATCTGTTCTGAATGGGAAAAGAGGGTTTTACAATCATTAATCAAAAACGGGCTCTTGAAAAAATTAAGATTTGTGAAAGCTTAAAATCAGCTCGCAGCTCAACATTTAAAAATCTTAAATATGATGTGAAAACATTTGATATCTGAAAGCATGAAAATTTTTAGCGCTTTCAGATAAAAAACAAAAATTTTTTGATAAGGAAATCAAGTAAATTTTTTTGAATTTTTTTAAAACTCAAACTAAATACAAAAAATTATGAGCGGAAAACCCTAAAAGTTGGTAAAAATACATCGAAACATGTGTGCATTAGTATCACCCACAAGCAAAACAAAAACAACAACAAAAATCCAATATTGCACTATGTTAAGCTCCGCCTATCATGTGATTACAGAGTGATTTTGAGTTGGAGTAAGTAATATATACATACATATATTCATTATTCACAATTAGAGTTTTTACTTTTGAATACTTTTTATTCAAAAAAAGTATTTTTCTAGTTTAGCTAATTCGTGTCTTCCAGAACGTATGCAAATTTTCGATTTATCCTAGTTTTTTTCAGATGGGCAACGTCTTATCCAAATCTGAAACAACCCAAGAAAACGCAGAAGCATCACCAGAATCAAATGTCACAATGAAACAGGTAAAGAGATTGAAGGGGGATACGTTCTTCAAATTCAAATAAATTATGTATCATATAACCTGATTTAGCCTATTTCAACGCCCTGACCGGAGAGTGTCCCGCTAGATTTCATAAATAAATTGTGTTTCTAATGTCCCCCTTTTCAGATGAGCAACGTTTCATCCAAATCTGAATCAACTCAAAGGAAAGCAGACGCTACAATAAAGTCAAACCTAAACGCTACCATCAATAAAGAGCTTGAATCCAGAGCCGGACTATTTCTTGGAGGATCAAAATCTAAACCTAAACCTAAACTAGATGAACAAAATTATTCAAAGCAAGATCTGGAGGCGATTGAGTTTGTCAAGTCTTATATCACCAGTAATTTCAAAAATGTTGAGCTTCTCGATGGAAAATGTGGAAAACGTGTTTTTATAAGAAGAAAAAAATAATCCTAATTTTCTTCACCTTGAAATGTTTTTCATAAACGATTTATTTTTTATGTATGTTATTTTTTATAAATTAAAGAAGGTTTTGGAATCATAAATTTCAGGAAAAATATCAATGTCCTAAAATTTAGATGATTCAAGTTGATCACTTTTCAATTTAACATAAAGGAGTCCATTCAAAACAAAAACATTTAAAACAATTTATGTTGTTTTATGTTGTTTTGTTCCATTGATTTCACTGTGATTCATAGCTTCAAAGTGCATACTCCAGGCACCATACTTTTGCCACTTATCATAAGTTCATCAATGTAATCATCTCCCTAACATAAAATCAAACACTCACAAGACCATATGACGTTGCTCTTCCCCGATTCCCATTAGTTGTCTTTTTGTTTTGACTCTCTCTCTGATTATACATAAACTACCTTCTCTACCTTTTTCCAAGCTCCGCCCATTTTCAGCTCAGCTCATTTCATTCCAGATATGCTGTTCACTTTTCCTAATTTCTCTCCTTTTTTTTACTTTTTTCCTTCTCTTCAATATCCTTGATGAACTCCGCTCATTTTTTACCGTAGCCTCGTTTTTCTTTTTCAGATGGGTAGCTCTCAATCTATGATTTCTCAATGCTCGTCGTCCGACGTCCGTCTTGTTGGTGTTCAATCAAGAAATGAACAAGAAGCGGCCGAATTCCAACAAAAAGTTAAAGAGTGCGGAAAAGAATTCTACGAACAACAACAAACTGTCAAGAAACATCACGAAAAACCTGCGTTTGGAAGTGCTGCGTCTGGTGATGGAGTCCAAAGAGAGAATAGAAAACAACTCCATTATTATTTCAATTCACCACCACCACAAACGGAGCAACAAGGTTGTCAACAAGGAGTTCAACAAGGAGTTCAACAAGGTGCTCAACAAAAAGAAGCTCAACAACCTTCCGAAAAGTCGAAACTTCTTTAAATATGTCCCTTGTTAATTATTTTCCTAACCCAAAATCTTCCAAATGTGTTTTTTTCATTGCTCTATCTGTCGTTAATAAACACATTGGTTGAAAAAACTTGAAGTGTTATATTTTTCAAGTGGGGGTTTTCCGGTCCCACTACATTTTTTGGGTAAAAATTGTTCGAGGGTTGTGATGAATGTCTTCGTCTCACAAAAAATTAATCTGGATTTTCGTTACTTTGTAGTTTGAAAATGCTGAACCACGTTTTCTCGAGCGCCTCGAAGTAAAGTCTAGTTTTCCTGAAATATGGAGATAAAACTCAAATGCTTCAGTCTACCAAAAAAGCAAACGTTTTCTGTTCCTATACAATTTCAAACTTTCAACACTTTCTGGTAAACAGAAAATTGTACTTTTTTTGAACTTCAACAATTTATTTGGTCATACTTTTTCAATATACGAAAATACGAGTATTCTGATTCATACAATCATCTGATGACGCAAGTGATTTTTCTAGAATTGCTTTCCGTGTTTTGTTCATATTCTGATCATCCAAGTACAAAAATAACAAATACTTCATCCGAAAAATGTAGTGCTACTATAATTTTTCAGTCTGCAAATAAATGAAAACAAATGTTTTTGTCTTCAAATGAATATGAAAATGAAAATTGCACTTATAATAAATTAAAATTTCGAAATCATCTGTCAGCAACAGTTTTCATATAAATATGGTTATTCCTCTTTTTTACAAAAAAAACCGAGAGCTTGAAAAATTACAAACTTGCTCTCTTTGACACCTTCCTTTTTTCGCACCCACCTTCCCCCTTCACACACATCGATAATTCACTGCGTGCATTTTTTCTGCTTCTCAAAACCTCTGTTTCCCCTCTCTCTTTTTTTCTAATTAGCGACAACTACAATATCGATCAATTTTTTCTGAAACATTCTTAAACACAATTTTCATTTTTAGAAAAACATATTTTTTCGAAAGAAAACATTAATCAACATAACCCTAGACGCTGAAAAAATCAAACTGTTTTGATTGTAGCTCCGCCCACAAGAAACAAATAAAATCAAAAGTTCATATCTCAATTTTTCCCTTAACTTGAATTATTTCGAAACAAATGGGAAAATCCGGTAAACAATTGTGGTGTGACCAAGAAACCACACATTTTCTAGGAGAACTTGGTCATCTCCAGAGAATTGAATTTAATCAAGATTTTTGTAGAAAAAAAGTTGGGGACTAGAAAAGGAAAGTGGTAAACAATGATGAGTCAAAGAAATTTTGATTCGGAGGAGGAAGGGTAAAACTTTATTGTTCACAAAAATATGATCTCCTAGAACTACAAACACCATGACGTGAAAACACACAACAATTTCTTTCTATTCGCAGTATGCTTTGATGCAAAGTTATGTTAATTGTTCTCTTCAAAACCGGAAAATCGGAATTTTGGGGATCTGGATTGCGCTTTTTTAACCAAATAATTTTTCTAGCTCGGGAGCCCCTGAACTTTTGTCTCCTAAAAACTAAAATCATTGAATTCAAAACGACACGTCTAATAACACTTTAAGCGCAGGTTTCAGTAGTAACTCAAAAAAAAAAATAGAAAAACATATGTGGATCGTTTTTGAACAGGTGCCATGTCAACCGTTTGTTGACCACAGGGTTTTCAAACTACAGTAACAATAGACAATTGTATCCGAGCAAACAAGTCACACCCACAGTTTTGACATATGGGCGGATATTACAATTACAATTCAAAGTTTAAAATCTTGGAGATCGACGCATGGAAAAGTTGTTAATCAAAAAAAGAAGAATAAAATGTCAAAAAAATACAAAATATTATTACCAAAAATCAATAAATCGTGAACGACTAAATTTAAATTTATCAACTATATTGGATCAGAATCGCGTGAATTTTCAAGATTTAGAATCATAGTTTTTGATAAAAGTTGCATATTTTCACTAATTTTTTTCCCAATGTTTACACGTTTCCACTTTGGATTTTACTATAAACGACGAATGTCACGTACATATAGAGCCACTTGAAATTACGCCTGATTTTCTTAAAATCAAAAGTCCTTTTTATCTTAACTTTTGTAGACTTTCAATATTTTATTTTTCTCGGTTTTTGTTTGCTTTTGCTTACGTTAGAAACTAAAAGGTAGTCTAATTATAAATATATGCAAATTATTCCAAGAGAACTATACGATTCCTCAATTCTAGAATCTTCTCCTATCCATGACTTACATAATATTCATTAGAAATATTAGATTTTGGTCGAACATAAGCTCCACCTGCCTATGTATACTAATGGATTTTATTTATACGCAGAGTTTCTCTTTGCCTTGCGTTTTTCTTTTGAAAATTAAATTGTATATAAATTTTCAGAAAATGTTTGAAAAACTCAACACACCATTTGAAAGTAAACTGGAAAATCACGATCTTCACACCGATAGAGATCTTGCAAATTATATCAAATATGGATCTAGGTATGACGACTTGACTTGTGAAACTGATCTGGATGAACGTCTGATCTCAGAATTACGCTATGAGGATTCCGATGGAAATGTAATAATTGAAAGAATAACAGAAAAGTTGCCAAAAATTTGCATTGAAGAAGCTTCTGTGACTGCTTCAGTTGAAGATGTTAGTCTTGGAAACAAGGATAACAATCATTGGGTCTACCTGATCATTGTAGTTCTGTCCGTTGGTTTTGCCAAAAAGTTTTTTGCTAAACATAGGAATTAGGGCAGTTTTTTCCTCTATGTTTTTCCTCCCATCATCAAGTATTAAGAGTCGTTTTTTGTAAAAAAGGAAAATGGCCTGCACAGAAAAAATTTCATGGTCTTCAAATGGGGCCAAACTTTTTTTTGAGTCAGTTATATGGCCGACATGGAAGATTGAGCAATATTACTTCGAAAAAAAATTCGCTATCTGGGTGGCGGGGGGTCAAAAAGGGGGGTGCATAACTCATGTTAAAACTGTATGGATATGTAACTCAGCTCAATCTCCATATTTTTTGACGATCAAAAAAGCGTTTTGCTCGTCTTTTTGCGCTCTTGCTCCGTGTAAAAAGCCCCAACAACGTAGATCAATTTTAAGGAAAGTTGCAAAAAGTAGGGTCTCAAAAATGGTCATTTTCACCATTTCAGCCTCAAAAGCGCGACGAACTTTGTCATTTAAACGATTCTACGAGGTTTTTTACCCCTAGGCGCAAAATACGAGAAAAATTAATGGTAGCCCTCGGGGTCGTCCAGGGCTCAGACCAACAAAAAATCACAAATTTTTTGTGTTGATTTTAGTGAAATTTTTGAATATTCTGAGAAATCAGCATTTTTCGGTCACAATGACAGTGTTTTGAGATTTTTCAACAAAAAAGAGCATATTTGACATTGATTTCGGCACTAATATCATAATTTTATTGATTAACAAGATCATCCTGATCATTCCAGTAAGACCATCTTATAATAATCAAAATCATTCAAATTTGCTTATATTATTGTTGAATTGTGTCGAAAACACCACGGAAAGAGTTTTTCAACACTATTTCATAACATTTCAACTCAACTTTTATATTTTTGCTCGATGTGGACATGACTGGAATTCCGAAGTTTGTCCTGATCTTTGATTTTGGTCATCTAAGCCATCAAAATCAACTGTTATTCGTTTTTTATTATTTTTAACTAATTTCGAATAATATGACACTCACTCCAACAGTTGCAGAAAATAAAGTTAGTCCACAATGATCTGAAAGAGGATCTCCTCACTGATCTTATATCAGGGGACTCGTTTAAATAAGATGTTACTTCTTATACCGTACAGATATGTTCCCAATGTCAATTTGAATCATTTTTTTGATTTCTTATTCATTTTAACTCGTCTCAAAAGCAATCTGACATCACAAATAAAATCGTGATGTCCTTGATGGTCTAGAATCAGAGATCAAGAGAAACATCGGAAATCCAGTAATGTATCAATTAAAGAAAAATTGTTCAAATGAACTGAAATTTGAGAAAAAGCGTTGAATATGTTCATCTGAGCGCATGAAAATAAATATTGAAAAATATATTTCCATAGAAAGTCAAAACTCGTAAATCTGGATGGATTCCGATGGTCTTGCTAAAACTTCAGTAAACTGTGAGAAACATCCAAAGGTGGACTCACTTTATTATCCGCAACTGTTGGAATAAGTATTATTATTCGAAATTAGTTAAAAAATAATAAAAAACGAATAACAGTTGATTTTGATGGCTTAGATGACCAAAATCAAAGATCAGGACAAACTTCGGAATTCCAGTCATGTCCACATCGAGCAAAAATATAAAAGTTGAGTTGAAATGTTATGAAATAGTGTTGAAAAACTCTTTCCGTGGTGTTTTCGACACAATTCAACAATAATATAAGCAAATTTGAATGATTTTGATTATTATAAGATGGTCTTACTGGAATGATCAGGATGATCTTGTTAATCAATAAAATTATGATATTAGTGCCGAAATCAATGTCAAATATGCTCTTTTTTGTTGAAAAATCTCAAAACACTGTCATTGTGACCGAAAAATGCTGATTTCTCAGAATATTCAAAAATTTCACTAAAATCAACACAAAAAATTTGTGATTTTTTATTGGTCTGAGCCCTGGACGACCCCGAGGGCTACCATTAATTTTTCTCGTATTTTGCGCCTAGGGGTAAAAAACCTCGTAGAATCGTTTAAATGACAAAGTTCGTCGCGCTTTTGAGGCTGAAATGGTGAAAATGACCATTTTTGAGACCCTACTTTTTGCAACTTTCCTTAAAATTGATCTACGTTGTTGGGGCTTTTTACACGGAGCAAGAGCGCAAAAAGACGAGCAAAACGCTTTTTTGATCGTCAAAAAATATGGAGATTGAGCTGAGTTACATATCCATACAGTTTTAACATGAGTTATGCACCCCCCCTTTTTGACCCCCCGCCACCCAGATAGCGAATTTTTTTTCGAAGTAAAATTGCTCAATCTTTCATGTCGGCCATATAACTGACTCAAAAAAAAAGTTTGGCCCCATTTGAAGACCATGAAATTTTCTGTGCAGAGCGTATTTTAGAAATTTCCCTTCTTACAAATAATGACTCTTAATCACCTCAATTTTTTACACATTAATGACTGCTAAAGACTTTCCTTTCTTATGAAACTATTTGAATCAATTATTTTGTTGAAGTTTTAATGAAGTTTGAATAAAAAATTCCCCATTTTCAAAAAGTTTTCCACAAAAGCCGGAAATAATTTTCTTTGTTGTCATTAACACAGTACGGTTTTTTCAGCTTTGAAATTATCTAAATTCCAGGAAACTTGGGGGGGGGGAGTATGTTTTTTAAAGTTGCAATTTTTCGGTGAATGTTTTTTCGCTATACTCATGGTCTTTCAGCGTCTTTTCTTATCAACAAAAAATTCTCTGCTGTCTCTCAAAGCTCTACCCTTTTTCTCTACTTTCATTCTAGCTAATGCATAAATTATTCGAAAACAATTATTCATTGTCATATAAAATCCAAATCACGTGAACTTCTTCAAGGAATTGAGTTGTTGATGTTTGTTAAAACAGAAATTATTTGAGAATTCGAGACAGAATACCAAAAATTTGAGAACACATTTTTCCTCGTTTTTTTTTTCGACAGAAAAAAACTTAAGTTGAACACATCACGTTTGAAGAAACTTGAAAATTATACAATCTTACTATATACTATAATCATCTAACAAGCCCACCCATTTCAACTCTAATCACAAAAGAAGCTATAACGTTTTTTCTCAAAAACAAAAACCACAGTAATCTTATGATTTCTTCTAATTTGCTTTCCTCTCTTTTCCACTTTTTTAGTCTTCCCCTTTTTGCAATATACCTACTAAAAAGAGCAAACAACACATTCTAAAAATTGCGCACTTTATTTTGGCATACTAATTTTCAGATCCTGCCTCCACTCACTTGATGAGTAATTAGATAAAAATAATTATCTATTTTTTCTGAGATTATAAAAGGTTTCAATTAAAAATTAAACATTTCCGTGAGTAATTTTTTGGATTCTGATATTTTTATGTTTTTGTGACGTAATTTTAACTTTTAGTTCTGGAGGAAAAAATCTTTTAAAATTTATTTTTTCATAAAATAGGAGTTTGAAAAAGAACATTGAATCGGATAATTTAAAATAAAATTAGTCACCAAAAAAGTTAGAAAAAATTGGAATGGAAAAAAAAACCAAGAGGAGAAAATTTAAAAAAAAATTCATATGCTGAAATAGAAGAATTCAGAATCTATTTAAAGTCAAAGGTTTACCATAGTTTTTTAAAATAAAAATTTTTGGTCTCATTCTAATCCAAAACATAGATAGACCAGACCAGGTGGATATTTCTTCGATATCCAAAAACAAATCATACAATGTGCCGCGATACAAAAATAAGTGTGACCTTTCATGCTCCGCCCACTTTCTTACATCGTTCTTTTTTATTTAGCGTCTTTTTTTTGGGGAAAAAATGATATTTGGTCCTAATTTATTTTTCAAAGCTTGGCAATTCCTTTTATATTTTTCTTACATTTAATATCACATTTGTTAAAACACTTTTGATTTTTGCAGATGTGTCAAATTGGAAAACAAGCTGTAAAAAAAGAAACAACAACTCCTACGCCTATGGAAGTTTATGCAAACCTTGAACAGCTTATTTCAAACCTATCCGGCTCTTTGAACGATATTTTCAAACAGCAACAACAACTCGATTTTAAAAGAAGGGTTGCTGTAAGAAATGAGCAACTGTATGGCTCCAAAGATGGAAATCATCGAAAAAGTTTGAAATATTGGTCTGGAAGTCTTTCTGAAAATTCAATATTGAGAAATAACAACGATCGGAATGAAGCTGCATTCAGAAAACGAGTAATCGAAAATCGCGAGCTTTTCTATCAAAAACAACAACTGCCAGAATATCGAGGCGATGAGGCAAAAAGTTTTGGAAATGTTTTAATTGGTGAATATGGTGGAGAAAATCGAAAAGATTTGCGATATTGGTTCAACACTCCACCTACTGCATTGAATTCAAGGAAACAATTCAAAAAAACAATTCATGATCGAGAAATTTTCTATCAACGTCAAAAACAAGAACGATTCCGGGAGGAAGGTAGTCGAATTTTTTGAGTGGATTTTTCTGACATATTTTGTGCTAATCAATATAATTTTCGCAAAACTTTTTTCCAAACGTTGATTTAATAAATTTTTCATGTAAAAAATGTTATTATTTTTCTTCCAAGTGATTTCAGAGAATAAAATCTCCTCGAAACTTGGAAAAATCAGATATAACACTTTTCAAAAATGTGTTTTTCCCCAGTTGCCAATTTCGGACCTACAGTAATCTTTTCATAATTTTAAAACCTATAATTTTCGAATCGGAGCTACAGTATACTTTCCATATTTTCTAAACCCATATAATTTGAAAATACAAATCTGGCAACCTACCGTAATTTTCGCAACACCTATAATTTTCTAAATTTTTGTTTTGCACATTTTCATTTTTGGTCATATGTGAGCATTTTACACATACATAATTGTCAGTGTTGCATATTCCAAATCTTTTGAAGATTTTTCACATTACCTACCGTATACCGATTTTCGAATATTCCATCTTCTCCCATCTTTCTCTAATCCAAAACATCTATGGAACAGGTGTGCTATTCGGAAAAGCTTCTTTAGGTTGATCCTAAGATACCGCAATACCAGAAATTTTTGCCCCGCCCAACCATTTTTCAAATTCGATTTTTTCATCTACCGCCAGTTGGGTGGGAGTTTTAATTCGGTGTGCTAGAAACAATTCTTTCTGAAAAAAAGTTGTCTGATTTTTTTCGGTCCTACTTCTGTTGTCACAATTTTAACTTGATATCGATAGATTTCCAATTTTTTCTCAAAATATGTTGTTTCCAGATGTCTTCTAATATCTCGGAACCTGAAGTAGAAGCCGCTCTTTGTCTTTCAAATGAACGAGACGAGCAAGACGAAAATGATCTATTCTTGTTTCAACAAAGAAGACTTCAAGAATGGCGTCAAGTGATCCGCTTAGATTTATCAAGTTTGCATGACGAGAGTCAAGAAGAGATCGAAATGGAAGAATTTTTAAATGAAGAAGAACCTCGAGTTGAAGAAGAAGTGATTCCACATGGAGATGTGGCCCCGGTCAGAGAAGAAAACCCAGCTGAACAAGAACATTGGATTGAGGATATGTTTCGAGACATTCGAAATTTTATTCAAGACATTCCCTATTGGAAATTGTTTCTCATCGTAGCTCTGCTGTTTGCTATTGGGTAAGTCATTGCTTTCTGCTTGTTTGCAGTATCGCTTTCTTGGTGCCACAAGAGACTTTTGTGAAAAATGGTTTTATTGCAAAAAAATTAGAATAGGATTATATTCTTGTTCAAATGTTTGTTTTCAAATATCAGATAGTTTCCTTCTTTTCATGATAGATTTTTCAACTCGAACACCGTCCAAATAAAAAAGGATATATATATAAAAAAGGAAAGTATTTCTCGGAACCGGATAAATTTTTTTACAAGTCCCCCTATTCTAAAAAAAAGTTTTAAAAAATCTCTTCTTCTTTGAAAAAAACCTTTTTATGAGCCAAAACATACCGTAGTTTCCTTTCTCCTTTTGCGCTTTGCTCTTTCTCTTTTCTCCCTCTCCTAAAAATTGTACTTTTAATTTTCGTATAGATTTATGCGAGCTGACAAATAAGGGTGTTGTTTTGGAATTGTGGCTCCGCCCATCTAATTGCTCTAAAACTAATTATTTCAATATAATTTTCTTTATTTACACTTCCAACTTCGAATAATATGGTAACTCTCCGTATTTTTTGATTTTTCAATTTTCTAAGAGCTTGAAAATTTTATCCGTATTTTTTTTTAATTTTTCAAAACTATACTATATTTTTAATTGATAAAGTTAGTTTTAAATATTATTTTTTGAATATATGCAATCACGTGATATTCAGGAATGACAATGATTTTTTTGGATTCTAGAAAAAACATTTTTCAATATTAATTTATTATTCTTATGTACTGCTATAAAAAATTGGGATTTGTATTTTTACTCTTTGCCTACTTCTTGGGTGTTAAATCTCGTGAATCAATAATAGATTTCTATTTTCAGAATCATGGGTTTGTGTTCCTCGGTTAATAAAAACAGTCAAGAACCTACTGATGTTCCAATCCCCAAGCCTCAAGCTCCAGTACAAGCTCCAGCAACGGTTCCAGTTCAACCAATAAATTCATCACCACCAGCACAACTAACAGGAAGTTACAACAAGTTCGCTGGCCGAGAATTGAATGACATCGAGGTCACACAAATTGAAAGAATAATGAATCCAACCAAATTTCAAGATGGAAAAATGAGAACTGAGGAAGAGCATAAATTGGCCAAGGAGAAATTCAACAAACAAGTTGCGGATCGTATGAAATTGGATGAGGAGAAAAGAAAAATCAAGTATGCCAAGGATAATACACCAATCGTTTTGGTGGATTTGCCATCGATTGAAGGACCACCAACTGATGATCGAGACAAGGAAAGTGAGTGGTGGTAAATTAAAGAGGTTTTTGGTGGAACTTGGTGAAAAATGAAGTTTTAGGTTTCAGGCACTTGAAATTTCGTATCTTAAGGTTTATATGTTCTTCAATGAAACACAACTTTTTGAGATTGAAGAGCTTTTCTTGTGAATTTTACATTTTTCGAAATTCTCTAGAAATTGTTTTCTTAGATTCAAAAAAATAATTCAGGCCAAATATGTACATTACACACAGAAGCGTCACACAGTTTACCACCCTCGTACTATCTTACTATTGTGTGCTTTCTATCCAAGTTTTGGATCAACCTTTGGCCACTAATTCATGTCAATAAAAAGAGAAGGACGGATTTTAAAATTTCAGAGCTTGTGTATTCTTATCTTCATAGGGAGATAATAATAGTTGAACTTCAAAAATTAGCCGCGGTCCTTTTTGAATGTAAATTTAAGCCTGCCTAAAACTATTTTCTTACCAAGTTTCATCAAACGTTTTCTCATTTTTTCATATTTTTTGTACCCCATACTTTTATCCAGATTTCTTCTTTTTCAAATTTCACACGTCCCCTCCTAATCCCAAATGAATTTCACATGTTCCCAGTTTTCCAACAGAACTCTCTCCCCCAATGTTTTTTTTCTGTAAAATTATTTATTCCAAAATAAACAATTACATCATTATGAGTATTTGAACTTTGATCCATATTTTCGAAAAAAATTAATATATTTTTTTTCTGACACTTATCGTATTCTTGCTAATTGGCTCATTTTTTCATTTTCCATAAAGTAACATATTATTTTTGTTGGACATTATTCTAGTTTTGCTCCGCTTTTCAGAAGAATTGTTCTTGTTATTGTTTTTCAGAACGACTTTCGCCAATTAGTTTGTTATTGGAATGTGAGATGAATAATTGGATAAAACTACATAGATATTCGAATTTACATTGTTGAGCCTACTTTCTATGAACTTGTCTTTCTTGTATCCTGAAACATTCGGTGAAAATCTGGAAATTCAAAACTTGTACTTTGAGTCATTCAGATGATTCTCTCGTTATGAATCAAAACAAACAAGTTTTTCTCGTTTCCATAGAGTCGAATAGTAATCCCGCCCGCTTCTTCATTTTTTGAGATCAGTTTCTGATTTTTTCGAACTATGAAACAATGAGCTCTAATTCTAAGTTTGAATGTTTTTTAAATTGTTTCTTGATCAAGAAGTTGAAACTTCTTTCTGCCTAATTTTGAGGCTTTATTTTTTTTTTTGGAAAATGTTATTTTTTAAGCATGTTTTTTTCATTCCATTGTTTATTTTGAGCCACACTTTCAATTACCTTTTGAAAATTCTCATCTTTGGAAATAATAGAATTCCCGAAGAATAATATTTAACACCCGAATTCTTCTTTTTTTCAATGAGCACGAGAAAAACGGCCTTTTGAATTTTTTTTGGTACCGTGCTTCCAAGAACCGCAAGTTGGGCTGGCGTCCCTTCAGGACACCTGATAAGCGAATTTTTCTCCTGAGAGCATAATGAGTTCAAATTTCTCCGAAAAAATACAGAATTTTCAAATTTCCAATTCCACTCAAGCCAATAAACATTTTGCACTTTTCAAAAACTGTAATGCACTTTTCAGCATTTTACAAATTTCTCTCATCTTTTGCTCTATCTCTCTTATCAAATTTCAGAAAAAGTTCAACTTGAACACTTTTCTCTCCGCCTTGGGTTTCCATAGAATTTGATGACTTTTCATTTTCTCGAAACTCTTTTTTCTTTTCTCAATTTTTATTATCAGAATACATTTTTCAGATAAACTAAACTAAGCTAAACAAAACTTTTCGAAATGAACACGATCAGAAAATTTGTGGGAAATCCATTCAGCTGTTGTTCTTCCAAGTGAGTTTTACTGTAACATCGTAACAAACATACATGATTTATCTTTCAGCAACAACACCGTCGGACCCATTCCAGATTCAGCGAGACCAAGAGATTCACCATTGCCAGCTGTTCAGTATCTAAGTGCATCAACACCAGCAACTCAGCAGGAGGAAGTTATTATAAATGCGGCTTCAACAACTTCAACAAGATCAGAAGCAGTATTGGACTCAGATTCTGTACCGCAAAATGTTACCCAACTTGAAGGAGATGCTATTCCCAAAACTTCGACACCAGCGGTTTTCAAAGCCGTCAAAGACATGACTGCTGAAGAAAGAATGAAGGAATCGGCTTCTTTCATTTTCCCAACTCTTTATAAAAAAGGAGAACCAATGACTGAAGAAGAAATCGCAGCCGAAGCGGAGGAGTTTAGACTTGCTACTCTTGAAGCGAACAATCTCCCAAGAAGAGTTATAATGGTGCAACCGGCAGCAGAATAACGGTGCAAACAGCAGCTAAGCCGACTGAAAAAAGAGCACGCTGTGAAAATGCAAGATGTTTCAAGTACACCAAAGTAATCAATTGGGAATGGCAACTTTTTTTGTATTATTTAAATTATGTTTTTTTTGTTATTTGTAATTTAAAAAGGGTTGGTGTTTTTTGAAAAAATTTCAAAAAAGTTTGAATAAATAGATTTTTTTCAAAAACACATGAAACAAGAAATTGCGCTCTAGCACACAACTTTACTATTTTGCAATATAACACCAACCCTTTAATTATTGTCTTTATTTTATCTCCTAACCAGTTTTTACTATCAAAAATCATATCCAATTCAAACTTGCTATATTTTCCAACACTCCCCCTAGAAACTTCTTGTTACTTGTTTTATTAATTCAATTTCTAGTCAAAACTATCGAAATCATATGTAGCTTTTCCTTAAATCTTTTATTTTCTCCAACTATTTTCTTATCAAACTTATACCTAAAATTGCTTTTTGAAACTTCTGATTCTATCTATTTTGTCAATGTTTTTTTTAAAATAAAGTTTGCCAATCCCGTTTTGTTCAAAAATTTATTTGTCAATCAAAACATTCTAGAAACTGATAAGCTTCAAGAAAATTAATTTGACTTCACCTGAATGTTAATATAAGTCAACTACAACATAAATTCTTCTATGAATAATAAAGCATGCTTTTCCTACCTTTTCTCACTTTTATTTATTTCCTCACTATATTTATTAGAATATGATTTTTCTTAATATGCTTCATTTTATCAGAATTCTGATCAGAAGAACATTCGCATATTGCTTGAGACAGTACGTTTTCTATTCAAACCACAACTAAAGGGTCTCATTATTTACTAACTTTTTTTAGAAATCAAGTGGCACAGTTCCCAGAAGAGATTGTGGTTCATACAATAACAGCTTCTGCAGCTCCAATTACAGTTTTAACTACATCTTCATCGATGGCTTTAGCTTCAACGTTATCTTTAGCGCCAGCAGCGTCTCCAGATTCAAGTACAACTTCAACACCGGCGGTATCACTAGCCCTCTCTGAAGTTTTCTCTTCAGTTTCCACTCGTGCTTGTACACCAGTTCTCGTTCAATCTGGAAACCCACTTTTTCTATCAATTGAAGCTCGATATTCACCTCCCCCGCTAGGAAATCCCATGGTTCCTCGGAGAAGAGCGTCTGATGTGGTGCACGGAGGACTTTAATGGAATTTTTGAGACTTCTAAATATTCTAAATATTTCAACTTCTAAATATTTCAAGTAATTGATGTCATCTTTCAAATTCATATCTAATTCCAATTCCAGAAAAATCAGAAAATTGGCAAGATTTCAATTCAAAATTTGTACTTTATATCATTGTCAACATTTTGAAAATTTATGATTTTGAAAATGAAAATTGTAAAAAACTTCAAATTCAAATTAGGATGCTAGAATTGAAACTTAAAACAAAATTATCTTTTTACAAAAGATAAAGAATAGGCAATCAATAGGCTCAAATGGTTTCCATAGATTTTGACTTCTTTCTACCCATATTATTTTCCATAAAACTTTTCCTTTTTTTATCAAAATGAGTAAAATAACTTTTCTTGAGGAACAGATCCTTTAGATTTAGCTGCAGCTCCAGAATTAGAATCAAAACCAGTACCGACTGCAACTCCAACTGGAAGTCCAACACGTCCTAGATTTTTAGTGTTTTTTGGATAAAAATTATCTGAACTTTGTTGACATTCTATCTAAATTTCAGAACAAAAATATTGGCTCTGACAAGGAGAAAAGGGTTTCTGTTGATATTTTCAGACGTACATAAAGTCTATCTGCTTTCAGAAGGAACAAGGTTCAAAATTTTGAGCTCAATTTCAACGGTTTTCTCAAGTCAACATCTGGAAGTTTTCAAAACCCCTCAAAAACTTTTTTTTCCGCACAACATTGCCCAAAATCCTGTGTTTTTGATCAATTTTCAGTATTTTTTGTAGCAACTCTGTTCTAATTTGTACTTCTTTATCCCTTTCACCCAAATACTTGTTCTTTACAAATTTTGTACACATTCATTTCGTTTATTAATCTGTTTTCAAGAATTTTTTAATAAAAAAGTTGGCTGATAATTTTCGGAAAAATTTGTGTCTCCGCCTAAACGGTTTCCATAGATTCGAATGACTTATCAAAAAGCTCATTAATTCTCCATTATTGCTAAAACTTGAAAACTTTTCTCGAAAAAAATGCCGAGTGATCGTCTGAAGAATCTCAACATTTTTTCATCGTAAGTTCAGAAATTGTTCTATATGAAAATGTTCCAATGTTTCAATTTTTAGTGAAAGAGTGCAACAAGCGCCAAGAAGAATTGTCAATCTTTCCACGGCTCCTTTCGAGGCTGATTCTACTCCTCCAGCTCCAACCACAGTTGCAGCTCAGGCTTCAATCAAAAAAACTTTACGTACAACTCGAGCTAAATCTCTAGGCCGTCAAGGAGCTGTCAAATCTTCTACGACATCGTATGTTATCAATATTGGGGCTCCTACCCGAGCATCAGCTCCAAACAAAAAGACATCTCTAACTCCGCTTCGAACTCGAGCTGCATCTCTAGACCGTCAAGAGCTTGTTACTAATTCTGCAGCAACTACTCGAGCTTCAAGACCTTTGCGCATATCTCCAGCTTCAATCGAAACTCCACTGCAAACTCGAGCCGCATCTCTAGATCGCAAGCCACCTGTGAATTTGTCCAAGACCCCATATGTTATCAATATTGAAGTTCCTAAACGATTCCAAGCTCCACGTGCAAATCAACACGCAGTTTTAAACCGCGTTCGAGCTCCAGCGCAAAATCCAGCTGTGGCTCCAGGTCCAGCTTCATCTTCACCACAATCTCGATCAAAAGCTCCATTGAAACCTTCACCGATGACTCCAGCTCAAACCCCCGCTGAACTACGAGCTAAATCTCTACCTCCATTGAGAATGCAACCGAAAAAAATAACCCCAGAGTTGCAAAGAGTTATTGATGGAAATAAGAATCAATCAAAAAGTTCCGCTGAACCTCAATCGCTCGAAGAGCAGCTCAAAAATATGAGCAAAGAAGATGTAATAAGACTTTGGGATCATTTCACTGGTTCAACAAGGGAATATATCAATTTTGATACGATAACTCCGGAAGAGTCAAGACTTCGTTTGGAAGAATTCAGATTGGCCGAGGAAGCAGCCAAGAAGTTTGGAATCAGATCATCATACAGTTAATTGTGTTTGTTTTTGCTTTATTTGTATTGTTTGCCATTTATGTAGTATTCTCTTCAACTTCTGACTTTTTAATTGAATTTACTTTACCCTTCAATCATCCTTATCCGTATCTAACATATCCTTATATACCTTGTTCTCACCCTTAAGATATTTAATTTTTTTATTTAAAATTTCCATCAGTTTATTGACTCTTCTATACAATTATAGGAATTTTTCTACATTTTTTGTACCAGTCCAAAGTGATTCCTTAATCCTTCAATCCAACTATTTTCTAAAACTCATTTTCTGTCCTAGATAACTTTCTTCCTATTCACCCAACCTATTTTTCCCTTCTCTTCTGTCCCAATCTTTTTTTTCTTTTTTCGTTCCAATAAATACCATCCAACGAAATCTCACTGATTGATAATATCCAGTTCTGGATTTTTGAAAGCTGAAAATGATTTTCTCAAACTGAATATTCAAATGTGATTATATTCAAATGTGATTTTATTCTCTCAATACAGTAGGAAATCCTTAGAGACTCTCATTCATCAAAAGTGTGACGTACAGACGCCGTGCTAAAAAATCATTTACGTCACATCAACCACCTCTTCCCACGCAGAGTAGTAGAGGATTCATCATCCTCATTCTATTCTGAATCTCTGGAGCAAACACTGAAACTATAGTGTAGTTGTAAACTTTCTAAAAAATAATATAAAATATGTCCGGAAAATCAAGAAAATCTGTTTTTTTGTAGCTTGATACTGTACTTTGACAGTTTCAGTGATGTGTGATTGAATTTTCACGATATAACAAGCACAATGCCTCATAACCACCCTTCAAATATTTTTTTCCCAATTTCAAAAATCCTATCCACGTTTTTCGCACCTACAGTACTCTTTATCTCCTCCAACTCTCAACTCTCTTATCTCTCATTCTTCTCAACGCGAGCACGCTTCGCAGCCCAAGGACCTCTCTAATGAATCGATCGAAATGAGCCGCTTCCTAGCAAAAGCTCTCCCCAGCACGGAGCGGCGGCCGCAGCGGCTCCATCTGATTTTTCCCCCTCTATTCTCTTATCACAACTCACTTTTGTTTCCACTGTTGGTGTCTCCTATGAATCATTGTACAAGATGACTATGGAAATTGCTGAAAATCAGGTGATAAAGAATTGTTCGAGAAATGGAGGGGGCGTTAGATCAGTCAGAGGGAAAGCGAAAACAATTATGAAAATGTCATGAGATCAAAGATGAAACAAATCTGAAAGTGCTTGAATGGGGCAAGAGATTGAAAGGTTACAGTGATCTAAAGGTACTGCAGCTCAAATATTAGATAAGGGTGAACTCTGAAGATATTGTAGCTTCAAGATGAAGGAAAATTTCCAAAAAACATTATTTCCGGTTCAAAATTGCTAGCAAATTCAAATCTATAATTTTAAACGAGAAAAAATGCTAACAAAAAGCTGTGTGAAAAGGAACGGACACCCAAAAATCATAATCCGAAAAATAATTCAAAGCCAAATTTTCAGAAAAAATTCAATTCCGTTCCCAAGAAGGGTTTCAAAATCTTGCTTTTTTTTAAATTTGGAATACCTTCAAACTATTTTTTTTCAAATAGATATTCGAATGAAAGTATCTTCGTAATATGATTTGATTTTATTTTACAGAACTAAATTTTCTGACCTAAAGTAACTCACAGTTGTTAGAGAACTCCTGAACAAAAAATATGATTTAAGAAAAAATGCACTTAAAAATAAGACAGTTTAAAAAAAAATCACACGCCACACAAAAAAAAGAAACAATAAAATCAATACCTCCCTCCCCTTCTTCATGGTCTGTTTTTGTTCGTCTGGCGCTCTCTCATGTTGGCATGCTATTTTTTCCCTCTACAACATCACAAACAATTCCACATATTTTCTGGATGAAAAACAATACATATTTCGAATAAATCAAATCCCGTACCGCAAAAACAGTTAAAAATACAGTAATCTACAATATAAGGTTTAAGTGTGATTATTCAAAATTGTTGTTCGTATCAGAAAAAATTATTTTCATGTCGAAGTTAATAAAAATGTTGGAGTTAATAGAAATCTAAGTTCTCTGAAAGAGAATGATCAAGTTCAACTATTTTTCCGAAAAAAATGGACAGTTGACCTTTGAAACAATAAAAAATTCTTATATTCAATTATTTCTTCTCATCAGTTTCTAGGATCTATGCATCTCAATATGAACTTCTCTATTCCACCATAATTATCTTACCATTTTCAAGAAAAGTTTTCAATAACTTTGTAACGCTATAGACCCATCAACATACTTAATTGTATCTAGGATCATCCTCTTTCGGGAAATAAATTTCAAAAAAAGCCGGAGAAGAGCCTTCCCATATGTTTCCGCATGTTTTGCGTGGGCGGAGCTTGATCGGCGCTATTATCCATGATCAGGTCAAATCAAGGCCGGCTGGGTTCTTTGAAACTATTTAGCTTTATAGAGCGCAAGGTAAAATTAATTTTCTCAAACACTCTCATTTTTTTCTATAGCCTCTTTTCATGATAAAAATGTTTATTATTTGAAATGACAACACCAAACCGTACAATAATATATCAATAATTTGAAACGAAAAATTAAATAGAGAACAATACGACCATCAGACTGAAAATTACAGCCAAAATAATTCCAATTATTTTTCGATTTTTTTGCGATCCATGTCTTTGGGAAAATCCCAAATTTCCCAATAAACTGAAGAATGTTATAGACAGTATAATTGCGTATAACATAAAGCATTTTGGAGGATAACTGACAGCTATTGGAAGCTTATTTATCATATCATGAAGGAAAATGAACTGGATGAACAGTGATGAAATCAATAAGACGCAGGAAAGTTTTGAAGGTAAGAGGAATGATAAAACTATGAGAGTTGAGCAAATCTGAAAAAGTTGAATTTTTTTTGAACATCAATGTTTGAGTAGCCTAGAAAAAACTTGGAAACATTTCAAAAATTCAGAAATGTTCAATTCACAGAAATTTTTCATGAGAGTGAGAGTTAAATAACATCTCTACTCGAAAAATCTGTGAAATGTTCTGTTTATCCCTCAGACTCTACGAACAATAGTAGGCGCAGTAAAAGTGGCAAAAAACAGAGGCGATCGACGTTTCATAACAATTTTTATAAGCATATGTGTTTGTGGCAATACATCTTCTTCAAATCCTTCATCCACCAAATTCGATAAAATATGAAGAATTTCATAATTTGATATAATATTTTTCTCCAAGTGATTCATATATTGAACATTATATCCGTAAAATTCGCATTCTAGATCTTTCATAAAAAATCGCAATTCACAAACTTGTAAATCGTATGGATATTCATAAAAATCAAAATCACATCGAACTGTTGCGTCCAGTTTCAGAGTATAAACCATGGTAGAAAAGGTTGGTGGAGAACTCAATTTTGCTTGAACAATGGTGTCAGATGGTACTCTAAATTTTATACCGTTTGCAAGAACCAACCAAGGGGTCCAAACTTCGTGCCAATACAAATTGAGTTGATTGATTTTTTGATAATCTTTTGGATCCCAGGTAAGATTTATATCGTCCCAGAGCTGGAAAATAATTATTTTTAGTAATAATTTATAAGGCAGCTCTCAAATCGAATTTTTTTTTCAGATTTTCAAAATTCCAACATTCAGATTTAATTTGGCCCTGTACAAGTTTCTTCTATTCCCCTACCAATTTCATTTCCATATTCACTTTCATTGTCTGCTCTTTCTCATTAATTGAAACATGATGAATCAAATTTTCAACCATTATTGAAACTTTTGTTCCAGGAACAACTTTGGCATTATAATTTTTCATAAGATTTCTGTGAAGTTCACCTCTGGCCACATAAGCATTCTGGATCCTTTCTAAAAAAAACAAAAAACTATTCAAATAGGTACTATTCAATTACCTCCAACATTTGGATCTGCTAAAAGAATTGATGAGATAATATAGATAAAAAATGTTTTCCGTATCATTTTTTACAGGAATGATAAAGAAATATGTATGTTTATTTGATATTTATGAACTTTTCATAAACAATTTTTTGTGGAAAATTTTTAGATGAAATTTGATACTCAAAATAAGAGAAAACTGTGCGGTGCACTTTCAATAGTTTTTCGAAAACATGGATTTTCAGATTTCAAAGTTCAGCTACATACTTCCTTGTGGTGTGTATTTTGATAAAAAGTTGATAACAATGACAATCATGAATTCATAATTGGGGTTTTCAATAACAAAAGGGCAAGATGATTATGTGGAAAATAATTTAGTATATGTACACGGAGGATCAAACTTTAAAGAATATGGAAATCAAAGACGTTATAAGTGGCTTCTTTTTGATACACTGGTCCCAAAAAAGCACGTTTTCTTGAAACACAATTTTTAGTTTTATGCAAAAAATTCTAGTGTAAACTCGAATATCTCAAGATAATGTTTGTTAAAGAGGCTTCAGATTTAAAAAAAAGTGATAATGCTCAAAGGTTCCTGAAATCTATTTTTCAAAACACTGAAAAAATTTTTTTTTTTCATAATTTTGAATATTCAATTTTCAGCTTCATAAAAGTAAGAAAATGTCGAAAATTCTTATACACAATTTCAGTTCCAAATTATTCAAACTAAAATTCAAGTCTAACAAAGTTTCATTACTCTTCCTGATTCTGATCTATCCTTTGATATTTGCATGATTCATTAATTCTTTTCAATTATACTCATGTGATAAAGCAATTAAAAATTATCAAGTCACGCCTCCTCGAAAGCTTTTCGGTAACCAAGCTATTCCGTTGCTACCTACTTTTTCGAAAAACTTGTTTTTATTTTTCTTTTTATTGTTAACCGTACCGAACTGTTCCTTCTTTCGGGCTTGTTGAACACTTCAAATCCTTATAAAAAGTTAATAAGGCAGGTTAAAAAGTTCCCCTTTTTGCTAAAAGTCCCTCAATTTGTGCTCGTTATCTTGATTTGTGTGTTTTTCCTGATACCCAAAGTATTCCAGGAAAAAATGCCGTATTTGTACATCATTGGTTGTGCCGTTGTATTGATGATCATGATTGCATTTCGTCTATGCGTTCGTGTTAGAAACGTGTCTAGGTGAGTTAAAATTCTCTCCCAAAGCTCCAAAAAACTTAACATTACAGAGACTTGGTTTCTCCACCTGAAAGACGAATCGATTTTAACACTCTGAATAATCCTTATCGCCGGGAAGACCAATACGTTGACGAAATTTTGAAGGAGATTCGTACATGGACTCACTATTTAACGCATGAAGATGATGTGGTTGTGAATCGAGAATTACAAGATGTTCAAGAAGTTCACGGAACATTGTCTGAATTCACTGAAACTTCTCAACATAGTTTATGGTTTGCTATGGACAATCAAGGTAATCGAGGAAAATCAAGAATTTCTGTTGAAACTATCAGTATCGATAGTTCTCATGATGTTAAGGCTGGAGAATGGAATACTGATGACATTTTTATAGTTGAAACTTCTGTTGCCCAAGGTGAGTTTCTAAAAAAGGTTTCTGCGATTTTCAAATGTCAAAGTTTTTTATTTGAATCTTAACCGAAAAAGTTGTTTTTGAAATAAAAAAAGTAGAATTCTTATGAAAATTCGGTATGATCTCCATTTTTTCTTTCTCTAGATTATGATTCTGCTGGCCAACCTCTTACTGAAAATAAAGATACTCAAGGTGTCTCTATTCAATATTTTGCAGATAATCCTTCTACCAGTGCAGTCGTTCAAGATCAAAACCATGACGTCTGTTGTTCAGCATCTGTCGCTTTTGACGAAACCCATGATACTGTTTTATAAATATCTTTGAGATTGATATCTTGTATTTTTATATATTTTATTATTAATTTGAGTTTTTACACAATTTATTCTAATATCAAAATGTATCTAATCATCTGTGATTTATTTTTTATTTTTTAACCAATAAAGTTTTAACAGAAGTCTTATGAAACCCAGGTATTTGAAAATTGAATTTTTCAAAAATTAAATTCTGAATTATTGGAGTTGTCCTTTGAAAAATTAGGAAAATTGCAATTTTCGAATCCAGAAAAAGAAGAAAACCTTCAAGAGTAATACGAAACATTAAATACATTTGCAGTTTGGCCTTTTCCTTGCGAGACCCGCTCTTATTTTTTCTTCACCCCCTTTCTTCTAACAAGTACAACTCTTTTGAAAATATTCTGTTTCAACCCGCTCTTTTTCAGAAAAAATCTAGAATTATTGTACTTTCTATGAACATAGTCTCGAAATATTTGACACTTATTGATGCTGAAAATATAGCAAAAATCGTTTACCGACATACTTAAAAGGAGAGACGCAGACATTTCCTAATCCTCTTACCAAATCTGCACACCTTTTTCCATTCTAAAGCAGGTGCTAGAGAACAATTAAATATGTAATTAATACTAAATGATGGGTGCAATATTTGAAAATATTATAATTCTAAAAAGAGAATATCAGAAAAACTGGGGACTTCCCAATATCGAGAAAAAATTTTATTCCCAAAAACCCTGATTACATACATATAGACAAAAATGACAAAAAAAGAAAACAGAAAAAATGAGCATAACTTTTTACATTGGAAATCTTATATGGTACAGGCTTGAAAAAAACAATTTTTTTTTGAAAATCTTAAATTGGACCAGACTTTCTCAATTTCACAGTGTCTGAATAGGGATACTGAAAAGTGGTTATTCGATCTAATTCAAACACCCCAATATTCATAAAAATTTTCAAATAATTTTCAAGATTGTTCCAAATAAGATCCCGCTGTTAGAAAAGATTCAGTAATTAAAAAAATTATCAAAAAATTCATAAACTTAAGATCAAACTTCATCATCATAATCACTATATAAGATAGCTGCGTTCATTGAGCACAAATGACTCTCCTTGATATGGTGCATTTGTTTGGGTTGGTGTTGGTGTTGTATTGTTTGTGGTGGACGATGTGGTGGCGGCTGATCCGCCGCCGGCGCCATTCCCGCCGCTTCCGATACAACTATCATTGGTGAGCGATGATGGTGGTGATGTGGTGCGGCGGAGCATCGAACCGTATTGGGTGCATTCGCATGTCTGCTGAACTGGTTGTTGACAACATTATTCATATTGTTTTTGCTAGAGGGTTCACGACATTTATTTAGAATTTTTCTAGTGAAGATTTCAAAGGAAAAAATTCATTCATAAAAATTATGATTTACAACATGATCAGTGAATTTTTTGAAGAAAATTCAATTGTTCCAAATATTCTGAACCAATTTTTTTTGTATTTCCGGCAATGAAGAAAAAATAGAAAATTATGTAAATGTCTTATTTTCATGAAAAACCTCAAAGAGAAATTCTACCTTCCAATTTTTTTGATTTTTCGCCTACCGTATTCTATCTAGAAATCTAAAAAGGTTATGTTCAGTACAATTCCTATTCAAGAAATTTTTATTCTTCTCATTATGTAAATTCTCATCAATCAAAATTATGTTTTTCAAAACACAGATCACAAAAATTCTATCACACACCACAAAAAATCCATATATAATTCAAAAACTCACATCATTCATTGGTATATTCGTATGTTCATTATAATGTGTAGAAGGATGATGATTTGAATAGGCATAGGCTAAAGAAGGACGAGATCGTCGAGGTGAATGACATTTTGGATGATTGTTGATTTGGCGAGGAATTGAATAACTTCTATCATTGTTATGGTACTGAAAAAATATCAAACAATTTCCACTCGGGTTGAGCGTTGAATTCTGGTTTTTTGTGCTTAACTCTGATTTGGGATCACTGGCGAAATCAGGATTTTCACAACGTAAAAATATCATCTAGAAAGTTTGCATTTGGTGGCTGAATATCAGAGAATAGTGTCTTTTTCATTTCTGAAGGTTTTTAGATACATAATGTCTTATAGAAAACATGAAAGTAAAATGATATCAGATTTTAGGAAAAAATCAACACCTGGAGTGGTTTTCAAAGTTTTCATACATCAAAACTCACCACAAATTTATTGAGCGGTGAATTATACTGTGAATAAATCATACAATGTTGATCATTCATTGACATTCCTCCACTACCACAACGGTGATTCATTGAATGATCCATTTCTATATTCCTAGGTATACAATCGACTGAATTCTTTGGTATTCTTCCAGATCCACTTGCAACCATTCGAGGAATACCATTTTCTGACATTGGACTATGTATATAATGATGAATAGTGGGTTGTTGATGTGGTGAATATCCACCAATTGGTGAGTGTACTGTGGTGTTGGATGAGCTATGATTATATTGCACCATATTGCTACCACTTGCGGTGCCATTACATTTGGGCTCGTGTTCGATTCGCATTTGTGGGTGTCGTAAAGGTTCGGGTGCAAATTGAGCAGGCTGACTCAGCTGGAAAAGAATTTTGGTGAGGTTTTATGAACTTTCTGTTTTCTTGAACCTAAAAGAATTACCTGATCAAACAGCCTAGAATCTATAGATCCTTCTCTCGCATGCAACATTGCTGGTCCCCAATCGATTACTACTTTTCCAGCCAACACCAAACCCACCACCATTGTTGTTGGACCAGCCAGCCAAACTTTACCAATTTGTGACTCTTTTTGAAATATAGCAAACACTGTGAAGACTAAACCCGTTGTTATAAGTCCCGCTGACACGATACCATAACTGCAAAAATTAACTATTTTTCTTCAGTATTGACAAAAAATTTACGAAAAAAAAGTTTTTGAGAATTTTTCATATAAAAATGATCCGATAAATTTTTTTCAGACTTCTGTCAAAAAAGTTTAGTAGGCTCAACTTTCAAATGATCTTCGGTTTTCAGAAATGTTTGAATTTTTTCAATTTTGAGCCCAGCCCTGTAGAACTTTTTGTTTAGATACTGGGATATTTGAGAGTTTGTCAAATTCAAAAAAACTGGGTGGTCCTTTTTATTTCAAAAAAAGTACATTGTAGTTTGTTGCGCGGAGAGGAGGTGAAAAAAGGTTATGCGGTGCAGATTATCGAATTTCCGGATTTTTTCGTGGTGAAAAAGTTTAATGATCAAGCAAAAAGTTTTGTGGCGGCTGTGTGTCATGAGGTTTTTTGAGCGGAAAATATTTTTCTTTGTACAGAGGTCGGAAATCATGAGGGGTGAATGAAAGTTTTATTTCGAATAATATATTTTTTTATGTCTGGGGTATTTTTAGAATAGTAGGAAATAGAAAAGAAGAGGTTTTTTTTTCAAAATTAAAAAAAAACTAGGTTATTTTCAGAATGTGTTCACGGTGTATTGTGAACTCTTATCCAATAAATCTGAATTCATTGAGCTTCAAGAGATAGGAAATTCTAGAATTTCGGTTTAAAAATAATATGTTCGCAAATAACATAGATTTCAAAACCTGAAAATCGTTCCTTTTTTTCTGAAACTCAAAATCAAACATTTCAAGTTGCAAGACAAATTTTCGAAATTCTAAAAATTCAGAATGTTCAAATGAAATTATATTTTAATTGTAAGAGAAGGACCACCAGGAGAGAAAGAATTTCAATGTGAAAAAAGTTAGTTTAACTTTGATTTACAAAAACTTCGAAGGTAGTGTTTTCTCATATTCACAATTTAACTCTCTGGCTCTCTAGTCTCTCTAGTGATCTGACTCTAGCCTTTTGGTTTTCTAACACTCTAGCTCTCTATCTCTCTAACTTTCGAGACTAACCTGATCAAGTGAATTTGATGACGATGTAACCTTGTACAACAGCACATTATTTGACGTGCCGTTTTTCAACCGGCGACACTCCAAACTTTCGATATCATCGATTTTCAAAAAAGCTCATGATCCGCAATAAAATTCCAAAAATAAACCAATTCAAATCTGAAAAAAATATAAACTAGAAAAGCAGGAAAAAATGATTTTTTTTCAGAATGAAAAAAAAACGAATAAAATTTCGTCGCGATTTTTTCGCAACAAAAGGAAATTGACTTTATTTGGCGGCGGGGAGATGTTGAGTTGAGTGAGTTGACACAAAAACGGAAATGATGTGAGATTTGCGAGAAAAAAACACGTTTTCTATGGAGAATTGGAAAGTTTTAGAAATTTGGTTCAAAAATATCTGATTAATAAATAAATTCATATTAGTACAAAATTTGCTAGGAAAAAAAATAAATAAAAAGTTGCAGATAATTATGCAGAAAAGCAAAGTGGGGGAGATTTTTTGGACGAAAAATTATTATTACTCTTTTTTGAAAAAAATGGAAATTTTAGAGCAGGAAAAATTGAGATGAAATTGGATCCGATATTGATGACAGACCTTTTTATTTTTGTGTGAACTTCAAACAGTCTGCTTCTCTAACTTTTATAAAATTTACTCTCTAATTCTCTACACTCTAGATTCTCTGGGTATTCTAGGCTCTCAAGACTTTCTATGCCCTCTAGGCTCTCTGGACTGTCTAGGCTCTCTAGGCTTTCTACGTCACAATGTTCAAAGTTCAGGAAAAAGTGCATTTCTCTAGAAGAAAAAAATATTATTAAAAAATGTCTGCAAAAAAATCGTCTTCGAAAAAACCCCCGAAAAAATCGCACACCTCTTTTAAGAGACGTTATTCATAAAACCCAAAATCAGTCGGCACAAACAAAAAATTCGAATTTCGGATTTTTTATTTATTTAAAAGCCCTTTGGGTAGGAAGCAAAACGCGCATAATATGACGTCATAAAAACGTCTCCTCCTCCCGGAGTACACGGTTTTGTACCGGAACGGTATTTTTTCGATCTAACGTAACTTTGCTCTACGTTCATATTTTTTCATGTTTAAAAAAGCAAAAATGCTTATTTTCTTGCGATAAATCGACTGGAAGCAACGACGAAATCATTAGATTACGTTTAAAGAAAGTTCTAAAATGACCCCCCAAAAAAATATGCTTGGGAGTAACGACGCCCTTTCAACTCCTTTTCCATTCGATTCCTCTCGATTTTTTAGGTATATTAACATAAAAAATAAATAAAATCATGACACCTTTCATATTGTCATATACCGTCAAAAACAACCTATCTGCGCGCATGCAACAAACACATGTTCGCACCTCTCCCTTTCTTGCTTTTTTTTTCACTATTTTTCATCATTTTTATTTTGAAACAGCTAGTTCTTGACTTTTTAATATAATATATACAGTATTTGTCATTAAAAAATCATCTAGGATGAAATTCAAAGATAATTTATCTTTTTCATGAAAAAAAATTGAATAATATAAATTTTGAATATTTTTTGAAGTTTCACTTTATATGGAATGCTGATTTGAGTAACTAAATTAATTTTTTTGATTCTTCATACTTCTTTCTAGGCTCAAATAATTTTTTGAACCATTTAAAGGCTTTATCTGAATGATTGTTTCCAATTCATTACAGGATATTAAAGAAATTTCGAATTTCAACACACACCTGTTCGCACCTCTCCTTTTCTTGTTTTTTTTTTCATCGATCCGAATTTTTTTCTGTTTTTTATAAAGAGGGGACAAACTTTCCTTGACTCGTACGATTGAAAAAAACACACTTGAACTTTAATCAAACTACACAATGTATTGGTTTGATCCTTGATGAATTCTAGCTCTGTTTATTTATGTAGAGCAAAATCTTATTTTTTTGGTTCCTCCGTTTTTTTTCAATCGTACGAGTCAAGGAAAGTTTGTCCCCTCTTTATCAAAAACAAAAAAAAAATCGGATCGATGAAAAAAAACAAGAAAAGGAGAGGTGCGAACAGGTGTGTGTTGAAATTCGAAATTTCTTTAATATACTGTAATGAATTGGAAACAATCATTCAGATAAAGCCTTTAAATGGTTCAAAAAATTATTTGAGGCTAGAAAGAAGTATGAAGAATCAAAAAAATTAATTTAGTTACTCAAATCAGCATTCCATATAAAGTGAAACTTCAAAAAATATTCAAAATTTATATTATTCAATTTTTTTTTCATGAAAAAGATAAATTATCTTTGAATTTCATCCTAGATGATTTTTTAATGACAAATACTGTATATATTATATTAAAAAGTCAAAAACTAGCTGTTTCAAAATAAAAATGATGAAAAATAGTGAAAAAAAAAGCAAGAAAGGGAGAGGTGCGAACATGTGTTTGTTGCATGCGCGCAGATAGGTTGTTTCTGACGGTATATGACAATATGAAAGGTGTCATGATTTTATTTATTTTTTATGTTAATATACCTAAAAAATCGAGAGGAATCGAATGGAAAAGGAGTTGAAAGGGCGTCGTTACTCCCAAGCATATTTTTTGGGGGGTCATTTTAGAACTTTCTTTAAACGTAATCTAATGATTTCGTCGTTGCTTCCAGTCGATTTATCGCAAGAAAATAAGCATTTTTGCTTTTTTAAACATGAAAAAATATGAACGTAGAGCAAAGTTACGTTAGATCGAAAAAATACCGTTCCGGTACAAAACCGTGTAGTCCGGGAGGAGGAGACGTTTGTATGACGTCATATTATGCGCGTTTTGCTTCCTACCCAAAGGGCTTTCAAATAAATAAAAAATCCGAAATTCGAATTTTTTGTTTGTGCCGAGACCTATGCGAAATATTATGATTTTACAAATAACGTCTCTTAAAAAACACTTATTATTAGGCCGCGTGTGAAAAAAAAAAGAAAATTTGGGGAAAAAACAAATGAATGCAATTTTTGGCTGGCTGGAGAAATTGAAAACACCTGCAAATCAAACCCACCTACTTAGCCTAACTCAAAACCAAACTAGAAATGCTCCGTGAGCTCGAAAGAAAAAAAATATATATAATTTTCACATTACGCCGTAAAAATGGCTATAAAATTAGCATCATTTTTATTTTTTGTAAAAAATAGCATTTTTCGCACAAATGTATGTATATTTCAAGTAAAATAGATAGGGAAAAAACTGGAAAAAAGTGAGAAGAAAATTTTCAGTTTTTCTCAAATCCGGTGTTTATTTTGTGCTTGAATGAATTCTTTACTCGAATTTTTTGAGCTGGTTATTTGAATGTGTTGGAAAAAAGAAAGGAAAAAGGAGAAGAAGGAGGAAAAAATAACGGGGCGAAAATGATTCTTTGTTACATTACATATATTTTTGGCGCATTCAAAACAACAACAAAAACCGCAAAAAATAAATCTGAAAGAAAGGAGATTTTTCGCGCAAAATTTTCTTTAAGAAAATAACATTTTGTGCCAAACGTGTGAACTTCTTGGAGTTTGAAGAAAAAAAGACATTTTTGAAAATTGATTTCAATTTCAAATTTTAAATATTTATCGTAACTGTCAAAACTCAAAATATATTCAAGTGGAAATCTTTTCTAATTACTTTGTCATTAAAATCCTAATCTCAACCTGAAAATGTGAAATGAGCTCCAAGTTCCAAGTTGAAAAAATTATCGAATTTTCTAAATTCTCGAGATGATTTAAACGATTTTTTACTGTTAAAAACCAAGTCTTTCAAATCAAGTTTCTCTAGAACTAAAATTAATTACAGTATTCTATCCTCAAAAAAAAAAAATAAAAATCCAGATTTCTGAAAAATGTGTTGAAATTGTTTTTCTGAGTCAACTGATAAAAATTTCTGGAAGTTTCGAAATAATTTCCAGGTATAAAATATTCATAATCTGACTAGTAGCGGAGAAGATATAAGTTTTTCGATCAAAGAACATTCAAATAAATTGTTGAAATGTCTGAAGTGTGTATTAGGTTCCAAAATAAACTTCTAATTGTGAAACTTACTACTTTAACCGAGCTGAATTTTATCCTAAAGGGAAAAAATGCTACTATTTTGCACTTACAGAGCTCCAGAGTAGTTGATAATGTTTCAGATTTTTAATTTTTTAAATCTGTTTCTAACAGAATTGTCTTGATTCGGAAAAGTTTTCCGGTTGCTCTTTCAACCTCTAGGCTATTTAGAATATCTGAACAATTTTCTAACATTAAGCCCACCAATTTATTATGATTTACCGGAAGTTAATTGATAAGCCTAGAGGGTTTAAGTATCCCAATACTCAATACCAGAATAGTCAAAGTCGAAATTGCAGATTTGAATTCAGAAGCCTTTATCTATTCCAAGTTTTGAATCAAAGCGATTTCACAAATTCTCAAAAACCCAGTCCGTTTTTTTTAGAATTTCGGTCATCCTGGTCTGAAAAACCAGAAGCTTAAAAACTTTTAATACAAAAAAAATTTCCAAGAAATATTTTTGGGGTGGTGGTTCAGGAAAAAAAGAAAAATAAAATGAAAATGAACAAAAGATTTGTTCTCCTTCTTCTTCTTCTTCTCCTACTGGATAGACAAAAAATACATGCACAAAGAGAGACCCTCGAATACGACAATAGAAGTAGCACACACAAAAATGGAGAAAAAGAAGCAGTAGAAAAAAGAAGATTCCTTTTTTCTGGGTGAAAAAATGTATGAATCTCGACTCATTTCTCGATAAAATAAAAATAACAGAAGAGAGACTAAATAAAAAATGCTGGAGGACGGCTGCCAGCAAAAAAAAACAAGTACATTTTCTTACATACAATATGAAGAGGGGTTCCGGAATTTTATAGAAGTGGCTGGCTGGATTTATTTATGTACAATGAAAGAGTTCGAAGAATCATACTTTTGTATGTGTGGTCGTTTTATTACGAATATGAGAGGATAACTTTATGTAAGATCGAGTTACAATTCTTAATTTGAGACTGAAAATTGAGTAGATATTAGAGTTCTCGATGAAAAAGTTCTTTTTGTAGGAAATCAGAGAGATTTTTGTAATGAAAAATGAGTGGCATCTATTTTTGTCAAAAGTATAAGAATTCAGTATTTGAGAGACCTAAGACTTCCAAAAGATAAAAAAAAATTGAAAAAGGTCTCGCAGATGTTTTGACAGAATGTGTGAATAAGAAATCCGGATGTTTCAATGATCTGTGAAATAAAAACATTAAATGATGAGATTAAAAAAAATAATTTTACTGGACCAAAAAAGTTTATGCTCTCGGAAATTAGATGAACGAATTTAAAACTTTTCAAAAAAAATTCTGCGGCTGTCCAAATTTCACGCATTTTCAAGAATCCACAGTACAGAACCGTAATAAATTAGCATAAACCTCAATCTTGCCTAAGGCATTACCATAAGCTTGAGCTTAACTCAATTCTCAACCATGACTTCAAATCTTTTTTCAATTTTTGAAAAAGATATGATTCAAAATGTTCTTACCATTTGTAGAAAAATTTTGAAAATTGAAGAAAAACGAGAGAACTTCGAGAAAACCTCAATAACCGACACAAATCTCACAAACGAATTTTAAAAGTCAAAATCAAACCAAAAAAAAATCAAAATAAAGAAATACTCGAATGTCAAAAGAAATCCGGGAGAAAGAAGTTCATGAATTCTTGATGAGATTGAAACTCGAGAATTTTAGATTTGATTTTTTTCTTTTGTTCTGAAAAAAAAATCGGAGAAGTTATGTAGAACTGAAAAATATAATGACGTTCAGTCGGATCAAATCGCAAAAGCTCGTTTTCCTTGGAAAAAATGATATTCTTTTTCTGTATAATTTTTTGTGTTAGGCTTAGGCTTAAGATAGGCTAGAGATCAAAACATTGTCAAAAGAATAGAATTTTTTCCAAAAAAAAGAAGGAGAAGGGTGCCTTTTCCTGTCCACAAAACGACACACAAAAGCCATTCTAATTTAGTTTCCAGAGACTCGGCGCAAAAATACGCGTCAAAACTCGCAGACAAAAGTTGCTAGGCGGTTTCCGTTTCTGAATCGAAGTGAGATGGAAAACACACAAAAGAAAAAGATATTCTTTTTTTGTGTGAGGATCTGAAGTGAGAAAATTGTTTTGTTATTTATTCTTTTGTAAGGCAAAAATGTCATTCTTTGGAGTTTGTGACAAACTATTCCAAATTTCAAACTAGAAAAAACTGCGTGAAAAGAATCGCTGACTGGATACTGTATTTCAGACGCTATTCATTTATTTCAAAAAATCAATTTTCAAAAAATTGTATGGTTCAGAAAACTTTGCAAAGCTTTTGCGAGGTTTAAAAAATTATTGAAAATTCCTAGATCTTGATAAAATTTCAATTGAACATTGAAGGCTCAACCCGTATTAGAAGTTTTTGGATTCAGACAAGATTGTTTTGAGAATTCTGAAAATCCAAGAAAATTTTTGACTGGATGAAGCTGGTGGAATGAATTCTTAATGTTAGGATTTTTTCCGAAAAATGTTCTCACGTATCAAAACCAAATTATCTACAGTAATCCTGGAGGATTCAAACAACCCTAAAAGTATAAGCAAACAAATCTAAAATTACCAACTGTTTGGTAACCGACACCCCAACAACTTTTTCTGTGTCCAAAAATGAGCATTCCAAAACTCATGTCAATTCACTTCAAAGTCCAAAAAAAAAGAAAAAGTAATTTTGCGTTTCTCTCACTTTTTTTGTTGTATGCTTGAGGTAACTCCAGAACAAAACATAGTAATAATAAGTGGTGAGAAGAAAAAAAGAAAAAGAAAAAAGTCGAGAGCAAAAAATGACGTTTTTTTGAAATATAATAGGTTTTTGGGCTATTAGTAGGTAGGAATTGAAATAGAAGTAAAAGTAGACAAAGTGGAGGTGACCGCGAAAACGTTTTTTGGTGACCGAAAATTATTAGTGAAAGAGAAAAGGGTGAGGGTGGTAAAGATGAAACTACAAACTTTATTAGACCAATTTTTTGTGGTGAGGAGAGCAGAACAATTTTTGAGAAAAAATACACAAAAGAAACTGAGGTTTCTGAAAAATGTTTGATTCGAGGCTGACCGGTTGGATTTTTGAACCTTTGAAGGAGATGTAATATTTGAAAAATTATACTTTTCAGATTTTAAAACGGTTTAAATATTTTTTGAAGAAAAATTCAAAAACATGATCCTTCAAATTTTTGAAACTGTGAAGTTATATTTTTCTGGGTTAAAAATTGAAAAAAAAATCTTGATCAAATTCAGAGCTGATACTTTAAATTCATTTGGCAAGTTAGTGGCTTCAAAACTTAAATGAAAAATTATCTGGACAAAAATAGAGTGCTATTCGGAATTTCTCGCACAGCACAAGAAAATCTCGATTTTCAGAAGATTTTAGAGTTTAATTAAATTAAATGAACCCATTAAGTTAGGGCTCAAGTGATTTTCAGAACTTTTTTGAAGGTCCAAATCCCTTAAAAAATACACCATGGAATCGTTCATGTATGACTTCACTAAAGAAAATAGGGGTTCAAAAAATATCAAAAAAAATCTGTAGGATCTCAAGAAAAAAGTGAGAAAAATAATAAAAATATCAGAAAAGCCCAAAATTAATCTAGATATGGGACCAAAGCTGGGTTTCCATATGCGGCCAATGACAATTTTGAGGTGACTTGTTTCAAGAGCTGCAAAAAAAATCAATTGGAACTTTCTAGAACTATAGAAGAGAAAAACAACGTACTTGTGTAGCATCGTTGGCATTGACATTTCGGACAGCGGCGGCAATTTCAGCTGGTGAGCTGGCTTCAGCTCCGGCCAAAATTTGGGATGCTCTGTCGAGAGCAACGTTTCGGGCGTCTTGGGATGTAATCAAGATCTGAAATGTGAGAAAGAATTTATTGATTTTTCAAAGTTGGAACTTGTTCTAATGCTGTTGAATGTTCAATAGTATACTTGATCTATGAAGAAAGCGAAATTTAGGAAGAACCCCAGAATCATAGTTCATGAGGGAAGGGGGGGGGGGTTTAGCTAACACTTTTTACAAAGAGAGAGTGTTTAATGTTCACAGATATATTTTTCCGAAGGGTTTGCAAATTTTCTACTACGTTTTTTTTCAGGGAAGAGATTTGAAAAACTGTTTTTTCTTCTCAAAACCATAGGGATAGTATATAATTGTACACTCATTTTCTAATTTATTAATTTCTTATCTGAAAGTGACAATCAGAATTTTAGTTTTTCATTCCAGAAATAGGAAAGGCAATTCCTAAATTTTTAAATAATTTCATCCATTTTCATCTTTAATATTTTTTATTCCTTTTATCTCATTCACAAAATCTTTGAAAAAAAAACATATTTTTATTGATTGCTAGGCTTCGTAAATCGACACAAAACGGCTCTTCGCTATAATAGTTTGATGTCGATTTACGGGTTGTTTCCTTTTTGTTTTAAATTTCAAACTTCTTGATTCGGAACTGAGGTTTATTTATCTTTCATTTTGAAAATTCGAAAAGCGATTTCAATATTATTCAAATAATTTCATCCATTTTCATCTTGGAATTCTCAAATCCACTTGTTCTATCTTATTAACAAAACAAAAAAACTTCAAAAAAAAATTTTATCATTGATTACCTTTCGTAAATCGACACAAAACGGCTCTTCGCTATGAGCGTTTAGTGTCGATTTACGAGGCGTTCCTTTTTTGTTTTAATTTTCAAATTTCTTGATTTGGAACTGACATAGAATTACATATTTTTAATTCCGGACATTCAAAAAGCGCTTTTGAAATTTTAATTATAATATCAACAATCTTCATCTTGAACATTCTCAAATTCATTCTTTTTAATTCATTAACAAAAGAATTTCGAAAAAAAAACTGTTTTCTTATTGATTACTCTGCTTCGTAAATCGACACCAAAGCTCTTCGCTATGAGAGTTTAGTGTCGATTTACGGGACGTTCCCTTTTATTTTTTTCTCCAAATTTTCTCAAAAACTCACATTATTTGCAACAAATTGTTTGACATTTTCAATATCCGAAGTATTGGCTGATTTGAGAGCAGCAAGTGTTGATGTTGTTGTTGAGTTGATCTGGCCATTTGGTGCATCAAATTGAACTCCGACCAATCCACTTTCAGCATATGAAACATTGATTGATGAAGCGTTTGACGTTTTAGCGGCGGCGTTGATCAAAATTTGAGCGACGACGGCTTGAGTGGCGACTTCTTTGGTGGATTTGAGAGCGGCACCTTGTCCGGCAATGGCGACGAATGTGCGGTTTCCTGAGCCGAACCTGAAAAATTTAAGGGTCTTTTTTTAGCAACTATCTGAATTCAGCTTCATGAAGGCTTTAGAGGGCACTAGGAAGCTTCAGAAAGCTTCGGGAGAAAAAACTATTCACCAGTAAAAACACTTACTTTCTAACATCTCCTCCGTAATATTTGCTAGCAGCAACTGGAGTTGCAGCATTTTCAGCCAATGGGAATTGTTGGCTAGCAGCGTTGACCAAAAGCTCGTGATCAATGTTGACTCCAACCAAAACAGCTTCACCGGCTGTCAAACGTTGAGCAGCGAATTCTGAGATGGATTTTGATGAGACCGAGTTGACTCCGTAGTTCGAGAATGCAAGTGGTCCGTTTCTGAAGGCGGCTTCATGGATTTGTTCAAAGACAATTGATTGGCCGGTGAGATAGGTGTTTTCGGTTGGAATCACGTCGTGTTTGACCTGGAACTCAATTGAATTTTTTTTCTCTCAAAAATAACTCACATCTTCAGTATCCCATGGCTTGAAGGCGTTGGTTCCAAGTTGTCCAAGAAGCGAGAGTCCAACTCCAGCATTGTCTCTGACAACATCAAGTTGAATGGCGAGAATATCGCGATTGGATACAGCGGCCTACAATAAATTGAAAAAATTTTCATTTTTCAACTAATAAAACTAACAATCTTTCCACCATTTTGAGCTGTGTTCCAGACGAGTTGAAGACCTGGGAATTCTTGAGAGTCACGACCAATGCTGTTGCGGACAATTTGGACGAGTCCTTGTTGAGCGGCTGGTTGATAACGGGATCCGGCGCGGAAGGCGAGGACGAGCGAAGAAGTGGCTCCTAGATTATTTTTTTGAGGTGAATTTGGTTTTGAAAATTGTTGGGAAGGCTTTTGCAATAAATATGAATACACTAATTTTGGCTTCAATAATAATTTCATGAAGTTCTTGATCTGGAGTTTCAAAACGTTTTTTTTAAATAGAATTTTGATTGATGTTTTTCCATTTTAAATGGTATTCTAACATTACAAGATACAATTTAATTTGAAAAATTTAGAAAATTGTTCATTTTAGGTTCAAGATTTATTTATCAAAATAATGCTAAAAATAGATCAGAATTTCCAAAATTTTCAGTATATTTGAAATTTCTTGATTTCCCAACAGATTTTCTGCTTTTTCACATAACACCACCATTTTTCGAAAAAAAAAACACTCACCATTAAGCTCAATGCTGGATACCGACAATCCATTGCCCAAAACTGAAGTTGTTTCACGGGCTCCGCGAGCAGACGAAGCGGCCGCCGACGCGAATCTTTTCTGAAAAATTCAATTTTCTTTTTTTTTTCCTATAAAAATTCAAATTCTCACCATCAATTTTGATGTTCTATTTGACAACATCTTGGGTTACCTGAAAAAATGAAAAAGTAATTTTCTGAAAATTCAAAAAAACGAGAATTAACAAAAAAAAAAACGAAAAAATTGGACGGTTTTGAGAAAAAGCGGGGAGGCGCAGCGGCATCGAGCGGAGTGTTGTTTGCAAAATGTCTATCTCACAGGGACGCTGTTGTTCGAAAGGGCGCGATTGCTGTTTTGAAAAAAATAAAAGAAGAAGGATGAATTTTTTTGTACGTTTGTGGAAAAATCTTTGAAAATATGGAAATTTTGAAATAATAGCCATTCAAAATGAGTGAAAAAGATCTCACAAATCAACTTTTTCAACACAACATTATGAAAAAAGTGCAATTATTATTGAGTTCAAATAATAAAGCTCAAGAAAAATTTCGAGAGAGCACGAAGAGCAATTAAAAGTAGTTTTTTTCTTCGATTTTTCAAAATTGTGAATTTGTCTTTCTCTTTAAAAAAGTTTAGTGTTTTCCATATTTTTTTTTACCAAAATATATTGAAATCCCGCGTGATCTGCACTATTCAAATTTGCAAATCTGGCAGAATATGTATATCTTTGAATTTTTTTTTTTCATTGAAATAAAATTCAAAATTTGATTTTCCTATAAGTAAATATGTCATCAAATGCCCAATCAAAATCAGGGATTTTCACACAAAGCTTCATAAAAACTGTGTTCTCTGATTCATTGATTTGATTTTGTTCTCTATATACATCTGATTGGAAATGTAATTTTTTGCCAAATATATTTTAAAAACCACATTTTAATGATTAATTGAAAACTCTGATGCAATGTTTTGTATTTCAAGAATTTTGAAGGGAGAAAGTCAATCATGCAAAGTGTAATACACTATTCGATTCAGAATTTTATTTAATATATGCACTAGATTTTCTAGCTCTCAATTCCAACACGTTTTTGCTCTCAAAAAGGCTAGAAGCTGGCAAAATTTTAGGAAGACAAATAAAAAAAGAGACGTAGACACTCACTGACAGTAGAAGGCTCTTTTTTGGTTCTTCTCCATATGAATTGTGTTTTTTGTAACTCTAATGATGGGCGTTATGACAAAAAAAATGACATCTCATGTTGCAGACAGTGTCTGCGCCTCTCACTTTTGTGTTGTGTTTTCGTTTTTGAAAGATGAAATTTTGATGCGTTTTGTATTTGAAACTTTGTATTCTAGATGCTTGTGTTTTCCCCACGCAAAAATTGTATTTCATATTAAAAAATCCAAGATCAAAACTAGACAGAATTAATCCCAAGAGGCATACTAATCATGAATCATTTGATCAGCGTTAGCCCACATTTTTGCATAATTATTTCTCATCCTATATTTTTCATTCTGATCAAATTCTGTTTCTTGACAAGACATGTGCTTTACTAATTTTTTTGAATTTTCCTATAAAAAGGGCACGTTTCCCTCTGTAAATCCCAATAGATATTAAAAATTAGAAAAACAACAGAACTATATTGATTGCCTAAAATTACTTCATCAACTCTTGTCTGTACTTAAATTGATTGTTATTCCCACGAATCTCCCACATATTTCCGCTTTTTTGTTTTTTTTTGTAACCACAGAAAACAGGTATTTATAAATTCATTTCAGTTTTTAATCTAATTTCCGTAAGAGTACATTTTTTCTCACACATATTTTATTATTTCAGGTTTTCGATGTCCATGCATATCAAAATGAGCTGGATTTCTTTGCAAAATCAGATTCAGATGTCAGCTTCAATATTCTCAATATTCGCAAACATTTTTCTGATATTTTTGATAATTTTCAAATCAACAAAATTTATGGGATCATACAGAGTTCTTCTAAGTTACACAGCAATTTTTGAGCTAATTTTTGCGATTTTGGATATTATTACAGCGCCGGTTAGTGTCTCGCGTTTATATGTAGAAAACTGTAAAATCATTTTTGAAGAGCTTTTTTTCATTCGATTCAATTCTTGTCTTATACATCAATATGGGTAATTCGCCTTTGTCATATGAAATTATGAGTATTTTATTGACATTGTATTGTGGGATGTTTGGAATATCTTTGGGTCTCTTTCCAGTTTTATTCATTTATCGATATTTAGTGTTAACAAAGCACAAATTATTAATAACATTTGAATCAAGAACAATAATTTGCTGGCTTTGTATTCCATTGATATTTGGTTTTATGTTTGGTGGAGTTTCAAATATTTTAGCTGCTCCCTCTGCTTACAAAATGCATCACATCGAACCATACTTGATTAAATCTCTAGCGATTTCTAAAGAAAACATTACATATCTCTGTCTATTTTTCAAAACAACAACTCAGAATGATCAAATATTACAAGAACAATCTTTGCTGGCTGTGTTTCTGATGAACTTTCTTGTGGTGAGACACTATTTATTTTTTCGGATAAAAAATAATCTATCAATTCATTTTTTCATTCAGATTTGTTCACTAATAGTCATTCTCTACTTTGGAATTCGATGTAACAAATTGATAAACAAGAACTTGCTTTCCACAAATTTGTCCCAAGAGTATCGAAATGTTCAAACACAATTTTTCTACGCTCTGGTTGTTCAAGCTGCGATTCCAATTTTTCTTCTTCATATTCCAGCTGCCATTATTTTGCTGACAACAGTTTTTGATATCAATCTGGGATTAATCAGCGGCGTCGCAACAATTACAATTGCAATATTTCCAGCTGTTGATCCATTACCAAATGTTTTCATTATCAAAACTTATAGAACAGCTATGAAACGTGAGTTTTATTGTTACTAGAACAATAAAGTGCAAGTTGGTTTTAGAAATTTTCAAATCGCTGTTCACATTTTGGAAGAGAACAGAAGTTTCATCGATCGCCTAAAAAATGTATTCCTGGTTACAAAACAGTTAAAATGTATATTGAAATTGTTTTTGTTTTGATTTTTTCATTGGCATGATTATTACATTTAAATATCGAAAAAGTCCCAACAATGTCATTTTGAGTCCCCACAAGTTTTTCATTTCGGTTATTTTTATCCATTTAAAGAATTTGAAGACAATTTATTGGACGCATTTTTTGGATGTAATAGGACGAGATGGAATTTGACAAATTTATAATTCTTTTTTTTTTCTCTTTTTTCATTTTTAGGAGTTTTCAATACTAATCGGAAATAGCTAATACTCCACTTTTAATAATATAGATATCTTTTCTGACATTGAGAACTTCTCTCACGTTATCTTGAAAATTCAAAACAAAACTAATAAATAAGTCTAGAAACTCTGTAAATCATGAAAAAAACTAGAACACTTTCATAAATACCGGATCCGAAAAATTGTGCTTGTTATTTTTAATGTAGTAACAATTTTGACAATTGTTCAAAAAACATGAAGAAAAAGAAACTATGTAGTTTTTTGTTATAGAACAATTATTTTTTCAATCTTTATTCTTTTCATTCCTACATTTATTAATAAAAATAATATATAGCGCATAAGAACGATGAATATTTCATCAAAGATCGGAAGAGTACTCATCTCAAAAATTGTGGAAAAAAGCACTAATTTAGTGGGAAGAATTTCTTCTTTATATTCTTTAGAATTTTTTAAATTGATATCATATTTCAGTTCGAACTTCCCCAAGCTTTAAATTCGCAATGAGTAATTTTTTCAACATTTTTATCGTTTTTTTTTATTCCAGAGTTTAATCTTAATCCTACTGTTCTTTGGATTAGAATTTGAATTCATTGAATTCCAGTTGATCTTATGATTGAACATGTTGATAGATAGTTCGAGAATTTAAAGCCGCCAGATATTTTTTTGATTTCCGTGTTCTGTTTTTATGAAAATCAAATGAGAATTGTACTCTCATTGTCACAAAAAAAAATAACAATCATAATTGAAACTTTTTCAATTGAAACGTTGAAAACCCACAAATTTGATAATAAAAAAACGTTTTTCGAAACATGTTGTAATTGAAATATCAACTAGCGTGAACTGAAAATGAGAAACTACAAAAAATCACATGTCTACCAATTTATAGTCAGATCTATGAATAATCGAAAAAAAAATAGCTAGAACTAGAGAAGTTTAAGGAAGAAGAAGTTGACTCAATTTTAATATTCTTTTTATTACTGCACAAAAATTAGTTCCATTTTTTAAAGGAAACTTTTCTAACTTTGAACTAGAATGATTTATCATCAAGTTTTGTCGTATAAATTCATATTTGTATTATTATTATTATTATTTTATTTTTTGAAAGACACCATTTTTTAGATTCTCAATTATTCTAGCTGCCTTTCCGGAATTTATTGACAATGAGCATCATATTTCTCAAATTTATGTTATTCATCATTCAGAAACAAAAATCGTTGATTTTCTCATATTTTTTTACAAGTTGTTTCAGTTTAATTTTTCAAAGATGAGAGAAAATATCAAAAAATTATTTTTTTAAGAATGAGAAATAAGTAAAATTTCTGACCTAGAGAAAGAAAGCTGTTCGTGAGAACTTTTGAGAAACGTTTTTGATTCTTTTTTATTTTTCTCATATTGATTGTTGAACCCATTGTTTTTCCAACTAGCACACATGCTTGTGAAATGAAAAACAATAAATATATTTATTTATTTATTTATCTATACATATTTGTGATAACAAGGAAATGAATGATATTTTATCTTGACAGGATTTTTGGATGTTTTTTGTTGCTCTCCGTCAATGTTCTCATTAAAATCTATGAAAAAGTTGAGCTGCACATTATTATTTGATCTTTCTCGCATAAATTATTTTTTTGTCTACTAGGCCTTTAGGTGACTCTTCTTGAATATCTCTCAGATCATTTAGAACAGCAAAAATATATTTTTGATTTCAAAAAATGATACGTTTTCATTTTGTTCAATGTTAATCCTTTTATTTCTCATTTTTTTCCAGGATAAATGTTTTCCACGTATGACTCTTATTTTCAGGTTTCATGGATGAAGATAAATGGGTTTCCTCAAAACATCAAATTCAACGATTTATTTCAATTTTTTCAGTTTTTGTCAACTGTTTCTTGATTTTTCTAATAATTTTCAAATCTACAAAATTCATGGGATCCTACAAAGTTCTGTTAATTGTTTTTTGTTGCTCTCCGTCAATGTTCTCATTAAAATCTATGAAAAAGTTGAGCTGCACATTATTATTTGATCTTTCTCGCATAAATTTTTTTTTTGTCTACTAGGCCTTTAGGTGACTCTTCTTGAATATCTCTCAGATCATTTAGGACAGCAAAAATATATTTTTGATTTCAAAAAATGATACGTTTTCATTTTGTTCAATGTTAATCCTTTTATTTCTCATTTTTTTCCAAGATAAATGTTTTCCACGTATGACTCTTATTTTCAGGTTTCATGGATGAAGATAAATGGGTTTCCTCAAAACATCAAATTCAACGATTTATTTCAATTTTTTCAGTTTTTGTCAACTGTTTCTTGATTTTTCTAATAATTTTTAAATCTACAAAATTCATGGGATCTTACAAAGTTCTGTTGATTTATACTTCAATCGTTGAACTGTCCTTTGCTTTTTTAGATATACTTCTGGTGCCTGTAAGTCCTCATGCAGATATATTTGAAATCAAAGTTTCATAATTTTCAGAGCTCTTTTTTATTCGACTCAATTCTTGTTTTATATATAAATAAAAACAATTCATACTTCCCATTTGAAATCATGAATTTTTCATTATTATTATATTGTGGAATGTTTGGAGTGTCTCTAGGATTATTTCCAGTTCTATTCATTTATCGATATTCTGTTTTATCAAAAAACAAATTATTGGCGACATTCGAATCAAAAACAATTCTCATTTGGCTATCAATTCCATTAACATCCGGTCTTATTTTTGGTACAATTGCTTGTATTCTTACTTCTCCTCAAGATATTGCATTTCAACAACTCGAACCATTTTTACAAAACTCATTGAGAATTTCAAAAGAGAATTTTGAATATCTATGTTTATATTTCAAATCTATAACTATGCAAGATAAAATACTTTCAAACAAATCTCTACTCGCAGTTTGTTTGATGCATTTATTATTGGTAGGACGTGTCTCACACAATTTCGAAGGATATTTCTCAATAAAAAATAAATCTTTTTCCAGATTTGTTCATTGATCCTCATTTCATACTTTGGTCTCAAATGTTATAAACTGATCAATGAAAAATTGAATCAGTCGAATGCGTCGCAGGAATATCGCAACATTCAAACTCAATTTTTCTATGCATTAGTTGTTCAAACAATGATTCCACTTGCTCTTCTTCATGTTCCAGCTGTTCTCGTTTTGCTAGCAGGCGTTTTTCAAATCAATTTAGGATTGATCAGTGGTTGTGTACCATTTGCATATGCAATATTTCCCGCCGTTGATCCACTTCCAACGATTTTCATCATCAAAAGTTATTGGAGTGCTACTAAACGTGGGTTCTTTGAATTAAATCTATTGAACATACTTTTTCAGTGATTCTCAAATCGTTTTTGACATTTCCGAGAAGACTGAAATCACCAACAGCTGTATAATATGAACAATAATTGTTAATTTTTTTGAATATGTGTATTTATTATAATTTAATAAAGCGACAGAAGAAAAATTATGAAAAATTAAAGCTTGGAAAAAACACACTTCGGGTGAAGGAAAAATAGCAATGGTAATCAACAAGTTTTGAATTACAAGGGATTGGAAATGTATTTGAAAAAATGATATGGGTTTGTGAACATTTGTTAAGACTACGTAAATGATACCGGCTAAGCAATAAAAGAGATCCGGGAAATCAATATAAAATAAATAGGGGGACAAATTTATTCAGTTTTATCAGCTTGCTCTTCTTCTTCCATATCCTCAAGTACTGGATTCCAGAGAATAAGTTTTTTGTCAGCTGACAAAAATGAAATGAATGCCGGGTTCCATTCAACAATCAATGGTGCAGACTGATGTGGTGTTTTAACAAAACTGTGCACCATTTCACCAGTTTCCGTTGACCAAATGTGAATTTTTTTGTCACTACTTCCGCAGGCAACATATCTCGAATCCGGTGAGAATGAACCCTTCAATGGGAATCTCTGGAATAATGGATTTATGTAAATTGCTCTGCTTTCCTAGATTTTTCACAAAAAATCTTCCAAATCAGAAAAAAACTGACCGGTTTGTTGAGATGTCCTTGAAGAACATGTTTTATTTCTCCAGTAACAGCATCAAGAAGGAGAAGTTTGTCGATGTCAGTACAAATCAAAATCAATGTTCCGCAAGATGAGAATCTAATCGCCACCCAATCTTCAGTTGACCATTCCGCTGGAACAACAAACTTTGAGAATGGACCTTTTTGATAAGCACGATAATCATATAATCTCAAAGTTCCAGAAAATGCGAGGCCGAAGCAAAGGCCTTGTGCATCAAATTCGGCAGTTGCAGGTGCTGACGTCTCAACTGCTCCCACGCAATTTGTGGCACGCGAATCCCAGAGACGAAGAGTTTTATCTTTGCTGACTGATAGAAACATGTCATCATTGGCGGAGGTGCTGATCCCAGTGACGAGTCCTTCGTGACCAACGTAATAGCGAATGTATTTGTTGTCAATAAGGGATAAATAGCGAATTGTATCTGAAAAAAGTTATGTGTGCTTTTTTCTGAAAACGAATTTCTCAAAGATAACTCACGATCGATTTTAGTACTTCCATGAATCGCACAAGTTGCATCAGCAACAAATCTGATATGCGAAGCTCCATATTTCTTGCTATTCACAGTTCTTGCTCGGTGTCCAGTACTCAAATCATACAAATAAATTGAATCATCGTTTGTTGAAACAATTGCTTGTAATCCGGTTCGACTGAATGCGATGCTGTTCAGTTGAGAAGATGCATCACCAAAGTATCGTCCAGGAATCAAAGCGGCAAATGCTTTTGCATTGATTTCAGCTGTTGGCCAAGCTTCGAGGTCTTCACCTTTGGGCATTTTTGGATTCTGAAAATGAGAAAAAAATATTTTTTTTTTAAGAAATAGAGTTCTTTAAAATCTCGAAATCAATATTCATTTCAGAGAAGCAGAGAGAAAATCTATAAAATCTCAAAAGCATGAGAAAGGCTTGTGCGATAGAGCGCGATTGCTGTGTTGAAAAGTAGAGATCGGATTTTTGAAGAGAGTGTAGACGACAAACATATTTTGGATTATTGTGAAATATTAGAGAAGGGCTACTATTCAAAAATTGTGAAAAAAATTACTAAAATTTTGTGTTTGAATGAAAAAGGAATTTAATACATGCCTAATGTAAGATTTAGGCTTCAAAAAAATGAAACTAAACAAAGAATGAAGGCAAAAAAAGTAGCGTCCATTTCAACAGAGCAGATTTTGCACTTTCCCAGAAGCATATTCTCACACATTTTTTTAAACGAATCTATAAAATACAACAAATAAAAAATAATGATAGAAAAAAACAGCTAATATGAGTCGTATTTATAAGAAAAAACAGAGAAATAAAAAGGATATTAAAAATCGAACTTTGCTTGTTTTGAACAAAAAAATGAAGGAATTTTTACTAGGAATTGTGAATTCTAAAGTGAACCTAGAGAAATTAATATAATTTATTTTATTTAAAATTGTATTTTTTCAAAAATTAAAGATGCACTACATATTTTTCACAGATTTATCTCAAAATTCAAAATAAATTTCCAATTAGAAAAATGATATCACGAACAATTTCAGAATCAAAACAATTAGTGCAATTTATGAGAAAGTACAGATCGGTGTACTGTAAGTCCCCACGGGCAAATGGGAAGGAAATAACAACGCCAATATTCACGAGTTTTTGAGTTCCTAATTGTTTTTTTTCTGTTAACAAATGGATTTTTACGGGAAATGGGTTTCTTCTCAATATTTCATTCAAGTGTTCTCATCAACCTTTTCGATAATTGCTAATATCTTTCTTATATTCTTGATAATTTTCAAATCTACAAAGTTTATGGGATCCTACAAAGTTCTTTTGGGTTACACTTCAATTTATGAGCTCTCTTTTGCTATTCTGGATATTATTATAGCACCTGTAAGTTATCAAAATATTTAACAAGAACAAATTATAATCTTCAGAGCTGCTTCACATTTGATTCAATGCTTGTTCTTTACGCAACCAACATATATTTCTCACCAAAAACAATGAGAATTTTATTGCCATGTTATACTGGAATGTTTGGAATATCTTTAGGAATTTTTCCAGTCTTATTCATCTATCGTTTTCTAGTTTTAACAAAAAACAAATCTTTAATAACATTTGAATCAAGAATAATATTGTTTTGGTTGTTTATTCCATTGCTATTTGGCTTCATGTTTGGTGCAACCACTCGCATTCTGGCTGCACCTCATGATATTAAAACTCATCATTTTCAAAAATATCTTACAAGTTTGTCAGGAATTCCTAGAGGGAATATCACATATTTGAGTGTTTTCTTTGAGTCAACAAATGCACAATACACAAAAATATGCTCGGAATCAATACTTGCCATAATATTGATGAACATTCTTGTTGTAAGAATGCATATTGACTCCAGTTTGATAATCTTTTAAATTCCAGATTTACTCACTTATCCTAATTATACACTTTGGAATAAAGTGTTATAACTTGATAAGTAAAAACTTAAATTCATCCAACTTATCTCAAGAATGTCGAAATATTCAAACTCAGTTTTTTTATGCATTAGTTGTTCAAACAATAATTCCTATTGTTCTCCTTCACTTTCCGGCTGCAATTACTTTGCTATCAGCAGTTTTCAATATCGATTTAGGGTTTATTAGTGGGATTCCGATAATTACGCTTGCAATATTTCCAGCCGTTGATCCACTTCCAACAATTTTTATTATCAAAAGTTATCGAAATGCTACGAAATGTGAGATTTATTGAAAACTACGTCATAATTATTCACATTTTCAGGCATTATGCTATCGTTGTTTAGATTTTTGAAAAAATCACAAGTATCATCACAGGAACATTGATTCAAACAAAATATGTAATTTTTAAGAGAGCTTGAGGAAAAAATATTTCCGCAAGCACAACAAGAAAATTCTACAAGAAATCAATACAGTATGCTGAAAAAGTTCAACTTCGAAGAAGTCCTACATAGATCAACAACATATTTTTATGGAAAAAAAACTTCCTACACATCCTTATTCATCTGAAAAACATGTTAATCCAGTCTTAATCCACGCCATAGCGCAAAAACATTGTTGTTTGATCTAACCATTGAAATAAAATCTATGTATCTTCAGACTAGAAAACATTCTTGATTTTTTTGAGTCAAAGTAGTGGAATTTGAATCATCAGATTAATTTTCAAATCTTTGTTTCTGAAAACAAATCTATGATTATTTTTTTTTTAAATCGCGATCAATATAAAACGTGAAGTTGTTTGTTTTGATTCTTGCTTCAATTCTCTCATTGTTATTGTCATTTCAATTTTAGAGTTGATTTTCACAAACTTTACAATGTTCGCTAGACAAAAAAGAGTTTAGTTGAGATCTGAAAAGAAATTCAAAGTACGAAGCCTCATAAGCTTAAGCTGGATATTAAATAACTAGAAATTTCTTCTCCATTCCATTTTTAATTAAACTCTAGACAAAAAGAAGTATCTGCGTTGCTAGATTTCTCAATATATTTTTATTTCCAATTCTAACAATTGCTCAATTTTCCGAATGATCAAATCCAATGACACATATATTTTATCCGGATATCTGGTTCAACGAATCGCTTCGATGGCGTCAATTATTCTGAATAGTTTTTTGATAATGCTGATATTTTTCAAGTCAAAGAAATGCATGGGTTTTTATAAAGTTCTTCTACTTTTCGCTTCAATAGTTGAACTGATGTATTCTGTTTTGACTATAATTGTAATGCCTGTGAGTTCCTACATATGTATTTCTTAATTAACAAATTTAAAGAAACGATAATCAATTTTTTTCAGAAATCATTTTTATTAGATTCAACACTTATTTTATACATGGAAAACTCATATCTCGTCTTTTTTTCAGAAATCATTTTTATTAGATTCAACACTTATTTTATACATGGAAAACTCATATCTCGTCTCAAAGACAATGTTTTTCTTATTGGCACTGTTTTGCGCAATGTTTGGACTATTATTAGGGCTTTTGCCAGTTGTATTTATATATCGATATTTGATATTATCAAGAAGCAAATTAATAAAAACATTTGAGTCAAGATCGGTATTTCTCTGTTTATGTATTCCTATAATATTCGGATTTGTCTTTTCTGAAGTCACATATCTTTTAACTATACCTGGATACAACACAGGTCACATTGAATCATATTTGATTGAGTTTTTAGATATCCGTAAAGAGAATCTAATATACTTTTGCTTCTATTTCAAAACAACAATTGTGCAAGATAATTTTTTTCAAGGAGAAGGAGTTGCCGTATTTTTGATGAATATTCTTTTGGTGAGTTACACATAATTTACAATTATTTCACATTTGCAAAATAAACTATTGTCATCCAAAAAAATGAAGTTTTCAGATTTCATCCTTGAGCTTCATGTTATATTTTGGATTTCAATGCTATGAATTCATGCGTAAACAATTCATCAAAGATTCAAATACATCAAGATTCTCCCCAGAATATCGTGACAATCAAGTTCAATTTTCCCATGCGTTGATTGTTCAAACTATTATTCCACTGCTTTTTATTTATTTTCCAGCTGCGATTATTTTCATATCAGCAGTTTTTCACATAAATCTAGGATTCATCAGTAATGTGGCAACAATAACAATTTCGATATTTCCAGCGATTGATCCAATTCCAACTATTTTTGTTATTAAAAGTTATCGAGAATCTACGAAAAGTGAGAATTCAGCAAAAACCTAATCGAAAATGCTTCAATTTTCCAGGCATTTTGCAATCTGTTTTTACATTTTGGAAAAAATCAAACGCCCCCACAATCAATTCACGTACTTGAATCCTGCTGAAAAATTATTTTTAAAATTAGAAATAAAAGTTTTTTCGGAAGGTGTTTATTTTCTATTCTTTGCAATTTGATCATATTTTATCTATTTTTTTGTTCAGAGTTACATTTTGCAGAATAATAGCAAAATTATAAAATAAACATACATAGTTCCGTTCTATTGAAATGAAAATCCTAGATATCATACAATTTCTTGAATATTTTTATTCTAATGTTCTTTATATTGTTATTATTGTACTTCTGATTGTCACAACAATCATGCTTATGCTTCATATTATTGTTTTATGCAATGATAAAAACTTACGTGGTAACTCAATCAATGTTATTTTGATTTTTCTAGCTGTTTCTGATATCCTTTCTATTTTATGGGCTATTAAAAGTTATATCGACGATAATCATTACACGCTTACTTCTAGGAACCGAGATTTTGAAATGGTTCTCGCATTCGCTTATGTTATAATTTATTTTCTATCAAAACTTGGATTGTATTCATCACTGTTGCTGACGGTTTCATTGGGAGTTTTACGATCTTTGACAGTTTGGAAACTTGGAAGCGTGAACAAAAAATGGACAGCGTCAAAAATTGGATTAAGAATAGCATTGGGATGTTTAACGTTTTGCTTTCCACTGGCTTTTATCAAAATGTTCGAAAGATTTCTCAACAGGGGGAACATTCTTAAAATGACTCATGATCTGATTCTTTCAACATGTTTTGGGATTATCCCACTATTTATCACTCCAATATCAACAACCATTCTCATCAAAAGACTACAAGAAATGCATCGCCGAAGAGCTCATTTGTTATGCTCCTCAAAAAAATTCAAATCATATCGAACAACTAAAATGATTGTTTATTTGTCCATTAGTTTTATGATCATCCATATTTTTAATACTCTTGTAATGCTGACAAACCATGACAATATAAATATTCCTGAAGAATATATCGTTCTTATCGATGCAATTTCAATTGATACAGTTCCTTTGTGGATTTTAAATTCAAACATGCATTATATAATCTGCTATTCTGTATGTCTTCAATACAGAAAGTCAGCTAATTCTCTTTTTTATCGATTTTTAAATGTTTTGAGGCATATAATATGTTGCAATTGAATAAAATATGAGGTTCTGTTGAATTTGAGAGAAGTTTTTTATAAGAGGGCAAATAGGCTCGGACAAAAAATACTATTTTATTGAGCACGACGCCACTTTTGATACTGAATTCGAATTTGCATTATGTATTATTGTGTTTGTTATCGATATAGAAAAACTTCAAATGATATGTTTCTCGGAATTTTAAATTTTTTCAAAAAGATGTGTTGGTTTTGCTGAATGATTTCTTCGATAAAATATTTGTATTTATTGAAGCAAAAAATAGAACATTAAAAAAGGTTTAACATATTTTGAAGTAACATAAAAATGGAATAATTTGAAGTTGAGAAAGACATCAAGAAACATTAGCATGAATGCATAAGTTTTATGAATGCATAAAACCCACGGAATTTTTGAAACATCATTCATAACACATGTAGAGAGAACGATTACCAACACGAATTTCAACTGCTGTTGGAATGAATGTTGGCTTCGAACCGGGATACATTTTTTGAACATGTTTCAAAATTTGTTCGGTAATTGGTTTGGCACAATTTCGAATGAAAATTATTTTTCCCCATTCTGAGTTCTGAAAAAATAAGTTTCATTTTTTGAATAAAAAACTTCGGATTACCAACCTCTTCGTTTTTCAAAAACCATAAAACACCTTCAACATCTTTTTTGTTAATTCTTGATTCGAAATATTTGTAGAGCATTTTAACAGGCCAACTTCTCTCTTCTTTTTCAATCTTGACATTGATCCTTGTGTTTTTTGGAGAAACATTCAGAATTGCAGCTAAAACTGATTTACTGAGCAATGGCTTCTGCTGGAGAATATCGAATATGAACAAATCACTTTGACTTGTCACGCTCGAAGCAAGTTTTTCCAACTCATTTTCTTTGATTGGGACTTGAATCGATAAAAGTGTCAGTTTCTTCATAGCAGCGATTTTTGCGCAAAAATTTTGCAATTTCTTCTCTCTGACACTCGCCACATTTTCTTGGATGAAATCGAGGATTTGGAATAATTGGACGTTCTTTACAAACTCTCTCAAATCTTCGGATGTTTCAAAGATTTTCGAATCATTCGAAACGATACTTCCTGGATTGAATCGATTCAATTGCGTATTTGACACAAATGGAAGAGCTGGTTTTTTGCCAATAACATCTGGAGTTGTCTCAATTTTATTGAAACCACAGACTGAGGACAATGTATCGGTGTTGATTTTCATTTCAAATTGCCGGATTCCGCTGGAAAAATTGGTTTTTGAAGTAAAAAAAACAGTTTTCAGAGTGGATGAATCAAGCATGGCTTGAAAATTGAGGAGCATTTAAAACCTCAAAATACACATGTACCTTACCTCTTTTGCCTTTCAAAATTTCTTGAAACGCGTTGTACTCTAACAGCATCATCAGAACAGAAACCTTCTAAATGATCATCCATATCAATGATTTCCTCGGTTGAAACTGCGCTCTGTAACATTTTTTTAATATATTAATATTAAAAAATAGAATCTAAACAACAAAAAAACTAACCATTTTCAGGAGAAATAAACAAAAAATCAACCAATTTGTTCGGTGCAAAATGAATATGAATGGTGGCGTGGTGAATGGTGGGCAATCTCGACGAGAGAGTGGAGACGCAGAGAAAGGTGTATTTCTGATATAGCGTGGCAGATGTTGGTGGAGCGTCCTAATAATGGATTATAAATTGATTGGTCCCTGTTTGTCGTGGACATTTTTCTCTGCTTGTCTCTTTTCTCCTCCAAATACATGATCTTTGTTTCGTGTACTGTGGAACATGTGTGAGAACAAATAATTATAGCGTCGATTGGAAGAAGATTAAGATGATGGTTTTGAAAAAGAAAGGAACATCAACAAAATCTGGAAATCCCAAATAAAACTCAAATTTGAAACAAGGATTTCAAAAAAAACTTCGGATAGAAATCTGAAAATAATTGACTTGGGGAAGTTTCAAAATTTAGGAAAACGAACAAAAACATGTGTTATGAACTGGAAAAGCAATCCTTACAAGGGCTTCGAAAAATAAGAATTCAAAAAAATGAACTTCAAAAAATTTTCGGAGAATAGTTTCGACTTAAATTTCAAGTTTTCGATATATTGATAAGTGTTGGGAACTGATTGAAAATTTTCCAAAGACTTCTAGGCCTTAATCTTGCCTGCAGTTTTGATAGGATCTCAAGGGACTCTCACAACCATGATATTTTGCTGATTTTTTTCCTTATTGAGAAATTTGTCAATTGTTTCAACAAAATGAAAATAAACAGCATGGTTGATTGATTTTTGTTCAAAAAAAAAACAAAACAAACAATTTTTATCAATGAGAAAAGAACAAACAAATGATTGCTAATGGCTGAAAATGTGGCCGTGTGGCCTAATGGATAAGGCGTCGGTCTCCTAAACCGAAGACTGCAGGTTCGAGTCCTGCCTCGGTCGTAATTTTTTTCCAACTTCAAATTACTGGAATTTTATCGTTCGCTTCAATTTTCATTTGCAATAAAACCACCTCTGGAAAAAAATACCTCATAAATATTCAAAAGAGTTCAAAAATTATGCATCTCCATATTCCCATTTTCGACATTTAAAAAAACTAAAAATATGAGTAATTGATTTTTCAAGTGTGTGTGAAATAAATACTTGAGAAAAGGTGCTACTAGATTTTAATGAAATGTAAACAACTTTTTCTGTTTTGTTTATTTATGTAGTAAATCATGTTTTCATTCAGGATTTTATTATCGTTTTCTTCAAGCTTTGTAATTTTTATGGGTAAGGTTTATTTGTTCTTATCTTGGCTCAACATTGCTCATATTCAGAAGCCACACAATCTGCAGAAGATCGTCTACTAACAGATCTTTTTCGAGGGATATAACTCGCTAATTAGACCAGTGAAAAATGCATCAAGCGATCCTATTGAAGTTAGTCTAACTGATATAACTCAGCTGAATGTGAGCTGAATCAGCTCCCAAAACTGTTAAATTTTTCAGGTATTTTTCAGTTTGGCATTTGTATTATTGATAAATGTTGATGAAAAAAATCAGATAATGCAAACAAATGTGTGGCCAACAATGAAATGGAATGATTATCAAATGCGGTGGGATCCGAGAGATTATGATGGGATAAGGACGATTAGAGTTCCACCGGATAAAGTTTGGCTTCCAGATATTGTGCTTTTCAATAAGTCGGTTGAAATATACACAGAAATTGGAAATTCATCAATTTTTTCAGCGCTGATGGAAATTACCTTGTTTCTTTCTACTCCAACGTTGTTGTCGAGCACACTGGAGAAATGTTATGGGTTCCTCCAGCTGTTTATAAAAGCAGTTGTCTAATTGATGTGGAATTTTTCCCTTTTGATGGTAAGTTCCTCCAAAAATATGTAACGTTATATTTGATCTTTCAGAGCAAACCTGCTCATTAACTTTTGGCTCATGGACATTTCGGAAAGACGAGTTACAACTTTCATATCTTTCAGGGAAGAGACATGTGAGTTTGATTTGAAGAAAGTGAATTCTGACAAAAAATTCAGGTAGAGTTAAATGACTATCTTCCAAGTGGAGTTTGGGATTTGATGGATGCTCCAGGTATTTTATCCAATGACAGATCGAAAATATCATATCAAATCAAGATTCGAAGAAAAGCTCTGTTTTATACCGTAATCCTAATAATGCCTACAGTACTTATGGCATTTTTATCAATGATGGTGTTTTATTTGCCAGCAGAGTCTAGTGAAAAAATTACACTGGCTATTAGTATTTTATTGGCGTTGGTAGTTTTTTTGTTGGTGGTTTCAAAGATTCTGCCTCCCACAAGTTCTACAATTCCACTTATGGCTAAATATTTGTTGATGACTTTCATTATGAATATGATTACTATAATGGCAAGAGACATTTTTTAAAACTTTATAGATACATTTTTTGAATTGGAATTCTTCAGGTCAGTGTAATCATAATCAACGTCTATTTCCGTGGTCCTGCCACTCACGTAATGCCAAACTGGGTAAAAATAATCTTCCTTAAATATCTCCCAATGTTTTTCGCAATGCAACGACCCGAAAGTACTCAACACGAATTCCAGAGAGAAAGGAAAAGTCTGAAAGCCGCATTTCGAACAATTTTCAAGAAATCTGATCCATCACGTGTAAAAAAGACTGTGAAGCGTGAACCTTCTCAAACCAAAGAAAAATTATCAGATGAAGCTGAGAAAGCGATTGAGGCAATTGAATATATCACAACTCATCTGACTCAGGACAATAAATATAAACAGGTGAGGGAAAATCTTTGGAAAGTAAGCTGAAGTTTTGAATTTGATTATCAGAAATATAAGTTATTTGGAAAACATATTTTCAATGATTCAAAAGAAAAAAATTATGAAATTTGAAAAAAAAAACAAATAAAATATCAGATATGAAACAGTCAAAAATAGTTCCTCTTTCAAAATCAAAATATTAATTCAAATTAATTTTTCAGCAACGTGAAGAATGGATGTTCGTATCAGTGGTGATTGATCGTTTACTTTTATACATGTTTTTTGCCGGTACGTCATTTAACCCCCTCCCTAATATCAAAACATAAAATGTTTGCTTACAGTAACCACTGGCGGAACAATGGGTATACTTTTATCGGCGCCGAACGTTTTCGAACATGTTGATCAAAATTCGGTGATTGAAAGATTGAAAAAACAAGCGGCCGAGGAAATGATAAATTTTGTCTAATTCTCTTATCACTTGTCAGAATTTTCTTGTATTTAAACTTGAAAAAATGAAGGTCATTTCGATCAATGTTGTTCTTCCTTCTAGTTGTTTTTTTGTCGGACGAGAGTTTGGCGCAAGGATGGGGTCAGCAACCGCCTTGGGGTGGTGGGGGATTCAGGCCATGGGGGCCACCGCCGCCACCAATTCCTCCGCCAGGATTTGGTGGGAGACATCATCATGGACCAAGAGGACCTCCACCTCAGGAAGGTGGATTTGGAAATAATGGTGGACCAAGAGGTGGAGAAGGAGAAGGTGAGTTATAATCTGGGTAATCCGATTTGTGAATTTTTTGCAAGGATCACTTGGAAATAGGAAAGTTTTTGCTATAAAAGTAGAATTTGTCACCTTGAAAACTGAAAATTCGAATTTTATGACAACCTAAAAACATAGAATCTGATGCAAATATTTTTGAACAAATTTCACCGAATCCCTTCCCCCAAATTTTTCTCCAAAATAAAAGAACATTTCCAGTCCGCCAGATCATTCAAATTTTCGAAACCCGCCTTCCGCCACCAGCGTCCAGATTCGGAGGAGATATTCTAAACGATTTCCGAAGTTTCCACAAAAACCACCGCCATTTTTCAAGAAGAGATTGGGGTCAAAACATCCGTCATTTCTGCCATAGATTCCCCGGACATCCAAATTGTCGGAAAGGTCGAATTCCTGATCAAGCTGAACTTCAAGATATGATCGAACAAATGTCGAAAGGTGGAATTGGCCGATTTTTAAGAAAAGTTCCCCGAATTCATATCGAAGATCCACTTGGTAATGTAGATCAAAATTTGCGAGATTTCGTGAAACCTAGAGGTTTTGGACATTTGGATGAGGGACATAGAAATATTATTCGTGATATTTGTAAATCTAGAAAATGTAGAGAACAACCAGAGAATGCAAAGAAAAGAAGATTGCTGTTCACTGAAAAATTGATCGATTTTGAGAAAAGTGTGACTGGAAAAGATACTTCGGATGTTGTACAACTTAGATTTGATCGAACACTTCAATTGAAAGAGGCATTGTTGGAAAAAGGAAATTTGGCAGCGGATGTGAGTTTTTTTTTTGTTGAAAATAATTTTGAACTTTCGCCTTTTCATTATGTTTTTTCTGTTTGAAAACTGGTTGTGTAATAATTTATGTTACATTCTGACACATTTATTTGTTTGATTTGATGACGAATTTTTCTAGGAAAGTTTGATCTTGAAAAAATATTACAATTAGGGTTCGTACTAAAAAAAATGAATCCAGAGAAGTTTTTCAGCACCTTTTCACAGATATTTTTAAAAAATTAGAGTCCTCCCAGGTTGCTCCAATGGATGATGGAATCTATGATCTTGACACAATGCTCACAGAAGAGCAAGCCAATATTTTGCTAAATGAACTCAACAAGGCTGGTGTTGGAAATGATGAAATTCCACTTCCAGAGGATGACAATGCTACTGAAACAGCATCATCTTCGACTCCAGATGCAACTTCTCCCACTTCAAGATCTCGCAAATCAGCACTGTATTTTGAAGGGAATCTGATTAAAAAATGGGATCCCAGCTCGCCAATCAGATATGTTATGGATTCATCTTTAGGTGAGAAAGAAATTGGATTTTAAAAAAAATTGATAACATTTATAGAGGACATGGAGAAAAATGAGGTTCGAGCTGCTATTTTCGAAATCGAATCAAATACTTGTATCAGATTCCGAGAATTGGCCAAACCACCGAATGGATCGCATATTGTTTATTATAAAGTTGATAGTCCTACTTTGTGAGTTACAGATTTTTTTCGGCTGAAAAATTGATGAGAATTTTTTTAGTTGTGGACTTTCCTATGTTGGAAGAGCAGAGCCAGCAAATCCAGTATATTTGAGTTTTGGCTGTGAGAATGTGAGTTTTTTGCGTTTTGAAAAAGTTTTTAAAACTTTTTAAAGCTTCATAGGCAACTTCAAAAAAAATTCTACCTTACAGAACAAAGGAGTTGCAATTCATGAAACTATGCATGCTCTCGGCGTTGCTCATCAACAACTTCGAAATGACCGTGATCAATATATAACAGTCAATTGGAGCAACATTAATCCTCAGCAATACGACGCTTTTGTTGTTGTTGACTCGAAACTCTACACTTCTTATGGTGTGAAATATGCTTATGACAGTATTATGCACTATAATGCTTACAGTGGCGCGCAAAATTTTGCTATCGCCACAATGACACCAAAAGTGAGTTGATTATTATGATGATCAAAAAAGTTTTGAGTTTTTCATATTCCAGATTGATCCTTCAAAAAATCTTGGAATTCTTGGACAACGTGAAAAAATGGGGAAGACTGATATTGAATTATTGACAAAAATGTATTGCCAACCTGGATGTGAGGATAAAAATGTGTATTGTGGAGCTTGGGCTTTGAAAGATTTGTGCGATAATCCGAATCATAATCGATTTATGGCCAGTAATTGTGCAAAGAGTTGCAATAAATGTAAATGAAGCTTTGATTATTTCACTTGGTTATGTTTTTATTTTTTACTGTGTATTTTTTTTGAATATAAGGTTTGAGGTGGGCAAACTCCAGAATCGGCCCGGACAAAAACTTTTTTCGCCTGGATATTGGATCATTTTTTGAACTGAACGGGCTTTTTTTATTTTTTTAGACATAAAACAATTCAATCAATAAAGCGGTATTTGTTCAATAGAATTACTTATTTGAGTTTTTTTCCGTGTTGTTCTGTAAATTCAGTCGGAAACAGATTTTTTTCAACATTTACTAACTCGACCCCTCTTTTCAATTGTGGGCTCAAACAATTCGCATAAAACTCTATTTGAATTTTATTTCTCCAGGGTTATTGGGTTTTTTTTTTGACAGATTTTTGTATGAGGCTTTTTTGAAAGATATGTAGTCTTATTGTTAGAACAAGGTTTCGGAGCTTCTTTCTTTTTTGATATATTTTTAGTACCATTTTGCATTCATTATTCTACTATCACATGATTCATTCAAATCATTTTTCTCTTCTGCTCATATCCAAACTCGAAAACAAGAAGAAGTATGATGATTTGAAAATCATCACGCCTCTCACCTCTTTTAATAATTATAATTCAACAATTTTTAGCATTCCGTTTCCTAGGTGAAAATCCGGGTTAATTGATACTCTTTCATTTACTCCTTTTTATTTCATTATTCTACTTTATTCTTTTTGGGTGGTTTATTGATTTCTATACTTGTTTATATTTTCAGAAACACTTACAACAACTCCACGAAAAATGTCGGACAACAACAAGCAACCAAGTTCCAATGAAGCAGATGAGTGAGTTAAATTAATATTTTGAGAAAAGTTCATGTTTAATTTTGTAGGGAACTTATGGATACTGTGCATATTTTCACCCTGTCACCTGAAGATCCAGCTGATGAAACAGACACAACTGGAACCAGCACTGAAGGTGAAACATCATCTCGAACACTTCTAGATGAAGAAGCATGTCCATCGCCACCGCAACCTCCAACAACATCAACTCCAATGGAATTTTCTCGATTGTTGAACAGTGTTAACGATTTCTTTTCTGATGAAATTAGCCACCAAATTTTTCAAGCGGATCCACTTTTCGACGAGGTTTTCGAAAGTGAACCAAATTTTGGTTTATTGCCTCGTCAGCGTCAAGAAGAGATTTTGAGCGCTCATGTTTGGGCTTGCTTTCAACAAGCGTTTTTTGAGAATAATCGTATACCTTTACAATTTGTGGAACAACATGTGGATGTTGAGATAATGGAAGAAGGTGATGAGCATCAAGATCAAGATCAAAATCAAGACCAAGACGAAGACCATGATCAAGACGACTCTAACATGGATTCTTCATAATTACGTTTGCAGTTTTTTCTCGAAGGGAAGGGACATTTTTGAGCTCTTTTTTAGCAAATTTAAATATTTTTAATTTTAAAATGTGAAATTACTTTTCATGATCATTCCAAAATAAGTTTTCCAATTTCGTTCAATTTACATAATTTTCAAATGTCCTCTCACATTCTTATCTAACGCCTCCCTTTCGATTAACTCTCCTATTTCAAGATTATATAATATTCAACCCTAAATTATTATTTTTTAACATAATTATCTTACTTTTTCCGCAACTTTTCTATTTACAATGAAACAAAATTCATCAGGACGACAATAAACGTTTTATTCCACAATAAAATATCAATTTTGAACATTAGTTGTATTTTCTTCCTTTTTGTTGGAACACACTGACCAATCAGTCCACCCAGAATTTTCTTCTTCAATTGGTTTAGCCGCAAGGCCATTCAATAATGAGATCAAAATTACGATGAAAATAATCTGAAATAGATATTAAGAAAAACCTAGCGGAAAAATATTCTACTCACCAGAAGCTTCATTTTTATTTTCTTCGACTGAAAAATTTGGTGAATTGTGTTTCAAGATGTTTGTTTAAAAAGCAACTGTCGAAGCAGGAATTTTCAGATGTTTCTGAGAAAAAACATTGTGTAACATTTGAAATTTTTTTAAGTGAAACCAAAGTTCATAAATCAATTATTGAGAAAAAAACACAAATAATTATTTTTTGTTTTATCTTTCTGAAAACGTTCAAGAAAATTCCAAATATTTATAATTGCGCAGAATAATCAGCATTAAAAGTTTGAGAAGCCACAACAATCGGTGCAATTATATCCGGACCAAAAATACTTTGTCAAAACAATTCTGAAACATTTTTTCCATCTCTCAAACAAAAATTGATATTCACCGATAAGGTTTAATGAAATATAATGTGATTAATGGGGTAATTGCAGCCAGAACCGGAATAGTTGTTTCTATAAAGTTTTCAAAAAATGGAGTTTGAGCGCTATTTGTGAAAACAACATAAGCGTAACGAATTGTGAAAAGAATGTGAAAAATTGGAATGAAAGTTTGGATTAATAGGGTTTTCATCAACGACTTCTGCAATTCCATTGTTGCCGGGCTTAAGTTTAATGTTTTCAAAGTTTTGAGAATCTTGTGACGACAATAAATCAAATAAATCATGATAAAGGTTGATTGCGTCATAGAAAAACCTTCAGTTAGAGAATCTTGAAACTCGGATAGATCCATGATTGCAAAATAAATCCAGGTGGAATTTATAAGTTCTGGTCGGGAGGTTTTGAGTAGCTCATCAATTGTAGAAAGTGGAATCAGATGAGAATATAACATCAAAAAAATATAGACAATCATGAACATTGTTGATGCAATACAAAATATTTGGATTGAGCGCTTTGATATTGGATCGTATGATCTTGTGACCACTCTTTTACGATAATAAAGACAATATATTATGATAAAAATTGAGAAAAGGAAACCATGCATTTCAATAGTGAAAACTGAAAGATAAAGGGTTTTCTTAAATATGTCAGGAACTTCCTAATTCTCTAAGTTTCACATTGATCGTCGAACTCTTAATTTCAAACTTTCAATAAACCAATGATTATAAAAACAAAAAACTTTTTATATGAAAATGAACTTTTTATATAATTCTAGGCTTTGGATACTTGACAAGCCTTCAATTTTCATAACATTACGTATATGGTGAACAAAATCTGCATGTAGTAAAACTGAAAAACTGATGTTTTGTATTGTTTTCTTCAAAACATTTCACAATTCTCCTTTCTTGAACTTTTCCAGAGAAACCTTCTAGAAAATTTCTAAATAACTCACAAGTAAAGCAAATTTGAGAATTGATTTCTTTATCAAAAGGTAAATATTTTCCCAAACCATGAAACATCAAAACCGCTGATTTGCCTGTTGCAAAATATCGAGCACTTGTAATGATTGCAGAAAATGCCGTGATCAAATCCCAGTAAGACCCAGTTTGAAGTACAATTCTTAACGAAAACAATTTTTCATTAATTGTACTTTGGATAACTTACGCATAAGTTTTCATATATTCCGGAGTATTGTTTCGAATGATATATATCAAAATAAAATTCATTACAACTCCAACAGTTCCGACTGAATAATTCCAAGCCATCGAATAATAATCAGACCAATGTTCTAACTCCATTTCTCATAAATATATGTATTCAAAAAAAAAATATTTTTTTGGGGAAGTGAGCAAATGTTAGAATAAACTATAGCTTTTTTCTCGAAAATGAACTATGATTGTTTATTGCTTAAATAATGATACCTTGAAAGATCATGCAATATGCCAAAAAAACAAAAAATCAAGAAAACACCTCCCGACACCAAATCTTCTAAAATTATGTATTGAAAACATTTTTTGCATTTTTCCATTTCAACTGCAATTTTAAAACGCTAATTTTTGACACAAACAGCTGTTGACCTTTGTATGAAAAGGATGACTAACAAATTTTTTTCAGAACAAAAAATAGTACAATGTCTAGGAAAAACATTTATTCCATAAAAATTTGGCAACCGAGTGCCCTTGCTTTTTCTACTTGCTTTCGCAAACGAGGAGTTCCACACCAACTCCAAATAAATTCGTCACTATCAGAATCTCTTCTCCAAATCGGTTTTGCATCAGCAAAACCATGCAAGCTGAACAATGCAATAACAATGAGAATAACCTAAAAATACATAGGAACAAAATGGAAAACAAGAAGAAAAAATCCCACTCACCAGAAGCTTCATTTTGTTCAACTGAAGTTTTCAGATTTTTTTTTTCAAAACCACTTTGTGTCACAACTTGACCTTTCACATGATTTGGATGACTAACAATGTTTTTTAACGAAAGAATTTTGTAACTTTTTGTTTTGAACAAAAAGTATGAGAAAACATTTTTTCATAAAATTTATAATGGAAAGTTAATCAATGAGCAAATACAATTGGTTGCCAATTACAAAATTTCGCAATGTGTTTTATGCAAAATTATTCACCCTTATCCAGGACTAAAATTATCAATTTCCAAATTCCAAACTCTCTTTCTTCAACTGAAAATTTTGGGTTCGCAACTTTTTTTTCAATTTTTGTGACTTGAAACAACTGCTGACAAGCTGAAATGTTGAAAAAAAACTAACAAAAATTGAAAAGATCTAACTAAAAATATTGTATCAAAAAAATCGGGAATACAATTTTTTTTTGATTATATGTGGACAATAACAACAATTACAAAAAATGCTTTATTTTCAGTCAATTGTTTGTTCTATGAAATTCGCAAACTTTGAAAGCACATTTCGGTAAATTCTCTGTTTCTTGTTGTTTTTTGTGGCTTTCCAACGGTATAAAGAAGAATTTCAGCGATTGGTGAATTATGTTGGAGATGTCGAGTTGAACATTTTCATCAGAAAAATCGAACGTTCCTTCATCTTGAATTGGCTTGGAATGAACAAGAATGTTGAACGACAAAAATATAACGACAATGAAAAATGCCTGAAAATGTTTAGAAAACTTGGAAAAACATTAGGGACAACTCACCAAAATCTTCATTTTCTGCAATTGAGAATGACTGATAGTTCTTGAAACAATTTTTGAGCGCAAAAAATAACAGTTGTTAAAAAGACAAATGACTCTGAAAATCAACTTGTGATAGAATAAATATCGATGTTTCAAATTGCTAGAACTCAAATTCAGTGCATTTGGCTTCAAATATTCAATGAACCAATTCATTTTGACAAAAAATTTTTAAAAAAGTTTCTATGTATTTGTTTCCCGATGAGAAAAAGTGTGCCTCTATCTGAATATGAAGTTCCAAAAAATATAAGATTTGGATCGTGTTTGAAAAATGATTCATTAAAAATGAAACAGGTGAAAACAAGAATACAAGGGAAAAACAATAGTGTGGCAAGGGCTTCGAAAAAATGTTTTTTTTTTTAAATTTTGGTTTATATATCTTCATTTTACAAGTTCTTGATATAGCCAGTTTTTACTTTGAAGTAGCCGAAAGAAATTGAATGACATAGTGAAAGGAAAAATAACATCTAAAGGTTCCTCTTTTCTGTACTCTTACCACACGTGTTGGGAAATTTCTAATGAAAATAAATACAATTTTAAAAACCTGACTGAATCAGAAAGATAGTGAAGAAGGAAAAATTAAAGAGCAAAAAGGGGGAGTAAAAAGCATAAATAAATTAGAATGGTTGAAACTCACAAAAAATAATTTTGAATAATTGGGAAAGGTAATGAAAAAACACCGGAAAACATGAGAGAAAATGTAGCACTTTGAATCAGAGTTGTCCTTTTTGAGTTATTTTGAAGAGTTGCAGCGTGTTGGATTTCTGAAAAATTAAAATTTCAAAAAAATTTTTGTAATTAAAAACCGAAAAAAATTAGTTCATCAATCTTCTAAAATAAACCTAACTTTTTATTCGAAAAAAACTGACCTAATTATTTTTTCTCATTCCTCAATCATCAATAGCAATTTGTCAATGTCAGAGTGTTGGCATTGTTGAACCCATGTCAGAATTTTCTAAAAATAAACAACATTCTCTACATTCAGGATACCCAAATAATAAAGCTAACCTCTATATAGAAAAGTTTTTATGAGGCAGCACACATTCAGAAATCTATGTTTTTGTAACTCTGTTGTTTAATTCAGGTACGCTTCCTGAAAAAATAAAAAATTGTGAAAAATTATTACGGAAAAAAGAGATTAGAAAGTATTTTGAAAAAAACCACGTTTATTAAAACACCAACCTCAGATTGTCAAACTTTTTCTATATCTCCAATGAATCCTTTGATTTTGAACTTCAAGAAAATCCTCACGTCATTGTTGCTGACAGAATCTGAAAGTATAAATTTTTGTGAATAACAAGATTTTTTTTGGTTTTTTTCAATATAAAGATTTTAAAACTAATAGAAAGGAAATGTTTAGTGAATATTTAACCGGAAAAATAACACTCAAAATTCAGAATTTCTTGCTCATAATCAACCTACCAAAAAATTACTGACCAGAGTCTGATAAAAATGAAGGCAGGTTTCAATACTCCGGATTTTTCGTTGATTCGGCAGAAAATAAGCAACTGAAAGATCATCCTGGAAAAAATTGGTTTCATATTTTTATAAGGGATATAAAAATCTTTTCTATCGAACGGAATGTTTTAATAAATATGAATTATACCCCCCCCCTCCCATTATTACTAAATTCACTAACCTTCAAAAAAAATCAACAAAGTCATGTTTGAAGAACAGCCGCCACAATATCACAATTTCCAAAAATTCAAGATAATGTATGTAGATTCAGCATTTATTCACGAGACCGTAGATTCAACCATCAATGAAATCTGAAATAATAAAAACTTCAGATTTTTTGCTGAAATAGAATAAAACTCACCAGTTTTTCAAATGAAAATTAACACAAAAACAATAATTGATTTTTAAAACATTCCAGGGGGGGGTTAAGAAATAGGCAAAAAATATTTAGAAATTCAATGAAAAGCTGGAGTGAAATATTGAACTGAACAAAATATAATAAAAATAAATTGATAAAATTTACAAATCAAAAATAAGAGGATGTTAGAAGGGATTTTATTTGTTTAACGGTTTCCTGGATAAAATAATTGTTTTATCCAGAAATGGACATGATATAGTAGAAACTTATCTGAAAAAAACAAGTGTTCTATGGTTACAATAACAATTATGAAACTTACCATGTTTTGAAAAAAGTTCAGCTTCTTCTAAAGTTTTAAAATTATTAATGAAGATCTTTATTCAAAAAATACTATTTTATGAAAAACATGAAAACATTAAATCAAGATAACAATGAATTACAACATTAGATTTAAGATATTCCCTTTTTTCCGCAGAGTTGAAATTCTAGATATAAATATAGTATGTTTTGGATTTTCGCAGTATTCAATTGATTGTTGGTCGCGTATATTTCAAAATGAATATTCAGGAAGTATTCTCACAATTAAACCATTATAAAAATATAATGTTTTCCACTCATTCATTGCATTTCCTCTTTCTTCATCCTGAATCACAACGTGCTATGTTGCATGTTCATCAATGATCTTGTGGATCTTCATCGACCCCACATTTAAAACATTATAAAAAATATAATGTTTTCCACTCATTCATTGCATTTCCTTTTTCTTCATCTTAAATCACAACGTGCTATGCTGCATGTTCATCAATGATCTTGTGGATCTTCATCGACCCCACATTTTAAACATTATAAAAAAATAACATTTTCCAGGCATTTATTGCATGCACTTCTTTTTCAATCACGAAAGGCTGTGTTGCATTCATCGACCCCACAAAAAAAATAAAATTTTCCACTCATTGATGGCATTTTCAATATTTTATTATCCATCCCATTGCTTTGTTCAGTTTTCTGGATGTTTTGATCGTATTCGTTGTTTATTATGTCTTCATTCGGATCGATTTAATTTGTTGGAAAAATTTCATTTTGGTGTTGGTGGAACTCGAACATATGCCGTCTAATAATTTTTTTGTGATCCATTTCCAAAATGTCAGGTCATCATTGAAATAACCATGGGATAATCCCACACACTTTTAAAATCATAAAAAATATAACATTTTCCACTCATTGATTGCATTTTCGATATTTTAATATCTATCACGTTGATTTGTTCAATTTGCTGGATTTTCATATTCGTTGTTTATTATGTCTTCATTTTGTTTCCACGACGCATTTGATTGTTTTAGTGAATAATGGAGTAATCTAGTTTTGAAGTTTTCTCCGATTGTAATATAACATTGTCACTTACCAGTAATCATAATATAAATTCTATTTGGTTCCAATTGTGATCCGTTCTTCCCTATATTTGATTGCCCCAAGACCTCCTGTTCTTCATTCATTTTTTTCCCTTTAATTTTCAATAAAAATAAAAAATTTTCCATCCATCAAAATTGCATCACCCCAATCCATATCTTCAAAATATGTGAGTACTATTCATAGATTCTTCCTTGTAATCTTTCTGATTTCAAAGATTTCTTCTTTTTGGCTGCATTTCATTCATCATTTTCTTCTCGTTGATCCACATCATTTCCACATTTTATTATAATAATAGAATATTTCCCATTCATTAAAATTGATATCTTCATGATCTAGTGTGTAGACCATCTTGCAATCTACGTGATTTTATAAATTGTTCGAGTACTCCATTTTTATAGTACATAAATATGTACTTATATTGATTTCCAGAATCAAATATTTGCCGCGTCACCCTAATCCATATAACGAAAATATTTTCTATTCTTGTCGTAAAAGCCATCTGATTATGTAGATCTTCTATAGATACTGCTCTCGTCGTCGTAAATATATTTTGATTTTGAAGATTGCTTTTTTTTCATAGCATTTCGAAAATAAACTTATTTCGATAATAATTCGATCGATCAATAGTCGAGGAGTTCCTCTCACATTCTTCAAAATAAAAAAAAAACAATATTTTCCATTCATCAATGTCTTGAAATTTGACCAATGCAACACAGCGTCGCGAATTTTCGAAAGCAGTTTTCGCATTGTGAATTTCTGCCAGAAATTCTCGCGTATGAAATATTCTCCCTTTCCGCATTGTTCAACGCGCTGAAACATACAGTGTGTTTCGTTTTCGTTCCACAATACTGATATATTGTTTCCTTATCGGAGCTTAATGATCCATTGTGTTGGTTCGCCAGAGGAGTGAATGAAATTTTTATCGTGCGTTAACCTTTCGTATTTTCAAAATGCGTACGTGTTTTCTTCTTCTATTTAAAGGAAATAAAAACAACATTGAAACTTTGAAAAAAGTGAAAATAAAAATAAAAACAGCGAAACGCACATATCGCATACAATTTCTGATTGCACCAGTATTACATTTTTAGAAATCCCCTCTCAGTTTTCGAAGAAAACCCTCTCAAAAACCAATCATATTTGGACAAACCCAAAAAAAGTTGTATAAAGTTATTACCCTCGTCCATGATGCTGCCCCTCAAAATACTCCCCAAAAATCCCGTCCCCTATTTACCCGCGAGATAAACTCAAGAAATTAACTTAGAAAATCATGATTTTTCAAAACTAAAAATTCATATATCCGAAACTCAGTCAGTTTCTAAACATATATGTAGAATAAAAAAAAATAATACCCTCTTTAAAATTAAATTAATTTCTCACATCTCATTTGAGATCAAAAGTGTAACCCCCCCCCCCCAGCTCACGTTCCTTTGATACTTGATCCAAAAACTGGAGTCATCATAATAATTGATATTCAGAAAAGCCAAACATCTACGATCATATCTTCAATCCTTCCGAAATTGATTACCACAATGCTATTCATCTTTGAATTTTCATAAATCGACGCATTTTAAGAAGTCTTGCAGTTTTCCGACTAGTTTTAAGAATATTGTCGACATATAATTATATTTCACGTGGATATTTGTTGCAAAAGTTTACCTATAAATAATTGTCACAAATTAGTTTTTAATTGAAATCAAAAAGTTAATGAATAATACATAAATTATAACCAATAGAATATAAAATTTAAAAAAAAAACTCGAAACATGTGTTGGGAATATGATTTTCATATAAGAAAATACGCTCTACTGTACAAATATTGCAAGCTTTTTTTAAAACTGACTCATAAAATTCGAAAAATGAACTTCATTATAAATAAAATAGGTAGCTTCAAAATGCCTTCTCTATCGAAAATAATTAGATACATTCATAATATCAGAACAAACGAAAAGAAAAGTAAAAAAGCGTGAACAAAAAGACACAATTCACATAAAGATATTCAAAAAATTGGCGAAATGCCAAACAAAAAGAATAAGATTACAAATGTGTCAGGAATATTTCTTTTTTGATCTCACCGCCTGTTGGAAAATGATTTGAATGTTGAACAATTTCATGTAAAACAGATATCTTTTGATAAAAATAAGAAAGAACCAAAAATTATGAGCCTACAGGAAATTTCGTAATGTGTAAAAATACAGAGAAAAAATTAGAGACGAAGAGAAAGAGGAGGAATGGTGGCAAGGGTCAATGATTTTGTATGTCTGCGCTCATTTTTGCCAAAAAATAATGAGAAAAAACAATTTTTCTTTTTTTTTCATCTTTGTGTAATTTTTGACTTTCTTTGAACATTTCCCGAAAAAAACATGTAACGTAATCTTCTATTATTATTTCACAAGATGTGCTATGTAATTGAAACTTTTTAACTAATTGAGTCTTTTAAGAAATTGGGCAGGTGAGAATATAGCGTAATTGGAACGAACCAAATATTCCAAAAAATCTTTTGATTTGAAATATTTCTAACAACAAGAAACACATTTGTCATAATGGTGTACACAATTTTTGTACAAAAAGAGAGGTCATCATTAGGCATGGCAAAAATAGCAGACACTAATTGCGCAAAGAGTATAGGAAGCATATACTGTTTTTTCTGTTACTTTACTATTTGCTTCTGCCAATTTTCCCCAGGTTTCTTCTTTTTTCCAACAACTTTAATGCACCATGTGATGTTTCATAAAGAAGAATACAACTTCAAGTTTTCAGAATTTCACATCTCATATGGAAACTCTATTCTGGAATTGGAATTGTTGCTGAAAATTTTCTTGATGTATTCCTAATAACTTATCCAAAATTATGTTTCATCCTCTTGCAAAATGAACCATTGTTTACTACCACGAAAAAACACAATTGGTCATAGAAAAAATGAGAGAATATAGAAAAGTGAGAGAGTACAGACAGATTCCTCCAACAATAAATAATAAATCATCAAAAGTCCATCAAAAATCCAATTTGAATTATACTTTCCAGAATTCCAATACATGATCTTGAACATGTTTCAAATTACACCCATTTATCAAAAATGATATTTTTTCTCTGTAAAATTTTTTGTAACATTTTTCTGAATGTAAGAGAACGTAAAACATGTCCTTCATTTTTTTCTGGAAATACATACAGGGTGACAATCAATTATGTAAACTTTTGTTTAAGTGCCTCTAACTTTGCGAAAAATTCATCAATTATCTGAAACTTTTTTTTCCTGGATAGCTATTGATGTAAACTAGAAGCCTAAAATGACATATAATGACTTCTAATATTTTTGGAATTGGAAAACGAATGGATGTATTTATCCCTTCAAAAAGTAAATTAATCGATTTTCATTTTTTGTTTTTCGAGCTGTATTGTTCAGAGACAATATAATCGAAATTACGACTTCTGAAACCCTTCAAATATTCGATATTTATCAGCATGTCACAACAAAAAATGGTTTATAGAAAGAACTCATCTTTATAGAAAGAACTCACGATAATCGAAAAAAATAGTATTGAAAAATGTCCATTTGTGAGAATTGCATATTTGGATCGGGACCACTTTGATCTGGATAGAATATCCGAACATCAGTTCTGGTTTTCTATGTTTTAAACATTGATTCTATACCTATTCCAGAATTCCCAAAAAAATTTGAAAAGAAAATACTTATTATGCGGTATTTTAGAACTGGTCAAACAAGTTTCCATAATTTCTTGTCACCCTGTATGTTTGATTGATGTTTGCAGTTGAAGATAAAACTATATCAATGCAACATTTGTTTCTTATTTTTATGTTCATCTAAAATTGTTCAGTTTCAGCGAGAATGCAGCAATTTTTGTTGCTTTTTCGAAAAAATATATTAATTTGGAAACGGAATAAATCATGGACAATTTTCGAGATTATTATCCCGTGTATTTTGATGATGATTTATTGGGGGATTTTTATGGGTGTAGGTTTGCCTTTATTTTTTTTTGAAATTGAAAATTTTTTTCAGGAACCATCCCGCGAACGATATTGGAATGATTACTACTCAAATTCGCAGACGTCATATGAATTCCAAGTCCGAGGAAATATTCAAGATATTCAATTTCAAGATAGGTGTAAAATGGATGTAAAATTTGCATATTCGTAAGTTGTTTTATTTAAAATTTCAAGAGAAAGATAACAGTTTACTCATTTACATTTAAGAAAAAAATAAAATAGCAACTAATTTTATAGATCTGCAGTGGAATGTGAAAACGAAACCAAAAAAATTATGAACATTTTCGTGGAGAACTTCAAAAATTCAAATGTCAATTTCAACTTACTCCACCTCAATTCCGAAGATGAGATTGAAAAAAATGTGCAAACTATATATAGCTACGGGTCATGTTCGTTTAACTATGCAACAATTGGTGTTTATTTTGATGAAATAAATTTCGACGAACAAATTCTAAAATATCGAATTATTTATAAAAGCTACAATCAAAAATGGTTGCTCAAGAAGCAAACGATTTCCTTATTCGCATGGCAAGAAAAAGAGCGAACAAAATATGAAGAAATGGGATTTTTATCATTTCAACATGCAATTGAATCAACTTTCATCAATATTATCAAAAATACCAATATTTCAAGTCAATTTCCAATTAATTTTCAAGCATTTCCTGAAATTGAAATTTTTCGAAGTAAAAATACGAAACATTTGATGTTTATTCCATTTGTATTAGCTGTTATTATTTTTACAAATGTTGTTCATATTACACGAGAAGTATCAGCTGAAAATGAGCATTTGAAAGGATATTTGATGACACTTGGATTATCAAACTTCAATTTTTATATGACTCATATTTTGAGTGGAATTTTGAAGAGTGTGTTTTTATATTTAATCACAACTCTACCATTTTTCGTAAATGGATATGTAAGTGAATTAAAAAACGTTAATATATTTGAAATTGTGTTTTTTTTCAGATTTCAATCAATAATTTCTTTGCATTATCAAATGTAATATTTTTATATTGCATTTCTGCAATTACATTTGGTGCATTCATCGCCTCATTTTTTTCAACTTCTGATTCTGCAGTTAAAGCATCAATCACAATTTGGGCAATCTTATTTGGATTATTCGCTTTATTCAAACCCGAAAACCATCAAGAAATATTCGATTGTTATATTTATGCATTAAATCCAACCGGAGCTTTTGCACTATCTCTTGATATTTTGACCGAATTGATAGTTGATCGAAAAAATCTGACTTTTTTCAATATTTTTAGTGAATCTTCAAGCAGATTCACTTTAGGAAATGCTATTTCAATGCTGGTTTTTGACATAATATTGATGTTTGGTATTTCATTATTGGCTGATGATTATCGGAGATCAAATGATGATAGTTTCAAAGAATATTTCAAATCCATTTTTGCAAAATATCGTTCGGAAGGTGTGAAAAGTGTAAGAATGACTGAACTACAAGCATCAGAAGTTTTATTAGAAGAATCGAATGAATATCGGAACAACGATATTGAAAATGGAATATTTGTTAATAATTTAGTAAAAATATGGGGGACAACTGGAGAAAAGGCTATCAATGGTTTGAGTTTTGAAGCAAAAAAAGGTGAAGTGACTATTTTATTTGGCCGAAATGCTGATGGAAAATCTACAACATTTCATTGTATTTCTGGAATGATTCCGCCAACTGAAGGTGAGACAATTGTAAAAAAAAACTTTGAAAATCTTATTTTCAGGTAAGATCATGATTTCTGGCCGTGAATCCAATACAAATATTGGACTTTGTCCACAGTACAATCCAATTTTCGACCAGTTAACAGTTGAAGAACATCTTTGGTTTATAAATGGTCTCAAAGGAAACAAAGATGATTGCAAATTCCAAGCCGAAATGAGACGGTTGTTAGAAAACGTGAATTTGATAGATAAAAAACATAAGTTCTCATCAAATTTATCAGGAGGAATGAAAAGAAAACTGTGTGTTTGTATGGCATTGATTGGATCATCTGAAGTAGTTTTATTAGATGAACCAACAGCTGGATTAGATCCAGGTGCAAGAAAAGATGTTCAAGATTTATTAGAAACAGAAAAACAAAATCGAACAATTTTATTAACAACACATTATATGGATGAAGCTGAAAGACTTGGCGATTGGATTCTTATCATGGCCCGTGGTAAACTTGTTATATCTGGATCACCTAAATTTTTGAAGAAAAAATATGGAATTGGATATTTGTTGACAGTTGTACTTGATGATGCGATTAACAATAATAGAGATGCTATTTGTGCAGTTTTAAAAGAATTGTGTCAATTCTATACACCAGAAGCTCAAATTGGAAATACTCATGGAAAACAAATTGAGATTATTTTGCCAGAAAAATGCAAATCAAGTTTTCCTATCTTATTTAGAGCATTGGAAGCGATTCAAAGAAAAGAGTAAGTTTATAAAATATTTCCCGTCAATAAAAAAAGTTAAAAATTTCAGATTTACAAGCGAGATATTCTTCATTCTTCCGAATCAATTGAAAGATCAATTGAGTATTTTGCAAATCACAGATTATGGATTATCTTTGAATAAGTTAGAACAAGTTATTTTAACTATCAGTGAAAAACTTGGAACAGATGCGACCGATGGAATTTTGAATCAGAATCATGAGTTTGAAGCGACAAAATTCGAAAATTTGCTTGAAAATCAGTCAAGTCTCCCAGGGAATACAGGAAAATCTTTAATAAAATCTCAAATATCCGCTATTTTTCGCAAAAAATATCTATACACAAAGAGAAGATGGAGCCAATTAATTGGTCAATTATTCCTTCCACTGTTAATTATCGGATTAATCTGGTTGATTTTTAGAGTGAAAATTCATGAAAAACTCGAATCGAATATTATTGAAAAAAGTTACAATTTGCAAGAATTCTCGCCAGCTGCTGTTGTTTGGAAAAATAATAAAAATTCTATGTCGGAACACCTTTCGAATATCAACAAAATTGTGGATAAATTTTCTGGATTCCATAACAATTATTATGATAAATCGGAAACATTGAAGAACATCACAGTAAAATTCATTGGAAAAATCCCACATCTTTTATTTGGCTTCACTGAAAATACAACGCTTTTCAATTATCGAAACCAACATACGTGCGTTTCACAATGATAGGTTCACCCCCAGAATGATGAAATTGACGAAATCGTGAGTTGTAAAAGCAAGTTGAGTTAAAAATCGAAAAGAACGCACAAAATTATGTATGTAAACTCATTTTCATAAAAAAATACCGAAAGCTGAGAAAATTTTTGACCGAAGTTCAAAAATTGCGAAAATTTAGCGTTTCATAATGATAGGTTCACCTAACTCAAACTGGTTCTATTTTTGAAGAAACGGGGAATTTGACTAGAAATCACTTCGAAATCAACAAAAGAGAGCATTTGAGTTCACTTGCAATTTTCACAATCGAATTTCATCGATTCTAAGGTCTGCACTGATGTTTCCAGTAAGAGACATCTGGAAATTAGGCCTTTGTTCATTTTTTTCCACATTTCTCGAAATTTTATCATCAGATTTTTCTGAAAACATCTTTTTTTGTCTATTTGAACCTGATTACACAGAATTTCAACTTTTTTTCGAAGTTTTGACATGATTCTGACATTACTGGATTTCCGATGTTCATCTTGAACTTCAGATCTAGAACATCAGGAACATCAAAATCAAAATTTTATTGATGGAATTCGTTCCCAGCATCGTCAAAATCATATGTCATGTTCAATCTTTTCCGAAACACTTGTTTGGATTGCTTAGTATCTATTTATTTTCCAAATCACAAGAATCAGCATTTTTTAACACTGTAAAAACACAACTTTTAGTGTTCACCCGAATCAACTCACGATATGAGTTAGGAGACCATTCGAAACCATCAATTATGTCTTTATCAACTATTTTGACGATGCTAAGAACGAATTCCATCAATAAAATTTTGTTTTTGATGTTCCTGATGTTCTAGATCTGAAGTTCAAGATGAACATCGGAAATCCAGTAATGTCAGAATCATGTCAAAACTTCGAAAAAAAGTTGAAATTCTGTGTAATCAGGTTCAAATAGACAAAAAAAGATGTTTTCAGAAAAATCTGATGATAAAATTTCGAGAAATGTGGAAAAAAATGAACAAAGGCCTAATTTCCAGATGTCTCTTACTGGAAACATCAGTGCAGACCTTAGAATCGATGAAATTCGATTGTGAAAATTGCAAGTGAACTCAAATGCTCTCTTTTGTTGATTTCGAAGTGATTTCTAGTCAAATTCCCCGTTTCTTCAAAAATAGAACCAGTTTGAGTTAGGTGAACCTATCATTATGAAACGCTAAATTTTCGCAATTTTTGAACTTCGGTCAAAAATTTTCTCAGCTTTCGGTATTTTTTTATGAAAATGAGTTTACATACATAATTTTGTGCGTTCTTTTCGATTTTTAACTCAACTTGCTTTTACAACTCACGATTTCGTCAATTTCATCATTCTGGGGGGTGAACCTATCATTGTGAAACGCACTGTATTCTTCCATCACTTATTACTTTGAATAACAAAGCAAGATTATGGGGAGGATTCGATAATCAAAAAATTCCAACAATCGAATGTCAAATTAATATGCATTTGGGAGAAAATCCCAGACATTATGGTGTTCGCGATGTTTCGGAAAATGTTCTAACTGGATTTTTTATTGTTATTTTCTCATTGGTCACTTCGTCTTTTGTATTATTTCTGGTTGAGGAGAAGGTTTCAAAATTTGCTCATCAACAACTATTAACAGGAATTTCACCCATAACAATGTATGGTGCTGCAATTATTTTTGATTTCCTAGTATTTTCCGCAATTTGCTCGATATTTTTGATATTTTTTTATTTTTTCGATTACCATATGAATTATCAATTAGCAACGTGAGTTTTTTTTCATTTGGCTGCACTAGGCATTTTCAAAATTGTCTTAATTTTCAGCATAATACAATTGTGGTTTCTCTATTTTACATCAAATGTTCCATTCATATATATCATTTCACAATATTTCAAATCACCTTCAAAGGCCCGAATTTTCATTGTAATTTGGCAAATTTTTGTTTCTGGGTCTCTCGTATTCTTCAGGGTTTTGGCTCTCAAGAGTTTCGGATATCCTGGCTATAGTGTTTATATTAGGCCACTCTTTTTAAGTGTTCAGGTATCTTTGATATTTCAATTGTTGAAAACCATATCTTTTTACAGTTTATTATCTCGGTTTTATTCCCCGTATTTTCATTCGGTAACGCTATGATCGTCGGACCAATGACTCAGACACGAGATCCACAATTCAATGACCTTTGGATGTTTATTGATGCTATGTTATTGTCTTCTGTACTATCATCAATTGCTTTTCTTTTTTTGCAATTGAAATCAGTTCAAAAGTATTTGTCAAATAATTATTCATCTTGGAAATATGGACAAGAAAGTAGGAAATATGGACAAAGCAGTGACTTTGAATTATCGGATGCTGTGGTTCAAGAAAGGCAAAAGGCTGTTAATGCTAATTCTTCTTATTCTTTAGTTGCAAGAGTATGTTTGTGAGAGAAGTTGCTTTTCATTTTCAATTAAAATTTTTGCAGAACCTCACCAAAAAATTCGGCGACTTCACAGCGTTGGATAATTTAAGTTTGGCTGTATCCCCAAATGAATGTTTCGGATTATTGGGAGTAAATGGATGTGGGAAAACAACGACTTTCGATATTTTGACAGGATATTCTTTTGCAACAAGTGGAAAAGCAAAAATTGGTGGAAAGAATGTGACAGAAAGAATTGTGAGTTTACGAACCTCATAAGGGTAATCATCTAATTTTTAATACAGGGTATCGGATATTGCCCTCAATTTGATTCGGTTCTTTTGGATCTAACTGGCCGCGAGATTTTAGAAATTCTCGCACAAATGCACGGATTTATTAATTATCACCAAAAAGCTGACATCATTCTTGAGAGCATTGGAATGCAAAAACAATCAAATAAACTGATTCGATATTATAGTGGAGGACAAAAACGAAAAATCTCAATTGGAATCGCACTTTTATCGCCAACAAATTCAATGATAATATTAGATGAACCAACTGCTGGAATTGATCCAAAAGCTCGAAGAGAAATATGGGAATTATTAATTTGGTCAAGACAAAATCGTCCGAATAGTGCACTTATGTTAACTTCACACTCAATGGATGAATGTGAAGCATTATGTTCAAGAATTGCTGTATTAAATCATGGGAAATTGATTGCTATTGGAAGCAGTCAAGAATTAAAAACACTATATGGAAAGAGTTATACAATGACTCTTTCTCTAAACGATTCCCAAAATCGAGAAAATATTGTGAATCTGGTCAATGATCAGATACCCGATGCAATTTTCCAAACTCCTGAAACCAATAAAACTTTGGATCTAGTCTGGCGTATTCCAAAAAATCCGGAAGACAAATGGTCCAATAAATTTGAAATGGTTCAAAATTTAGCAAAACAACTTCAGGTGAGCTACGATACAAAAAATTAATTTAAAAAATGTTCAATATTTTAAGGTCAATGACTATGTGCTCTCACAATCATCTTTGTAAGAAACATTCCTTCAATTAGCTCGTGGAAAAGAAAAAGATTGCTAGAGTTTTCAAAAGGCCACAATTTCTCTTACATTTAGAAATGCATTCAATAAATCATTTTTTTTCAGCCTTGAGGAATTACACTTTTATTTCCATATTTTGTTCTGAAAAAATCAAATTGAAGTCGATTTAGAAATTTCACCGGAAGTTTATTCATTCTTTCTGAATAGAGTTTATTTTCATTTGCCTGCAGCCTCATTTTTCATATTCCAAATTTAGCATTTACTACAAGTGCGTGTGCTTGAGAAAAGGCGGCACCATAATTTAGTTGGGAAATGAGAGAATAAGAGAGTACAGACGAATTTTCCCCAATCATGAATTTTTTTCACCAAAAGTAGTCTCTCTTATTCTGTTGGGCTCATTCCTTTTTGTGCTCACAATCAGATTTCTTTTAAGAATTTTGATAAAGGTTCTGGATCTGAAAATGTTTCCAAAAAATTTCTTCAGTTGTCTTACCCCTCCTTATTTTCACACTATGTTTTCAATCTTTTTACATACTTTTGAGAGGGAACATAGAGGAAAAAATATAATTGAGAAAAAGTATTGCGAAATCTTAGCGCTAGTGAAAATTCAATCACAGAATCTTCCAATTTGTGTTTTTACGAAGCCGAAATGGAGCGTTTGGAAAAAACTTTTTTTCACTTTCAAAACTATTTGTTTTTATACAAATTTTTCACAATTTCTAAACGATTCGAATTTATGAAGCGCGCGAAATTTAATTTCAATTCAACATATAACAAACTATCAATTTGAATAGTAGCGAGCAAATATTATTTTTTCGAAAAAAAGACGTTTGAGGAATACAAAATCATAAAAAGTCTTGACTTGAAAATTACTCGAAATCGGAACACATTTTTCTCATTTGTAGCGTGTTTTAACCTATGTGGATTGGTTTCACTTTTTATTCCACATTTATTGGATAGCAATATAGACAAAAAGACTTTATTGACAATAAATTTTTTTAATGAAAAATGTATAAAAAATATCGAAAAAAAATTGTTTACCTTTTTGAATGAAAAATGTATAAAAAATATCGAAAAAAAAATGTTTACCTTTCTAAATGAAAAATGTATAAAAAATGACGACAAAAATTTTTTTACATATCCAATTAAAAATCACCCGTTTCCAGAAAATGCCAGAATCAACTAAATAATAGGGAAAATTTTTCAAATTGTTAAAATTCAAATGGTTAATGAATCGAATTTAGAGTGATAAAATAATTAAAATTAAAACAGATACAGATTTTTTACTCACTATGGAATAATTGGATCACATGGTGCTCGAACTGTTTTGAAATCAAGCGATTTTAAATATGTAATAATCGAGGTTGCCGTCTCCTCTTCATCGTCATCCATTTCCATTCCTTTTCGTATGGAATTTTCAATCAGATTAATTGTTCTTCTAAACGTGGTTTTTCCATACTTATTGATATGATTTCGAAATTCTTCCCGATTCATTTGAGATAAAAATCCACCGCAAACTTTGATCAGATTAGCCAAAAGCATCGTTGATGCCGTGCAATTACTTTTACGAATTTTTGGCCAAAAATTTGATGGATCAAATGTATCCTAAAAACAACGGCATTTTGTTACTGTTTTATTGAAGTAATTAAACCCACCTGGAAAACAGGAAACGAATTCTGAAAATTGTCTGATTCGAATATCATATTACTATTTATGAATTTGGCAGTGCTCCAAACCATTTTATCTGGAAAAAATCTTTTTACTTTCAAAATGAAGTTTTTGAAGCTCACCATTCACTTTTCGAAAAATGAATTGATGGTTAGTCGTTCTGTATTTATACTTGATGGTGTGTGTGGATAACTCGCTGAAATCATAAACTGTGTGATCTTCGATAACATCAAACACAGAGTCGATGGATCGAAGAGTGTTCGCAAAATCTGAAAAAAAAACTGTCAAAAATCTCAAGGTTAATTTTAAATTTAAAGAGAAAAAACTAACCGTTCGGATCATATGCATCGATTTTTCTGAGTTTTTTGGAAAGTACACCAAAATGCGAGTCTACCGAGTTGTGTGAATGGCCTGTCGTTTGATAAAGAACAGTTATCTGATAAAATAGAAATTATTTTTCATGTCTCCAAATTTGATTTTTCAAATACCTTTTTCACGATTTGTGACTTTGCTAACAGCACACATAATCCACCAAATAGAACTTCGCTTCTGTTTGTAGCACATCCATCAAAAACTAATACAAGATGAGGTCCGATTTTGTTGATCTAAAAAAAAAAGGTTACTCCAAAACGGTGTTGGGTGTATTTACTTTCGACAATGTGTCGAATAACAGCGAAAGTATATATGAGGAATCACATTGATACTTTCCATTCAATGCGATGTAGTCGTAATTTTTGTAAGCATTTGTATCTGAAATATAGTTCATTTAAAGAAAAATGATTCGTGAAGAGTTTCAAAACACTGCACCTGTATTTCTAGCAAGCTGACAAGTATCCAATTTCACCGCAATCCTATCGGCATCTCCAATCGTTTTCGGTCGAGAAATCATTAGTGGCAGCTTGCTGAATCGATTTGACATGCCATCACACTTGATAAGAGTGATATCTGAAGATTCATCACGTGAAATCTCCGCGAGCGCCTCCAGTGTTCCTCGTTCATGATTTACAAACGAGTAATGAGCTTTCAATTTTTTATAGGCTGCTATCATCGTTCTTCCACCATATGTTCGAATTGTGTGCTTCAGTGAAATACAAGTTGTGCAGCGAAGAAGCAAATCGGCCTTTCGTCTTTTTATTTTTGATTTTATATACTTTCTCAAAGTTCGAGTTGGCATCATTGATCCTTTTGGCATCATACACATTCGTTCATTGAAATCTGGTGGAAGAAGAAGGCCGCCACATGGATGAAACTGACAAAAGTTACTCAAAACTTTTATAGTTTTTCCCAACTTGTCCACTGTTTTCTGATATATTGATCCTTTTCTTAATTTTGACATGTTCCCATCATTGCAATCGATAAAATTACTGAAAGACATACCAAAAATACGAGCATACATATTAAAACAGGCCGGAATCGAATAAATTATTTTATAAGTTCCGTCAGTTTGCTCTTTTATAACTGTATCCAAGAACAAATTTCGAATCTGAACACATACACTTTTCAAAATCTCAAAACAAAATGATAACCTACTGTTTGTTTCGGTGTATTCTTCAATTTTGCCGCAAATTCTACATATTTCGATCTAGCTTGCAAAATAGTGGATCTGAATAAAATTTGTTGAATTTCTATTATGATCTAGATAAATTTTTAAACTCACCTTGAAATGAATAAATTGCAATAATCGAGACAACAGCATGATGCAATGATATCTTCACTTGGATAATATCGAGACGGTTCCGCGTATTCTTCGAATCTTTTCTCAAAATCCAACAGCTCGTCAATTGACATTTTTTGGCGCATTTTTATGTAGCTGATCGGGAAACAGCAAGGAAACAGCAAGGAAAAGCAAAAATTGTGGAAAAAAAAAACAATTTGCTCGTCAGATAATACACACTTGTCGTCAAATAACGCGCATTGTGTGCAAGGTGTTTGCACAAGACTTAGCCGGTTTGTTATTTTTTTCATTTCTAATTTTTTTCAGCCCGTTTTCTTCCATTGATTGCCCCAGAAAGGGGCAATCAATGGAATTTACTACTTTTCTTCGTGGTTACTACTTTTCTTATGCTAATTCACACATATTTCAGGGTCGAAAATGTTGTCTACAATGCATTATTCGACTATTGGAAATGCCAAAATTTATCAGGCAAAGAAATGCCGCCTAAACAAAAACACCAAGTTTCCACTAGAAAATGTGGAACTTGTTTGCATTTTGGATAGACGAATTCTTCTACAATCAAGGAAGGAAAAAGTTGTGAGTTAAATGAACTAAATTGTATAATCTGATATATATATGTATAAGTTTCAGATTCGCGTCGAAGATTCTGTAAGTAATATAACAATCTACGAGGATAAAGGATTTTTTTACTTGTCCGAGTTGGATATTGATAAAGAAATTGATGAATGCCCGGTGTTGGGATTTTATTTCAACAATGTTGAAGTTCGGGTGAGGTGTAAAACTTTTACAACAGTTCAATTTACAATTTTCTCACTGATTCAGATATGCTTCGAAGAGCTCACAATAGTTTCAAGACTCAACCAAATGAATGAAGATTGTATCAAACCAGAATTCTTGGACCAATTTTGTAAAGATGATCTAGAAGTTGTACAATCAACGAAAAGAAAGAATGTCGAGCCGAAGAAGGAGAAAGAAGTACAAACCGGGCAAGAATTAGCTGTTGAACCGACAAAATCTGCTGAGGAGCCAACTAGGAAGAAATTGAAGCCGGATTCGCCAAAAGCTCCTTCAAAATCTGAAATTGCCCGAGCCGCAGATTCAGAAGAAGAAGAAGACGATAATTATTCGAAAATTCATAAAATCGTTCAATCAGAAAAGAAGAAGAGATCTAGAAGTTATACAGAGGATGAAGATCTAGAAGTTGTACAATCAACGAAAAGAAAGAATGTCGAGCCGAAGAAGGAGAAAGAAATACAAACCGGTCAAGAATTAGCTGTTGAACCGACAAAATCTGCTGAGAAGCCAACTAGGAAGAAATTGAAGCCGGTTTCGCCACTTTCGCCAAAAGCTCCTTCAAAATCTGAAATTGCCCGAGCCGCTGAATCAGAAGAAGAAGAAGACGATAATTATTCGAAAATTCATAAAATCATTCAATCGGAAGATGATAATGAATCTTCAGTTTCGCTCGAACTTATCAACGAAGAAAATGACGTAGAGGCTCCAAGTTCCTCGACTTCTGCAACATTCAACATAAAAAGATGTAATGTTATTACTAGTACAAAGCTCGATGCAGATATCATCCGCGACCAATCTTTTGAAATCCTTCGTCAAAGAATCGATGAATTATTAACATGCGCCATTGCTTATAAGACTAAACCAGTGAGTTTTTTACTTCTTCTAATTTTCGAAATCGTCCGAATTTTTCCAGTGCAGCTCCCAATATATAAGCTTTGGCCATCAAAAAGTTCATAAAAGAGCAGTAGCAGATTTCAAAGAGCAAATAGAGAATGGACGTGTCATAAGCGAGGAGCCAGTGATTTCTGTTTATGAAAAAGAGTGAGTAAATGTTACTTTTGTTTTGTTTTGAAGTCTTCAAAAAGTTAGTTTTACGTGAATATAAACTTTATTTCCAGTGACGGGACGTTCGTAGTGCTCGAAGGAACTGATCGTGTTGCGGCCATGAAACATTTCGAACCGCTGACGGTGCGTTGGTTTTTTTGCCAGTTATATAATATTTATAACATTTTTATAGGTACGCGCAAATCTTGTTGAGCCCGGTGACATCAATCGGTTTTTGGTCAAGCAGTTCATTGGATGTGGTGATCACGTAACAATTTATGAAAAGGTATAGTTTTTTTTTGTATTATCTCAAAAAAAATCAATTTTACAGATAAAAATTTGCAAAATTATGTTGAAAATGGTTGGAGCCAAAAATCCATCGTTGGTTTGGTCTGACAAACACATCAATTTTGTGTTCGAAAAAGTTGTTAGGGTAAAGTTCATTTAAGTTTTCAAATTTCTCAAATATGGGCGAAAAAGAGCAAATAAAAAAATCCAATTTATTTTCGAAACGTGAAATTAATCGCCCTAATGGGGTGATTCAATTCGTTTTTTTACGAATAGTTGACAGAAAATCCGAGTCATTTTTAGGAAATTACAAATGAGGAATTGCAATATGAAATAGAATTTGACCTTTTTTCGAAACGTTTTCTAAATTCTCTGGTTGTTTTTTTTTGAATTCATTTCGAAATGAAAAAAATTGAAGGAAGATGATTTTTTGTTGATAATTCCAACTCATATAAGTCACGTTTTAAAATATAGGCCAAATAAATTATATTTTTAATGTAATTGATAGAATTTTTCGCCAAGAAATGAAAGCGAGGAATTGACGGTTTTTTGTCAATTAATTGACAGAATTACGTCGATTAATTCGACTGAATCACCCCATAACGCATTTTGACATTTTTTTTTGCAGAAAATACCTATTCCAATTATCAAACTCTGCTTTTGCGATGAACTCACCGAAATTGTTGAAAATACAAATGGAAAATTCACGGTCTCCCAGGAAGTTGTTCAATCAGCTACATCGGCCTACAAACGAAGGCCTGAAGAGTGTAAAGAAGTTTTTGATGAATTCATGAAGATGCAAAAAATACAAAACAAACTTTTATCGAAAGTAATGATTTATTCCGCGAAATGAATATTTTAGAAATAACATCAATGCATTTCAGAGATTGAAACGCATAATTCCAACAGCCCAACAATCACTATCAGCAAAAGGAGTTAGGAAAACTTTGATCGATAGCTTTATCACTGATCATTCTGGCGACGTTAGATTGGATGAATTCGGATGGTGAGTTTTTACTTTAAGGGTTTCTAGATGGAATTTTTTACGAAAACACTTTTGTGAGTTTTAACTCGAAGAAATCTGGCATTTCTAAATTTAAAATCATAGATATTTCGTCTAAATCTGAATATTTTTGTCATTGGATAAATGAAAATAAGGAAATTGTCATGGGTTAAATAATTGACCATACTTCTCCACAAATTATTAAGTAACTACTGGAAAATGTAAAAAAAATTTCAGCTGGTTTCCTAATCGAAGTGCTAGGAACACAAAACCGTCTACAATTCATGAGAAATGGTTGCAGTTCTTAGATGAAAAATACGCTGATCAAAAAGTATATGGCACAGTGAATGTTCACGACAAGGACACCGAGCCACAATTCGAAGCCATAATTATTCATAACACAGTAAGTTTACGAATAATAATTGCAAATACAAGATCATACATCATTGTTGTTTGCTTCCCAGAAAATATTATTATTCCTGCGTAATTAGAATCTCAATACATATTTTTTACAGAATCACCCGTTATTCATCACACCAATCCAGAACTCCATTTATTATATTCTAAGCGACATTCCCAACAATTACACAACTCAATTCTTCATCAGTGTAGATTCGGATTACGCGATTGACGAGGAATTTGGTCGTAAGTTGCAACAAGAGAGTTCCGAGATTTTTTTTTTTTTTCAGCGTCCAACAATCTCGTTTCGATTTACATCATTCAATTTGAAGACGGTGAGATGTTATCTCAAAAACAGTATTATCAAAATTTCCAAGAAAATGGGAGAGGAGTTGGTCGGAAATTCATGGAGTGTAAAGATCTCAACCATCTTTTTCATAAGAATGTCTACATTGATTGCCCTCATGTTCCACCAGGTATTTTATTTCAATTATTTGAATACACGTCACAAAAAATACAACTTTATAAAAACAAAACACGTTCAAAAACATTTTCGTCAGAAAAAGTTTGATCATCATTAAAAAAATTTAAAAACAGAACATGTCTAATTTTTTTCCGTGGATTGTCTCATCAGTTTCTTTTTTCAGCTGTGGTTCACAAAATGGTTGGTGATTCTGCCAATATTTTTGTCGACGATGAAAGTTCCAAAAAGGCATATGAAAAACTTCGGCAGACAATCAAAAATCCAACAGTTGCCGTAACACTTTCAAAGGAACAATCCAAAAACGCGTCAAAATCAAAATCTACTTCAAAATCGAAGCCATCATCTTCAAAATCGTCAAAATCGAAATCTTCTTCAAATTTGATGACATCACCTTCAGAACCATCTTCTTCGGCCTGATCTAGTTTTATTTTGATTGATCTCACCCTCCTTCTCTCTTCTCGTTTCAAAAATAATACGGTGCCATGTTATTTAAATTTTATCGTGTAAATTAATAATCATGTAAAATTTTGATATAATCATGTATATGATGCAACTGTTTTTAATGTAAACAAAAAAAAGGCATTTTTCTGGATACATTTTTTGTTATTTGTAAAAAATAAACACGCCTTTTTTTTCATACAATTTTATGCTTTGTGCTTTGTAAACAAAAAACACGCCTTTTTTACTGTACATTTTCATATACATTCAAGTCCAAGCAGTTTTTTGTCCGAAAAGCATGGGCTAAGCTTGGATTTTCTGAAGTCGTAATATAATTGTTGGTCGAAACATGATTTCGCCATTTTTCGCTGAGACGGAATACATTTTTGAAACACGTGTCACTTTTTATCGAAAACATTGAATTCAGTTTGAAACCTTTACAAATGCATCAAATAAGTTGTTTTTTTTCGAAAAAATAATATTTGCTCGCTACTATTCAAATTGATAGTTTGTTATATGTTGTTCATTATGCCAAGTCACAAAAAATTGTTTATAATTATTAGTAGCCCGTGCTTTTTTGAATAAACAATTCACGCTTTCATATGATTGAACACTTTTGTCCACTATTATTTGCAAATTTTGAAAACTCAATTTATTAATAGGTTTCTTTAAGATATGTGATCGTGGCCAGCACTATATTTATCGAAAACAACCCAACAAAGTTCGACGTGCTTATGAAAATGTAAACAAACATTCTGAAAAGTAAATCAAGACATTTTCAAATTATGTTCACTGAAAAAAATTTGGCAAACAATTTAAAAAAAGTAACTTTTCACTCATTTTCTAATAATTTCAAAAAAAAATTTTTTTTCAGATCTCCCTTCGTTTGACTGTATCTATACTACAGTACTATTTTATATAAATCGAATTTTATTTAAATCGACCGAGGAATCATGATTTATCACGTCGAAAAAGATTATTGAATAAAGAGGAAATTGAGATGATATTCTGTATCCAGTCGAAAATGTGATGCCTAAACAATTATCCATCACAAAAATGTGCTCATAACTTAACTGTATTTAAACTACAGTACTATATTTTATTGATTGATTTATTTAATATACGGAAAAAAAATAATCCCAAACGCCGAAAATAATGTATTTGAAACCTAGCAATATCTTTATAAGTCAATAGTATCAGTTCAGGAAATTGTTTGTATTTAAAAAAATAAAATATTTTCGTAAAGTTCCATTTACATTTTCCAGTATTCCCAAGAAATTCCAGATAAAAATCAGCAGATTGAAGTTCATCATGAGGTCGGTCGTATAGATATCTTTTTTTTTCAGAGTCTTGAGCCATATGACAAAAATGTGGCACATTAATTATATGTTGTACAGAAGAAAAAAACAAAAGGAAAAGTTGAAGAATTCATTTTTTTGTGTTGTGTGGGTTATTTTGAACAGCTGTTCTCAAAGGTTTTTTCAGAAAAAAGTTTCTCTATAAATTGAGGACTGGACTTTTGAGAGCTTTAGTTGAAGCTAAACAAAATGAAAGGTTGGGTGAGTTTTTTGGGAAAAATTGGGGAGTTTTGAGTGATTTTCAGAGTCAAAATCTTTTCAAGAAACACGAAGCCTTAAAACAAAAAGAGGGGTTGTTTCTGAATATTTTTTCAAAAAAGCCAAATTCAGAAATCTTAATAGAAAATTTGGAAAACTTGAATCAATAAATAAGTTAACATAGTTCGGCCCTGGCTTGAAATATGTGCTCTAAATTCCAATATTCCAAAATTAAAGCCGTGATTTTTGAACAACCAAATTCTAAATGTGACTCTCTCACTCTTTATTTACCTGAAAACAACGCTGAAAAATGTTTGTTCCAGACACTTCTCGCAATCTTCTTCATCATTTTTTGCACCTGTCAAGCATCTGTTCCATGCAGAAGTCAATCAGAGTGCAGAAAAGGGCCACGAGTTCTTTTCAACGAGGAGCCCAAATATCCAAACAGCGATTTGGAGTTGTTGAGAAAACTCCAAAATCAACGTGATGCTGAACTCGAAAATGAGGATATCCTCTTCCCAGAACGTCCATATGGACCAAACAGCAAGAGATATTATACAAGATTTTAATTTGAATCAGAATGTGTATTTTTTGTAAATGAAATGAATCGAGTTTCTGTGCTTTTTTTGTAAATCTTCCGGAATAGTTTGAAACCAATAAATGTTTTTTCTAGAATTTGAGTTCCTTTTTTAGCCTGTCATTCAAGTATTTTTAAACTTAATGTTTATTTCAATCACACCTTCAGAGCTTTCTCTTTCTCTCACCTCTCCCTGTTTTCACACTATTTCTGCATCTGCTGGTCATAGATATAGAGGGTGGAAAAAAATGCGCCAAGTGATTGCGAAATCCTTGAATTTTTATATTTCCAGGAATATCAGTACAGGAGCTTCGAAAAAAAAAAACAAAAACAAAAAAAAACTCATTTTAAGACAGAAAAAAAATTTTGAAAAAAAATTTATTCTTAAACAAAAAAACAATTACTAGTTTCTGAATGATAGCCAAAAAAATTCGATTTTATAAAAATTTTCGAATTTATTATTTTTTGATATTGTTCAATAAATAATCAATATTTAAAAGTGTCCTTAACAATACCAAAAAACATTTTTCCTTTCGCTCATAATTTCCATATCCATTTCACACCTGCTCAAAAAACCCACAGGAAACCGCAAATATATAACTGTCTGCGTCTCCTTATTTTTCACTATATTTTCATTATCGAAAATAATTAGCAGGGAATCATAATTGTCTAACAGTCTGCGTCTCTGCAATAGACATTATTCTATGTAAAGAAGGTGTCCGCAAATATACCAAAGGAAAGAAAAAATAAAAAATGCCAATTTTTTTAATTTTTATATTGCCAGGAATATCAGTACAGGAGTTTCGAAAAAATCATAAAGACTCATTTTAAGACAGAAAACATTTTTCTGGTAAAAATCTATTCTTAAACAACAAAACAATTACTAGTTTCTGAATTCTAGCCAAAATTAAATTTGATTTATAATATATTTCAAATTCATTATTTTTGATATTAGTCAATAAATAATCAATATTTGGAAGTGTCCTTAACAATACCAAAACATATTCTTCCTTTCGCTTATAATTTCCTAATCCAAATTACACCTGCTCGAAAAACTCACAGGAAACCGCAAATGTATAACCGTCTGTGTCTCCTCATTATTCAGTATATTTTCATTATCGAAAATAATTAGCAGGGAAATATAATTGTCTAACAGTCTGCGTTTCTGCAATGGACGTTATTCTATGTAGAGAAGGAGTCCGCAAATATACTAAAGGGAGAAAAAAATTAATGTCTATTTTAGGTTAGTCACTTTTCAGAGCATTTCTGGCAGAACAACCGGTTTAGAAGAATCTTGCGATGCTTATTTGGTTAAAAGTTAACCCTCGATTTTAAAAATGTTGATCTTTCGATTGATGAAAGATGGATGAAGATTATGTTCGAATGATCTATGTATATGTATTTTTCCAGATATGCGCAATTCTTTGACCCTCAATTTCTTCAAAAAAATTGAAAACCTCGTGCTCTACTTCTCTAATTTATCCTTAACAAAACAATGTTGAGCAAAAAAAGAGCCCCCTCAATTTTCAAACAAGGGACGAAGATTTTCTAACTGTCTAATCCTCTCTAATCAACACACTATTTTATAATAATGCACGGTGAAGGGACAACGGCTCAGCATGCTGTCTGATAATCTTTTCGATATGAACTCTTCAAGCAACATGCTGGAAATGTCTGATTGTCTAGCTGTCTCTACATTCATCTCCACTATTTTCAGCATCAACACAGGGATGAGGGCTTTTTTGTTTCTCTGATAATCTTTTTGATATGAACTCTTCAAGCAACATGCTGAAAATGTCTGATTGTCTAGGTGTCTCTACATTCACCTTCACTTTCTCTAGCATCCACACAGGGATGAGGGCTTTTTTGTTTCTCTGATAATCTTTTTGATATGAACTCTTCAAGCATCTGAAAATAAACTGCTCGAAATGTCTAGCTGTCTGGATACTTATAAATTCATCTTCATATTGTTTTGCACGAGGAAGTTTATTGAAAAATACTGTTTACATTAATTGAAACAATTTTTCTAATTTTGAAAATTTTACAGTGTCAAGGAATCGTTGCGAAACATGAAAGAGAAAAATTTGATGGAAATACACATTTCCTAAAATTTGTAATTCAAACTTTACTGTTTATGAAAGTGCAGATAGTTTCAAATAATTCTGGAAGTTATCTTTGAAAACTATGTAGTTTCAAATTTATTTCTGTATATTTTTTTTCAGATAATTGTTCGATCCCCAATTTTTACAAACTTAAAAAAATTAAAAAGCTCGTCACAATGCAGTTTCTCTTTTTCTCTAATCTTTTCTTAACAACACAATGTCGAGCAAAAAAAGCCCTTCCACATTTTCAAAAAGGGATGAACATTTTCTAGCTGTCTGTGCCTCTCTAATCAATCCACTATTTCATAATAATGCAGGGCGAAGGGACAACGGCTCAACATTCTCTCTGATAATCATTTTGATATGAACTCTTCAAGCAACATGCTGAAAATGTCTGATTGTCTTGCTGTCTCTACATTCATCTCCACTATTTTCAGCATCAACACAGGGATGAGGGCTTCTATTTTTCTCTGATAATTTATCAATATTGTGAAAAAAACGTTTTTTTATGTTGAGCAGACTATGTTGAGCAGAAAAAAAAAGTACACAGCGTATTCAGAAACTGGACAAAAATTTGGAGAAATACTAGAATACTGAAAAAAACTGTTGATAAAAATACAGATGTCTGTAACTAAATTTAAAAAAAACGAAAAATAATCAATTGGAAATTCGGAATCCGAAGGTACAAAGGATCTTTTCTTTGAAAACCCGTTTTGTTATTTTTGGAAAAAAAAAACAGATTGGGAGATAATTTAATCTGAAAATGTTTTTTTATTTCAAAAATATGAAATGTATTAATTCCAAAAATTTCAAAGTGTTTCACATAACGATTAAAATGTATTTTCAAAAAAAATTTGAATATATTGTGCGTGAATTCAACATCGACCGACATTTCAACGGGAAGGCCATGGGCTATGTTTTGTGTTTAAAAAATTCTCGGAAGATTTCTGTTTTATGACGATGGCTTATGTTAAGTTTTTGTAGCACAGCGTGAATTCTTCTCAAAACTTCAAAAATCTTTCTTTATTATGAGTTTCCTTCTTTCATTCATCATCCAAGATCAAGCCTGACAACTTGTATAATATCAGCAGAACATGACAAAAAATCTCGAATGAATAATTTTTTGCCCACCTAAAATGTGGTGATTATCAAAACCTTTTTCGCCGAGAAAACTACTAATTGTACTATCGACATTTTTTCGGTTTAGTTTCACGAGAAAATTCTCGAAATATATTACTTTTTTTGAAAGCTACTCATTTTTTACAATGATCCCAGATCTTGATGATATTCCATTACCACCAACACCAATGGCGGCTTTTTCACCATTGAGAGCTCGATTTTTTCAATTGTTCAATCTCAGAGATGAAAAGGTATGTTTTTTTTTGAGAATCGGGTTTGCTTTTCAAAAAACAAACTCCATAATTTATCAGGACTTGGATCAACTTTTGAAAAACATGTTTGGAAACAAGGACAAAACTGACCAACATTTCGAAAAACGTAAATAATATTTTTTTTGGGAAAAGAGAGAAGCAGATGTATTTTTTTCTACATTTTTTCTGATAAATTTCAATAAAGTTTATTTCTCTTTGAAAAATGTTTAATGTTTTGGCTTATTTATTGGCTGAAAAACTTGAAGAGTGTAATGCGAACAGGTAATCTCTGACGTATGAAATTTTGCACAGATTTTCGTCAAGGCAAAATGTTTAGGAGTTCCAAGTTTCAAGTCATTTAACATTTGGCAAGTTATAATTAAGGTTCCCTCAAAACTCGAATATTTTTTGAACTAGAAATAATGTGCGCATGAAAAAGATAAGCTTAGATTAGTAATCAATAGTGAAGCCAAGAAGTATGATGTTTCTTTTTTCGTTTGGAAAGAGTATACGATATTGAAGGAAAAAAATGTATGTTTGAAAACTTGAGGAGAAAAATCAAAAATGTTTGAAAATACAGACATTCTGAAATTTCTGGGAAATAATTTTCGGTACAGATGTTGATAAAAACACTAGAACTTTAAAATTATAATTTCCCGTTGATGTCAATGCTCGATATTTATAATTGAGCACAGTTATTCATCAAAAAAAATTAATGGAAATTCCAAGTTTTGAGCCATTCAACATTTGGCAAGTTATAATTTCAAGATTCCTTCAAATCTCGAATATTTTTTAAACTATAAAAACATCTGCACATAAATGGACAAGTCTAGAAATCAATAGTGAAGCCAAAAAATATGATGTTTCTTTTTCATTCAAAAGAGTGCGCAGATGAAGATTTCAGACTTTTTCTGGAAAATTATTTTCGGAACAGATTCCGAATAAAATCTAGAATTTCAAGTTAATATGTTTCATTTAAATTAAAACAGTTACGGAGCTCATTCAAAATTCAAACAATAGTTTCATAATTTAAAAAAATTTCCCTTGTTGAAGTTAATTTTTGATACCTGAAACTTCGCCCACAATTTCATCAGAACAACATGCTTAGGAATTGAAAATTTCAAAGAATTCAACACAGTCTGAAAAAATACCCCGATTCTCTTTAAAATCTGAATACCTTCGAACTAAAAATAAACTTGTGCGCACAGAAAAGCTAATCCTAATTTTCTTGATTCATAAGATTTTTGTAAGCCCTTGAAATGCAGATTAGTAAAGTCTGATCAGAACATAAGTTTGTTTTTCAAATCATAAGTTTGTTATTACAGATATTTTTCTGAATTAGGTGTTACTTTGAAGTTCATGCTTGATTGAAACGCCTAGATATTTTCAATTCTCTGAGAAACTTCGTAGTTTTGTTTCGTTATAAGGTAGTCATTATCTCAATTTTCTTTGCACATAAAAATGTTGAGCAATTTTTTCGACACTTTTTTTTTCACTGAATAATCTTATTATCAAATTTTAGGATGTTACACTTATTTGCATACATTTTGGCTGACAGACTTGACCGAGAACATCTGTGAGTAGAATATTTTGAGAAAAAATGTTTTTTCGAAAAATTCGTTGCTAGAAAATTTCAATTGAATGTCACTTACCGTATTCAGAAATTTCGTGCCAAATATTACACTTTGTTAAGAAAATGCAATGTTTCTCTTCAAGAAAAACTCAAATTTCTCATTAAAAAATGTTTTGATCAAGATCATTATTTTTCAAAAGCCATTCTGCATTTTAATTACATTTCACTTTTTGAAAACAATGCAACTTTATTGAAAGTTTTACGATTTTCATTGAAAAAATGTTTTTCAAATTTTTTCGAAAAGTTCATTCACCATTTCCTAATCAATTATGAAAATAAGTGTTCCGGTGTTTGGTGAAAAATATTTTTCCAAAAAATTTCAAAACTGGACTATTTTTCAATGGTTATCAAAAAGAAATCACACATCATTTTTTTATAAATGAAATCATGTTGTTGTGTTGAAAAAATCTATTTTTATAATCCAAACAATTTCAAATCCCATTTTCAGACTTCTTCAAGAGCAACAACGTCAAGCCCAAATGGTGAGTTCTTAGCTGCTCAAAGATTTATCCTAAGTCCCACGTGAAAAAGGGCCTTTTTCTAAAAAAAAAGAGGATTAACTGGGCGGGGCTCATAAGCTACTGTACTTGACAAATCAAATCCTCACAAATCGACATTTTTGAGCCAACAAATCTCGTATTTTTTCTATTTCCCAAACTAAAAAAAATCGAATAAATTTATTTTCCAGGTTTCTCAAGCTCAAGTTCAGGCTCAAGCTGAAATCATGAGTGATTCGCAAGGTACCGAGAACAATGAGGCACCACCAAGTGTTACGCAAGAGTTCTCTTGGCATCCGCCACTTGTCTGTAAGTATTCGCTCATGGGGCCAAACGAGCAAGATAAGGAAGCCATAAGTAATGATTCAAATGGTGTTACTGAGGTCGTTGAGATGAGTGGAGTCGTTCAAGGTTTTGGGTATAAAGATTTTCCCGTTTCAAGAGTTAAGCCAAAAAGAGTTGAGGTTAGTGAAGAAATTTCATGAAATTATTTTTTATCACAACATATATTTTCCAGACCGCAAGAACCAATTTTGTTGCGCCAAGAAGAACTGATCCAGCCAACCGTCGGTTGGTCAAACGCAGATCGATCAATCTCGAAAAATACTGTAGAAACCTTCAGGTGGGTTCATATAAACTTCTGAATAAGTTTTCCACAGCATAAACATACATTTTCAGAAAACACCCAAATAACTCAGCCCATATAATCAACCCTCAAATCGTAGTTTCAATCGCCCTCATCAATAACTCTCAAGTATAATCTAACCGACCTTTTTTTTAATGTGTTGCACCTCTTCCCACAATCAACTTCAATTCCCCTTTTAACCTCTTTTTTATCCAAAAACCACTGCCCTTTAGTTCCTATGCACAGAAATTTGTAGTTTTTCCCGTCTTAAAATAATTCAAATTTTCCCAAAGCTTTCGAGAGAATATTGATTGATTCATTGTAGTTTTCATGATTTGTTTCACAATCTTTAATACTAGTAACTCTTATAAAATCTCTATCTTCTGTTTCCCCCATACATTTTCCCTAATCTCCTTTATGCACTAATTTCCCATTTTTTTTCCAAAAAAAACCTGTTATCATTGTAGTTTCCCTTGTTAGTCAATAAAAAGTAGAGTAGAAAACAAAAAATTTTCGGTGCCTCATGCTGGAATCGAACCAGCGACCTTCTGTTTACTAGACAGACGCTCTGCCACTGAGCCAATGAGGCGGACATGGGAGGAGGAAAAAAGGTCATTGATGAAAGCGCGTGCAAAAAACGAAGATGGAAAATAAAAGATAGGAAAAAAAATTTAGTGAAATTATTTAGATAAAACAATTTTTTGAAAAGTTTACAGAATTTTTCAGATCCAGATGTTTTACAGATCCACCGTAGTTTTCCAATTGAGATCTACATATCAGACTTCCTTGTTCATAAATCAAATGTTCTAGACAACGTTTTCAAATCAAAACCTTTTTTTCATCCACAGCATTTCTCACATCAGCGAACATGACAAATCGAATCATTATTACTTTCGCGGAGACACGAAAAATGATTATCAAGCTAATTTTTTTGCTTATGGTGGTGTTCCCGATTTCTGAAAGTGTTACTTATTATTCTACACCTAGAGATCTGGATGCTTCACATTTTCTAATGATGGTTTTCATAATTTCCATTTATGTTTATACCGCCTGGTATTTTTTGTTTTGTCTGGAGAATTGGTGAGATTTCGAGAGAAAATTAAGATTAGGACTTAATATTTTCAGAGTCGTGCACAATGGGTTACAGTAATTACGCGAGTTGTTATAAAAATTCTGTACTTATTTTTGATTCATAAATGTTGGGAATGTTAATTTTAACTGAATCATTTTGATTTAATTGGTTACAAAAAATAATTTGAAAACCAAAAGAAATATTAAATTTCAATTTATTCAAAAAGAAATAAAAAAGATTAGAACTTCCATGAGAGAAAAACTGAATTTGAGGAAAATTATTGGCCATTGAAAATTAGAGTGATCAAAAACAGTATCTGTAAATATAATTTTGATTAACATTTATTAATTTTCTTTTTCGAAAACCAACCTTTTCACAATGAAAAGTACAGAAAGCATGAAAGAATACACAAAAATCGTGCATAAAAATGATGGATTGGAGACGAATTTGAAAAATTTGGATTCTTGGAATTCAAATCCATAAACCACATTGAGAACTGTTAGAATTAAAATAACAGTTATCAATAATTTGAATATCATTAAGATTGTTGTTTTTTGTTGAGGTAACTGATTTGATGAGAAAAAAAAGATAAAGTTGAGATGAGTTTTGGGAAAATTAGTCAATCATGTGGATTGAAATGAGAAATTTAAAGCTAGTTTTTTTGAGAATACAACTTTTTGGAGCCAATCAATCAATTTCTGACACATTCTTATATGTTGTTCTCAAATTAAAAAACAAAGCAGAATTTTCCATTTAAAAAAAAATTGCTTTCATTTCAAAAATGCATTATTTCAATGCCAACTTCTCCTTTTGAATCTTGACACCTGTTCCTATGCTTATTCTAACAAACAACATTCAGAAAATATGTCCATTCATTTTTTTTTTCTCGAAACTTCTGCTAACTGTTACTCATTAGACAAAAAAGTGTTGCGCAAGACACCAAAATGTGTCACCAATCAATCAATGTTGGTTGTCTGGTTCTGGTTCTGCTTCTCCTTTTTCCGTTTTCTTATAAAAACATTCAAGAAGAGAAGGTTGAATCTAGTCATTTCTGTCATTTTTTTTTCTGATCAGCTCTGATTTTTTCAATGATTTCTAGGATTCAAGATTTTTTGAGGTTCTAATAATGATATTTAAACAAAAATAAATTTTAGTTAGACAAAGAAAACAGATTTCGCAATACTTTTTTTCGAATTCTGATCAAATTTGAAATTTAGAATTTATTTTCATCAATTTTTTTCTAATTTATCGAGAGAATTCATTAATTAGACAGGTTAACTTTTATGAAAACAACCGGCTGAAAAGTGATGAAAAAAATTATTAAAAAAAAATAATTTTTCAATTTTTCGGAATTTCTGAACTATTTATGATATACAATTTTAGCAACATATTTTTCCAAGAAGAATGATAATGAAATGCAATTTTCTGAAAATGGGAGCAGGGTTTCATAATTTTTATAGAGTAGACTGGGACATTTCACAAAAATATAAATAACATTAAACTTTGGGGAGATGGGGATGATGAAGAAATATCTGAAGCAACTCCGCAAAATACAGTAACCTTGAAGGTTATCTTTTAAAATTTTCTTTTTTTTTTCAATTTTTTGTTTTATGTTTTTATTTCGATTATTTTTTCATGAAAGTATTGTTATTCTGAAATTATTCGACTCTTGGAAGAGAACTAATAAAAAATTTCAAACGAATTACGGAAGCTTTGAAAAAAAGTACGAAAAACGCAAGAGTGTGGAACAAAGCAAAACGAAAAAAGATCAAATTGGAGAAGGAACCTCGCAAGGAAAAAAAATCAAAGTTCTTCCTGGAGGAAAATCATTGGAATTCCACAAAAATAAAGGATAAATGGAGTACAAAAAAATTGAAGAGAAGAAGAAAAATTAACAGAACACTTAACGAAGAAAGTGATTCTGATCATCAATCCGATGTTAAGCGAATGCACTAGGCCCGCGTCCACTGGAATTGCTGCATCAGCAATAAATGGAAACACTGGAATCTGAGCCAATTTTTGGATTTCATGAGGAAAACCGAATGGAATTCTTCTCCATTGAAAATTATTATCAAAACTGCTCTCAATGTTTGCGATGTGGAATATTTTCTAAAAAAAATGGTGACGACAATCAATATTCTCTCAAATCCAAAGCCTCACAGAAAAAATGTTACTTTTACCGATAATTACGATAAAAGAGGAGGTGAAAAAAAAGAGAACAGTAGAAGATGGATTATATGGTTTGGCACAGAGATACAGCGCTGGGCACCCACAAGATGACTTCCCACAAGTATTATTATCAAAATTGAGCTCAGATTTTTGCGATGTGGAGTTATGTGATTCTAAATATCGATGATCAAGAGGAAAATCTACCCTTGAGTGATGGGAACATAATTCGTTTGTTAGGCGATTCACCCAAACATTGGTGCATCGACAAGAAAAAAAGAGCCAAGTTTGAGGTGCTGCAACCATTTGAGGAGCCCCTCCCGGTTCATATGGTCCATGGAAAATTGCACAGTGGCGCATCAATTCAAAAATGCTGTCCGTGGAATTCGGCATTGACTATTATTATCAAAACTGCGCTCGTTGTTTGCGATGTGAGAGTTTTAACTTATGTAAATTGAAAAACTATACCTAAAAAAATAAAATACAAAATCGAAGGATCATGGAAACCGGATTCAACTTCATCTAATTTTCTAATGTTGTGCTTGATTTTTTTCCTATTTTTATTTTGTATAAAGAAGTTTTTTGCATTTTTATAATTTATTCTTAATATTCGAAAAACTCAACCGAGCAATGATGATTGTACAGCTAAAAAGCCACAAAAATTTCAATTCTCAATTTTTATTTCCAAGAAAAAGAAATGAGCGATGATGATAGTGATGCTGGAAAATTGATTTCAGCCATTTTTCTGAGCTCATTTCAAAATTCGAAGGAAAAATTATTGGTTTTTGAAAATCATATTTACTTTGAACAAAATGTAACAAGATGAAAAAACAAAGTTGGGAAAAATATCCAAAAAATATTAGAGCGAGCCGTGCCTCTAAAAAAAATCACCAGCGCTTTTTTGGTGGCTTGGAGAAGCTTCAGTGCTGAACAAGTGCCCAGTTTGAGGCATTGTTCGAGAATGGAGTCTCAAAAAAATTCTGAAAAATTTGTGACGCGCCGGTGCTAAAAAGCGACCTCTTCATCCGCAAGAAAATAGAAATAAAAAATTAAAATTTGGTTTCATTCTTAAAAAATCGGATATAAAATAAATCTCTGGAAAAATATGTGGTCACAGGAAAATAAAATCTACATAAACAATTATTATTGATTTCCTTTTTTTCATTCAACAGAAAGTTCTTCATCTTGCAATCTGCTGAAACAACTCACATTATTCAAAAGCCAATATTTTTTCCAAAAAAAAACTCACATTTTTCGTAATAAATATGCCATGAGCAATGTTCCATAGAAAATAGCAGTTAATGTAACAATTAAATGGCATAAAAATTTGAAAGTTTTTGCGTCAACTTGGAAACAAAAAAGCGTGAACCATTTGAACGAGAAGAAATAATAAAATCATGGAAAAATTGTTGATAGTCATGAAGTTCAGAGGTTTTTTGAGCAAATAAATAAGTTTTGGTGTTAATTGAAGTATGAAATGAGATCAAATGAGTTGCGTCAGAGAAATTTCGTTGGTCATGTGAGCTTCATAACTTATTTTATTGAATTTTTAAAATTGTATTTTTGAAGGTGTGGTGCTCAAAAAATGTGCTTATGTAAAATAGAAGAAAATAATTTTCAGATAAATTTCCAGAGCTTCACAGGATTCAGGATTTAAGAGATCGATGACAATTAAATAAAAATTGGCAGAAGTAATAAAAACAACAAACTACAAGATCGGAATAAATTCCAAAATTATTCTGAAAAACAGTTTGTTTTATTAACTGAAAGCTAACAGATTTTTCTATTTTTTTCACAAAAAAAATTCAAATTAGACAAAGTGAGAATTAAAAAAAAATTGATAATGTTATTTAGGTGTTTGTACTTTGTTAGCTCGTACTATGCTTTGATAGAACAATAGAATACATTCTCATGGATAAATAGTGCTTTGCGTTAATTTTCAGCTGGAAAATTATCATAATTGTGAGAATAATTTGTTTCTATTTCAGAATTTTTTTTCAAAACTCCAGGTGTTTCAAACTTTGTTGAAAATGATTTTTTCCTGATTTTGTGAGCCTAGATTCTGAAAAAAACATTAATTTCTAAATTGTGAATTTGTCGATTCATAATTAATGAAATTAATATTGTTCTTGCACTTTTTCTATCCAAAAAACTATAAAAAATATTATGCCTGAAATGTTTTCCTGGAATAGATGATGTTTCATGATTGAATTATTTCAAAAATCATTTAATTTGAAAAATATTCAAAACTTTTAAGTTTTCGCTGAAAACGTTTTTCTAAATTTCAACTTCAGTTTTAGTATTTGATTCCCGATATTTTAGTTTTTAAATCATTACCGCCACATGGAACTCAATAAAAACGCTCACTCCTGCCCCTCATAAAAGCAAATCAACACCGCCGTTTGTGTCATCACACCACACCAGAAGCATATTTTCCGCCAAATAAACAAACGATAAAGTTAAGGGCATTGTTGTATGTGTTTGTGTTTAATCAAAAAAAAAATATAAATCATCATAAAATGAAATAAAATAAATTAATAATCAATTATAAGCAACGCAACGCTTTTTTGTTTTTGATCATACAATTTTTGCTTCATTTTTTATTTGTTGTTGGAAGGACACCGCATTTATTATTTTCTCACATTAAATCCGGTAGTGGTCATTCCCTTCTTTTTTTTTGCAATATGTTCCGACGTGAGAGAAAAATTGGATAGATAGAAGAAGCTCGGTTTCAAACCAATCACAAAACACTTTTTTCGCGAGCCACGCCCACAAGAGTTGAGAGAAATGAAATATTTTGTGGATCAAACCGCAAAATTCCCATTTTTTATGTATGCTTCTTTGTTTTGTTTTTTTCGCGCCTCGAGGTTTAAGATTTATTTCTTGTTAGAACATTTTTGTGAAGCTTGTGAAAAACCTGTGACTTGAGAATGTTTTGTCGTAGTATTTTTTTTTCAAATTTTCAAGGTTCTGAAGCAATATTTCTGATTTTCTTGCATAAATTCAGATTTTTAAATTTTCTAGAATGAGTTTTGAATTTTCAGAACTACAGTTTTCAGAGATACTGTAGTAATCAAATTGCTTTGTCACAGTCTATTTTTTATTCAAAACATTTTTTGTTTCAAATAAAATTCCGAAAAAAATGAGAACGGCCATTTTTTGAACCACAAAACCAAAATAGAAAAAAGTAACATTTCAGAGTTTCTTAGATTACTGTAAGTAGATATATTTATATTAAATATAATTTTTCTGAAGATTTGAGTTACAGTAACTTTGTCACTATTACTCAATTGATGTTGATCATGCTTTTCTGGTAGTTTGAATTACAATAACTCAGTTGCTGTCTAGAATCTTTCAGTGTTTTTTTATTTAATTTTTTTAAACACTTTTTCAAATCTAATTTTTTTGAAAATTAACTACAGCATACTTAAATTCAAGCAGGTGGAAATGAAAATTAGTAAAAATTCTTACTCACACCTCAAAATTATTCCAAAAACATGTGTCTAGTTTGATCTCGCATCATTCTATTCTGTTGAATTTGAGAAAAGTGTTTTTAATTTGAAAAACATATATATTTATAAATATTTCCGCTTGCACTTCCTTTTGATTTCCGGAAAACTAATCACTTTTTTTTTTGTTTTGAAAAAATACGTTTGCGGTTATTTTTGCATAAAAATAAAGTGTGTAATTTTTTTCAGAGAAATTGGATTTTGAAAAAAAAAATGAGCGGTTTTCGAGTTGAGGATTTATTATCGGATCGCGAAAAAGAGTCAGATGAGTCAACAAGCAAGTCTTCAAATGGTTAGGTTTTTGTTATTTTTTTTGTTGGAATTGTACCCTAAAAACTTTAGCAAGTCTGAAAAAAATAAAAACAGTGAAAATTTTTAATTTTAAACAATGATTACTGTACAACTTACAAGGTTCAAGGCACCCAAAGACCCAAGTCTGTCTTCAGAATTCAAAAATCTGAAAAATCTAAATATCCGAATTTTTTCCAGACCCATCATCCGCCATCAAAACCACTCGTCGCCACAAAATCCGTCGAGCTCGAACAGCTTTCACTTTCGATCAACTTGTCACACTTGAAAACAAGTTCAAATCTTCAAGATATCTCAGCGTTTGTGAACGTCTCAATCTTGCTATCCAACTTCAACTCAGCGAAACTCAAGTCAAAATCTGGTTTCAAAATCGACGCACCAAATGGAAGAAGCACAATCCTGGACAAGATGCAAATGCACCATGTACACCACCGAGTTCGGATGAGATGACGAATCAAACATCGAATATTTTGACGCCACAAGTTACCACTTTTGCACCACTGGTGAGTTGGATTTTGGGAAAGGAAAGGAAAGGAAAATACTGTGGAAATTTTGAATTACTTTAAATTACCCTGAATTATATTGCGGAAAACAATTCCTGATGTTGGTCCAAAAAATTTCAAGGTTTCATTTCAGGTCCCAATCCATCTTATGCCTCAAATAATGCCCCAACTCGACCTCTACAAACTCAACGCACTCTTCCTACAACAACAAAAACTCTCATAGTTATTCTAACTCCACACTTCGTCAAAAAATATTCCATCTATCGGGTCTTCTTTAATATCTTCCTAATTTTTATCGTTTTCTCGTCTTCTTCTAGTTAACCAAATGTTTTATATGCTTTCTCTCGATTTGTTACAATTTTAATTGGATTTAATGAAAATCAAATAAAATCGTTATGATGATTGGTGACGGGTGTTGTTTTATTTTTATTTTGAAAACAAAAAGAAAATCTACAGTATCCCACAACAACAAGTATTTATGTGGTGTGTGAAAAGCTAATCACTAGAAAAATTGCCCTGCTCTCAAAAAAAAAACAGCCGCGTTTTATTGGATGATTGACGACATGGCACGATTACTGTAGCTCATTTTAAGTTGTTTTTTTTCTTTGAGAACATATAAAAATCTACGAAATCTATCATATTGAGCCAAAAAATATGCATTCATATAAACTTCTCAAAATTTGTTTAACCCAGAACCACAAGAGAGATATTGAAATTTTTGAATGTGATGACATCCGGATACAATAAACGACTATGGGAAAATTGCATACGTATAATCCTAACCACCACCCAATCCAAGAGAAATTAGTCAACAGCTGTGTGTGTGTGAAGAAAATATGTGGAGCCTTTTGAAATGTGCCGCGTGCGCAAGGATTTTTTTTTTGAAAAAGGAGCGGGAGGTCTGACTGATTTTCAGGGTTTGAAAAGTTCGGAATCTCAAAAATCCTGATGTGAGAAGTCATTTTCAACAGAGATTTATGTGAATATAGAGCTAAAAAAATCAAAGAAAATTGATTTGGACTACACTTTTATAAAAATGGAACTTGATTTTCATGAAAGACCACAAAATAAGAAGATCTATTCTGGTAGTGATAAAAAATAATCGACTATGGTCCCTTTTCATGTAGTCTCATACATCATTTTGATTCAAATTTATGTGGTTCTTTTTTTATATTCCGAGGAGTCATACATACAATCAAGATTTGAGTGCTGTGGGCTCATTTGGTGAAATGTGGTCCTTTTTGAGGATGAGAAAGTGAAACCTTTTGAAATTAGCCGCATTGTTTTTTGAAAATGGAAATCGGAGGTCTGACTACTTTTTCTAGGTTCCGAAAATGTTCAAAATTGATTTATGATTGTGAGAAAAAATATCTGTCAATTTCTAATTTTGAATAAAAATGAGAATTTGAATCTTTTCGAAAAAAACAATTCATCAGACCAAAATTTGCACAAAATATCATGAAGCACAAAAAAATCTCGATGAGTAGACAACGGGAAATAATTCTAGAATTTTTTTTTCAATTCTACAGTACTCCTATTTCTCTTTCTCTATCCTCGAAAAAAACCACATTTCGCTCATCTCTTCATAAACCAGCACCTCATCATCGCTCAACTAAAAACCGACCACAAAATAAATGATAGAGTGACAAATGATGTGTCCAACGACAAGCAATTACATAAAACGGAGCCAAAAAGATTGGAGCAAATTGTGCGGCGGCACTTGTTGCTCATTTGTCAAACCTCGACTCATTGGCTCAATTGGAACAAGATGAAGATGAACGAGTTTTTTGGGTAATCAATTGATTGATAAAAATGAGGAGGAAAAAAGAAGAAGATGAACAAGTGGAATTGAAAAGCATTTTATCACACAATTAGAAACAGAAACAAATGTTTGATCAAGGTTTTGTTGTTTTTTTTTGTGGATTGTGAGATTGGGGATCTCTAAAACTATATCAAACATTTTTCCTCAATTGTAAAAAAATCTTATTTTTTTCCCAAAACAAAAATGTCAATTATCAAGCCTAAAAATTGACCTTTCAAAAAAACAGCCAAGAAAAAACATGTTTTGTTTGCTTAACGTTTTTTTCCTCCTTGGTATTAATATGAGCAATGTTTCGAAATATTGCTAGATCAATTGATAAAACGCTGGGAAAAAAGGGTGGAAGAGAAAACATAGGTTTATTGATTAATTAGAAATTAGAAATTAAAAAGAGGAAAAGGTGCGACGATCACAATAAAATTCACAAGTGCTAAAAAAATAACACGTAGATATTTCAGAGATACAAAGGGGTGAAAAACGGCAGTGGTTATTAGATGGGTGGAAGAAAAATTTGAAAAATATACAAACAAAAATAGTTCCTTGGTGTCTCAATCAGAATCAGAATCATCGTCTTCGACTGGGGAAAAATAGAAGATGTCCTCATCTTCAGCGTCATAATCTTCAATTTCACCATATGAATCATCGTCTGGAAAATCATCATAGCCAATTGAAAAACGTTGGAGCATGTTGATACATTGGTCTGAAAAATTCAAGATGAATTTTACTACTATGATTCTAATTTCAAAGATTCTGAATTTAGAATTTTTGATAAAAGCCCCTTATGAAACCTCATCGTCAACATTTTTTTTTTGATTTTGCCCAAAACATCTCTTGCAAATTAGTCACGTTGTACAAAATTTTTAGACAGTTGTAGTCCAGATGTTATTAGAAAATAAACTCCAAGATGTTTTTGCAAAAACTATTTTTGGAATTATGCCAACTTTCTCGAAAAAAATGAATAAATATGTTCTGTTAGACCTAGACCACCCACGAAGCCCGGAGGCAAATAAGTTTTTAACGGAATCCAAAATAATTGTATTATTACAGTATCCTTTTAAAGATAAAATTCCCCTTCCCCTAAAAACCACTTACTTAGCAAAAACTCGAATTCTCCATCTGTCAATTCCATCTTCAAATAGCCAAGTCACAATCTCAAAAAAACCTACAGTATGTAATTTACTACCGTACTCCACTAGTTCCCTGGCAGATCAAAATTATTGCTCTTAAAGAGGCTCTTAAAAAGAAATGATTGTTATCCCAAAAACAAATGCGGGAAAATATTCGGGTAGTAAATTACACTCGATGAAAAAAAATGAATAGAAAATCTTGGAACAGTCAAAACAGCCAGAAGGGCAATGAATGAAAAAAAGACAAAAACATCGTTTTTTTCGCCTTCCTTTTTTTTGGCGGGAAATATGGAGAAGGAAAAAAGAAGAGAGGAATAAGAAAGGGCCTTTTGTATTTTTTCTTGTTGGAATTCGAATAAACATGTGTACATATCTTATTGATTGGAACTTTTTTGTGGATTGAAACACACATACATAAAATATCACATTATCACACGAGATTGGAAAATTGAGGGGTTTGAAATTATAAAATGGGTGGTTGAAAAAAAGAAACTAAAAATGCATATATGGAAAAGGTGATAGAAATCATATGATTTGAAAAGTGAGAATATTCACAAGGGAATTACATTAGGGTGATAGGAGTTTTTGGAAAACAAGAAATACATGGTTATAAAACTTGGCGCGCTGAACACGATGCTGAAAAAAATGGCTTCAGAGATCAGAGTTGTGTCGAGTTAACCTCTGAAAATAATCAGAGACCAGTTTTATGGATGAATTTTCCATTGGCTATTTATAAATCTAACTTGTTCACAGCAAATTATTTAAGCTCATTTTTTAGTTCCAGACAGAGCTCAGCTAAACTTACATTATAATCAGCCTGTTGAATTCAACGATTCATGATTTTCAAAATCCGATATCTTCTGGAATTTTTCAAAATTCAAAGAGACTTGTCGAATTATTGCAAAACATTCAATTTGGAAAATCTGTGAAATTAATTTATTAGATTAAAATTAGAAAAATTGGGATAATTGAAAAATGATACTGGACTTCATCAAAACCGAGGGAGACGAAAAAACTTTGAAAAATTTCGAAAATTGAACAATCAACCAAAAATTTCACAAAAAAAAAAGACAAATCCTGAATTCAAACAACTCAAAATCAAGTGTGGCACAATAAAATCAGGGAAATTCGGACAAAAATTGAAAACTGATACTGGAATTCATCAAAACCGAGGGAGAAAAAACATGCGAGTAAAGTTGGAAAAATGTGGGAATAAAAATAATTTGTAAAATTGAACAATCAACCAAAAACCCAAGAAAAGCAAAAAAACATGAATAAAAAATCCAGAATCTTTCAAATCACTTCAAATCCAGTTTGAGGGATTGCGACAAAGTTTCGTCTCGCCGGATTGCTGTAGCTGTAAACTTCTTTTTTGTGATAGTATTCCACAACTCGAGTTGAATAAATGTGGCTGGCGGCAGTTCCATAATTCAACTTGTCGAGACAATCACACACTAAAATCATGTTATTACCACGAACAGCGATAATGTGCACTGGTTTACCAACGTGGTCATTTGAGCATTTTTTGAAATATTCGTTGCCGTTGAACTCCTCTGTAATGTTTTTGTTGATTTTTTAAGTTAAAAATTTTTTAGCATACTTGGAAAATATTTTATTTTTGTTTGAGAAACTATGATGTTTGTCCAATTTTAGCAATCCACAATTATTCAAAAACAACTTACCCTTGGGTTCACAAGAAACCATGTCGTGCGGAACAATTGGGGGTACGTGTATTGTTGGGTCATAGTTTTTCACATTTTCTCTTAACTCCAATCGGCGAACAATGGGATCCAAATTACCAGCAAACTTCTTGAAAACGTAGCTTGTCAAAGAAGTAAATTTTTGAGGACTGGAAATAATTTTCTTTTTAATTTATTTTGTTATGGATTCTTTTTTTTTAAATATATTTTTTGCCCATTTTGAACGTTGAAAAATTTTTTTTTCACAGTTTTTTTTAAATCCAACCAAACCTAACCAAAAAACTCACTCAACCAATAATTCTGGATATGAACAGTCGCAGACAATTCGTGCGATTCCATGGATAGAGAATCGCAATTGGTACTTCTTGTTCAAATGATAAACTGGACAAGGCACAAGACAATATTGTGGGGTGTCTTTGTTGTGAACAATGGTGATTTGCTGTGGCCTTATATCGTTTTGAATCAATTTCACCATATCCTTTTTCGGTGAGGGTGCACGTGGCGATGGTGTTGGAGAAGCAGGTTGTTCTGGTGATCTTGGCGACAAAAGTTCTTCCGGTGGTGTTGGTGATTGTTGAGCTTCCATTTTTGGGCTTCGGATCATTTCTGAAATTTTTATATTATATTCTCACGCACAATATTTTCACAGAGTCCTAACTTTCCAGAAAAAAAGCTGTTATTACAAAATTAAATTTTTAAAAAATTAGGAATTCTATTTCAACAGAAAAAAAGCAGTTGATTGGACAAAAACAGAGAAAACAATTTGATATGAGAGAACATAGAGAGACGCAGGATGTATGAGAAAAATAAGCTCCGCCCCTTTTTTGTGTGTTCGCTGCTTTTATACAGTTTTTACGGTATTTACTGTAGCGAACAGAGGGAAGGTGAAACTATGGCGAATCGTTGTCTTAATAAGGAGAAAAAACTGACAGCTCCAATATTTTATGGTGAAAAATTTTTTAAAAACGTGTTTCTTCCAGAAAAAAGTTTGTACAATGTAGATTAAAATTCTTTAAGTGTGAAATATCGTGTTTTTTTGTGAAAATCACTTTTTTGTGAATAAAATGTCTTGAAGATTTAGAAAAATAATATATTGAGAAGTTAAAAGTTCTGAAAAGCTTTTCTAATTTCAAACAAAGTAGAAAAACAACACACATTATCTTTTTCTCTAACATAACCTCTGTGTACTAAAAATGTGCTCATTGATTTTCATGAAAAAAAGTTTGCTGTAAAAATCATGTTCACTCTGAAGCAGCCAAAAAGTGACCCCTAATTGATACAAAAAATATGAGAAAAAAATGAGTCATGTAAGAACAGGAAGACGTAACTTATTGAGTTAGCAGATAACAGACACCTTTTTGTTTGTTTAGTACCCTCAATTAGTAACACTAACTCGCCAGAAGACAGTAAAGCAGCAAGAAAAAATGCCCAATGTCTTCTATAGGACGATGAATAATCTCTCTAGAACAGGAAGACGTAACTTATTGAGTTAGCAGATAACAGACACTCTTTGTTTGTTTAGTACCCTCAATTAGTAATACTAACTCGCCAGAAGGTGTTTCTTGCGAGGAAAAAACTAGTTTTTTGAATGTGAGAATGGGATGAATCATACTTTAGGAGTTTTTGAGGAAAAATCAATAATTCAAAACATTTGATTTTTTTTCATTTTTTTTTTGACAACCCACTACTGTAAGAAAAAAGTTAAACTCACAAATTTTTCTTAAAAAAATTCGGAAATTAATTTAAAGACGTTGATAATTCCCTTAAAAAATGTTTTAAAAATTCTGAACGGAGCTCATGGTTTTCTCGACAACAAAAAATAAGCGAGATCATCCTACGCAAAGCAGGTGGGTAATTTACATTAGCCGTTCGGGTCACCCGAAGCTTATTATAATCTATACAAAATCATTTTTTTTGTCGGAAAAAAATACGGAATCAAAAGAAATGGAAAGAAGAAAGACAAAACTGGTGTTTCGAATAATTTTTCAAATGTTTCATTACATAAAGTTCAAATTAAAATTATGGTTGAGTTAGATGGAGTGGTGAAAAAAGATTGAAAATAACTTTTGGAAAACTGCAAATTCAGAGAAAATCGATAAATTAAAGAACAATATATCCAAGTTCAGGAATCGCTTCAAAATTTCGACGTTGTGGATTGGCATATTTGAACACAGTTTTCTGATCATACATATCCAAAATGTGTTTGGAGAACTGTTTTGGATATTCAAAGCACAAAACATCTTGGCATTGGCAGACAACAATTGTTTGACAGCCGCGCACATGCATGCAAAACACCATATTTTTGTGATTGTGCTCATTTGTGCAGGGTTGAAAGATGTCATCGCCATAAAATGGTTCTGGAAAATATAAGAAATGCTTTTGATGATGGGAATTACTTTGAAGATTATATAATTTATTACATTTTATAATTGAATTTTAAATAAATTTCAAATGATTCTTTGAAAAACTTACAAACATATGTAAGATTTGACCCCTTTAGATTTCAAGTTGAGCTTCTCCCGATTAATTTAACTCTGTAATTTGAAAGAAACTTGAATTCCCAAAAACCTTACGTGTGACTTCATTTGATCTCATTCCAGCTGGCACAAACAGCGGAACATGTAGTGTCGGATCAACAAATCTGATGTTTTCCATCAATTCCAAACGATATGGGCGCAAATCGAGATGTTTTTGATTTTCTAGGTAGATTTCCTTTGTCAATGATGAAAACACCCTGGTCCTGAAAATGGAAATAATTTTTTAAGAAAATGAAATTCAAACTTATGTACTTTATAAGTCGATCGTTAAATGCACAATTACAAATGATTCTTGTAATTCCAGTTATCGAAACATAAAACTGAAATTCTTTAAATCGATGATCAGCCGGACAGCGTGCCAAACAAAATCTATTCATTGGTTGTTCACTGATAATTGATAATTCAATAATTGTTGGATCGTTTTCAATTGGCTGAACCATCGGAAGAAGTTCTTGTGTTTCTACTTCATCTTCTGAAATATCTACTATTTCGCCCTCTTCAATTTCTTGTTGATTTTCTTTTTCTTTTTCTCGTTCTTCTCTGCGAGATCTGTGAATTCGAGAATCTCGTGGCGATGAAGATCGACGTCTTTTCTGTTTTAAATGAGTTGATGGCATTGATTTGTGGCACACTGAAAAATTTACAAAACATTAATTTAGAAGTTTGAAATCAAAGTTAGCCAGAAAACAATAATATTAAAAAAAAAGTCCAGAACTCATTAATTAAAGAATAATTTCCAGCTCACATTGATAGAAAAAAGTAAAATTATCAATAACAAAATATAATAAAAACATAATAGTAAAAAATTAATTGCTAGTTACTATTTTTTCTCAACAACTAATAGGGGAGTTTTATACGTTTGCACTCATTGATTTTTCTAGAGTTCTCCTTTCAAAAATTGAAATTATTTAAATAATTTCATTTTTTGAAAGAAAAACTCGAGAAAAATTTATTTAAAAATAATTATATTTCTAAAAAAATTGCTCCACTTTTTTGTTGCCCCACAGAAAAATAAGATGGGTCAAACAGATGTACTAAAAAATGATATCATAAAGAGAGACGCAGACAGTTTAGGAAGTTAGCACAATCAAATACTTTCTTCCCCTTTTCTCATATGAATCATTAGAGGGTTTGTGGCGAAAGGTGTTGGAAAACTAATGGGAGGAGGAAAAATTGAGAACAAATAGGCGTAATTAACAACAAAAAACAAAGAACATTGCTGGTTCCTGTGAAATGTTGATACCATTCGGTTATTTTTGAGAAACAATAATTGGTTAGGTACATAATTATCTGGGCTATGGCCAAAAAATTGTATTCCGTTCTTTGTTTCGAATTTTATTTTGAGTTATGATAGAATTACTGAATTTTTCTGAACCAAACATAACAAAATAATTTTTTTTCCGAATTGACAACAAGTAAGAAAAACAAAACAAACTGACCTTGAGAGATATTCTCTACATATTATTCAAATTTTGTTTCAAAAAATCTGACTTTTTCCGAAGCAAAAAAACATTTAAGGAAATATCATCATTTTGGGAATGGATCTGATCTTTCAAGTTCAAGTTCTAAGCTTCTAACGTTTTTTTTTGAATAAAAGTTAATGATTTATTTGAAAAAAATAACAAAAAAATAATTGGGGAGCTTGAAAATAAATTTGGAAAAAAACGATACATGAAAAACAGATTTCATAAATCTCGATGAGCTCGAAATGCAGAAAAAAAACACAAGAAACTTCATTGGAACTTGGGCAAAAATAAAAATAATGTGAATCGGAAAATTGTATCAAATCAAAAACTGGTTTAACAAACCGTAAATCTTAAATCTCGAACAAGTTCTGAAAGTGAAAAAAAAACACGAAAAATGAAAAGCAGGTTTCAAAAAATCCCCAAAATAATCAGATAACAATAAATCCAAGATTTGGAACTGCAGTAAATCCTCTAGTTTTTGGACTGGAATACTTGAAAACAGTTGTTTGCTTGAGATAGCTCAACAAATTATCATCGAACTTTTTTTTGTATTTATAACACAATTCATCTTGACATTTGCAGACGATAATGATGTTGCCGCCTCGGACGTGCATAAGAAGAACGTCTTTACCTTCATGATTATTTGAGCATGGTTGAAATGAATGATCTCCGTAGAAAGGTTCTGCAAAAAAAAACAATATTTGCAACCTGTTGTCAGACTTTAAAAGTTTCAGAATAGTTTCAGAAGAGATCCAAGGCCAGAAAGATATTTTTTGAAGAATCCATGTTGACGATTCCCAGATAGTGGTAAGCTATCCAGCAAATTTTCGAAAATAAAGATTCAGAATATTTTTTTATTATCAATTGTTTCGCTATACAACATTTTTCCGGTGTTTTTATTTTTAATGGGCCAATGCAAGATTTTTAATTTAAAAATATCATCAAAAAAACTCACGTTCAACCTCATTCGATTTCATTCCGTGGGGAACAAACAACGGTGTGTGAAGCGTTGGATCGTGATTTTTGACATTTTGCAATAATTCCAATCGATAAGGTTTGAGGTCGATTCGATCCCAGTTTTTGCAATATTGTTCTTTGGTGAACTTTTTGAATTTCCTATTGCTGAAAATCAAAATTTGATTTATGTAATTTAATAAAAAATCTTGAACAAAGCTGTTGAATAAAGTTTCTTTTTGAAGAGCCTTTTTCAAATATCCCTAACCAAAAAAACTTACCAATGCAGGGGTACCAACTTTGAACAATTACATAAAATTCTAGTATTCCCATCGAGGGAAATATGAAATCGAAAACAGCTCGAAGCATGTCTACACGGACAGGGAACCAGGCAATATCTGGGTGCCTCACTTTCCCCAGTCTCTAATACAAACTGGGTGAGTTTGGCGTCATTGAGTGGAGTTCGAACAACCAAATCCGTGTTGCTCGAATTTGCTCGTTTTGATGATGGATGTGTTGGTGAATCGTGTTCTGAATCCGACGCCACCTCTTCAGTTCTTTGTCGTTTATTTCCGGACATTTCCAAGAAAAGCACACTGAAAATGTTTTCAATTTGAAAAATATGGAAAAAAATGGATAAAGAAGATTAACAGCTCACAAATCTCAGAGAGTAATTATTATGGAAATAAGAAAAAATACGTTACTATAACGATGAAAGGATCAATTTTTCTAATAATAAAAAAAGGAGGAAGGAGAGAAAAACTGTTGGAAAAAAGGGGAAAATGTTTTTGGTTCACAGAAATAGGAAGGAGGACGCCTATGTGTTTTTGTGTAAGTGTAATGTTGAGTCATATCGAACGTTGTTTTTGGATTGTGGCAGATTGTTTCTTGTTTTTCGTTTGTATGAGAAATGATTCGAGAAAATATCAAATTAAAATAATTAGGAGATGCATAAAGATGAAATGGTTTTAAAAAAATTCAGGCTTATGAAGAGAAAAAAGAAAAGAGAATGAAGAGTTTTAGAAAAACAAAACAGGTTTACAGCAGTATAACAGTCCAATAATTTTGATTTTTCAATTTTTTCTCCATTAGGCTTACTGACATCCAAGATAGCTTAAAAATATAACTGAAAAATGAGAAAACACAATTGATAAATAACATTTTTTTGGGTTCTGGAATTATACATAAAATTGACAAGCAAGTGAGAAATTTCAAAGATTTTCTAAAACAAAAAGCGTTGAATTCTTTCTTGTTTATATTTTCACAAATAACATATGCAAGTTGAGATGCAAATTTGCTCTATCGAAATCAAAGAAAAATGGGAAAAAAATATTTTTGCGATTTCGCAATCCTCGAATTTTTAAAAAATCATTTATAAATATTACAGGAGTCTGGGAAAACTTCTAAATACGAAGTTGTGGTGAGGGGATGAGGAATAAATCAAGGGTTTTTCAAATGATAACGATGTTCTGAATTTTTTATGAATTTTGTTGGAATCGGAGGAAACTTCTAAATATGAAGTTGTGATGAGGGGATAAGGGATAAATCAAGGGTTTTTTTCGAATGATAACGATGATCCTTGAGCTTGCAAATTTCAAAAAATTGTCAGAAAAATTTCCAGAAAAATTGTCAGGAAAGTTGTCAGAAAATTTCAATTTTTCAATGAAAAATTTGTTGTTGATTCTTGGCTCTCCCCATTTTGCTTCTCAATTTTGAAAAATTGAAATATAGTATACAGGGTGCGTAAAAATGACCCGGACAAAGGTTTATTGCCAGCCCAAGCGAAAATTGGCGAATATTTGATAGATTGTATTTTTTATTTGTTTTATTAGGATATTTCGAAAAGCTGTGCGAAGTTTCAAGTCAATCGACTAATTCTGAGCTGGATTACACATCCTAGAAGCTAGTACAATTTGTGCTCACTGACACGCGATCACTGAGATTTTGGTAACCGCGTTTTCGGATGTCATTTTTTTTTATCATGGAAGGTTTATTTAAGTTATAAATTGATTGGGGGCTCATTAGAGACATCCTAGATGCCAAGGACAGAAGTCTACCTCTTCACCATGACTCACACCCAGCTCTGATGGTGATCTTGAAATTTCGTCCTTGGCTGGAAACTGTCAGTGGTTTTCGATGTTTTAGGACCCCAAACCAAAAATAAAATTGGCAAAAACTGAATCCGTGAATTCAAATTGTCATTAAAAACTGTATTCAGCTTAAAAAACAATCATTCAAAGCTTTCCCAAGTCCTTTTGACCAATCACAGGTCAAAATTTGAAAAAAACCACATTCAAAAAGCAATTTTTTCGATATGATGAGGTGTAAGAATTGAGATAGTATAAGTCAAATTCGAACCGAATAGACTATTCCATTTTCAAATGGGGTAGAAAAAGGTTCTGGGAAAACCCTCAAATCAATTTTCAATGCCTAAATAAGGCTATTCTGAAAAACTGGGACGCTTTGTCCGAAAATGACCCGCGTGCAGCGACAGAGGTAGCCTCCGAACGTTTCCACGTTGGCATTGCTCAGAAAATCGACCAGATCAAGGGAGATCAATTGTTATATTCTAGTTAGGGACCAAGTGAACTAATTATCGAGTGATATTGAGAAACCTTATTCTCTTCTGGGAATCTCACGATTTTAAAGTTGTCCGGGTAATTTTTACATAAAGTAAGGGAGAGATGGAAAACGATCCTCCGGTCTATATTCATCTTGACGTCGGATTTTATAGTTTTTCAGATGGACAAGCGTATGCTTCTAGGAAACTAGAGTTTTTTTTTCGAATTTTGGGATGTATTGCATCTTCCGGTGAAAGATACATTGAACTTTTATCTGATTTTTCTAATGAAAAATGGTTTTGATTATTAGTTTCTGTAAACCGATGATTGTGTCAGGTAGTTTACCTTCAAATAAATAAAATTTGAAAAATAGTATACCACAACTCTTACAAGAATAATGAGATGGCTTTTGTTTCTGTGAAATAGTAAATAGAGTTTCAGTAAATATTCATTTTCAATATATATTTATAACTCCAGAGAATTGGTTTATTACAGAATTAATATTATAATTACGTCATTATACTTTATCAATCATTCGACATCATTAACATATTTTCAAAAAACATAAAAATTATGAATCATGAAATGACTTCGGATTGGCGACAGTTTCTTCTTTCTTCCCAAATTACTTGATTAATCCGATAGAAATCGAAAGTTTTGAACAGCTTTGTTCGATACTGGTGAAGGGACTACTGTAGTTTTCATACAGTAATTCAAGTGCTTCTCTGAAAACATAAGATAACGTTTGAATTTTGAATTCAGATTATCCATAACACAAATCTATATTTTAAAAAACTCACCACTTTTGAAATATAGTCAGTCCAATTTCGATGTTTTTTTGAATCTCCTGTAGACTTTTACATTTTGTAATAGAGAGTACTGTAGTCTATATACAGAAATCCTGAAAAATGAGTTTTCAAATAAAATAGTGATATCGAGTGGAAAAAAAAAAAACTAACCTTGAGTTGAAAAATATTTTAGATTCCGTAGATTTTTTGAAATATTCAGACGCGCAGGTTTCAATGTTGTATATTGTCATAGGAGTTTTCCTAAAAAAAAATAAAAAATAAATTTTTCAAAATAATAATCAATGTATATAAAAAATTCACCAGTTTTTTGTCATTCAACTTCGATGTTTCTTCCAATCTCTGGTACACTTATAGAAATTGTTCATTTTGAAATGGATAGTACTGTAGTTTAGATACAGTAATCCAATATATTTTCTGAAAAATAAACGAATTTTGTTGAACATGTTTTTCAGGACAACATTTTGTATAAAAAACTCACCATTCTTTAGGAAATGTCATTTCAACTTCAATTTTTTTTCCAATCCCTGATAGACTGACAAGCAACTTTTATATTTTGAAATAGAAAGTACTGTTGTTTAGATACAGTAATCCTGTAAAAATAAAACGGTTTTATCTTTTTACGATTTCATCTATTTGAAACTAACCGCTTATTTTCAATTGGGCCAATATTTTTTCCTGAAAAAAAAACTTTGAAGTCGTTTCTAAAATTTCGAAAAACTAACCTTTTAATGCAAACTCGCTTCCAATAAAACTCGATAAATTTCAAATTTCCAATTACTCCGGATCAACATATCGAAAAAAATTTTAAAAGGTTCTGTAAATTTCGAGGAAAAAACTCACTCCAAATTTCAAGTAGGTTAGAGATTTAATTTGAATATATCATTGTAATGTAGATACATTTTTAAAAACTAGCATTACAAATATAATAGATTATCGATCCACATTCTAATATTAAAGGAACATTGAAATAGTAGCCAACGGGAAACATAAAGCGAAAAAGAGGGGAGGCAGCGTTGCCCCGCCAAAAAATTTGAAAAAAAAATCAATAAGTGATTTTTTTATTGTAATTTTTTTTGGTTTAGAACTTCTGGTGGTAGATATACTTTTCAGATTTAATATAAGTGTACTTGGTAACCAGATGCCTTTTTTTCTAATGTAACATAATCATTTTTTGGTTGACTTATGATGTTAAACTAATTTTTGTAATACTTTTTTTGTTATTCATATCATCTTCAATTTTTTCAGGTTTTACTGTATCTAAACTACAGTACTTATTTTTGTCATGAAAATGGAGAAACGAAGAAATTGGATGGAAAAAAGGTTAGTGAACTTCTTTTGAATCAGGACTGTTCAAATAGGGTCCAAGTGAGCTATTTCACAAAATCCCTTCACATCCAACTGTTTGGCAAATAGCCAGCCTGATAATTTGGGCTCCCATTAGAACCCTATTCTATTCGAGCAGCGTTTCACCAATTTTCAAGCAAAAAAGTAGGACCCCATCTCATTCCAGCTTCCCTGTTTCAAATAAAACAAGTTTTCAGATAACCCGTAGCTCTTGGTGCTTTGGACCGCTACGAAAGACCAGACCTACAGTTGATCGTTAATAAAAGAAGAATATGATTATTACTGATGAATTGTGTCAAACAAAAATTTAAAAAATTGTGAGTTTTCATTTTCATTGAAAATAAATAAAACGTTCGTGTTTTTTTTACAGAACTTACTGTATTTAAACTACAGTACTCTTCCAATGATAATTCAAAGCGCACGCCACGTTTTCATTATTATCTCGAAATGTTTTCGTCACAAGTTTTCACTGGCAATGACTCACAAGCAGAAATAATTAAAAATTTAAATGAAAAAAAACTGGCTGCATAATAGAAGAATATGAACGTGCCGATTGAAAATATTGAATGGTTTGTGAGCTTTTCTGTTTGAAAATAAGTTCTAATGACTTGTAAAACAACTAAAGAACATTTTTTTAGATTTCTCAAAACAAATAACTGCGACACACGTATTCTTCAATTCGTAGGTGCTAATAGTTCCAAATATTGTGAGTATTTTCCTCCAAAAAAAAAACAACAATTTCCTTCTTACAGATTACTGTATCTAAATTACAGTACTTTGTTAAGTTTATTGCTAAAGAAATTCCGATGGAACCGTTGTAAGCTCCTTTCCGGAAAGTCAGTCGTTTCAAACTGGTTGGCAGGAGGAAACCACGAGGCATTTACTGTATTTCTCCATTCTCATATTGTTCTGGTTCTTCTATAACTCAATAGAAAAACAGGTAAGTAAAAAATATAAATTTTTTTAAATTATATTGTTTCAAAGTTATTAAACCTTTTTCCAGATTCATCCAACCGTATCTAAACTACGGTATCTTCGACACATCTGGAGATAAAAAATTGTGTGTCCAAAGCTGGAAAACGGAGTGAACTGCAAATGATCTTTAATTCTTAATGATATTCTAATTTTTCATAAATTATTTTTTTTTGTATCAGTTGATATTTTATAGATGAATTTTCAGTTTTAATTATCAAAATTCACAAATTTTTTGCTTGTTTTTCAGGATTCCATAAAACTCTAGAAATTTTCAGGATTCCATAAAACTCTGTAATATTCTCATGTTTTGCCATCAATTTTTTCATCAATGCTCAATGTACTTTTGATTTCATTTTCTCTTATTCTCTTCACTCTCGCTGGCAACCGCCTGACAGGTCAACCAACATCTCGATAAAATGCACATTTTCTTCGTGTGTGTGCGTTTCCTCTCACTCTTCTTTTTATCGATTTTTTCCATTAATAATTTTCAAATTTCCTAAATTCCTAATGTATCATTTTTCGAATTGAATTTTTATAATGAGAAAACGTGTTCATTTGAATACCTGTATTTTGTTTATTTTTCATAATTATTTGTAATTTTCTTGAGAAAAACTATTTTTCAAATTAAACATATTTTTTACAGGGTATTGAACTGTATCTAGACTACAGTACTATTATATTATTTCAATGAAGGTTTGTTGAAGAAATTTTTGTTCAAAAACATAACTAATGTTTATTCTCTTGTTCTGTCTATTTTTTCAGAAACTACATCGAAAATGGCCGATTGTGTAGAAACTATTCGAAAAATTAGTATTTGGGCACAACTAAATAACAGTACTCTTATATTATTTTAATTAAGGTTAGTTAATTAATTTTTCTTCTTTTAGCCGAGAAAACATGTTTTTGAAAATTTTTTTTTCAGAAACCCTAAAGCGAAGATGGAAGATTGTTTCATAACGTGTGCTAAAATACCTCTCTTATTTTTCAAAAAAATAGCATTTGCCGTATGTGTGAATTTAGATGAACTCAATTTTGTGGTTGACGAATTCCCAAACAGTGGGCGAGGAATCGTCTCCAAAAATCATCGAATTATTTGCAGAACTGATTATTTGCTTTACATCATCAAATATAATATAGACCATTTTGAATTTTCAGCCTGAGATTATAAATATTTCTAAAGAGGAATTATAAACATTCCCAAAATTTTTCTAGAATTTTGAATTGTAAATAAAAAAATGTTGTTATTGATGTTTCTTATATTTTTTACTATGAATTCGTTGTTCAAAAGTTTGTTCAGCAAGTTTTTTTTTCAGATAAAATTTCAGGTTCATTAATCGAAACCTTCAATATTTTTTTTTCAATAATAAGATTTTTTTTAAAAGTCAACTATTTTTTGTAACAAATGTTTTCCGCCAATCGTTTCTCGTAACTCTTTTTCTCCTCAATTTTGAAAAAATGTTACACTTTTTGAATTTTTCTGCTCAAAACAAAATCGAAATCTGATATTTTCAGAACCGAAAAATTAAAATAAAATAGAAAGGGGAAAAGGAGCCAGTTGACTATTATTAATTTATTCGGGTTGATATTCAATACAAAAAAGCAGACCTGTCGTTTTTGGGCGGCCGGGTCGGGCCAGCCCTTCAAAATTCAAAAAATGCGGGCTTTTTCGGCCCTCCGGCCCTTCTTTTTTTATGAGAGGCTGTTTCAGCCCTTTTTTCGGCCCTTCATATTTTTTTGATGACAATTCGGGATTTTTACAAATGGATGATTTTGCTCAAATTTTCTGCATTTGGGCGAATTTCGTAAATCAGAATAACTTAAATTGGTGTTAGTGCACCAATATTTCTTCGAAGTACTGTTTTGGTGCAGGATCGTAATGATGAAACACATGAATTTCAATAAATTTTACTTTTATTATCAATCCACCATTAAAAACACGAAATTCGCCAATTTTCTTCCGCCAAAATGCAAAAAATTCGAAAGAAACACCATTGAAAAATAGTGCATTTACACAATAAAATTTGTTGGAAAGGCCGGGCTGAGCCAGCCCATTTTCCCTATTTGGGCTGGCTAGCCCGGCCCTTCACATGGCTGGCCCAAGGGCCGCAAATAGCCGCAAAACGACAGGTCTGCAAAAAAGTTAGAAAACAAAGGAAAATCGAATACAATTCACAATCAAAATGATTTCAAAAAGTAGATCATCTAAAAAATATTTTCGTATTTTTTGTTTCATAAATTGATATTTCTATAATTTTCATTGTTGAAATATGAAATTTTCAGGTGAAATTTAAGATGAGACTATGAATTTATCAGAAGTTTTTTCTCAGGCTTTCAAAATTTCAAATAATGTTTTTATTTTGGAATTTCCAAACTTTATCTATTCTTTCGATATTTTGCTAATCCAAAATAGTTATTCAAAATCCGAGAAAAATCTAAGATATTGCGAAATCACGAAAAAAATTGCTCACTAAATTGAAGGCAAGCGGAGTGTTGTTTAAAAATTATTTTGTGGCTTCTAAGTTTTCGAGAAATTGTAATTTTTGAATCTTCAACTTTCAAATAAAATCTTTTAAACCAATTAATTTGAAAAATAAACTACATCTTTTGCATGGTTGAAAAAACTTTTTCAATCAACAATGATGAACTCATTTTTCCTTCAACTATCAATTTTTCTGAATAGTTCATGCAATTTCCATTTCAAAATTGAAACAAATTTTTATTCATTGCTAATCTTGAGTAACATAAAGCATTACAAATATTTCCAGCTTCCTTGATTTTTTTCCAATTTGTGATTTAAAATGCATATCGCCACACCCTTCCGAAATAAAACAATTTCCTGGAAAAATTATAATTTTCAGAAAATACTAGATTCTGGAAAGCAACTAACCATTCATTGAAAATCGGCAGAAATGTTGAAATTTGTAAATTGTTAGTACTGTACTATAGATACAGTAATTCCACATTTCAATCAATTTTTCGCGACAAACCATTAGTTTTTCATTGTTTCATTTCCATGGTCCATCAAAGTATTAAAAATCCATTCCCATACCATTCCGAAATAAAACAATTTCCTGGAAAAATTATAATTTTCAGAAAATACTAGATTCTGGAAAGCAACTGACCATTCATTGAAAATCGGCAGAAAAGTTGAAATATGTAATTTGTTAGTACTGTAGTATAGATACAGTAGCTCTGAAAAAAATCATTTTTTGAAAAATAATTCGAAAAATTAAACTACATTTGGAATTATTTTTGGAAAATAATATCGTTTTGGCTTAGCTTCGGCTATTGTAGTTTACTAGAACTGTACTTGGGCTTTTTTTTTCCTTTGCTCAATTCATCAATCATCTTGGTCAATTTCAAAGTACTGTAGTATAGATACAGTAATCCAGGACAGCATTTTTGAAGTATAATATTTTACTGAAAAATATACTTTTTTGATTTTCAAGATTTTGAAAAGCAACTGACCACTCATTGAAATGTCGCAGTTATTGAAGATCGACCTACTATTTATTGAAAAATCGATTTGATGAAAATAAATATTTTTTTTTGAAATATATTATTTTTCTGCAAAAAAATATGATTTGAAAATGCTGAAACATGAAGAAAAGCTTACCATTCATTGAAAAATATATTCCATAAATAAAAATAGATTGAATTAATGAAAAATGACTGTAGTATAGATACAGTAAATGAAAATGGAGAACATTTTTTAGGCCATCAAAACAATAACTTCTAGAAAATTCTATCAATAAAGGAACATTGAAATAGTAGCCAGCGGGGTTCACGAAAAGAAAAGGAGGAGGAGGCGCGACGCCGCCCCGCCAAGAATTCGAAAAAAAATCAATAGTATTATTTTTCGTGATTTTTTTCTTAAAGTTTCCTCTTATTAGTGAGAATCGCCAGATCCAACTTAATATAAGTACACTTCAGATGAGCAGAAACATTTCTGTGATGTAATATAATATTCTTTAGATTGACTTCAGCTTATCATTGTGTATAAACTAATTTTTTAGCCTGCTCTTTTTGTTTTTTTTTTCAAAATATGCATTCTTTCAGACTATTACTGTATCTAAATTACAGTAATCATTTCTAATATTACATCATCCAATTCAATTTCAAATCACGTAAATCACTCCCGGTGGGTATCACAACACTTATTTTGCCAACCGCTTTCACAGCGGCTGTGCAGTTTTTTTTTGGATTTTTCAAAATGAATTTGTTTCAGGTCTTTCAAACGAAATAGAGGTTGTACCAAGAAGAAGTTCAAAGCTCTCCAAACGATATAAAATATGGAACATTGTAAGTTTTTCGAATATCTCCTAAATTTTATCAAAAAAACATTTTCAGACAAATAACTGTATCTAAGCTACAGTACTTCAAGATCTAAATTTGGAAATTTTCGTCCCTACTGAACAATCCGACGGGACTGAATATCATTTTTGCCATTAAATTTCAACATGGTAAGTTCATAAACTTCAATTTAGAAAAAATTGGATTCAATGTGATTTTCAGTCCTAGAACCATTAAACTAACATTAAGTTCCAGTTTTCAAATTTCTAGTGAACTCTAAAAATAAAAATTCGACAGAAAACCTATAAACTTAACCTTAAGTTAACAAAAAATAAATATTCTCACAGCTCTCGCAATGGATTTGAAGTTTTTTGCAATGAATTGAAAAATGTTGCGGAATACGTTAACCAATATTTGGAATATCGATATTTGGAATATCCGATTCACTCGATAACAGAGTTTGTTTAGTTTCCCAAAAACAAATAAAATTATTTTCATTTTTTCAGAAAAAGAAAGAAGGTGTATTCAGAAGAAGAAAACAACTATAACAACTGTATCTAAATTACAATACGTCTTTGTTGGATTGAAAATTGATGGCTACATCTGAATTTTGACAGAAGACTATAAAGCTGTGAGTTTTTTTACTAAGTTTCTCAGGGATGTTTTAAATTCGAGAAATCTATGTAAATCATACATTTCTTTCAGAGAGCATAATGTTTTTCTATCATTCAATAAAATCGCCCAGTGTACATATAGAAATATTTTTTCCGAATTTTTGTGACAACGGCGGATATTTTCTCCGAAAATATGCATTACCGGATATAGGGACACAAAACAGCGAGCAGTGGGACTCGAACCCACAAAATTAGGCGGGTTGAATAGAAGACAGTGCTCTTCCCCACTACACCACGCGTGTAGATAAGAAATGAGAAATTTTTGATAAATATATATTTATCAGAATTTCACGTGACCCAGATAATCAGGAATAGAACAAAATCTTTCTACCTATGAATTATTTCATAGTTTGTTTTTCAATAAAATCTGGAAGCTGATCCTATACAATCAAATGTAATTCAAAGCTTCATCTAATGATTCAAACATAGTAATTTATAAACAACTTTCCTCTCACATCAATAGTAATTATGAATAAAAAACTTTACCCAATAGTTTCAATGAAGCTCAAATCTCACCTGTTAGTTTTGCTTCTCCCCCCCCCCCCCAAACCTCAAAATAAACTAACTTGACTGGCCCGTTCCGTGAAAAGTTGTTGATCTATTCGAATGTCCTGTCCAAACGAAACATCTTCTTTTTCGAAAGCCTGAAACTTCGACATTCTTTTTTCAAAATTTTCGCCTTTTCTTAAACTTACATCAGAAAATGGAAATTGTGGATTTGATGGGAAAAACTCCTGCATTCTGTGACGGTTGTCTCTGAAAAAATAAGAAAATTAAAAAATGTACCAAATCACCCGATTAATAACTTTTTCTGCGCTGAAAAAAACCACTCAAAAACCAGAAAAAAAAAACGAAAAATAAAAATGTCGTGCAAAAAAAATAAAAGAAAAATAACGATACTCCGCGTGCGCATTGTTTAGCGTGTTTATTTTGTTGTTTTTTTTTGCAGGGTATATGAGAGAGTGTGGGAAATGGAGAAAGTGTTAGAGATAGAGAGAGAGAGATATGTTTTTATTTGAAAAGAAATTATTGATTGAACGTTTTTTTTCGAACTGAATCATTTTTCTGGGTTTTTTCAGAGCAGAAAATGTTATTAATGTTTGGTACATTTTTTAATTTTCTTATTTTTTTAGAGACAACAGTCACAGAATGCAGCGGTCCCATAACATCGACAATTGTCATTTTCTGATGTAAGTTTAAGAATAGGCAACAATTTTGAGAAAAAGAATGTCGAAGTTTCAGGCTTTCGAAAAAGAAGATGTTTCGTTTGGACAGGACATTCGAAGAGATCAACAACTTTTCAAGGAACGGGCCAGTCAAGTTAGTTTATTTTGAGGTTTGGGGGGGGGGGCGAGGAATAAAACTAACAGGTGAGATTTGAGCTTCATTGAAAAATATTGGGTAAAGTTTTTAATTCATAATTATAATTGATGTTAAAGGAAAGTTGTTTATAAATTACTATGTTTAAATGATTAGATGAAACTCTGAATTACACTTGAAGCTAATGGATCAGCTTCCAGATTTTATTGAAAAACAAACTATGAAATGTTTCATAGGTAGATTAATTTTTTCATAGTTTTATGCACGCGATTTCCAGTTTGTTTTGAATTTATTTATTTTTCTTTTATAATCTATGTCTCATTAAACTTCACAATTCCCAGGCGTAACTTTTTTAAAAGGTTCACTAAAACCATAGAGCTAGTGAAGTTTCCAGACATAATCAACTCTTTCAAATTTAAAATAAAAGTTGTTTAAATGTTTCCAAATGTTTTTTCATACTCCAAAAATTTTTGAACCTTGAACCATCATCAATCATTAAGACAAAGCGATTAGCAAAACAATGAATCAATTAACAAAGAGCATTGTTCCGTGTTTGTCTTCCGAAAAACTTAATTTGCATAACTTCTAGGGATTTTTATTGTTTGGATAGAAAAAATTGGGGGACTCACAATTTTTTTCATGAAATGACAACAAGATAATTTTATTTGTAACAAAATATGAAGTTGTTTTTCTTGAATCCCTATCCAAAAAAAATCCCCATGAACATACAAACCATTCAATTAACTTTTCAAAGACCAAATTAAGATCACATGTCTAAAATACATCAAAACCACATTTGTACATTCATCGATAAGTACATATTTCAGTCCGTGTTTTCTCCCAACAAACCGTAGGTAGCAATTACAATTACACTCAAATTATTTTTACTTTCTTCATTTCAACCTAATCATTGATCAGTTAAACGGTTCGAACTGAACTGACATTTGTAGAAAAAGAAAAATGACAAAAAATACTTGAATGCCAATCCGATTTCGATTTTTGTTTTGTTTTATGTTTTTTTGCTAAGTTCATCACTTTTTTCCGATGGGAAAAAAATTGTTGGTTGAGAATTAGTTGGCAACAAAAATTATGTTTGTTCTGACAATGAGGTGGAATAGAGATCAAGTTACATACTCTTTCTGTCTGCGTCTATTTTTTAGAGTATTTCGAAATGAAAATTTTTTGATATAAATAAAGTTTTTTTTAGTTGCTGAAAACAAAATTAAATTTAGTTTTCTGACATTTCTCCTTTGTTGTTCTCTGAAAACCGTAGATCATTTTTGTTCTGCAACAGTCTGAAATATCAAAAAACATCAAAAAAATATCTTGAAGATTATATTCTAAGCCCTAGAAACAAATTTTGTAAAAATCCAAATTTGTTTATCTTGAGCTTCAGAAATTAGAAAATTTAAACTCACCAAATCAGTATTTATTAGAAAATTAGAAATTCAAACTTCCAGAACTCAAAATTTCCAGTTTTTCAGCAGTGGGAGCTATTTTTGCAGGGACCATCGAGAATTTTAACTCCCACGTCCAATTTTTTTTTTTAATTTTTAAACATTTTTATAATGTTTCCCAATGTATTCAAAAAATCATCTTGTAACACAATAATCATTCAAAAAACTGAACTTTGAACAGCCAAATTTTTCTTCTCTCTTTTTCATTTCCAAAACCCAAACCAAAACCCAGTTTTCATTTTTTCAGTATCAAAAATATCTCTTTTTTTTCGATTGTCTAGAATTTAAGGCATCAAACTTCGTGGTTTGCAGGAGTCTTCTTTGATCCAACAAGCGTTCCAGGAATTCACAGATGGAAAACTGAACTTGAAAAACTCAATTTCAAAAAAGCTTTGATGTAAAATTAATCCATCACAAAGAAGGCATCAAACCGGAAAATCGATTTGTGATCTTCTCCCGAAAACTTTGTGATAAGATCATTCCTTATCATCTTTCATTTTCTCTATTCTCTCTCACTCTCTCGTTTTCTCTTTATCTTTTGATACAACCACACTTGAATACCATTTGTATGTATGTTTTTAGAATAGATGTCTATTGCAATTAGACGAAACAATTTTTGTCTGTTTCTATTTGGCTAATTGTTTTTTCTCTATTTTCCCGATTACCCGTTACTGATCTCAATCTTTCTCTTTTTCTCTCGTATCTCTCACTCTCTCCTTTAAAAAATGAATAAAATTCTGACAGTTTCATCTTTAATTGTGTCAATTTCGGATGTGTCAGAGAGAAACAAGAAATTTTTGGGATTTTTTTAGGAGTGAAGATAGGTATCTACAATGCGTTTTGTGTGAAATATAGAGCAGATATCGGGTTTTTTTTTGGGAAGACAGATTCTGATTTTGAAAAGCCGGAGTTCCTTCAAGGGACTTGTGGTAAATCGATAAGAATAATGTGCTCTGAAGGCTCTAATTATCAAAATAAAAAACAATTCTGAATCTTCAAACAAAAAATTAACGTGGAAATCATATCAAAATTCGGAGTTTTATAAATTTTTTTGATTGATAAAACTTTCCAAAAAAGATTGTAGATCAGGAATGAACCTAGTTTTTTTGAATTCTAAATTCTTAATTTAAAAAATAAAAGTCTCGAACTCCCAAAACCAGATTTCCAAATTCTCCAGGAAAAAAAAATTAAAAAAAATGTTTTTTATTTCTAAAAATTTGATGGGACAACGTTTTTCAAACATCAGATTCCAGAAAATCAATCATTCCAGCGCAAAAAAAATATCCAACCTGGATTTCAAAAAATCATGTTTCAGTTTTTTCGCGCACTGACGATAAAATCTTCAATAGGCTCTACCTTTTTTCGCCGCTATTATTATTATTGACATAAAAATATTTCTGATTTTTTTTGTTTTCCATGGAAAATTATGATGTTTTTTCTGGTCACATTCACTAAAGATTTGAAAAATGTTTTTGTGTTATCAATTTTCAAGTGATTCCGATTCTTCTAGACTAAACGAGTTTGTTTCAAATTTTGAAAATGAACTGAAATTTTGTGGTGAAAATGAGATAGAATTTTTGAAGTGGAATTTTTGAATCATTTGACTTTGCAGTTTATTTTGTATAGTAAATGTTCATGAATTCTCAAACATGTTAAAAGTTGGAAAAATGAATTGTCTGTACTCGAACCTGCAACCTTTAAAATAATAATTCAATTTCAAAATAAAAATGCATAAAATTTATTATATTTTCTCAAAAACTCAATTCAACCAAAATAAAAAACTTCTCGATTTTTTTTCCAATGTTTATTTTATTTGTTTTCTCCCCCCATGTTACTTTTCGTGTTTTATTTTTCACTTCTCCCCCAAAAAATGTTTCTCGCTTTATTTTTCTATGCCCATTCTCTCCTCTATTTATCGTTTATGTAGTTGTAAATCATTTAATAAGTTCATCTTGATTTTTGGAATTTTATGACACCTGAAGTCAGGTGTCGCAAATTTGTTATCCATTATTATTGTTTATCGGATTCTTTGGATTACTGTAGATTCTAAGAAATCTAAGAAATTCTTTCATTTGGTAGAATTTGCAAATAATATTTCCTGGATTTTCTCATCCTTGAAAAAAAACTTTAAAATCGTGAATCAAAATATGATTCCCCACACTTTTAAAAAGCGGAAAACTACATTTCCCCCCAACAATTTCGCAATCAATTCTTCTTTGGCAAACATTGTCTGAACAAATAAAAGTTCATTGTAACAAGAATCGATTTTTTTTATTTTTGTTAGAACCTGGGTGGTATTTTTTCTGTTTTTTTTTGGGAAAAATACTTGACTTATTTTTTTTTTGCAATGTCCAATTTTTTCGCGCAAAAATCAATATTTTAATACGTTTTCACTTTTTGTTCAGTTGAAACAAAAAATTGTTGTACTACATTTTTTTATATTTTTCGTCGTGTTGTATGTACTTAGTTCAAAAATGAATTATATCTAGATGAAACAGCTGCTTTTTTTTTTTGAATTTCCGAGTTCCTTTATTCTTTTTTTTTTTGAGAGTTCCCCAGAATTTTTCAATTATTCTATTTTCTCCCTATTCTTCTTCATTTTCATTCTCATTAGAAAAAAATAAAAATCAAAACAAAAGCAAAAAATATTATATTAGTGTCTTGAAAAACAAAGATTGAGGCAGCTAGACATTTCCATGGTAACGTATAGCAAATGTTTTTCCAGCGACGACATTTTTTCTAGTTCAAAATCAAGAGGAATGAAATTTGCTTTTTTTGTTGATACAAAACTTATGTGGTCTCTGTTTCATGGAATGACGTTTTTGATAGTTTTTTTGATAAGAAACATTTAAAAGTTCTTTTGTATACGAAAGAACAGTTACATGATGCAAATTTTCCGGTTTTTTCTTGTTTTTTTTTTGTTGAAATAACGCAATCAGAACGGTGCTCCGGGTGGAGCCGATAGAATGAGCTCCAAAAATTAGGCCAATAAAAATTTAACCAAATAGTTTTTTCATGTGGATTTTTTTTCGAACTTTAGAGCTTATGACTCGACATTTCCAGAATTTTCATCCGATTTTAACAAATCTTCTTTGCCATATTTGTTTTTCAACAAATTTCCTTCAAAAAATCGTATTTTTTCCAGATCAAGAAGCTCGCCAAAATCAACAGTACATCTGACAACACCACCTTGTGAGAAATGTCTTGTCTCGTTTGCGAAACTGAAGCGCATGGTCAGCATTTCGGAATTCGATGTTGCCGAGCTTGCGCCGCATTTTTCCGAAGAACTCTAACAATGAATTTGAGATATAAATGTCGATTCGAAAAACGATGTGAAGTTTCGTTTAGTGAGTTTTTTTTTTCGCTTATTATTTTTCGTAGAAGGATTTTCGTTGACTACAAAAAATTTGCTAGGAGATTTTTTGATTTGAGATGGATGTGAAAAACAACACAACATAAAAGAGTCTGATTCGATTCAGTTTTTCTTTGATTTTTTGGGGAGAATGGGGAGTTATCTGATTTTTGGATAAAAAACGGGTCAAATGGAAAGCACGAGTTAAAAAGTTTCTGATCTCATCGTTAGTATTGATCTTGTGATTTTTAAAAAAAGTGGTTCCATGAAAAATTTGATTTCTGTATTATTAAATTTGCTCTCATGTTTTTTAATTCAAGTCAAACTTCTGATAGAAAATGAAAAATAAATAATTTCTTGATAAGAAAATATTTTTGTTAGCAAATTTATTATTTTCAATTTCCCTAATGCTTCCAGAATACTTCTGAAGCCTCTCAAGCCACCAGATGCTTCTTGAAGCTCTCACAAACCCTTTCGAAGCTCTTGAATACTCCAAACTCTCTATATTTTTTCTTTGTTGAAAATCTTATCTGATTTTGAGGTCAATGAAAATTAGGTCAAATGAGAAGCATGAGTTACAAATTTTCTGATCTGATCATTTCTGTCAAAAAAATTTCTTTGGTGTTTTGTTTTGTAAGAAAACAAAAATAGAACGTAATTTCCTTGTTTTCCTGTTTTTTTAGATAGTACAGAGCTCTATTAAAAACCATAAGTGAATTGGGAATATTTTTTAATTTCTCTGCAAATTTCGAGGGAGTTATAAATATACATGTTTTGATCTCGTTTGGTTTCAAATTTTCAATAACCCTAATGTAACTACAAACATGTTTAATCCTTCAAAATCCCTAGTTTAATCCTACCTAATTCAAAGTCTAAACCTGCATCGGCCAGCCAACAATTTTCATTTTCAAAATGAATCCTTATCTGAAAGATTACGAAAAATCCTTTCGATCTTTTTTGCTTCTCATAAATCCGTAGTTATCTAAAAATAGATTTATGAAAAAATGAATCATATAGATATTTTTCACCAAAAATGTAGTAATATCTACAAAACATGTGATAGTTTTTATTGAAAATTATTTTTTTCATAGAGATATCGATCGAAGGTACATTTATAATTGTGTGTCTGAAAACCTATAATTTTTGATAGCACAGTTGGTACATATTTTCTTTTTGAAAACTTATTTTCAACTTTTTATCGTTTTCACCTAATTTTTCAAAACCTTCAGATCAAATGTTCAATCGTGTATCATTGAACATTTTTTTTTTGTCTCAAACACAGTTTGATGTGTGTTGGTCTATTTAGCCGGCAATTTGAAAGAGTACCGTCTTCATTAGATCAAAATACTGATAATTGAAAAACGCTTGGTCTTTATTTTCACCGAAATTTTATTGATTCAACTATTTTAGTTGTTGTATAGAAAAGAAAACTCACCCTATTCTTTGAATGTAACGTGTATATTTAAATTTTAGAATTTTTTAAAACCGTTTGATTTTTTGTTCACGCGAATTTTTCAGACAAGCGATATTCCTGCCGAAGTTGCCGATTTGACAAGTGTCTTCGAGTTGGAATGCGCAAAGAGATGGTTCAAGCTAAATCTGAAAATGAAAAAGATTCAAGCACTGAAACAGATAGCATCGGACATTCTCCAGAAACTTCAAATACTTATTATAATCAGCTGCCCCAACAACCTTTGATGGATAATTCGAAGATTATGAATAATCAAATCACAAATTATATGTCTGATTCTTACACTCCAAATAGCGATTTATCAATGAGTTCTGGGAATCATCAAAATTTTCAACATCATCAGCAAAGTGTTATTGAAGAAGTCGGCCGCATCCCATATGATTATTCCTATACAGACCTATCTAGTAATGATGAACAACAACATCTTCAACTTCAACATTTACACGCACCAACATTATTGCCGCATTATTCATCAGGCAGTCCTCAAGAACTGGTTGCGGGAGTTTCGGAAAATCCAGATGTTTGGACTCCGGCTGCTCAACAAGCCACTGCTGATCTTCATGTTAATGTGCAGAATAAAATCACGCCGATTATTGATGCGTTATTTGAGATGAATACCTGTCCGGTTGATTTGGCTTCAAATTATCCTGGTCTACCGCTGACACTTTGTCAACAAGCATTGCTGGCTTATCAAGAACATAATCGACAATGGCCACAGACAAATGTGGTGAGTTTGAGAAAAAAAGCTTCGAAGTTTTTGAAAATGTTCAAAACTTTTTTGAAAAATAGATTAATTAAATCAAATTCGCCTGTGAAAATGTTCACCTGTTTCTTGGAAGTTCAGGGACACTAATCAACCTTACACAAAAATTGTAAAAGGTTATGAACTTCACCTGATCACTAGTTTTTTGCAAAGCTGATTTCACACAAGTGCAAATTGTTCTCGGAAGTAAAAATAATTAAATTTACCTCTGAAAGTTTCCACCTGCTCACATAAAAGTTCAATTGAATCATGTTAGAGGGATTTATGAAAACCTAGAAACAATGTTCAATCGGATTTTCAAAATTATTTGCAAAAAATAGGCTTAACACAATTATTTATTCATCTATCACGATTCGTCAAAAAACAAAAATGATTTAAACATAGGGAACCCAAGTGTAGAACACGCATTTATTCTTACGACATCGTTTGAGCGGGTTAAGACACATTGACCAAGCACTTATTGGATTCAACCAGCATTCAGCTTGCGGAGATGGGCAAAGTGGATCAAGTTTGCATAAGTAATCTCTAGCTTTTTCTTTGAGAATTTGAAATTCACTTCTGGCTTCGGTTTTGATTTCAGTTTCGTTTTGAGCAAAAGTTTGCGAAACTAGAAGAATCAGTATGAATTTGAGAGCCAACATTTCTGAAAAATAGGAATGAGTTAGTAAAATACAGAAATATGACCTTTTTTAAAGTATGCCCAGAGGAGTGTCATATTTTATATCAACAATTTTAGTATAAATATTACATGGTGGGCAAAAGTATATACAAAAAAGGAAATCGTACAGTTTTTGATATAAATAGATTATTTTGGCTGAGGAAATTTACTATTAGAACAGAAATCAAAAAAAAAACAAAAAAAATCGAATTCTCGAGAATTTCAGATATATTCTCTCATAAAATTTCACGCAATCAGAATTTTGAATATTTTAGATTTGCCATTAGATGTTTGTGTAGAAATTTCAAAGAAAATCAATGTTTTGAATATAATTCAAAATATTAAACTGAAATTAGAGTTTCAAAATTATAAAGACTAATTTTTTATAGTTTTTTTTCCAGAAAATATGAAAAGAAAACCTTTTCATCAAAAAATATTTTCAGATAAAAATTTCTAATTTTTTCAGAACTCCGAAAATGCTCCACTCGACATGGAAGAATTTATGAGAAATCACTGTATTGAAATCGAACATATTGCTCGATTCTGTATGTCAATCCGAATGTTTGCCCTTCTACCAAAAAGCCCAAAAATGGATAATTTTCAAACATTTCTGGATTCGTTTTTATGAACTTGACAGATGCTTTGTCACATGTAAACAACTTGGCTATAACATTGATGATGAACGTACAGTTACTCTTAATGGTCAAGTCGTCAATTTCGGAATCTCTGTAGTGAAATTAGAAAATATTAGTGATATGGATGCTACCCAGGTTAAAAAGTGAGTAGCTTCTTGGGTAGTTTTTCAAAAATTATGAAAATTTTCAGTTTCCTCAAAGGAAGTATGGACAAGTTCCGACTGATCTTTGTGAATCCTTTCAAAAAATTACAACCTTCTGAATATGAGTTGATGTATATGATGATGAGCATTATGTGGAGTGTGAGCAGTAAGTTTTTTTCTGATTCAATGATAATCGTCGTGTGTGGTCCCAGAAAAATTACGGAATATCAGATAGACAAGTTTTTGTTTTGGAAAAATGACAGGCGGTGTTTTTAGCGGGGAGAATTGTGAATACAGTACACCATAAAGATGTATGATTTTTTGATACTTATTTGAGATATTATCGTGGGCGGCCTTGGACCGATATTGTTTTCTACAGTAACCCGACAACTTGGAATGAGAAATTAATTTTAAATAATTTTTCTATACGGGATATTCTGAAAGTAAAATTTCAAATAGCTAAAAATTTAAGCCTAATAGTTTTTTAATAACCACAGTAACCTGGGAGGTCTAATAAGCGTATCTAAAATTATTTTTCGAAATCAGAAACATAGTGCGTGGTCAAATGATTTTTAAGGATTTTTTAAAGATAAATTTTGAACCCCCCCCTCATAATAACCCTTCATAAAGATATATTTTAGATCTTTCAGACCTACCTGGAATCAGTGAGCAAACTCGTGCAATTGCTGAAAAAACTGAAATTCGTCTCGCCGAAGATTTACACACATATTATGCTGAAAAATACGATAACAATAATCCAAATTATGCTGGAAGAATCACCAGATTGAGCAGTATTGCGTCAGCCGTTGATGTGAGTTGAAATATATTGTATTTTTTTTCTGCAACTCATTCATCTTCTTTCAGGAAATCACCGAACGACGAAGAGAAGACAGTCAAGTTTCAAAAACATTCAACATTTTCAAAAGCGACTTCTTTTTCAGTGATCTTACTGATTTTCCAGTCTAATAGAATCGAAAGAAGTTTTGGAATTTGAAAAATTTATGATTTTTGAAACAGTCAATTACAATATGTGTATTTTATGTGCCTTCTATGTATAGAATAAAGTCTGGAGATATTTTTTCAAAAAAAATGTTTCAGAAAAATCCAAGATTCAGGAAAATTTTCAGAGGAAAACAAAAGTTAATTTCACAATTTTTTTTTGCAAAATTACATTATCCACAATCTTCTCACGTTCAAAAAATCAAACTGTTCCCAAAACCAGTTTTGTCACATTGACTGATTTCCCAAGATAACACCTGTTTGAAAATTTCACACCTTTATCACAACACGCTTACATTCTTCCCATAATACCATTTTCTCAAGCCACGCCCATAAAAATCTTGCTATAAAAGGGAACAGTCAGCAGCATAAATCATAATCTAGTTATTTATTCATTACAGTACCCCACAATCCATGTGTCACCTATAATCAGCCATAATTACAAGAGAGATGAGCTAATTATAGGTAGAGTCATGACTTGTGGGGTACTGTACTTTTTCTACCTAAAGATTCTGATTCTTATTCAGTATTTCACAACATTTTTATGTTAATATTTCTGATATTCAATACAGTATTCCCCTAATATTTTTTTTTAATTTTTATGTTGCTAATATTATAGTTTATTCGCTTGTGTATCAGAAAATATGTTTAAGGTACAGTATTCTTTCTACTTTTCACGGTTTTTTATAGATATTTTTATATTTCTATTATTCTACTATTTACATATTCACTACAGTACCCCACAATTCATTCCTCACAAATAACTTGCCGAAAATTGATAAATTGTGCTAGTTAGTTGTAATGGGATGACTTGTTGGATACTTTAATTTTTTTCTAACAAATACGGTATTTCACAATTTATTTCTCATAGATAATTTGCCATAATTGAAAAATAAAGTGGAGTATTGTTTTTTTTAATTAAATTTTTTTAAAAAATTAAAATACAGTTTCCAAATTTTAACTTAAAAAGTTGCCTTTCTGTATTTTTGTTTTTTTCAAAATCACATTAATCTTTTGACCTCTGTTTTTATAACTCCCCAGCCGTGTCAAGTTTCAAACCTTTTCCAAGTTGTCGAAACATCTGTTTTACTGACCTTTGTGAGCTTTTGATTTACAATTTTTTTGTTGTCGCCTTTGTTTATAAACTTTTTTCTTTGTTTATGTTACCGGAGCCTTTCCACATGTTTTATGATAACTACCGAAAGTTCTTTGTTTACTTCTTACACTTGGATATTTTTCGACACGCCTCTGATTGTAAAAAATAACCACACCCTCAAAATTCTGGAGCTAACTCATTACTTATTTTGTTTGTGCTCATAGCTCAGTCGGATTACGGTATCCCACAACTCATCGTTCACGAAACCTTCTCTAGAAATTGAGCTATGGGGAAGTAGAATAATGACTTGTGGGATACTGTGAATTTTCTGTTGTTATTCTGACTAGAAACGGTATCCCGCAATACATTGCTCACAAAAGCTTAGCCATGATTTGGGAATGTGAGCTAAGTGATTGCTGGTCAGTGTATTGTGGGATACCGTAATTTTTCTATTTATTCACTACAGTATCTCACAATTAATTGATAACAAACAATGAGCCATGATTCGAAAAAATGTGCTCATTATTTGTATATCAATTACTTGTGGGATACTGTACTTTCTCTCACTAATTATGTATTCATGAAATACGGTATCTCACAATTCATTCCTCACAAATAACTTGCTATAACTCAATAAAATGTGCTAGTTAGATGTTGAGTGATGACATGTGGGATACTGTAATTTTCCTTACTTCTTATTCAAAACGGTATCTCACAATTCATTTCTCACAGATATATAGCCTTATTTTTTGCAAGAGCTATGTAGCTGTGGAGAAATGACCTGTGGGGTATCGTTACTTCTCTTCAACTAAATCTATATTTTTACTCAATACGGTATCCCACAACTCTTTGCTCACGGAAAAGTAGCATTAATTCTAGAAATGTGCTACTTAACTGTGGAGCAATGGACTGTTGGATATTGTAACTTTTCTACATAATTTCAACTAGAATTTTCATAAATTTATTCAATACAGTATCTCAAAGTTCATCAGCTTCAGATAATTAGCCATACACTGACAGAAATGTGCTAATTGTTCTGAAAGCTGATGACCTGTGAGATATTGAACTTTTTTCTGAATATAATCATACGGTATCTCACAACTCTTTGCTCACGGAAAAGTAGCCATGATTTTAGAAATGTGCTACTTGACTGTGGAGCAATGAAATGTTGGATATTGTAACTTTTCTACACATATTTCAACAAGCTTATTTGACTTACTCACTACAGTATCTCAAAGTTCATCACCTTCAGATAATTGGCTATAAATTAACAGAAATGTGCTAATTATTCTGAAAGTTGATGATCTGTGAGATATTGAACTTTTTTTCTGAACATAATCATACGGTATCTCACAACTCATTGCTCACAGATAAGTAGCCATGATTTTATAATGTGCTATTTAGCTGAGGAGCAATGGAATGTTGGATATTGTAACTTTTCTACACATACTTCAACTAGCTTATTCGACTTACTCACTACAATATCTCAAAGTTCATCACCTCCAGATAATTAGCCATAAATTGACAGAAATGTGCTAATTATTCTGAAAGTTGATGATCTGTGAAATATTGAACTTTTTTAGACGCTTACCTCATAACTTGAAGAATCTGATAGTCAACAAGATATTTTCCAGGTTTTTTATCATCGTTCGGATTTGAACCTGTAATTTTCATCTGATAAAACAATTTTTTCGGGCTACAAAGGGTTTATTTGGACTAAAAAAGCAGCATCATTGTTTTTTGTTTCACAGGAAAAGTTAGAAAAACTACCAGAAAAGCTATCCATCAGAATTATTGCATAAAATGTTTTTGAAAAAGCAGAAGAAGCATGCACTAATCATTTTTTTTGTATTTTTGACTAATTTTTTTTGAAGGTTATGTTGAATAGGAAAGTGGGAAAATAATAAAATACAGGAGAATTATAGATATTTAGCAGCGTTTTGCGAAGAATTTGTTTTTCAAGAGATCGGAAGCTGTTAGACGTTCTTGATAATCGAATCTGATCATTTGCTCAATGAGCTCCTGGAAAAATGTTTTTGTCTTGAAACCAAAAAAAAGTTTAAAAAAATAAACTTACAACAAAATCAAGATGATCAGAATAATGAATGTTTCTGTCTGACAAATCAAGAAACTCTCTGAAATGTTGGCTGATTTTCAAGCATTCTTGAATTCTTGTGAATGCTCTTTCTGGTGATTTGGCTTGTGTGAAATGAGCACTTTTGATCCATTTTCGAGTGTCTTCCGCTTCTGGAAATTTTAATTTACATACAGTTTTATTGGTGGGTTTTTGGAGGCTTCAGCAGGCTTTAGAAAGATTTTAAAAAATTTAGGAGGCTTCATAAGGCTTCAGGATGCTTCAGAAGTCTTAGGATTTCCTCAAACTTACCAGAAATTGGGATAAACCCTTTTGGAATTCCAACAAGATCAATAAGTGCCTTCAATTGTTGAATAGCAGTTTTGTCAGACAAGAAATTGTTTCCAGCAAAAATTTCCATTCCAATGATTCCTGAAAAACATATGTATACAATTTTTCTGAAATCTTCACCAAACTGACCCAAGCTGAAAATATCAATTCTTGGATCAAATTGAGTTCTCAAATGAATTTCCGGCGAGCGGTATTCGAGAGTTTGAATGCAATAGTTGGTCTCGTCTGAAACTCTCATCGAGATTCCGAAATCAACAAGAACACAGCTGAATGAGTTTGAACCATTTTTGCGGATCATAATATTTTCTGGCTTGAGATCAGCATGAATAATTGGATCCGGAAGAGTGTGTAGGAATTCCAAAGCACACCCAACGTTGTGAATAATTGTTCTGATTTGGTTGAGATCAAACATGTTTTGAAGAGCTGCTCGCAAATCGAATTCGAATAGTTGCATCATTAAGAAACTGTGCTTTTTGTAATAGAAAAAGTCGAATGGTGCAGCTAAAAATATTGATTTTTTGTGATTAGATTGGCGCATTCTCTGTATTTCCCTAGAATCCTCACTCACCAAAATACATTTTGTAGAACTTGAAGTTCTCATTCTTGCTGAACTCTTGACAAATCTCAAACTCCTTCAATGCACCACGATCACCTCCCGGATTGACATTGCACGTCATTTTGGCACCAAAGTATTTCATTGTTTTTGATGAGAGCATTTTGTATACTTTTCCATATGCTCCAACTCCAAGAAGTTTGACAACCATGCATCTGAGAGATTACATATGATGTTGAGATTCAGAATTTGAAAATTTTCAACTTACGTTTGCTCAATCTGATCTCCTGGATGAAAAACATGAGTGCATTTTGGATGATTGACCAATCGGCTGAAAATTCACAGAAAACAATGAAAAAAATCAAAATAAAAAGACTTTGTTTCGAAGTTTCAGTTCGTAACGCAAGATCAATACTTCGTGGGTGGTCTTTTCGCGGAATATCGCGGCACTTCGCGCGAATCACTTGCAAACTCCCCAAGATCATAGACCACCCTTCAAGCAATTATTTTTCCTTGAGAACCTTATCATTATTTTCCAATTAAATTGGTTTTCAATAATGATAAGTTTTCAGATTTCGTTTCATAAACCACCAAGTTTTTTTTCGATTGACTTTTTGTGAAGGCACTGTGGATCCATTAACGAGACACAAAAAACTCATAAAAGTTTTTTAAAAGTTTTTTGGATTATTCAATTGTTTTTGAAAATGAGTCACTATTGATTTTGAAGTCTAGAGGTGTGGATATCGTCTTTGAGATCTAAGACTGCAAGATCAGAGACTTTGAGATTGTGGGCTCTAAAATTAAAAGATCTAGCCTGTAAGATCTATATATGTATGATCTGTATGATCGGCTGCAACTTCTAGATTTCTCTAGAAAAAAATATAGCAGCAAGAATCTAAAATTTTCAGATCTGCAGCATTCGACAATCAACAATCAAACTCACCCGCTCTCCGCTGAAAACAAACGACATCCGAAAGCTTTTGGTGATTCGATTTTCTTGCCATCCGAGTTCAAACTATCCTCACTGCCAAATTTGAATGTCCGCAACAAGTGTGGTCCAAAAGTGTGTGAAATCCATTTTTGAACACGTTTGTATTGTTTTGTAACACGACCTTTGATTTGGCGCCACATTTTTTTGCAGTGCAAAGCTGAAATGAGATGGATGAAATAGATCTGGCTCTCGGTGAAATAAACTAATTGGCCAATTATAAATATAGTTTTTTAATGAGGGGTGGGCGGAGCTGGGCGAGAAGATCTTGTTGAAAAATCGATGTTTTTTTTCAACTCGAGAAGGGGCGGAGGAGCAATGAGCAAGGCGAAACTTAGAAATCAGAAAAAAATTCAAAGCTGCTTCAGAGCATATAACAAAGAGGCGAAAACCTAGTATACTGTGGAAAAATGAATGAATAAAATTACGACAAAAATCCACTTCCAATTCCAAAAAAAATCAAAAACAATGACAAATAAATTTTGAGAAAGAAAGGAAGGAAGAAAAGGGTGAATGAAAATTTGACGTTTGAAATGAAATAAAAATTGGGCGGAGCTGAGGAAAAAATAAAATTTGAAAAAAAAAAAAAGTTTTTTTGGCTCTTATGAATCATGGGGAAGAAAAACAACGGATATCGACTGGAAAAAATTGGGTCTGAAAAGTTTCAACTGGAAAATTACAATAACTGTAAATTTTTTTCTGATTTTAAAATTTTAGAGAAGATTTTTCAGTCCAAGACTAATTTTTGTCCTATACGGTAGTAATTTTCTGTCATAAAAAACAACTGATTTTCCGGTGGGTCAGAAAACTTCGAGATCCCTCAGAGTTCCTCCAACCTATTTTTTTTCGAAAAACTAAAAATCATAGTCCTTTTATTCAAGGAAAACTTCCATATTTCGAAAATGATGTCATTTAATTATCATGAATTTTTTGCAAAAAAGTTCACCATTTCAAAACTTCTACCATGCCACCCATGAAAAAATTGTTATTTATCTCCGTTAAACTATCTTATTCACTTGATTAATTGCAGAAAAATCAATATATTTTCGGGACCACCCAAGAAGTATTGGCTTCTCATAACCTCCCAAATTTTCCCAGTCAAAATCAAAGCCTCTATAATTTTCAGTGTGACAAATCAAAATTTCGTAAAAATCTGAAAAAAGTGTTGAACTATTGGAACTACTAATTAGAAGTGTGTGGGTTTTTGTCTCCTGTTTTTTCTCATTTTTTTTTTCACGTTCGGGTCTCATGTCTAATTAAAAATGGGAGCAACATAAGAAAAAAGTTGTGATGAAAAAAATGAGGATAATAATTTCGTATCTCGAATCTATGTGTAGACAGAACTTTGAAACTTCGATTTTTTCTGCTGCTTTTGCTTCGAAAGGGAAGAAGGGTATGAAGACCTCGACAATTTTCTCAATGAGATTTTTATTCAGAAAAAAAAAAGTTTTGAAAAATTACGTCAGAAAAACAAGGATGAAAAAAACGCCCACAGAAGCAAAAAATCTGTAAAAAATGAGAGCTAATGGATAAAATTCACATTTTAAAAGGGTAGAATGAGCCTATTGTGAGAGTGGTGTTAATGGTGTTTTACTACCCACCACCATCAAATTATAAATATTTTTTTTTGAAAATGACTACGGTACATCTTCTCTATTTTTGTCCTACAAATTTCGAAAAACAAAATGTTCCAAATTTTGCCTGTGGCCTAAACTTCTACGCCGAATTTCGGTCCAAGTTATCTACGAATCTGAATTTCAGGCTTTTCAGATCTGTGGACCGCGCCGCAACAAAGAATATCCGATTATTCTCTGAAATCTCATAATGATTCATATCAACATTTTTTCTAGAAAAAAATCAATCCCATTAAATGTTCAGTTTCTTTACAAAATAAAAGAAACATTTCATAATAGCCCTTCTTACAAGAAACGCCGACACATGTTTTGATAGTGCCCTTTTTGCCTCCTCTTCTCATGTGTTGCCTTCCTCATTTCTCTCGTCAAAACAGTTTTCTCTCAGAAGCAAGCACCACATTTGTCATCCTGTTCGCTCATTTTCGCGCTTTCTTCTGGTTCTCAAAAATGCTCGTCAAAGATCGTGTAAGTTCATTTATTCTCTTAACTGAAATAATTATTTTGATTATTTCAATTTTTCCAGATTCGATTGGCAGAAAATGTCGTAAAACTGGAGGATTTTCTCAAGAGATTGGAAGAAGCAAGAATGATTATTCCTGATGGAAATTCGCAACTTTTTCAGTCAGTTGTCAAAATGATTTGCCTACTGAAAGTGATTATTGGAAATAAAAAAACTTGTTTGACAACTAAAGTGAGTTTTAGGCTGAATTGTAAAACAGGAGCTCCCACAAATCATACGTCTTTATTTCAATATCAAAATTTCTGGGGCCTGAAAATGTAGGGATATTTTATGCAATCTGTTCAAACGGTGGACGTATTTTCACATAGTTTGGACATTTACGGAATGAATAGAAAAAAAGAAAGAAAATTAGTGAGTAATAAGGAACGCAAAATGCCGTTTATACCTAAAACATTGTTGGACTCCACCAAATGTAGAGACTTTTGGGGATTAAAAATGATGATTCATAATTTTATGTTTTGAACAAAATAACATCTTTAATTTTTATTATTCAATAAATTTACAGTGTGTGGATGAGTACATTCAAACGAACAATACAATTATTGAAACATGTGATGATGTGATTGCGAGTTTGAAACAAATGTGGAACTGTGTCAAAAAGGACGACAACACAGAGAAAATTGACAAACCGACTGATGTTGTTGTTGTTGTTGTCGCCAAGAAGAGATGTCATAGATTGGAGGAGTTGCGCGCGAGAAATTTGACTCGTCGTGTAAAAGCATTGTTCATTGATGTTTTCAATTCCGAATGTGTTCATGATTCCGAGATTTGAAGCTTACATTAGTGCTAACCGAAAGCTTTTTTTGTCTTTACTGTGTTTGTATTTGTATCCCCTATTTTTTCAATTCTTTTCTACCCGGTTCAATTTTATTCCTGATTTTCATCCATTGTTTTCTTAATTATAATAAACTGTTCTTTTTTGTAAGAGTTAGAAAAGAAAAAAGCCGAACTGCCTTCAGAAAATCTTATTTTGACGCTCAATATTTGCTAGAAACATCAATGGGATAGTTAGACTAAACAAAGTTCAAGCTTTATATAAAAAAATTGGATAACTGGATCAATAATGAGGTGAATCATAGGAATTAATTGACGTTTCTTGCAATTAATTGGAAAAAATTCGATTTTTTTTTATAAATCAAGCTTTTTATATTTGAGAATAATTTAATTAATTGTTTTCTTCTTTCCAGAATAAAAATAAATACATTTTTTTTGAAGATCATTTTCACAAACTTCTGTTTCAAATGAACGTTTTTTTTAATTCCTCATTTCAACCAGACGATCCACTAATTTGTCCTAAGATGAACAAATGCGCTCCATTGAACAACTTTTCTACATGCAATAGCGATACTTTGTATAGTTAGTTCATTAATCGTGTTGCTGTCCCCGTTTTTTTATATGTATAAATTAGTTTTTTTTTAGTTTCTTTTCTTGGGCAAGATTTTTTGAGATAAATTTTAATCAGATTTCTAAAATGTTCTGTATTTTTTGTTGAATAATTTTCGTGAATAGCTTTCGTAGGATCGTCTATTTTCTATCTTTGATATTTTCAAAATATTGCTTTATTTCTTTCATTTTTTAAACTTCTATCCTTTTGCGGTTTGAATTTCTATATACAATACTTTAAATTAATTATTTTCAGTATAGTTATGCCTGACTTAGAATCTGAAGTGGACGCCCTAGTTTTGCGATATTTGATGGAGCGTGGTAAGTATTCTGTTTTTCGATCACCGTATTCAAAATAATTTATTGAATTTGATATGTTTTTAGGATGTGAAAAGTCTGCTCAAGTCTTTCTAGAGGAAGCCGGAATAAAACAGGATTCTGACAACCAAAAAGGAGAACTGGTTTCTTTGATTACAAAAGGTGTTAATTCGATGAAAAGCACCGGAGAAGATTTTATCACTATACAAATTGCACTTCACAAAATCAAATGTGAGCAGAAAGCTTCGAATCAAACACATCCCATAGTAAGAAAAATTGCTTATCAACCGGAACTGTTGGTCCAATCTTCAAAGGATGCAATGAGTGTGACTGTACGGTTGAATGCTGGAAATCCTGGCAAAACGCATGTATTATTCTGTCCAAACGATTGGTTATTGCTCACTGGTTCCCGCTATGGCTCTGTCGAATTATGGGACATGTCATCAAATTCAACTCGTTTGGTAAAACAAATGGATCATGAAAATGTAAGGACATCTTACACATGGGAACAAAAAAAATTGTAAAAGTGTACTTTTTTGGATTTTCCAAATTTTGATTATGTTTTGAGAATTAGGTAGAAATATATTTAAAAAAGAAACACATTTTTCCCCAGGATCTTATAAAAATGAAGTTCTTTGAAAAAAATTGTTTCAGGAAATAACGAGCATTGACTGGTCACCAAATGGTTTGAGATTTGCAACAGGATGTTCAAATGGGTTGACACGTGTTTATTCGAAAGACGGACTCCTCCAAAGCCAGGCAAAGATTGTTGACAGTGGCATTAATTCAGTTCGATGGAATGGAAATGCTGACTATTTTGGTGTTTCTTTTAAAGATGGCAGATTTGTCATTTTCAATAATGATGGGACCATCAAACATCATTTTTTCGAACATCAAAAAGAAGCAAAACAAGTTGGTTGGCTAGATAACAATACAGCCGTTACAATTGGAGCCGATGGAATGCTCATAGTGTACAAAATTGGAAATCTTCGTCCAATTTCAGCAATCCAAGCATTTGAGTCACCTATTAATTGCATGTCAATCAATATCGAAACATCAGTAATTGCAACTGGCACAGATTACAATTGCATAAAACTATGGAACTTGGCAAAAATGCACCCTCTTGAACGTGTTGACGAATACCGAAAGCAAGTGAAAATGATACGCTGGAAACCATTTGAAACAAATCTTTTTGTCTGGTAATGATGCTTGAAGGATTTAAAGACTAATTCAATATTATGTTTTCAGCTCTTTTTATGATGATCGCTCTTTGATGGCATATGATAATGAGAGAGAAGCTACTAAATCATTAAATGGACATAGCAATACAATTACATGTTTTGAATTTTCACGAGATGGGAAACTGATGGCATCTGGATCAAAAGATGGGACAGTGATCATCTGGAGTGGAGACGTGAGTATTTTTGTCACATTATGGAAAGAGAAGGAAACTTATTTTTGATTAAAAAACTCAAAACATGGTCATTTTCAACATTATCAAACTCGATTAATTATGTATTAATACATTTATTTTATTTTTCAGGAATCATCATCAATACCATTGAAACGAATTGGAAGAGCTGGTGGTCCTAAAATCACAGCCTTGAGCTGGAGTAGTGATGGGAATATGATAGCGGCGTCAAATAGAAACGGTACAATTATTTCTTTCGATGTGCAAAATATGAGGTATTGATTTCTCTCATTTTGCTCCATGTCTTGATGCCAAGTGTCTCCGAATTCAAACCCTATCACTTTATCATATTTTTGCGGCTAAAATTTAATTGCTTCAGTTTGCTTTTGTTTATTCATTCGATTTCCATTTTCATAATATTCAATTTGCTTATTTATCTCTCTTCGGCTTCTTGGCAGGTTTTAATTCTTTCATCAACATATTTATTCATTCTAGTGTTGCTCAAATTTGTATTATAAAATGAACCATTTATTCTAGACCATTTTTTTCTCGACTTCTGGTGCGCTGCGCCGCATTGAACGAACTTGAAACTTTTTTAAAACAAAGTTCAACATTCTTGTATAATCAAGGTCCCCATTGAAAAATTGTTTCATTTTTATCCAACTTTTTCTCACTTATTTTACGGTCTCAAAATGCATTAGAAAAAAAGGGAACAAAACAACTTTGAATCAAAAAAATGAAGCACCCGAAAATGTCGAAATCCTTTTTAGAACATTTCAATTCAAATTCAAGAGTCCTGAATTTTAAATTCTTGGAACGTTTAGTTAATAACAAAGCTGCTTTTCAAATTTAAAGTTTTTTCAAGTACTCAACTATTTTTGCATATTTTATTGTACCCCTTCAAATTTCATTTGGTATACCGTTTTATAATTCCATTCCCCAATTCAAAAAAAATAACTTCAAACAGTTTTTGATTTTACTCAGAGATTCGCTGGCCAGCTCGCCACCAGGTGGGGAGGCTGGCTGACCTGGGAACCACATGGAAACCATGTCGCCCGGTTTTTTTTTCGCTGGCAAGGTGGCCACGCTCTGGCTAGGTCACGGCCACATGGCTACCATGTGGTGGCCACTTCGCCGCGTCAAAATGAATTTTCATGAAAATGTCTGAAAAACTTGTGAATTGAGGCATTTTCGAAAAATTTGGCTCATTTTCTGTTTTTTCGCAGCACTTGAAACCTTAGGAAGTGAAAAAAACAGTAGAAAATGCAGTATTTTGAGCACAAACCACTGTCTTGCCAGCTTTCCAGAATTTCAAACACACAGGCCACGTCGCCGGAAAACTCGAGGCGACCTGGCGGCCATGCGGTTTCCAGGTGGCCGCAGCGATCTGGTGGCGAGCTGGCCAGCGAATCTCTGAGTATTTCATAGAAATACATTTTCATAGAGCCAAACTGATAAAAACAATTTTAAAGCTATCAAGTATTGATGTAAACTTCTTCAAATGCTTTTACACAGTTTATAAAGACCAGAGTACATATTTTCGTCTTACAACAATGCACACAATGTGCTCTAAACACTCATAAACATTATCAATTCTTTCTTATTCCCCCCGATTTATATTTTCACCAAACAACTCAACTCCAGAGTACAAATATTTTCATTTCGCAATAGATTGTGATCGCTTTTACCGTACTCTTTACCAAGTCAGAAAAATAAATAACCCTGTTTTTCACCAAATAAAATAGACTATTTTTTGAAATGACAAAAAAACAGGTCCCAATGCAGTGTAGTCTTTGATTGTTTGTTTGAAAAAATATGTGTTGCAAAAAAACAACAAAAATATTTGTGATTTTATGTGATGATAAGAAGAGGAAATGTTTCTGAATTTTAAGTGAAGAAATTGAAAATTTGAAATGTGATAATTAATAAATCATGGGTTAAGCTTTGGTCTGAAACTTTTTATTTATTTGATTTTCAGCCATTTTTCTATTATTTTCGAATCGAAATAATTTTGAAAAAAATTGCATCAGTTTTCAAGTTTTCTTTGAATTTCCAACATCCGATGGAAAAATACTGGAAATCTCTGACTACAAACTTCAAAATATCACATAACTTGACAATTATTCCAAAACAAACTATACAATAGCAGATTCATGAAACATTTCAAAACTAAACTTTTTGCAAGTCCCTCTAGTTGTAAATTCATAGAATCATTTTTGCTTCAAAAATAATTCAATGACATCATTATTTCCCGATAAAAAACCATAATCTACTATTACATCTTCCCACGCGTGTGAAACAGTTTTTATTTTCAATAAAAAAAATTTTGCAAATACAGATTTATTATTTCGCAGGTTTTTTTCCAACAATGCCAAACAATTAATATTTTATTTCATTCAAATGGTAAACAAAAAGTATAACCTTTTCGCCATCAGAAAATAGAAAGTTCTTTGTCCTTTTTTGGCCATGTTTTTTTACGTATTTGTACTCCCGGGAATCCCCCCACCCGTTATAAAATAAAATAAATGTATATTTCATTTTTGCATGTCTTTATCAACTGCTGATTCTATCGATATTTTTATTTCCCCCTTATCTTGTAGACTGATTGGGGGTTCCCCAATTGTATAGACAAAATGGCTAGAATTTCTAGTTTTCTGAAAAAAAACTTCAAATTCATCTTCAGTTATAGAAAAGTGCAATAAATTTTCTAATTCACTAATTTTTGTCATAACAAGAATATGAAAATGTGTATTTTATGTACATAGTATCATGTAAAATTCACATGTTTTTGCTTTGTGTAACAGAACAAAGTCCGAAACTGATAAGAATGAATGGTCACATGGACAAAAAGATTGGGGGGAAACGGAAAGCAAAGAGGCATCCCCAGAGTGTGTGTGTACCAAAAGTTTTCATTGAAAATTATTTTGATCCTCTCATTCATTAGAAACATATTTATTTATTCACTTCTTCTTCTACGTCATACAATCAAGAACCATTTGAATATCATCAATTCACATGTGTTTATTTATTATTGAATTTTCTAATTAATGAGGAATTTTGGGTACAGTAGAGATAGACAGGAGAACAATGGAAACCTTTTTTTTCAGGGTCAAACTTGGAAATGATTGGTTTACTGTGGTTTTTTGAATCGTTGATCAAAATTGTTTTGAATTTTGTACCAAAATTCGAAAAATATACATAGTTTTTTATTTAGAGTCAGGAATTACAATTCTCGTTAAGAGAAAAAAACATAATTTTGTTTTTAGAAAAAAATGTTTCTAGAAAAAGATCTTGGCATTTTTCCAATTGACCAGATTTTTGGGAATTTCAGATCATCATTTTCCTGTGGCGGCTGCAATCAATCTCATGGTCTCGATTCCCGGTCCTCAATTTTACCAGTGGCATGATTCCTGGAATTATTTTTGCTCCCCAAGATTTTTTGGCAATCTCTGAATGGGTCCCCTGAATGGGGTCTTCCTCCTCTCAAAATGGGGCCTCCTGAATGGGGCCATGCGTTTGTCATTTCTCCTGAATGGGACCGCGCGTAGCACATGTCAAAAAAGGTGAAAAAAGGGGCCTTTGTCACTTTACCTGAATGGGGCCTCTACAAAATGGGGCCAGAAATGCATTTGGCGTATTCCTGAATGGGGCCAACCCCTTATTTTGTCACTTAACTGAATGGGGGCTCCAAAAAAGGGGCCAATTGTGTTTTTGTCATTTTCCTGAATGGGTCTTGTAAGTTTTTTCTTCATTTATTCATGTTTTTTTTCGGAAATTGATTACATTTTGAAAATAATTATTTCGAAATTCAACTCACACAATTTTCAAAAAATCTAATTTTGGTTTGTCGAATTTAAACATTTTGGTTTAAGGATTATCATATAATAATTCTGAACAGCATAAAAGCAGTAAGATTGTGAAACATTTCTAATATTTGCAAGTTTTCTCTGAGAATCATAATTCAGTAGAAAACTCAATTTCACCTCATTTTTGACCACAATGAGACTGTTTTCACCGCGCCAACCTGCTGAAGAAAGTGGATGAAACTGTTATCAAAATGTTTTGCCGAAAAAACGTTACACAAGTCTCAGAATCAGCAGTTCAAAAATTCATATAACTAACATACACTAGCTTAAGAAACACATCCTAAAATAGAAATTTTTTGCAACATAAGAGTATTTTATTTCGGAAAATCATACAAAATTCAAAATTATATAGAAATATCATCTCTATTTTCACACCTGTCAAAAATTTTCGCACCTTGGCCCCGAAAAATGAATGCGTCCAAGAAGAAATAGTGCGTGTTTTTGGAGAGCGAGATCACCATTTTGGGAAGTTTTTCCTACGTAGTTGAATGAGATTGAGTATAAAAACCTAGTGAGCTAAAAATCAGGGAAAATTAGAAAATCAAGTTTTGGCAAGAATATGCAGAGCTCACAACTTATTCACAAACCGAATTTATAGTACAAAATTCTTCCGCAAGCTAATTTTCAAAGCAAATTAAAAAAATTAAAAATGAGGTGAAATTGAGTTTTCTACTGAATTATGATTCTCAGAGAAAACTTGCAAATATTAGAAATGTTTCACAATCTTACTGCTTTTATGCTGTTCAGAATTATTATATGATAATCCTTAAACCAAAATGTTTAAATTCGACAAACCAAAATTAGATTTTTTGAAAATTGTGTGAGTTGAATTTCGAAATAATTATTTTCAAAATGTAATCAATTTCCGAAAAAAAAACATGAATAAATGAAGAAAAAACTTACAAGACCCATTCAGGAAAATGACAAAAACACAATTGGCCCCTTTTTTGGAGCCCCCATTCAGTTAAGTGACAAAATAAGGGGTTGGCCCCATTCAGGAATACGCCAAATGCATTTCTGGCCCCATTTTGTAGAGGCCCCATTCAGGTAAAGTGACAAAGGCCCCTTTTTTCACCTTTTTTGACATGTGCTACGCGCGGTCCCATTCAGGAGAAATGACAAACGCATGGCCCCATTCAGGAGGCCCCATTTTGAGAGGAGGAAGACCCCATTCAGGGGACCCATTCAGAGACTACCGATTTTTTAAACATAAGTTCAACAAATGAACTACACTTTCCACAAAATTTGTGTTCCCATTGGTTCCACTTGATGTTAATTGCATTTTATTTCGTGTCACATGGTGTTAAGATACCACCAATCAGGTTTTACTTCTTTTTTTTCCACAGTCAAATGAATTTCAACAAAATAAAAACAATGTACTAACTACAGTTCCATTTTTGCAAGACAAGAAAAATAACTATCTTATCATTTGGAGAAAAAAAAACGTTTTCCAAAGCCCCACGACGAAAAATATCAGTGCGACCAAACGCCAAATAAACCCATCAGAGAACACAAAATCATTGAACGTGCGATTCCCAAACCTTACCTTCCTCGTTATCAAATAAATATATAATATTTGATTGGGAAACACACAATGTTTCTCATTTTACACGTGTTTGCGTTTTGTTGATGCACGTGAATAGAAGTTTGCAAGGTCATGTGAGGCAAAAAGGATGATGAAATTACAAGCAAATATTTCTTCGTTTTTGACAAAACATGTGACTTTCAGTTGGAAAATAAATATATTTTTTGGTATTTATTTGTTTTGCGAACAAAGAACAATCTAGCAAGCAGATTTGGCTGGAAATGAGAAGGGTTTCCTTGGGGAAAATATGGACGAAAAAAGTTCTTTTGAACTCTTGCTATCTTATTTTATGGATGCACATAAATTTATGAGATCTGGATATTTTTTGATAGCTCACGTTTTTTTAGGAGATTCTGAATAAACAGGAATTAGAGAGCAAGTATTCGGAAAAAGTTTCAATTTTTCACCCCTCAAGTTTTCAGGAATTGAAAGCAGATATACTTCTATATACTTCAAAAGCTGAAAAAATGTACTTACTATACGAAAAAAAAAACAAATTTTCCAAATTTGAAAAAAAAATCCGTACCTAGTGGTACATTTTCCAACACCAGAAAACATCCAGTTCCAAGTCCTCATCTATATGTAGTTTGATGTGCAGGGTACAGTAGCACGCAAAATCCTGCAAATTTCCCGATAAAAATAGTCCACATTTTTGCACTTCCCATACTCTAATAAATATTTTCCACTTTCCAGAGCCGAAAAAATGCACCAAACAACTTTCTCTCCCAAAAATAAAAAAAAACGAACAACAATTTCGAAAAAGTACAGTGTCACATGTTTTTCACATTTACCCTACCTACTCCCTGTGACGTCTTTCTTTTTTTCTTTTTTTTTACTTCAAAAATGAAAATGAGAAGAAGAGAATTCCCTTCACCTGCTCAACTATTTGCCCGCGGTGTCATTGAAAAGCAAGAAAAAAGTTCAGAGAACATACAAACCAACCCAATCATCATCATTTTTGACAAAAAAATTATTTTTCATTGAAAAACGATTATCAATGTCACGTGCTGATTGCACTGAACAAGGACAATTGGAAGTTTGATTTTCAAATGTGTATATCTATATATATATATATATTTGTTTTTCTGAATTCCTATCTTGCAATTGACGGAATCCCCCTGTTTTTCAGAAAACAACAAGAAAAAAAAATGCGAAATACTACTAGTACTAGTACGAGCCACACATTCGAAAAAACAACAACAACAACAAAAACGCTGTACACAAACAAACAACGTGCCAGGAGCCTCGGCTTTAGCTCTGGCTATATTTGTATATATATCGAAAATAACTCTGCCATCGGGAAGGAACACTTTTTTCGGCGCGCGCTTCATTCCGCGCGCGCTAAATATACATTTAATGTAAAAATAAATGCAGCGCGCGCGCAAGCTAGTTTTCCGGAAACATTTTGAGCGCAAGACCTACGCATCTGTACATATTTGGTTAAGAGTACACATTGTTTTGCCATTTTTAGATACAGGAACTCTCTTCTCGTTATTCTGTTGAAAAATATATTTTTCGTAGATCAATTCATCCAAGTAGAAAAAAATTGAAGAAAACATTTATCACGTGAATCGGCGAATGGTCCAAAGTTTGTGTTTTTGTTTTTTTTTCATGCTCTTCTTTTTCTCTCTCTTTAAATTTTTTTGTAATTTTTTTTTATTTATTTTTTCTTATTCTGCAACTAAATAGTCACATCGAAAAATAATTTGATGATCACAAGACCTTATCTGTATTATCAAAAATAGCGAGAGACATGTGATTTTTTGTGTTAGGAAATACACGTGGGTGATTCCCCGTGTTTTTCAGCAGGATTTTCGAAATTCCCAATTGTTTTAATCAACTTCTAGCATTCTAGAATGCACAGAATATCTGAAAAATAATTTTCTGTAGAAAAAATGGGGGGAAATCCCCGGAATTTTCCAATTTTCCAAATTTTCCCCAATCAATTTGTTGTTGTTGTTGTTGGAAAATACAAGTAGTTCCTTCAAAATCGTATTTGTCAGTCAGTGTGTCGAAAAGCAGAACAAGAGAGAAAGAGAGAGAGAAAAAAGACACGTGGTTCAATGTGGCCAAATAACAAACATGCGAATCGCACGTGCGCCCACCGCCGTTTTTCATTTTCGCTCCCCCTCCCCGGTTTTCTCTGTCGTCTCTCAGGCAGCGTGGTTGTGCCTGACAATTCGTTCTCTGATGTCTCCGCCCAAGGGCCGCCCTTGTCTCTCCCAGGACTTGTCCCCTCCCTTTTCTTCTCGTCTGTGGACACATCATTTCGCTTTTTCAGCGCGTTTCGAATTCGCCTCCTTCTAACAATTTTTTTTGAACAACACATCAACAACAATAAAACATATGGAACAACAACAAATCAACATTGGAACTCTTCTATCAGCCGCTCGGCTTTTAGAGTCCTCTTCAACTGATGCTAAATTATTTAATGGTAAGTTTCTTTAATTTTAAATTATTTTTTCAAATTTTAATTCATTTTTTTCAGAAGAAGAACTTCGCTCTCTCTTCTGTGGTGGAAAAATGAAGAGTATTGCCTCAACCTCCACATCAATCCCATCATCCTCGCCATATTCGCCACCATCCAAAAAGACATCAAAACACAGTCGTGCTGCACATAATGAGCTTGAGAAAAATCGTCGAGCCAATCTTCGAGGATGCTTGGAACAATTGAAAACTCTTGTGCCTACTGTAACTGATGCTGCTAGAAATACCACTTTGGCTCTTTTGACTCGCGCAAGAGATCATATTATTGTAAGTTTATATTGATTTTGTGGATTTGGACATAGTTTATATTTCTTTTTTTGCAGGAATTGAGCACTGCTAATGAGGAACTCCGCAAGGAAAAACTCAAAAAAGACATTGAACGAAGCAACCTTCTTGCTGAATTAGCCGCTCTTCAATCAGCCGCACCTTCCGAGGAATCTTCTCCAGCAAGCCCAACATCAGAAGATACCCAATCACAAGCTTCATCATCTCGCCCAGAATCGCGATCCTCTCCATACTACCTCGAATATTCGCCATCATCAAAACCATCAATGACCGAATCACCAAAACCAATTTTAATCGACCCAATTGCTGAAGGCCTTTTACCAGTCTTCCCGTTGACCTACCCACGACCATCATTCTACCCTCAGAATGTTCTTGATCTCCTTCAATTGCAAGCGAAATTCTTGCCACTTCGTGTATGATCTTCCATATATTTTTTTCGGAATTTTTCTAATTTATAATCTTATCCTTATCCCCCACCCACATTTGAAGAAAAAATATATTTGCGTGTCATGATTCCCAGTTTTAATTTTGTAACCCCACAAATATTTATTGCAATTTCCATTATATTATAATATAATCAAAGTATATAATGAATACTTGTTTTTTTTTTCGATTCATATGTAAGTCATGTGTATCTCATCATCTTCTTCTTCTTTCTTCTCATTCATTCATTCAATACCGGTTTACTACCACCGCCAGATTTTGTCATAAAAGAATGAGAAGGATGGGGGGAAAGATGAGAAATAGAATAAAACAGAGAGGTACGAAGCGGGTACGACATAACAATCTATTTCATAATTTTTTGTACAACACAACCCATGAGAAATATTTCTATTATGAGTCACGTGTTATCACACAAAAACCTTTTGCAATAAAACATTCAAAAAAAACGAGGGTGTCTTTTAAAAATGAGTCAATGTTGACCGAACGGGAAAGATATTTTTAACCCAAAACAAAAGATTTATAGAATTCAGGAAACTTATCACATGGTAAAATGTTTTTCGCAAAATGTTTTTACAAAAATCAAATCAGCACGTGGTTTCAAACATCAACTAAACAAAACTCATAAATCATTAATTTTTTGTTCGAGAAAAAAATTAACAAAAAATTGTTCCACGTCATTGATAATTGTGGGAATCTTCGAGGTGATTTCGAAAATTGCCCGAAAATTTTTGAACTTTTGAATTTTCAAAAACTTTGAATTGTTGCCGCTAATATGAGCAATCATCAGTGCCAGTGGTGGCTTTTCAATCTTCGATTTCCAGTACCCTGATTCTGCCTAACATGAGCAATTATTTTTTTCAAGCCACGTCATAACTTTCCCCCACACATTTTCCTCTATAAAATAATTGTTTCCACCGTACCCCTAGAAACGCACATTTTTCAAATCTCAAGAATTGGTTCGCCACGTCATCAGATCCCGAGAAACATTCATTTTTAAAATATTCCTAGAAAATTGCTTTTTCGCATGATTTTTCGGCAATTGTTTTCTTTTTTCTGCAAAAAAAATGCACCGCGCCATAATTCCATCTCATTTTTTTCGCTCAACCCTATTACCATTTTCTTTATGGGTGGCTAAAGGTCATGTGCCATTCATCCTAATGAATCCTCCTCGCTTTTCCTCAATTTTCGCTCGCTCTTCGACACAAAAAAAAACGCATAAAACGTCCGTTCGGCTATACATTTTTTTGCGAAAAGATCACAAAACAAGAATTCCCTTTCTTTTTTTCTTCCTCTTTTGAGCTCGCTCCATATTTGCCTGCAGTGTCGCTTTTTGTTGTTTGCACCGATTCCAAAAAAAGAATACGCTCGCTCGAATCATTTTTTTTCACATTCTTTTTCTACCAGCAGAAAAATAAAACACATTTTTTTGCGGAAGAAGAAGAAGAGAAAAAAAGTTTATTCGATCTTCATCAAAAAGAAAAACCACAACCAAATACGATCCATCACTTTGAGGAGAAAAATAGAGAAGAAGAAATAATTCATGTTGTGGCCGACATTTTCAAGGTCTCAAAAATCATATCGCGTGTGTATGTGTGCACAGATGGCATTCATTCAACAACAAAAAATAGTTCATTGAACCAAATATATATAAAAAAAATATTTCACAAGAAGGGAGAATTACTCGTTGATCAAATTAAAGTCTTGATTTGAACTGACAAACAAACATCTAAATGTAAATGAAAATAAATCCGAAAATATAAACGCAATAATTAAACTGGAATCCGAGTATTATAATAACAATCAATTGTCAAATCGCCAGCATCGATTTCTTCTGCTTGCTCATGCTCACCGTCGAGCATTTCGAGCTCCTTTTCAGTAAAAATGAATGGCAAAATCAGCTGGCGTCCAATGATAAATGAAGCCAAGACAAGTGGAAAGAAGAGGGCCATATCTGGAAAATTATTGATTATTTTGAGACAGATTTTTTTTGTTAGAAAATCTACTCACGTTCATTGAGCTTGATTGCAAAAATGGCGCAAACCAAAGAAAGTTGAATCAAAGTGTAGAGAACGATTCGGAAAAATGGTATCTGAAAAAAATGATTTTCATGTGAAGGCAATTTTTGTGAATAGTTTGATGTTGATGGCGTGACCGGACAAGGCTTGTGTGTTTTTTGATTTCCCATTTTTGTAACATCACACACCTCCAAAACATCATTGAATTCTATTTTTACACTAAAAGGGACCACACAAGAAGAAGACTAGAAAGATTCCTCTTTTAACTTTTTATCAAAATATGCGGTGGGCTCATTTTTGTGAAATAAAAAAAACAAAAACGTCACTACCATTCAGACTAAAATATGGAAATCTTTGAGTTGTTTGGGAGGTTTCCTATTTGTCTGAATCGGATTAGAAAACGTCATTTATCCGAAAAATATTAGGGAGACCACCCAACAAGCAAAATGGAGAAATGCGAACCTAATTATTTTTTAATCTGCATAACCCCTACCAAATGTTCGTGTGTTATTTTAATGAATGCGCCCTTTCTAAAAAAAGATATCGTGAAAAAAGCAAATTAATTTTCTGATCCTTTGCTCCAAAACCGGAACACATTCATTTGCTCCCACTCTCACGCTTAATGTCTATGTCTTAATGTGCTAGCCCATTAAAAGCGGGGAAAAAAGCCTTCCTCAATGACGTGTCGGTTCAAATATTGTGAGAGAAATTGTATACTTTGACCACCTTCCAAAAACCTTATCAATTTGAAACAAAAACGTGACTGTATCACAAAACAAAATGATGCAAAATCTCTTGTGTGTGTTGAACAAAAACGGGCAAGAAAATTGTCGACTGTTGATAAGAATCATCGTTGTTTTTGTTGGGGGGTATTTTCCGTGCACGTGTCACTTTCACATGTTTTTCATGCATGGCTGTCAGGGTCGGGCGATGTGAGGTAAACAACACACCAACAGATTTCCAGTGCCCGAGTACCCAGCAGTAGAAAAATAAGAGAGAAGAGAACACATTTTTTGGGGGGAGAGAGGGAAGAGTGTGTTTTCGTGAATGTTTGATTTTTTGGTTTTGTGAACGGGGGGAAAAGCTTGAGAACGTGGCGAAAAAGATAGACGGTGAGGGAGAGAAAAATGATGAATAATGATTATTCGAACCATGTGGAAACTTTTTAAAGACACGTGGACATCGACGCGCTGATGCAATATTTTTTCAAAGAATAGATAGAGAAAAGGGGGATGTTTTGGAAGAAATTTGGGAATGATTGGAATGAAATCTGACAGAATTTATCAATGAGAAGAGAAGTTGGTAAAATTCATGTCTGAGAATTAGGTTCCCACAAACTTCATTTCTTTCCATTTCCATACCAGATCCTCTTCCGATCTTTTCATTTCAAAATTGTTCTCCAAAGATCTCTAGTTTTCTCAAGCAAACAATCATCATTCAATTCACATGTTAGTGAGATCAAACAACCAAATAAATTACGATTGCATCATTTTTTCATGGAAACAACAAAAAAAATGCTATTTTCATTTCCATTTGCCAACTCAATTAACTTTTTTCCTACGTTGCTCACCAAAAAAAATAAGTTTTTTGTTCAATGCTCACTCAAAAATTTGTTTAGAAATGTGCAGAGTGAGTCACGTGACCTCAATTCGCCTTCCCCCAAAAACAAACAAAGTGACTTCTTTCAAAGAACATGTGAACAACACGTGACATTCAAAGTTGCACGTGTCGGGAAGTGAAACGAGGGGTGTAAAACGCCCGCCGCCGCTGTCGTCGTCGCAAACAGCAAACCCCACACTTGTTTCCCTCTCTATCTTCTTTCAATTGTTTGCCTCATACGCTCAAAGAATGTTCAGCCGAAAAAAAATAGTTAAAATATTTTTAGAAATGTTTTTGTTTTTTTTTTGATAAAGGTCGTTTAAACTGGAAATGGTAGTGCATATTTTTGGATTACATTTTTTTCCAAAAAGAATTCATGTAGTTTTCATTAGAAAAAGAGACCTATTGTATTCAGAATAATTAATTAATTATTTTTTTAACAACAAACATTCAAATTTGAGATTCCAGAGCACAAAATTAAGATCTTTCGGGCTTGCAAAACAAGAACCTTAAAAATGTACGGAAAATGTACCCAAACTCAAAAATGTACCCGTGTTTTAGAAATTTGTCACATGAAACATTTTTTGATCCCACTTTCAGTGACATGATTTGGATTTCCGTTTTTCAGGTGATGTTTCAGATCAAAAACTGGACTGATGAGGTCAGAACACATTTGAAGAAAGAAAATGAAACATTTCTGGGACTTTCGTATTCAATTTCTTTGGTTTCTGATTTCTGGACTGAACAGAATTAAAAAAAAAACGTCAGAGTTTTGCAAATCTTTGGATATTTGACTGTAGAAATATAAAATTGAATTTTAAATCAGTATTTGAAAATATTATGAATCGAATACGGAATTCTAAAAATCCATACCAAATCGGAAATAGTATTCTGTATGATACCGGAAAATCTGATTGACAACACTCCTACACCCACCCAATCCCAATCCAAAATTGTTCAAACTCACCGCCTCCAAATACTTATCCGGACCACGATGTTTTGATGGCAAAAAGAACATGAAGAATCGTTTGATAAATTGATTTCCATACAAATTCACCACTCCCAAATACAAAAATACACCAAAGAAGCAAGCTGTTGGAATATGAACAAATTGTCCAAGGTATGCGAAAATGCCCATTTCAATCGACAAAATCAAAGTGTTGGTACGTTGTTCGATAACGCTCACGGGTTCTGAAAAATATGTATATTGTTAATGAATTCTGTTTCTCTAATAAGAATTCTCACTTGCTGGCTCTCCTGGAGCTTTTTTCTTGAGAACAGTTAAAGATGAGCAATGTGCCAATGATTGTACAGCAGCTGCACACATCCAAGGTAATCCCAAAGCTGAATCGATGAAAACAATAAAACCCATCAGCACCAAATCCCAATGAAGGCCGCCACCTTTTTTCAATTTGCGATCTTTGCGAAGCAACATTTGTCTGAAATAATTCATATTATTTATGGAAGATGAAGAGAGTTAGTTCCATACTCTGTGATCTCGGTTTCAACAAAAAGCAAAATGAATACAAGAGCTCCGGCGCCAGCTGCAACTGGAAGAATTTTCCAGTCATTGACGTGAGGTTTGATGAGAATCAAGTGGGCATTTTCAATGATTCCGGTAGAGTTAGAAATTGTATGATTATGCGTTTTGCTTGGCAATTCGAGAGTCTGAAAAACATTTTTTATAAATATAAAAACCCCCTGAAAATAGTTGCGAGATCAAAACGTTTTGCAGTTTTCTAGTGAAAAAAATCACACCGACATCATTCATAATTGTTTGTATTTTGATCTTTGTTTAATCTCGAATTCAAAAAAAATTTCATGTTTTTAGCGCCAGAACGTCTGTTCAAAATTGAAATTGATAAAATTTGAATTCGAAATGTGACAGCACAATTTTTTGAATAAGAGAGAAATTTAAAAAAAATCCAAAGAAACTTGAATTTAATAAATGTAAATTGCCTCAAATTCTGGAAAATGAATGATAAATTCTCACAAAATTTTAATGAATTGGGGATTTTTTGAGATTTTTGGCCTTCTTTGTGAATTTTTAAAAAATTAAATTACAAAATAGTGCAGTACACCCAGAATTTTTGAGTTAAACTCAACAAAAATAATTTTTTCTAACTCACCTCTATATTAACATCATTGAACAACAAATATCGGAATGTCGAGACGATGAGAATTGCAAAAAAGATACCAAAGTCACCACAAATATTTCGGAACTGTAAAAAAATGATTAAAATTAAAAACTTCAGCGTGCAAAAAAACTCACATTTCTTCCGAACCAACGAGATCGGCTAAGTTGTCTAAAGACAAAACTGATGACAAACGTGCAAATGATAATATTGAATGATAAAAGAAAGCTGTTTGGCGCGCTTAAATGACTACAATCGGTTTCCGTTTCATTGTCGAGACATGCAAGACGTTGTTGATTGTAGTATGAATATTGGTGCACTGGGTTCATTTCCCATTCCTGAAATTTATTTTCAAAATTTGTTATTCAAAAATTGAAAAAAAAAATCTACCTCCTTCACGAATTTGACCACCTCATTCAGGAAAATCAATGAAATCAAAACTGAAAATATATCCTCGGTAAACATTGTCAAATATTTCAAAAGACGTGCTCCGCCAAACGCTGTAACAATCAACGAATATACAAAAATTGCCACACCGGCCCAGAATCTAACAACCATCAATTCGAGATTCTGCGCAACACAAATCTAGAAAATTATTTGTTGGATTTTGGGTGTTTCGTTTTCAAAACAACCTGGTATAAAGCGTGTTCAAAAACCAAAAATGGACCAGTTGATGAGACAATAATCAAAGGTTGGCCAGCAAAAATGCTCCAAATAACTCCCGAAATACATTGACTCATCAAAGTTTCCCAAACTCCCATTGCACCGCCAGTATAGACATCTGAAAATTATTAGGTATATTTTTTACTGGGTTAGTGCAGAAGTTTTGAGAGGATTATAGAAATCTCAACCATCAATTCAAATTCTGAAAAACCTGTATGAATAATTTTCGAGAAAAAAACTAACGCATCAATCCACCAAATGTCAACGATGGCGCAATACAAGCGCAAAACATGAAAATTGTAGATTTCAATGCATGCATATTCATTCCATCATACCAATCGGTGCTGAAAAAATGGGAAAATTTTGAAAATTCAAATTTGAAAAATGTTTTCACATGCATCTTTTCCCATATCATCACAGACTTTTCACGTGCCCAATTTTTAAAAAGTTCGCTTCCCAAATCCATCAATCTTGATAGATTAGAGATTGATGACGTGGCTTTCGTTTTGAAACCAGTTTTTTTCTAACCAGAATTATTATTTTTACAAAAAGGCACAAAAACAAGAAATGAATGTGACAAAGTTCATTTTTTGAAATTATGAAATTATTTTGAGAAGGTTATAATTTTAGACAAATTTTTAAGAAGAAATAATGAAAAAAATGCAGACTCTGAAAAAGTTCCTAGATAGTTAATTTTGTGGGTACGAAATAATTTTTGAAAAATTCGAAAAAAATCCCCAACGTTTCCCCAGACTTACGAATAAAATTGTGATCGATGACGAATATCCTCAATCATTCCACTGAACAAACCCCATTTTTGCTCTTGTTTTTCAGGCGGCTGCGATTTTTCCAGATCCACTTTTTTCTGGACATTTACGTCCATTTCTTTGCGTTGAATCTCCGCTGAAAATTTTTGAAATTAAAGTAAAGATTTTTTGGAGAACCATACCAAAATATAGAAAATACATTGGTTGAAAAAGTAAATAATTTCAGAATTTTTTCTTATCATTTTGAAAAAAAAACTATTTTTGGTTTGGGGTTGAAAATTGAAAATTGAAAAAGGTCAAAATTCAGGGCACATACACACACAAAAAAAAACAGTATATCAATGTCAAAAAAAAACTAGAAAGGGTATGCAATTTAGTCGTTCATTCAACCATATTTGATGGCAGATATGGATGGGTTAAAGGTGGTAAATCATCTCTATTTTATGACGCTAGGGTTTTTTTTAGTGTGTGGATGTGTGTGTTCCAAATACATTTTTCGGACTAGATTTCTCACTGTTCAAAAAATATGTGTTGAAAAATAGAAAATAATGAAATTTTAAAGATTATCTTGATAAAAACTATTTTTTGTTACAGATTTACAGGCACATTAGAAAACATAAAAACATAGAAAATCTTCAGCCCCTCCTCAAAAATACGCTGGCCCGAATTAAAAAAAAATTTCAATTTAGATTTTGTCACTGTTTCAAAAATGAATTTACAAAAATCCAAAGATGAAAAGTATTGTCAAACGAAAAAAAGGAAAAAAAACATGAAAAAGTAGAAAAGTCAATTACCGTCTTGTACAGTTTTGTCGTGTTTGTCAGCTTGTTTATTGACAACTTTACGGATCAAATCACCGGCCACCAAATATTTGTTGTCAATTCTTCCCGGCGCCAAAACAACCGATTCCGATAAGTAGCTAAAAACATTTCTTTTTTATTTTTTTTGAAAATTTTTGAAACACAAAAATATTTTATTTTTGTAAAAATACAACATCAAATATTTTCGGGTAACCCGATTTTGTTTTGTGTATGTGTGGTTTTTTTCACATACTATTAATAATGAAATATTTGAACTCTTCCATCGAGAATGGTAGAAAAATGAAATCATTGTTCGCTTTCTCTTTTACTTTTTTTATAGAAACCCAACCCGGTAGCAGACTTTTTTTTGTTAAAAGAAAAAACTTACTGTTCAATTGTTGAAGTTATATGATCGGCGTTCACCAATGTGTTGAATAAACCAGAAAATTCCTGAAAAAAAAATTTTTTTTTTTTCCAAAACGAAATAGGAAATATGTATATTCAGTGAAAAATACTAGAATATTTTATTTTATAGCTGAAAAAGGTTAACCATTCCAGCCACTCAAAACAAGGCTGTTTTCTTATCACTTTTTTTGGCTTTGACTTTGGTAAGATGACGTTTATGGTAGTGTTCTTTGAAGATCAGTGGGTAATCAAAGAGAAAACATGAATGAATGGAGTGATGGATGAATAGATGAACAAAACATATACAAACAGAAATAGACCAAAAAAAACACCACGCATAAAGTGAGACTGATAAAACATATACCATCTTTCTTGTTTTATGATCACATCATAGAAAAAAACACTATATTTACAATAAGAATCATCAATTACTGTGGGTTTTTGCAGATTTTCCTATTTCATATGGTTTTTAGCAGCGTCTAGACTATTTTTTAATTAATGAAAAAAGTGTTTAGACAACAGAAATGTATTTTTATTGAAAAATTCCAAGACTAAAATGCAAAATCTACGGTCATGGCTTTCTACGGCTCAAAAGATACATTTTAATGTTAGATTAGCACCCCACCCATATAATTTCAGGCTTTAAAAATTAAGGTCGCTCCCTAAAAACTAGAGGCTTCAAACTCAATCAGAAGTTGACACAATTTTCGTCTATCTCTATCCTTTGACACATATTCTTTTTTTGATAAGGTCATGTTTTTTTGCAGAACTTTTTTTTCAAAATATCGCTACGACAAACAGAAGTCAGAATGAAAAATTCAAAATAAAAAATAACTAAATAGAGGTTTAACAAAACAATCTGGAAAAATATTTGGTTTAATGTTCAAGGTTTGCGGTGAATGAGAAAGAAAAAAACTGGATTTTTTTTCGGCAGAAAATATTACTTATCTACATAGACCAGGAAAACAGCTTTTCAAAAAAAAGTTTAGAAACAAAAAATTGAAAATGTGTCAGACAGAAAAAAATATATTGATAAACTATATAATTCTCAGCCAAAACTGTTGAAAAGAATTTTGTTCTTTGAAATCCGAGAACAAAATAAAGCAAAGAGCACTTCAAAAATGATCCAGACAGAATCAATTTGAAAAATTGAAGATTTTCAATATTTTGGAAAGCTATTTTTTGCAAGTCTCACAAAAAACTCTGTAAAAACTTTGGCTCAATGCTCAAAATTTCAGTGAGTTCGAAAAGAGCAGGAAAATTTTGAGAAATAAAATATGCTAATGTGGCGAGGAGCAAGAAATTAAAGATACTATATTTTTACTGAAAATGAATTTCGAAAAAAAAATTTTTTTTTAAACTGACGTGAGGTCTATTTTTATGCTGAAGAATTATTTGAGGCGATGTACTTTTAGATTGGTCAAAATATGTAAGTTTAAAAAAAACTGGAAATGTTTACTACACAAAAATCACTGAAACAAAATATTTTGTGTTATGTATTTCAAAAATCATGAAATCGGGTTCCAGAAAGAATTTTTAAAATCACCGGATTTGACAAAACCGATCCCAAAGCTCTTCCAATATCCACATAATTCATATGCTCAACAGTAGGGCCAGTCAAAAAATAAAGGCATCGAACATCGATTGAACTATGAGTGAGTTCTGGAATATGGGCAGCATCTTCAAAACGAATCATAATCAATCGACATTTTTCCAAATCCGAAACACTTCCAGCAATAATCATTGTTTCTTCTTTGATAACATCAGTTTCCTCTTCGATTTGACTGAAAATTCATTTTATTTTCCTTCAAACTTGAATTGACAAATGATTTACCCAGCCAAAAATTTGAGAGTTGACAAAGCGTTTGTCAATTTTCGGCTGCTTGGAGCATTTTGCAACGCGTGAAGATTATTTGGCACTGACATAAGTTGTCGCAATCGAAAATTGTTGCCTGAAAAGAGAAAAGAATTGTTTGGGGTTGAGAAAACTATAGTTTTCTACCATCAGTTGATTTAGCAAGCGATTGGCTGGACGACAAACGTCTTGTTCGAAACGGACCGTTTGAAGAACCATCGCTGGAAAATTAAGAAATTAAAATTAGATAAACTTTGTTAGGATTTCAAAATTCTTTTTAAAATTTCAGAATTGAGGTTGTTAGTTTATCCTTAAAAAAAATCCGTTTTTTAAAGTTCCCCTTTTTCAGAAAAAAAATGTTAGAGAAAATTTCCGAGTTTTGATTATCAAATCTATAAAATCTAGTGTAGTAAACTAACTTTTCACATAAAAAAAATGACGCCCTAAAGCATTCCGTAATTTCCGTTTGAATAAAAGTCTGTACATCTCACTTTTAAAACCACTTTTATTATCAATTTTCATTCAAAAAAGATAAGCACTTGCTCAACATATTTTTTGCCGATTCCTCAAAACTCACCCTCGTCGACTCATAAGCAATTTAACGATAATTTTTCCAATATTCGGAATTTCTGGATCCACCATTTGCTCTTCCAAATAATCACAAAACGAGTCGAAGCTAAGATATGGAACATCTGTCATAACAATTGATTTGTTGGCGATTTGCAAAAAGGTTTCGATAATGTTCCATAGGAATGCATGGAACATGTGGTTTTCCAAAATGATTGTCATATCCTTCACGATCTTCCTCATAACGAATAAAACGCGATTTTTCGACCCAACGATCTTCATTTGGTGATGGATGGCTCACATAGAAGAGATCAATCACGTTCTGAAAATTGAAAATGCAGTCTAATTTTGTTTTTTTTTTCTTGGTTTTCTTTGTGAACCAAATGTTTTTAAAGACAAAAATTGAATAAGCTCAATTTTTTCAAAAAAAAATTATTTTCAACGCCAAAACCTACTTGTTTGTTGACTGGAGAAGACGATCCGGATTGATACTCTGACGGAAAATCTGTGACAATCGACATTTGCGGTGGTGAAACCTCGGATGGTGTCGACAAAAGTGGCGCCAATGAGTTTTCCTCAGTTTGGACAGTTTCAGTTGATCCCGAATCCATTTCCGGCACAACATGTTCACCGATTTGAAACCGAAAACGTTTCGGTTTCTTAGGGCTTGTAGGATCCATGAATCCTGAAAAATTTCATGTTGAGAAATGCAAATTCGAAAAATGTATATAAACGAAAAGTGACTGGAATTCGTCGCTTATCAGTGTTTGGAAAAAGGGAGGGGAAATCAAAAAATGACAGGAAACAAAGAATTTACGATGGGACAAGCACAAATTTGCACAATTTTATCTTGATGAAAGCAACAAGCATTTTCAAGGACAGGAATCATTTTGGAAGCAAACAACTTTTAAAAGTGACGAATACATAGGAGAATTTGGAAAAAAATCTTATTAAGAGTTGAAAGGCCAAGAAAATTGAAGGATATAGGCAGAAAGTACTGCTCTTTGCTCCAATTTGATAGAAGTTTTCTACAGAACATCAAAGCATATTTCAGAAAAGCTGAAAAAACATCATCCAAATCTCAGCGCTTCAAAATCAAATCTTTAAAAGATAAGATAAAACACCTACGCTCTCTACCTTGTGAGAACAATTTTAGTTTCATTTCATTCTATTTCCTCAAAAATGTATCTCTCTCTCTCACACATTGGTTTGCACAAAAGAACTGGTCACAAGACATGAGAAAAAGCCAAAAACACATGATTTACAGTAATCTATTGTTTTATAATGTGATTCAGAATTGGTAATATTTACTGTTTGGCCGATATTTGATTCGGTATTACCCCTTGATAGAAAGTGTGATTCTGTTGTTAGGGGAGAAGTTATGATGAAAATAATAGAATATAGAAAAACAAAATGTGCAGCAGGAAACAAGAAACAAGTTACACTAGGAAGGAAAACGGGAAGAGCAAATATAAGGACTAAAATGAGCAATGAATATTTTTCTAGCCAAAATTAAGAACTGCTAAAAGTAATATAGTCTTTGTTCTTCTATTATAAAAATCTAAAAATCAAAACGAAAAATTCGCAGACGAATAAAAATATAAATCACATTTGATAATTTCGATCAAAATCAAAATTTCTACATATCAAATAAGAAAATATTCAATTCTCCAATTCCTATTTTATGCCAAACCAAAAGTGAACTATAGGATATTTATTAGAAAAAACAGAAAAAAGATAAATAGAAATAAGAGACGAAAAGAGCTCGATGTCCGGTGAGACGAAGAACAACAATGAGTATATGCAAAAAAAAGCAAAAAAAACCAAATAGCACAAAAAAAACATACACAAACACTAACAAAGCAAGGAGTGTATGTGTGGAGGAGGGAGTGACCACATGGCGTTTTTTTCGCGCGCGCGCGGGACACCATACTTTTTTATTGTTTTTTTGGTTATTATTATTATTATTATTCTAATTATTACTTTGCTTCAGTGCCATTGGGAAAAGGTCATTTTGTTTTTCATTTTTTTTTTGAAAAACATTTTTACAAAATTTCAAAGAAACGAAAGAAATACTTTTTCTTTTGAAAAAAAATCGCCTTTTTTCTTGCAAGGTCCCTGATTCATGTTAGTGAAAGAACGTTTTTGCAAAGTTTTTGATTTAGTTTCTTTGTTTATTTTTTTATCGCATGTGGGAAAAGTTTCGTTATAGAAATAGATCTTTGTAGGAATTTTTATTTTAGAATTGTCTATTTGAACTCTTGAAATTGTTGACAAAAAACCCCCTGAATGTTATAATTTGGGCTTGAACATTGATACAAGTTGGATTGAATATATTTTTTTTAACTCGAAACTTATTTGAATATTCAGAAGATACAGAATATATTTCAAAAATCTTTAAAAACTTGAGATGGATATGACTTTCATATCACACGATTTTATATTCAAAGAAAATACATTGAACGTTCAGACTGAAAACACTTCTGTTTTTAATCATTTTTCGATTTGTTGTCAATGTTTCCGAAAATAGTTTTTTTTCAAAATTAAAAAAAAACTATTTTCTTTCTCCCCTCTATCAAAATTCAATCAAATGTGCAAATTCATAAATAAAATATATTTATTCATTTCAATAAAATCATAAAAAATTCGGAATATTTGTGTTCATCAAGTGAGATGGTATATAATACCAAAAAAGCCAGCAAGAAAAAAATAATATGACATCAGAAAAATAATAATTGGAATTAAATGTGAGAATAAGATCAGCTTTCAGTGACAATTTCAATTTGAATAGGATTTGGAGGTGAAGCGCATTTAGTAGGAGATCCTGGATCTGAACATTCTTCCTCAAGATCTGAAAGTGCGGTGCTAGGTCGTGTCAAATCACAAGTGCTGCTTGTGCGACTTTTATCATTTCCATTTCGACATCGACGAAGATTATTTGGAGAAGCGGAAGCGGATGGGCATTGAACTACAATTGTTGGTGGGCATAACATTCCAGCCTCGCATGTGACATTCTGAAAAATGAGAAGTTAAAGTTTTTTTGTTTGCGTCTGAAACAGCTTAGATCTTTCAGAAAAACTAGAAGACAAACTTCTGTATTGAATTTTGATTGAATAAACGGAGCAGAGTTTGATGAGCAAGATGGTTGGAATGAATTCATAGGTGTTGTTGGATAGCTATAGGGTGATGGTGAAGGCAAAGGTGTAGAATCTGAAGATCGATTGTCCTCGAGCTTATGCTCGTGGCTATCATGACAATAATAATCTTTGAGCTGAAAAAATTGCATATTTTTTCTGAAATAAAAAAAAATTAACTATTACATTTGGTTTGGAGACATAGAAATCTTGTGGACTGCAAGTTGGAGTTCTGACTGGATAAGTGCTATTAAACAAATCGTAATCAATTTGATAGGAACCATTTGATCTTTGATAAGTCACCAATTTTCTGAAACGATGTCCCCACGAAATTTCGGATGGAAGATATGATGTTCGTGCTTGAGCAGTCATTCCGGTTGACTCGACAATTCCCTCAAGAAGCACAATTATTTCAAATTGAGCGGACATTAATGTTTGTTGATTGTAGTTGTATAATGGGCTTCGACTATCGATGACATGGCAAAGAGTTGTTGGCCAGACCTAGAAGATGAGTTGAAATTTATGGGACGAGGAAAAATGGGTGATATCTGATGTTGGAATTTCTTGAAAAAAATTTGCAAAATATACAATTTTGAAATAAAATATGATTTGTTTAAGAATCCCATGAAAATATTAATAATTGAATTTTGTTTTCATATTCAACCATTCTCCCATCTCATTAGCTAAAAGTACATTTTTTTCAGAATTATTCAAAATATTTATCAGATATTCAGGTTTTAACATTAGAATAATTGGAAAAGTTACAGTAAACCTTGCAGCCAAATCTATCCAACTTTTTGTTATGTCTTGAAACAATTCTCAAATCTTGCACGTCATAACTCAATTATCCCCATCCACATGCACACATTTTCAGCCCCTCTCTTTCAACACAAAAATTTTTCTCTGGTCGATCAACGACCAGACCTCCGACTGGAAAAAAAAAACTCGCCGCCAATTGCGAACATGTTTTTTTCGATTGAATTAGTTAGGGTTACTTTTTTGTATGTCTTTGTTTTTTTTTCCGACTAAAACATACCAAAAACAAACGATCATCATCTGAAATTGAAGGACCAACTTTCATTTCGAATTGATGAAGCGGTTCGATCTAAAAATAGTTTTTCTTTTTGAGAAAACATTTTTTGTTTTGTTTTCTGTACCTCTCCCTCAGTGGTTTCTCGATCTGTGATAAATTGTAGACGAACATGAGCTTCAACTAAATGTGTATTTCGCATATCTCCAACACGACACAGGAAACATAATTGACCGTCTCGAAGGCAAATAACAGCTTTGTCACTGGAAAAAAAACCATGATTATTTTTTTTTGTTTATTTATGCTTCCACATTTCATGACAAAAATATGAACCTGAAAATAATGGTTTCTGCTCGCTTCTTAGGTCTTGCCATCTTTGCAAACACAATTCCGACCATGAATGATTGAAGAAGTAGTGCACAAACTGCTTGAAGACAAACAACCAAACCAGCACTCAAACATTCTGTAGTTATATATCTGCAAAGAACGATCAGTTTACTCAAAAATTCATAGCATTTTTAATCACATACCTATGACCATATCCAATAGTATGATGAGTTTCGACAGCAAATAGAAATGAAGAGTAGAAAGAATCAAGGTTTACGACACAAGCGGTATGATTAAGAGGAGGTTCGGCTAAATCACCGTGAGCAAAAGCGATTAGGAAATAGGTGGTACCAAAGACACTCCAGCTGAAATGAAATATTTGGGAAGAGGGTAAAGGTTATTACTATTTTTAGAACAAAACTGACCTCATGACAAATGCGGAAGCAAATAGGATTAACATGTATCTCCATTTCACGTCAATGAGTGTCGTGAAAATGTCCCTGGAAAAACAAGGAAGTTTTTTAATGAAGAATTTGTTACTTATAGTCTCAAACTGAAACCATAATATGTGAATTTTGAAAATACTTCGAATTCTGTGAAATTAGAATTTCTAGAGCCTTTTCACGAACAATTTCTGAACTATTTTTTTTTGTCTTTCTTGGTCTTTCAAAAATTATGAGCCACGTGCTCAATTTTCCTAGGAACTGCTCATATTTTAGAAGCATAAATGAACCTAATTATTATTCATTCTCACATTCAGACTTCTCCATTTTTTTTTTGCAAAAAAAAAATTCTGCAAACATATGTACAAAGCACACGTGAAAGTGCATAGCGTGTCAAGGGTCTACCCTCAAAACTCACAACGGATTTCATCCCGATCTGAACATACCTCAAATATTGGCGATCCTTCTTCGGAACATTGGTATTATAAACATTGCAGATACCATTTTTTCCCCACCAATCGACTTTTCTTCAACTTTTTCGTTGATTTTCGATAAAGTGGGGATGAGTTGCGTCGAGCGGTGAACGCCAGCGTGCGAATACTTTCTATAATTTTCATTTATACAACATAGATTGTGTTAGCAATCGAATCAGAGAATGTTCAGAAATTGTTTCCTTTCAATATTTTAATATGTATATGTTGATTTTTAAAGGTGGCATGATTCATTTTTTTTCCAAAATCAACTGAAATTGTGTGAAAAAATATTATTTTTCTCCAAGAAAAAAAACAACTAAACTGAAATGAGATGAGATGAGGAAATGAAATGAAATGAAAAAAGGAAGAAATTAGATGAGGTGTCAAATTTCGTTTCCGAAATTGAGAGTAAAATGGAAAATGGCGCGAAAAAACACCGAGATGAGCTCGAAGACGAGTGAAGGAAGAAAATGAGGGGTGGGGGAGCAAGAAGAAAATGAGGAGCACAATGGGGGTAGTGCATCATATTTTTAGCGTGCCTGGTTTTTTTTCTGAAAACCAGGCAAAGAAGGAAGAGGACTCTTTGTTCAATTACACCATAATTTTGCTAATGGATATTTTGCGTAAGAAAGTAATTGGATTATTTTGAGATCAAAAAAATCTGATTCAAAATCTAAAGATAGATGTTTCCCAGAGTCTTCAAATTTCATTTCATCATTCCCCTTTTTTCCAGAAAACATCCATCTAGAATATTTTGTTGATGGATTTTGAAATGATTAATTGAGTTATACTATGAAAGACGTGCTAACCAAATTAATTATTTTTATATACATGTTTGTGTTTTTCTTTGGAATATTAAATGTTTCCCCCCAAAAAATATGAAAAATAATATAATTAATCACCTGCTAAACTTGTCCTTCTTGGCGGCGGACTTGGTCTACCGTTAGCGATTAGAGGAGCACTTCCAAGACTCATTTTCCGATGATTTGCTGCCATTCGCATGCGGCTCATTTCCGCACAATCCGGCACGGAAAGCGTCATCGATCTGGAAAAATTATATATTTTCTAGAGATCAACAAAAATATGAAAAGATTCTTGGGGGTTTTGCAAAAAAAAAAAGAGTCCACGAAACTTTATTGGTTTGTTAGCAGAAGTCATAAACTGCCAGATGTCTAAAAATATTCTCAATGAAAATATTTTAATGAAATATATACGCTGGGTGTTAGAAAATATTATTTATTTGTTTATTTATTAGTTTTTCCAGACTTGAAAAAAGGTTTTTTAAAGAAGTTGGATGAGAAAATATATAAAATAAAGAAGAAGAAATGAAAAACCAAAAATGAGCATGGAAAAACGAAGAACCCTTTAATCTTTCTTTTAAGAAGATTTTGAATCTAATCGTGCGAACTTTTGGCTTTTTCAACCAAAATGGCTTTTTTTTGGATATATATTGGTTTTTTTGTTTATATGTTTGCGTGGAAATTAATTAAAGCAAGACCAAAAAAGTTCGAAAGCCACGTATTCACCGGGTGATTTTGCGTAGTGGGACCCTAATATGCTGAACTTGTAGAAGCTCAAAACGACGTGACCAACACGATGAAAGTCATTTTTAAGATTTATAGTTAGCGGAAGTATTTACAAACATGAATATTCTCCAAGAAAAATCTCTGATTTCATTCAAAGATAATGCAAAACAAAAAAAAAAAGAATTGATCTTTTTCAGAAAACCTTCATTCAGAATAAAAATAATCGCTTTATTCATTCTGAAAAAAAAGTCTGGTTTTTGGAAAAACCTTTTACCGAGTTTTTGGAAAAGTTGACTTTTGAACTTGCATTTTTGATGAACATTTCAATGTGAAGTTTTCCGGAAAATATGAAAATATTAGAATTTTGGAGTTGTGTTCAATTTTTTTTTTTTGGAAAAAAAGAGCTGAGAAGTTTAATTGACGGCAAAACCTACAGTAACCCAGTGATTTTAATTTTTGAATGAAAAACGTGGCTTTTGAAAAATAAAGATGTTTGGTGCTAATTTAGCAGCTAAAATCTACAGTATATCTGAGATAACTGTGGACCATTTTTGCCTTCAAAATGATGCATTTTTCGCGGTGAAAGTTCTAAATTTCATCGTTGAAGTTTAAATTGGAAAACTTGGCCTAAAGAAATTTTATTGGAAAATTTAGATGTCTGAAATCTGAGTTAGTGCAACTCAGAGGCTATTTCAACTCATTTAAGATCAAAATGTGAGAATGATTTTCAACCCAAAGATTTTGTCAAAATTCTCAAATCAAAACTCACTTTGGTAACATTTTGCACAACAACATTCGTCTATTTCTAGACCATTGCGCATAAGTTGCAGGTTGATCATGATACGAATAATGTCTTCGCATCATTAAAAATATTTCGAAAATTTGGACAGGAGAAACGAACGACGAAGGCAGGCAGAAATGCAACAACGACAGAAAATAGAGAGCAGCAAATTACGTCTTCGTGTCAAACGAAGAAATGTAATGAGGGAAATGTGGAAATGTCAAGAATATATAGGATTATCTGCGTTGCCTTTTCGTTCTTCGCGTGCCTTCCAGAAAGAAAATGGGCTTTGTTCTGCCTTATTCTGGTTGATTTTTATGTTAGTAGTAATATAGTATTGGTAGTCCCAACCACTTTTTATGTATAAATAGGATGAATGAATGAGATTTTTTGGGGGAAGAGAAAAAGCGTGGATAACGCCCCTCCCCTAAACCAAATCTGTGTTTTTTGAAGAGCGGTTGAATGGGTTCGGTTTTTTTATTTTCTTATTTTTCCGACGAAATATCTATATACGATCTTGAAAATGAAAATGAGAATTAGAATCTTGGGTAAGCCCTAAGAACACACAGTGTTTGATGTTGGTGAAAAACAAAAAAAATTGAAAATTTCCGGATTTTTCAAGGAATTCAGAAATAGGGTAGAAATTTTGAGAAATGAAAACTATAGGGCAGTTTTTCCGGTGTATTGATATGAAAGCAGAAAACTGAAACCCCTCAGAATTTGAATGCAGATGCTTCATTCTTTCAGTTAAAATGATTCTGAAATTTTCAGAGATCAGAAAAATCAGAAACTCAAGAAACATTTCTCAAACTTGCAAAATTGTTTGAAAAAAAAAACAATTCAAAAATCACACTGACACTCTCATAAAATTCAGAAATCACAAATCCAACAAGCAAACAACCCTCAAAATTTTGAGAAAAATGCAATTAATAGATTTTCGGTCGTCAAGTCTCGTGCTCCCCTCAAAAAACTCCCCGAAAAGAAATTCTGACGTTCATTTATTTAATGCTGTCAAACTGAAAGGCTGAACGTTTCTAAATTAGTTTCAAAAACTCAATTCTGTCAAACAAAAAAAACTTGACTTGACTCTGGAAAAAAAATTAATTGTAAAATAATTGAGTCTACTGCACTGCTCTCTCTCTGCTCTCTGGAGAGTTTTAGAGGTTGGAAAGTCACAAAAAAAAACTAATTTAGTTATTCGAACCACAGGATACCAAAAAAGCAATAAAAATAATAAGTTTTCGAAACACAAAATTTATGAATGCAAAAAAAATGACCTATCAGCAAATAAATTTTTCATTTTATTTCATTTTTGGTCTCATTTGGAACAAACGAAAAAATGCTATTTCAAGAGACAGAGAAACACTAATTAGGTACGTTGCCTTTAATCAATTATTCATGAGAGAATCAAGAAGGTTTTTTATTCATTCTTTTTTTTTATTTGAAGATACCTTCTTTTGAAACAGTGAGGTTTATAGATTTTAGCGGATTTATTTTGAATTTTTTGAGCTAGTTAATAAATTCACGTTTTCAGTATTTTTAAACCCGCTGATCTCAAATGTCTTGGGATCATTTTTCTGGACTCGTGCTACTAGAAAATATATTTTTCAATTCTAAAAACTAGAAGGAAACATATAATTTCGCTTGTTTTTCAAAATTGTTATATTTGGAATTTTTCAGATTTTGACAGAAAACATAGTTTTCAAGCTTTAATAAATTAACGCTTGTTTTTGAAAGATTTTTTCTCGCTTACCTTCTAAGACGCATTTTTAAAAATTCCGAAAAATAACAACAAACAAAATGAAAATTAAGAGCACGCGCTTAAAATTGCTATAAAATATTCATAGTTTTTTGTTTGTAAAAGGTCAGGTGCATTGACAAAAACAAAGAGGCAACTTACCTTCTCCTAGACGGAAACATAATTTTTTTGAGCGGAGTTTGTTAGCCGATCAATGATGATACAATTGGCGGTCGGTCAGCAAGTAGAAATGATGAAGATGAAGATGAGAAGAAGTTAGCCTGGAGCAACACAGGACAAAGAGAAAAGCAAAAAAAAACACACGAAGAAGAAGAAGACGACGACACAATTTGTAAACGAAAAGACACAAGCCAGAAAAACACTTAGTCACTGGTATAAGAAAGATGAAAAGATGAAGAACATGGGTTCTTTTTTTTATAACTTGACTTGATGAAAAACGGATGTTGCTCTTGCTCTTGCTGTGGGTGATACTCACAAATACATATAATTTTTTTAGTCGGAGATGTGAATTGCAGCAGCAAGAAAAAAAACACATATCTTCATCACAGAAAAAATGATTGAATGAATAGAAGATTAGCTTACTTATATGAAAAGAAGGTGTGGGTTGACTATTTTTTGGCCAAAACATGCATATTTAAACAGACATGAATCAGGATCTTTAGTTAGTGAGATAGGCAAATTTGTTTCCTTGTTGGATAAAAAAATAACATGAGAAAGAATGAAAAAACGAAAGAATAAAATGAGATTTTTGATACTGACGCGCTTTCATTTTATTTTTGAAAACAAAAGGGCTTCTTTTCATTTCCTTAAACACAATTTTTTAATGAATCCGAAATTCGAACACTTTTATTTGTGTTCTCTGAAATTTCCATTCATTCTGCTCTGAAAAAAAATCTTCTTGGGTGGTCCTTATTCAAAGAATGAAAGTTGTCAAAACTAGAACAAAGTGTTATTCTCAAGGGTGATCTTGAATCTTCAAACTTTCCAGATATTTTTGCTCCAGAAAAAATCAATCAACAAGGAACTACGTTCTTCGAACATGCTAAATTACATGGGTGGTCTAATCAAGCTGAAACTGAACGCTTGTTTCGTTTCAGAAAATGCACGTCTAAAGTTCATCTGGCTTCTCCTAATGAGTTTGCACAATCCGAACATTTTGGTGGTATGCAAAAAAATGAACTTCTGGGTTTTTTTTTGCAAAAAAAACAGCCAAAATCTCAAACAAAAATATTTTGTTTGCATAATTAAAAAATAAACTACGTGGGTGGTCTCTTTTTAATTAACATCGTGGGTGGTCCAGTTGACTCATTTGAAACATCATTGAATTTGAATTGAACACGAGCCTCAGAAAATAATTCAGTTTTCAGAGTGAACTACGTGGGTGGTCTCTCACAACTTATAAAATTGGAAAACATAACTAAATTTGACTCGACCTCAAAAATTTTGATAAAAACTACGTGGGTGGTCTTATTCTTTGGAACTTATTTGCAAAACATTGGTGTTTCATTTTTCCTTACCCATATTCAGCTAAAAGATCTCCAAAATAAATTTGACATTCATTTTTGCAAACTCACATGGGTGGTCCGAGTTATTTGATGGATGAAGAAACAAAGTTGATTGAAGGCGAATGAACGACAGAAAATGTCTGAAAAAAACTTTTTTTTGAAGGCGGGTCTAGCCAGTTTCATTTTTCCAACCAAAAAATTGAAACGAACGAACAGAAACAACGAAAATCAATGAGCAAAAAAAAAGAGACGAGATGTTTTTGTATTTGAAAGTGCGACTTTTGATATTTGTCTAATGTGAAATCAGTGAAATGTAACCGTTGTTCTGACAACCGCAAAAAATATGAAGGGTTTTCGTCGTAAAATGAAATATGGTACTAATGAAAATATATGTATGCATATATAAGTATAGTATGACTCTTTTCCGGAGTTTTTGGAGGTCAAAAAGTGTGACGTAGATATTATATAGGTTCTCAAGAATTGAGAATAAAAATTGTACAATGTTCAGCCCTTTCTCAGAAAAATACAAATAGAGAAATATGATTTTTGGCTGCTCTGAAGAGATTTCCACGTCATAGCTACTTTTTCAGAAGTTTTGGAATTTGAGACCTCTGGGAATGTTATTCCTTGACCGGAACTTCAATCTTCGAAAAAAAAACAAAAAAACTGGAAATGCGAAGTTATAAGTATTGAAAGGACCTTCTCAAATTTCCAATGAATATTTTTGAAGTTCAAAAAACCAATTTTCAAAAAGAGTTTTGAAAAATGAAAAATATCTTGCAGAGAAATTGTTTCAATGAAAAAATTCCAAAAATCAGGAAAAAATAGTTTTTTTTTCGAAATTTGCTGAATTGAATTTTTTCAATTCATGTAAACCAGAATTCCATAAAATTTTCCAAAAAAAATTATCTCAAATTAACAAAAACTATCCAAATAATCGTCAACAAAACTATATTAAACTCATTTTTTCTGCTGAATTTCTCTGCAAACGAGAAATTCTTCTGGATATATAAAATCCGAAGAGCAAACTGCAACGATTCACTGAAATACAATATCTATTGCATCTTTGGAACGTCTTATCCTTCTTCTTCTGCCCAAAAAAATTTTTCCCAAGGGACAATTTTTCTGTTTGTTGACAATTGTATGTATGAATCAAGATGTTTTTCAGAAATCTTATTCGAGGAGATCAAAATGAAAAAAAATATGTGAAAAAAGAACTTGTTGTTGAAAAATAGAATAGAATAGAAACTTTGAATGAGGAAAATCAGAATTGAAAAGAAAAGCTTGTAAATTGCGGAACTGATGATGAAAAGAAGAATTGAATCAAACTCTTTTAGTTCGAAGTTTCTCTATTTTTTTGTTAGAAAAAACACACGTTATATGCTAATTTTTTTCTAAAAATAACATTGTATTGTTTATTTGCTCTTTAAAACAATTCTGAATTTAAATTAATTCGAATTCATGCTCCAAACATTATAAACAAACAAAAAACGGTATAAAAACCAAGCCCAAATTTATTTTCACTGTAAGCTAAGCTTGAACCTAAGCCCAAAAATGATTGCCTACATGATTCTCATATTTCTCATCGCTTCTGATCTTTGCTCTGCTCATCAAGGTGAATTTTTTTTCTGTGGAGCAAGCAAGCATCGCGTGTCACCCGAGACAAGATTTTTTTGGCTTTTTGCTCGCCTGCTCCGAAGCTTCACTATAATTTATTCAAGCGTCAGGAAAAATGACAAGTAAATAAATTTTTTTTTCGAACAGGTGTCAAGAAAAGAGATAAACGACAATATGATGGTGGAATGTGGAATAATAATAATAACAACAATAACAATATGAACAATAATTGGAATAATGGACCTGGAATGGGTATGTTTGAAGAGTAAAAGAGTAGTTTTCATGCAGGAAATTGGAAAAAATAATGTGAGGTAACAAGTCAGACAAGATGCGTTTATTTTTAGAAGGTTTAGAAAATCAAAAATCTATGGTTTTTGCAAAATTGTTCGGTTCTTTGAAAAATGCGACATTTTTTTGTCCTTCAAGAGACGAGATTTGAATTGGAGTTGTTTTGGAAAACAGGCAGGTTGTCTAGAAACAAATTGAAGAATTCTAGACAAACTTGGATGTACTTTTAGATAAATGGAAATAGCTTATTTTCATTAAAAAATTCAAGAATTTCAAGAATTCGAATTCGAATATCATTTTACCCATACTAGTTGAGAAAAACTTTTAGAAAAATCTTGATTCATCTGATTTCCGAGATACCCATTTTTTGATCTATGTTTGTTTTTGTTTTCGAACAATCAATCAGTTCTGTTTTTTGTTCTAAACGAATTTTCTTCAAAACAAATGAAATTTAAGATATTCCTTTTTTCCGAACTTTTTTGTTTTTCTACAGACTCAGAATAAAATAAGATTACCAAAAGGGATTCAGAATTTACATAGATAGTCTAAAGATCAACATTTTCTGGAAGAGTACAGTAGACGTGTACCAAAAAACCTCAATTATTTTCAGGCTACGGTAGACCAAATTCTGAGCCAGATGATTCTATAAAAGGAAGTGTTGGAACGAATGAGAAGAAAAAGAGCAATGTAACAGAATCTCCAAATAATCAAAATAATATGAATAACAATAATAATGGTCCATGGTGGCCTAATGGTTTGTGTTTTTTCTTCTTCATATTTTTATTTTTATTTATTTTTTTCCTCTTTTGGAACGGAAACGGACAAATTCGATTTTTCTTCTTCTTTTTCCTTTTTCCATTTTCTTCCAGGCGAACAAAACGGTTATAACAACAATAACTGGAGAGGTGGCGGTGGCTACGGAAACATGAATGAAAACAGCAAAAATTCCGAAGATTCGGGACCGCAAGGGAGTGTTGGAGCAAAAACTGAGCCAACAAAACCGCCAAACACGAATAATTATGGATATAATAACCAAAATAACAACAATAATATGTATAATCGAAATAATTTTAATGGAAATGGGAATGGAAATGGAAATTGGAACTGGAATGGGGCAAATGGGGCAAACGGAGGTTACGGTAGTAATCAATGGGGACGTGGATATTAAATGATTGTTTCTACTGTATTTTTTTAAATATTTATGTATATGTGACTTACAACAATAAAATGCTAACTATGAAATTGAAAAATCAAAGTCTAACGTAAAAAAGTTACGGTAGTGGACCCGCGGATATTAATTAACTAATTCTATTGTCTTGTCATATTAATTTCTATTTTTGTAACAATAAGATTTGTTTTTATTTTCGCGCGAAGAAAAGTTGGATAACAAGTTAATTGACTCACACACTAACTGTTTTCTCTCCTCCCTCTTTTCACAGTCAAAATATTGTGATTTTTTCATATTATTCTGTTTTTCGAGCTACTACTGTTCGCTGAAAATATGAGCTTTCGACAATTTTCTAGGAAATTCAAGAAGAGTTTCAACAAAAATTTGAGTCGGTTGGCTTTCAATTTGCAAAATGGTGAGCTTTAGGGGGAATCTTGGTTAAAAACATTTTGTTGCTGAAATTTCAGAGTCAGAAATATTTCTAGAGAATAGATGTTTTGACTAACACCATCTGTATATGGTAGGGGATTTTTAAAAAATAGAACCCGGTAATTCAACACATGTTTTCGTGTATAATTTAAAGTTTGAATTTTTTTTCAGAAATCTTTTCTGTTTATTCTTTATCAAATTGTTGAGAATCGGGTTTATGTGTTGTAAATTTATAGTGTTACATAGAAATTTTTGAAATGATAATCTGAAATTTTAACACATGCCGTCATTTAGAACCACACATCAGCTAGAAATAAAAAAAAATGTTTGGAATAATATGTTTTTCTCTGTTGTGTTTTACTGTATATTCAAGTTGTGACATACATTTTTAACTATGTATTTCGTTCTCACACTAATATATTGATTTACCTATTCTCCCAACAATTATCAAAAACATAGCACATAAAATTGAAAATAAAACAATACAAGATAAAACAAGAACTGAACATTTCCAAAAAAAAATGAACGTTTCGAAATAGAACAGCAAAATCGATAAAGTTCAGATTATGCAAAATCCACCTGCAATATTTTTAGCCGCATTTTTTTTCTTAAATAGCCAAAAAAAAACTTCCAGACACAAATCAAAGGACAAGTTGGAATGTTTTAATAACTGGTGGCGGTGGTCATTTGGCTGAAAATTTGGTGCAAAAGTTAGTGGAAAATGCGCGCGATGAACTTCGACCAGATGTTGTTGCACATTTGGAATCGCAAGATCTTCATCTAGAGAATCAAAGTGGGCAGAGAACTAATGCGAGGGTTTTCAAAAAAAGAATTGAGCTCGCTATTAGTCGAAAAATGTCTTCTCATATTCAAATTGTTCTGCTTGACTTGTTGCAGCCGAATGAAGAATTACTTCGAAATGATTACACAAAATATATCAATGTGAGCAGTTATTTTTCGAAGATATGTACATAAATGAAACTTTTTTTGTAGGGATCATTTACTGACTATGAAATTATGAAAGATGCTCTGCAAAACATTGACACAGTATTTCATTTGGCTGCTGTTGGGATGACTGGGCAATACGCTACAGATAGAAAAGCGTGTATGGATATAAATGCTGTAGGAACAATGAACTTACTATCCTGGAGTAGACAAAATGGTGTGAAAAGGTTCATTTATTCGTCTTCAATTGGTGTGGTTTTCAATGGTGAACCCTTGAATAATGTGACAGAAGAAAAGGAACATTCAGAAAATGTAAGAAAAAACAAAAAAAGTCCTAGCACGAGTGGGGTTCGAACCCACGCGGATTTCGCATCCATTGGAACTTAAGTCCAACGCCTTAACCACTCGGCCATCGTGCTGACGAGAATTGTTTGTAAACATAGCAAACACACAAAACGGACCGCCCCCAAAAGGAAATGATTTATTTTTCCCTCTCTTCCAGCAAAAAAATCAAGCGCATTCGTGTAACATACATAAATATGATTGTTTTTTTCAGTTTTACAATTATTATTGTGAATCGAAAGCGCATGCCGAAATAATTGTTCAAAATGCGTCTTGTGATGAATTGAAAACTACGGTTTTGAGATTCAATGGAATTTATGGGCCTGGTGAAAAAAGAGTTACGGAAAGAGTTGTGAAATTTATGCTTTCTGGTTGGTGGATTGCGATTTGTGAACCGAATGGAATTGAAGCACAAACTCAACTATCTTCTGTTGATAATTGTGTTCAAGGATTGGTGAAAGCTGAAATTGCTCTGAAAGTTAAAAATTCAAAACACGGAGAGGTGAGAAGACTAATTTATGTTTGACTTTTTTTAAATTGGAAGCCTACCGGATCCCCCTTCTAATCTGAAATTCCAGATTTACAACATCATGGATCGCGATCCAGTTGGAACATTTAGTTTTTGGACACCTCTCAACCAAGCCCTTGGCTTCACTGACCACATGATCAATATCCCACCTTGGATTCTGAAGTTTGGCGGATTCTTCTGTCAAAATGTTGCTAATTTTTTCAAAGTCGACCCATTTATGACATCTTTAGAAGTCGATTTACTCACAGTTAATAACACGTTTTCAATTGAAAAAGCCTGTGAGCAAATCGGTTATGATCCAGCGCCAAGTTCTATGCCAGAGGTATAAAAATTATATTTTTTCGAAATTCTAATGAATCAATTTTTTAAAGATCGTAGAGATGTATGGGAATCAACAGACCGCCGAAGATAAATTGAAACGAAAAAAGTTTTTCTTGTGGAGAATGATTTTCATTATTTTTGCAATCATTTCATTGATTATCCCAATTGTATATTTTTCCTGGAAAAATCTTATTGATTGCTACATTTTTCTAAACTTTTATGTGAAATTCTTGTATAAGAAATTTCATGACTTATACCATTCACAAAACTAAACTTTTCCTTTTTTTCGTATTTTTTGATAAAACATCTTTTTTTTGTTCTATTATTCTCTGATAAGCAAAAATCAAACTCCGATCAATGTCATGTTGCTGTTGCTGAACTTTTTCTTACTAGTGACTTTCAGCAAGTAAGTTTTTCAGCAGAGAATTTTTCTAACACTATCTAGAATTGTAGTGTTGCTGCAGTTCAACCATCATTTGGGATAGATCCGGTGAACAAAACATTTTTGCTAGATGGACAACCTTTTCAATATATGGCAGGGGAAATTCATTATTTCCGAATTCCTCATAAAAAATGGGATGATCGGTTGAAAAGAGTTAGATCTATGGGATTGAATGCGATCACAGTGCCGATTCCTTGGAATTTACATCAATTTGAAGAAGATGAGTGAGTGAATAGGACACCAAAATTTTAAAAACACAAATTACAGCGAGCCACAATTCTCTGGAGATATGGATCTTTCAAAATTCATAACTTTGGCACAATCTAACAACCTCTATGTTATTCTAAGAATCGGTAAACATTCTCATTTTCTCAATTCATTCCTCCCTCCACCAATATTATTTCCAGGCCCCTTTATTTCTGCTGAATGGGATAATGGTGGTCTTCCTTGGTGGCTTCTTCGCAAAAAAACACTTCAAAAATATCGATCAAATGACACAGTTTTCATTCAACAAGTCACTCAATGGTGGGGACATCTTTTGCCAAAAATCTTTCCACATATGAGAAGAAATAATGGGCCAGTTATTATGGTTCAGGTAGAACATTTATATGGGAGTCTTGGAATTTGCGATAAAGATTATCTGGATCAATTGGAAGCGTTGGCTAAACATCATCTTGGAAATGATGTGGTTTTATTTACTAGTGAGTTTCGGATTCTGAAAAAAAAATTTTTTTTCTATTTTCAAAAATCTACTTTTAGCTGATTACCCGGTATTGCAAACCATGGATTGTGGAACTAGTAAAACAATGTTTGCAACAGTTTCAATCGAACCAGTTGAAAATCCAGCGCAACTTGTTGCATGGCATAATATCCAACAAGCATTTGCTCAAGGACCATTTGTAGCTTCACATTTTGTAATCGGAAAGGCTAAACTATGGGGAATTAATACAACGTTTCCAGCCACAGATGATGAAATTGTGACAACTTCAAAAATAGCCTATAGTATGAATGGTAGTATCAGTTATTCAGTGATTCATGGAGGAACAAGTTTTGGTTTTTGGAGTGGATCTGTTGGTCAATATCCGGTTGTAACTTCTCATGATATGGGAGCACCGATTAGTGAGAATGGCGATTTGACAACTCTTTTTATGAAACTTCGATTCTGGATCAATGGCTTGAGTGATTGGGCATATCCACCAACGTCAATTCCAATAAATATCCCGTGAGTTGAAATTTTTGAATATCTTTTTTTCAAAGTTGGAAATGTTTCCAGAAAAACAAAATATCCAGACGTTGAAATGATGATATTCGATAGTATTCAAGGATTCATCCTTGGCAACGATCCGGAATGTTGGATCAGCACTGAAACTCCAAGAACTGCAGAATACATTCGACACGGTTATGGCTATATGTATTACAATGCAACATTTCTAGACTGTGGAAATTTGTATATCCCAAGTTTTGCCGAAGATGCCTACATTTACCTTAACAAAAACTTTATTGGAACACTTTTCTCAAGATTTGGAAACATTCATAATAATACAATGCAAATCACTGGATGTTTAGATCAACCAAATTTGCTAGAAATAATGATTGATATGGGTGGAAGAGAAAGCACAATGTATCCAAATCCTTCAAGAGGAATTATGGGTGATGTTTATATGAATAATGCGACTTTGCAAGGATGGTACAGTTGTGAAGTTCCGATTATACCATATCAATTGTCAAGAATTGAAGATGTTCATAAAATGATTAGTTATCCAAGGAATCTCACAGCTATTCGCGAAGGAGCTCTCAACCCAAATGTATATATCGGAAATATGCATCTAAAAGTTCAACCAGTAGATACTTATATTGATACAACTGGCTGGGGTAAAGGTGTTATTTCTATAAATCAATATACCATCGGAAGATATTGGGGATCAGTTGGACCACAGGTTAATTAACTTTTTTCTAATCAGATTTCAATACCAAATTGGTGTTTTTCCAGAAAACGTTATACATTCCTGGCGATTTCCTTGTCAAAGGCACAAATTTGATCATGTTTTACGAATTTGAAGGAGAAAGTGGAGCGTGTGGCACAGGCACTACTTGCAATGCTAAATTTTCAGATACCCCAATTTTCACATGGTAGACAGAGATCAATAAATTTATTATTAATGATAGATAATTCTGATTATGAGTGTGTGTGTACATTAGTTATCCGAATCACTTGAATTATCATCGCTTTCACTGTCCAAAGGATTTCTGTAGAGATGAAGAGAACTTCCACATTGTTTGGCAGCTTCGGCGACTGTTTGTTTTCCGACTGGAACATGATCGGCGGATGGGAGAAGTTCAACGGTGTCTTCTGGAAATTTTTTTAGTTCATAAAAAACATGAGAAGGGTCTTTGAATATGATGAATTATTTTCTGAAATTCAAAATAGAACATCTGGAGATAGTTCTATCAATCACTCAATCAATCAATTCAATGAATCAAGAATAGTTTTATAAATTTTTGAAAATTGAAAAAAAAACACGAAGAACATGCAGATGAAAAGTTCAATTCGACATATATTTTTTCTGATTTCAATTTGTTTCTGATTTCAAACTGAAAACACCCAACGCTCTACCTATTCAAAACCCACCCCAGATTTTCCAAAACTCACCGCGATCATTAAGCCTACTCGCACTTTTACTAAACCTTGCAATAGTACTTGGTGCTCGACTTCTTGGCTGTAAAAATGAATGAATTCCAGTCGGTGCCGAATTATCATTTGACATGCTGATTAATTGACGTTGAACTGATAATTCTCGAAGATGTTTTTGACTTTCACGAACACTTATGTATTCTTCCATTGTGTTTCTGTAAAAAAAGTCAAATTCAGAAACTTTTTTTAAAAAAATGAACCTTGAAGTTTTGTAGTCTCTCCAGTTTTGTCCCTCTCGAGTTCCGAAAAATATCATACTCAAAACTAGCAACAAAATCACACAAATTATACCAATCGCTGGGAATAGAATGACACTATTATAGAAATTATAACCATTATATCCATAGATTTCTTGAGGTGGGACTTCTGGCCCTTCTTCTTTGCTTGTTTTCTCATCTTTTGAATGAGACTCAATTTTGGGTGCAAATTGTTTGACTTGTTGCCCTTCAACATCATTCAAATTTATCTGGAAAATTTTGAAGATGACAATAGACATAAAAAATCCTTACCAATCGAATTTGACACCAATTAACTTTAAAATATCGAAAATGTTTGTTCATTTTCACTTTATTCGGTTCTCCGCAATTTCCTCTTCCCAATTCCATTTGATTCACCAATTCCAAACTCATCGGATATAGTTGACGCTGAGTTCCAATATGTACAGTAGTTCTGGAAAAAAATAATTTGGAAAAAAAAACAAGTGAAGAAAAATTACCCAATTTCATTTTTGAATAAATGTTCTTTGTCTTTTGGAATATTATTTTTTGGAGTAACATTCACGATAATTGGATTGATACCAGCTCCAGAAAACGTGCTCCGAATTGCAGTTTCCAGTTGGTCTAAAAATAATAATTGTGTGGAACTTTTTTTCAAAAAAAAAAATCAAATTTTGATCTATCTATTTTTAATTCTCAATAATTCTTTCGTCGTTCATTTTGATACCCCATAAAGAAGCTTATTTACTTATTTGTTTATCTCGATTCGATAAGAATGTTTCAACATCAAGATCATCTAATTGCAATTCCACCATATATTTTGGTTGAATATTGTATTTTGCTGAAAAAAATCCACTTCTTTCTCAATGATTCATTGAGATACTCACGATTATCAGCAATACTGATCATCAAAATTTTTTGTTGAATATCAAAATTATCAATTCGTTTTGCTATCACATGAATTGTTACTTGTGTGACGTTGGTAACCGGAGTTCCTAGAATAAACAAGTTTTGAAGCGTGCTTTATTTTTTTTTTACCAATAAGATAAGCAATTTCCGGGTGGCGAGACGGCAATAATCGTAACCATGATGGTAGCGCTGGTTTGTTATTCAATGTGGCCTCCCATTTCACTTTCGCTGGAAAGAAAAACGCGTCATATGATTTTATGATCTTGATAATTATATTTGCACAACAGAAAATCAAAAATTGAAAATAACCTGATGCTTTAAAGAAATATGCAGAATGAAGTTGATGAACAAAAAATTGACCCTTGGTAGCTTTCACTTGCTCCGGACCTTTGTTATCATAATAATAGTTAGCAAAAGTCAAATTAAAAAGTAGAAAAAGTAGCAAAATCATTGAATGGGAATGTTTTGTGGATGGATCAACAACACACGAAAACTCTTTATCTCTCTTCCTCTCAACATTTTTACACTCAACCACTTTGCTCTTTACAACCTCATCTCAACTTTGCTTCTATTTTATATTATTATATTTTGAAGATGAACAGGAACAGGAAAGATGAGAGTGGAACAATTTTGTGACAGATAATCAGAATTATTATTTACCACAAGGATGTGGATTGGAGAAGCGAATGGGTTAAAATGTTTTAAAAATAGTTGCGGTGGTCTTCCGGAAAAAATATCAGAAAATCGGAAAGGATTTTTTTATTACAACCATAAGTACTGAAATAAAATCAAGAAAAAATATACTATGGAATAAATTATAAAATCGAAAACTAAGATTAATCAAAAATTAAAATTAATTCATGATACATCTTTCGAGATCAAAAATTATAAAAATTTCAATTCATTTCTAAAAATAAACTGAAAACTTAGTTTGAAATTCATCTGAAACTGGAAATGATGTTTTTGAAATGGTATGTACATGCATACTTTGTAGTTTAGAAATTGTACGTATGCAATTTCTCACCCACTAAAAATTTTCTAGAACTAGTTTTCGACCCTATTCTCTTGCGAAACTCCAAGTATCTCACTCAAAATTTCAAAACTGATCATGTCATCTGTTGTTTTTTGCATTTCAATTATCCACAGCACAGATCAGCGAATTAAAACTGCAGAACTAAAAATAAAAATGTAAAATAACAATTTTTGAATATGATCAACGAAACAGTTTATTTTAAAACTTGTCAGAATTTTTTTTTTTGTTGAATAGCTTGATAATATTCTATTGATGGAGAATGCTATAAAAGATTGCTGGTAGAAACTATTTTCAAGAAAAATTACACACCTTCTGAATTTTTCTGCTACTTTTTAACACTTTTAAAAAAAAACTTTTCTGTAATTCTTTCCTGAAACTCATGATTTACCCTTTTTGTAGTAAAACCAGTGGGCCAGGTTGGCAAAAGGGAACTTTAAAAGGTCAAAAACACATGATTCATAGGCATAGATTATCTCGAAAACATGTTACACAAAAACAAAATCGTCATAAACCATATAAAAAACTTTCGGTCGCATAGAATACAAATCATTTTTTTTTATTATTTTATGTCAAAGTACAGCTCCTTCTAATTATCATCAAATTTTCGTTTACTGATTAAATTTTTCGTTATAAAAAGCAAACCCGGACTCGTTGATTTCAGTTGATAACTCAAAATGACGACCAAATTCGTTTTGCTCGTTTTGGCTCTTGTAGCCTCGGCTGCATGCTTGGAAAGGTAACTTTTTATTAAAAATATTTTTATTTAGCCATTCAATTTTTGTCACTTTAGAATCCACTTCCAAAGACGTACCTTCACCCGTGAAGAATACAATTTTGAAAAAATCGCCAAGCACTTGAGAGCTAAGCATGATCGCGCTTATGTTCCAACCAGTGAAGATGCATACAACGAGGGACTTTCTGATTATTCAAATGCTCAATATTACGGACCAATTCATATTGGAACACCATCCCAAAAATTCATTGTTCTTTTCGATACCGGATCTTCCAACTTGTGGGTTCCATGCTCAAATTGTCCACTTGGAAATATTGCTTGCCAAATGCACAATAAAGTGAGGAGATCTCTAGATTTTTCCGGTTTTTTATGAATCCTGTTTTTTTCAGTTCAACTGCAAGAAATCAACCACCTGTACCGCTACTGGAGCCACTTTCGAAATTGCTTACGGAACCGGATCAATGAAAGGAGTTGTTGATAACGATATTGTTTGCGTAAGTTTTTCTAGTTCTATAGGAACATTCGGATAGAAATCCAGATATTATTTTAGTTCGGAAATGATAACACTATGTGTACCGATAAGACCCAAGGATTGGCCTGCGCTGAATCTGAGCCAGGAATCACATTCGTTGGAGCTAAATTCGATGGTATCTTCGGAATGGGATGGGATAGAATTTCAGTCAACAACATTTCTCAACCAATGGATCAAATTTTCGCCAACTCAGCTCTCTGTCCAAATCAATTGTTCGCTTTCTGGTTGAACAGAGATGGTAATGATATGGCTAACGGTGGAGAAATCACACTTTGTGATACTGATCCAAACCATTACACTGGAGATATCGCTTGGGAACCATTGTTGTCTGAAGATTACTGGAGAATCAATTTGGGAGGAGTTAGCATTGATGGTGAATCGTACACTACTGGAAACACTGACTCGATTGTTGACACTGGTACCTCACTTCTTACTGGACCATCAAGCATTATTAAGAAGATTCAAAAGAAGATCGGAGCCACTCCATTGTTGAACGGAGAATACGAGATCGCTTGCAGCAAGATTCCAACTCTTCCAAACATCACTTTCTCACTCGGTGGAAAAGACTTTGTTCTTCGCGGACAAGATTACATTCTTCAACTTGCTAATGGAAATGGACAAACCACATGTCTCTCTGGATTCATGGGACTTGATATTCAAGCACCAGGACCATTATGGATTCTTGGAGACGTGTTCATTGGAAGATTCTACTCTGTTTTCGATCACGGAAATCGACGAGTTGGATTGGCCACATCGAAAAACAGCGCTTAATTTTATGATTTTCTTATCTTTGCCATTTGTGTATTCTAATAAAATAATTAAATTAATGAAAAAAATGTGATGTGTAAGATAATGGTTTTTTGTTCTGATCGGGAAAATTTTGGAAAAAATTATTGATAAGATTCAGATAATGTTGCTTTTTCGGGAAATAAAACAAGAAAAAAAGGTTCCAGAACTATATTAATATAAGGCCTAATATTAAGGCCTCAAAATCTAGAAAAATAAAAACGCTATGATTATGATTTTCAATTGAATTAGAGACCTAAAAATTCGATTTTCTTGAAAACTAGGCTTCAACTTAAGACCGCTAAAATCTAGCAGGCTTCTAGAAATATACCTAGTCTTGTATTCAAATTTAACCTTAATTTTTACCTCCAAAATCTATTTTTAAAAAATCATCTTTTGCGCTTTGCTTTTAAAATTGCAAAGTTATGCCAAATTGAATCAGTTTCTTCAAACAAATTTTCTCAACAAACAAACCCTCATTTTTTGTTCCCAAAATCCTTTCCAACTTTTAAACAATTCTTAAAACTAATAAACATTTTTCATCCTCCAGGCAAAAAAATGTTCCATAAACATTATGAATTGAGTTTAATTGACAAACAGATGTTTTAATTTAGCAAATTCTTGAAGACAAAAAAAGAGGGTTTTGCACATGTTCCGAAAAGACGAAATCGTAGTGGTCGAAATTTGAGATGTTCCTCCTTCACATTGAAATAAACACAATAAATAGATATTATTCGTCTTTGTTGTTGTTTTTGTTGTAAACTTGAGTGATCTTCTATTCTATTTGCTTTTTTTGGCGGGTGGTCATAAATCGGTTTTTCCGCGGCGATTTTTGTGAGAAGTTCATAGGTCAGACTTGGAATTTGGGTATTTTTTCCAAATTTTAATATTCATTTTTCCCAGATGTGAAGAATAAACGTTATATTCATAATAAACCACAGCTGACTTATCTCACCAATCAAAAAAAAATAATAATAACCACATTTTATAATGACACCAATTGTGAATATTTAATCGTCTCAGCAACAGATTCATAAAAACATACACATTGATGAGCAGGTGCATGACACATTTTACATTTCAACATTTTTTTCTTCCTCTCACTCTTCTTTTTTTGATTTTGTTTGTATGTTTGTTCGTTCGTTCCACATAAAAACAATTATTTGCTTGAAGAACACAAAATGTCCAAGCTAATTTTTAATTTACGATTCGATTCGATTCAAACAGTTTCAGAGAAATAAAAAAAAACTTGTTCGCTAATCAATGATTGAAAAAAAAGTTTTTTTCTCGTTACCAATTTTTTTTTGTTTCCAAATGAAGAAAGGGTGTTAATTAATCAACTTTGACGCATTTATCTCGATTCACCATCTGTATACCAAATAAAAAAGTGTGCGTTGATGCTTTTTTTAACTTGCTTGCTTGATTTATCATTTTGTTTTTTAATTGTTTTTGTTATCTAATTTGATTATTTAAAAAAATAATTCCCGAACTTTCGATTGTTTGTGCAAAAAGTTTTTGAAAATATATAATTTCACATGATCCAATATTTTGAAAAATGATATTGAACAAAAATATCGATTCTGCCTTTTTAATAAATCAAAATCAAAAAATAAAAAACTCAGTTCACCACAGCAAATTTCTGAAATTCAAACTTCTCTTAACTTTTTTTGGTAGATCAGAAAAATACATGAAAAACTCTGTTGAAATATTTGTTCATATTTTCCCAAACAATGTCCCAACAAAAAATGAAAAGAATATGAAATCTCATATGATCATTATTATTATTATGAATCATCATTGTTTATTTCGAAAAAAAATCGTATTTCCCACCAATGTTTCATTTCATTTCATTCTATTAATTTTCATCTTTTTGTCCTTAACAAACAAAAAAAAACCTGCCCATAAAGAAACCCTGCGGTTTTTTTTTGACAAAAATACGCCATATATAATATTTTTGATATGCAAAGGTGTTAATTTAATTGATTTTTCGGTTGATTTATTCTGCTGAATTTTCTTACCCGATCAGTTTCTAACTACATACCAATGGCCTTCTTCTTTTTTCTTATTATCTTTTTTTGGTGATATTAGTCAGCGGAAAATATAAAAAATGAAAAGAAGAAGAAGAAGAAGAGAAAAACGACTAGTACCAGAAATTGATATTATCTGTTTTCCAAATCACTTACAAGTAGATTACTTTTTTATTATTGATGATATATTTAGGTTATTGGAATATTCTTGTGGTTTTTGTGGTTTTTTATTGAAAACCCTATATCTTTTTCTGTTACAGTACCCCACACTTCTTGTTTCAAAAAACCTTTTTTTTTTGTTTCCCATGAAAAAACAAAGAAAGATTGTCCTTCCGTCTTGCACCCGCCCAAAACATTTCATTTCATTCCATTCTTTTTTATTTCGAAAAAAAATGAAAAAAAAAACATTTTTGAACATTAAAACAAAACAATTATCTATTGTTTCTCGAATTCTTTTTTTTTTGGTTTCGGATTTTTCACGTCATTTTGTGACTAGAGGGTTTTACAATCAGAAATAGAATCAACCTTAAAACCCAAGAGCAAATAAATTTTTAATAGAAGTAAAACAAATAATTATTTTTTGTTTAACAATTTTTAATTAATTTTATTTTTGAAAATTTTTTTGGTTTTGAAATTTAGGTGTTAAAAAAAATTTTGAAAACATTTTTCATTCCGGATTACTGTACCCTGTTTTTTGAAATTAGTTTATGAAATTCTATAATTTTAATTATTTTTTCTTCGGAAAATGAATTATTTTTTTTGCAATCATTGTTCTACAAATTCTCAAAATAATTTCAATTTACTTTTATATGTATACAAAAGTAATTTATATACACCATATTTCAACCCAAATTCAATTAAATCAAAACCTGAATTGAAATTGTTCAGTTTACTACTAATACGAAATAAAATCAAGTTTTCTCGAAACCATTTACAGCCCCTCTCCCTTCTTTTTCCAAACATTTCTTTCCAATTATTTTTATTTTTCCATCGATTCCAAAGACCTTTTCATTCACCCTCCTCAAAAGAAAAAAAATAATCTGCATAATAATAATATAATAATTTAGTACATTTATGTATATACTGTTATATACATATATTTCTGGCAGCTGTCGGCAAAATGTAAAAGGAATATTAGTTGTACACCCCAGTCCAGTCATTTTATGATTTCCTTTTCTCTATTTTTTCTAAAAATCTATATATACTATCCAACAGAAACATTTTATTATTATTATTTCATTTATTGACCATACAATATACACATTTTGTAGCTCAAGGACTTGCAAAAAATCCTTTTTCTTGTCTTTTCGGTTAAGATGACACAGAGTTTTATTTGTATTTGCTCAAAGACAAAACCTCCCATTTTTGATTCATTTTATATATGTTTATGTTCCTCCTAGTATATCATAATATCAGATTATGTGGTGAGCAAATAATTTGATTTTGATATCATGTCTGTTTTACATAATACTGTTCTAATTTTCGATAAGTAATGGGGCTCTTATTCCAATCACAGGGTTTTTCTGTTCCCTACTAGGATCCTCCAAATTTCAGATACTTCCAATCAGAATCCTGATCACGAAAAAAATACCTGAAATGTCTTCTATTCTTCAATTCACCCTACAATTTTCAAAAACAAAATAACACAATTTCCTTTTTTTGTTTCAAATTCCAAAAAAAAAGGAAAAGACAAAAGGAACAGAATTGTGTAAACATTTCATTTTTCTTTTTCGATTCCAAAACGAACTTGACAAAAACGCCCAAATTCTTTTATTTATATTTTATTTTTTGAGAAACTTTTTTTGGTCGCCCGAAACTTTTCCCCCAATTTGACAAGTTTTATGATGCGTTAACCAATTTCAGAACTGCGAAAATGTTTTTTTTTTCTCACTCACCAACAAAAATTTCACTCACTTACTACTATATTTGTCTTGACTCGCTTTTTTATCTGTTTCTCTTGGTATGCACTTTTCTTATCAGCTTGAGAAAACACAATTTTCTCGGCGATTCTTTTTCGGTGGGGAGAGAAATCTATGTTTTTTGTATATTTGAAACGTCATTAATTTTGACACCTTTCGAAATTTCGCTCTCGTTTTATTTGATGTTTGTTTGCTTGGAATTCGCGTGGTTTTTGCTAATTGAATTTTTGATTTTTCAGAAAAGCCAAAATGGAACCTCTTCTAGTCAGTGAAGTGCAATTGTATCAGGAGAAGATTATTGGAAAGGTGAGAGGGGGATTAGATTGATAATTTTGTAAGGAATTTTGTTGATTGTGATAGTTTGAAGAGAGGGATTTCGAAAAATAAAGAAAAATGCTAATTCTTGAGAATTAAAAAAAAAATATTTTGCACAAATGTAGAATTTGAACTTCTGAAAATTTTGAAATGAAAAAAAGTTGCTATTTCGAGTCTGGAATTCAACTAATATTGTTGTAGATATCCATTTCAAAAAACATTTTCAAACATTTATTCTGACTAAATTTAGTTTCAGTTTTATCTGAAAACTATTCCTAAAATTTATCATGATCCAGAAATTTTCTAGAAATGGAAGCTTTATGTCGCCGCATTTTTCGATGAAAATCAACTCGGAAAAGCGAGAATCGAACTTTATCAATCAGAAAGTAAGATGAAAATCCTCGATGTTTCTCGAATCATCATGCTCGAACACTGTATTTCACTCCGCCCGGCCAAAACTGAAAACGGAATTTCATTTGTGAAACTACAATTTCGAGATGAATCAAGTATTCAATTATCATGTGATGATTTGCCAAGATGTATCGATGCGTTAAGTGCAATCTGTTTTCCAAAAAAGGTAATACCTATCTAGCTCTGAAAAATAACAATAGTTTATCCTGTTCAGTATGTCACAATTGCCCCAAGCACTTCTCTCGATTCGCCAAGCGTTGAAGATGAATTTTTCGAATTTCGTAAGTCATTTGATTTATTTTCAAAAAATAATGGGAATTTTCAGCCGATTCATATCCGGTTTTGAAACTGAAAAGAAATCAAAACGGGCGAGAGATGAGCGAAGGTTTTTATACGTTGACATTTTCCGACAGTTTACATTTGAATGGAGAAAATGGCGAACAATGTATACCATATTCGACTATTGTTTGGTTAGTTAAAGGGAATTTCGAGAATTTTCGGGATGAATTGAGAAGTTTTGAATTCCATAATTGTAATTTTCAGGATTGCTACTGGTGAACATTGTGTTGGTTTTGAAGTGGAAAATCTTGGAGTATTCGAATTTGCTTCAGGAGATGGATTGCTCATAGTAGAGCATTTCAGAAGTTTCCTTCGTTTCACTTGCAATTTCTCTACCCCTGATATCAAGACTGTTTGTCGATTTAATCGATATTTCCATCCAAATCGTCAAGAAATCGGAACAATGTCTAACAACTCGACAATGGAATCTGTAGATTCTGGAGGTGTTTATTCAAAAATTGTCACCTCTGCCGACACATCAGTTTCAAGTTTGCAATTAAATGAATCGGAATTTGTGAACAATGTGGTGAAAAATGAATTGCGAAGAAATGCGTCAGCTGAAATGTTGCGCCATAAAATCTCATTCTTGCAAAAAAAGAAGAATGAATCAAGGACGGATTTTGAGGAGAATGCCGAGACCGATTTTGTGAGGTGAGTCAATATTTGGTGAGGTTTCAATTATGTCGAGGACATTGATAGAACTCCCAATGTTTTATGATCACAGTGTTTTGTAAGAGGGGAGATAAAAATTTTTTGCAAGGATTATTTGGGAAAGATACTCAATATTGAAGTTGGAAAACGCTTAATTTTAGGTTAAAATTTTTTTTTTTAATTTAAAAAAATATGAAAAAAGTTTCACAGCTTCCGAAAGCTTTATGTTTGGCTTCCAGAAAATCCCGTCAACTTTTTTCAATAATATTTTTCCAGACTTCAAATTCCCAAATCAATTCTCTCTGAACAAAACCGTTTCCCATCCAACAAAAATGTGTCTTTTGAAGAACCTGTAAGTTTTCTACGCCACATTTCAACCTTTCTCAACTCAAATTTCAATTTCTTTCAGAAATTAGTCCCACGACAAACCGATATTTAACTCCACGCCAAAAAAAACACTGTAGAAACAGCAACTGCATATTTTAACCTTCGAATTGTATAAACTTCAAAAGATTTGATGAATAGATAATGAAAACCTGTTGTTTTGATTTTATTTTATTTGAAATTCTGCTTCATTCATAAATGTCCTTCAAATAAATATTGCATTTTTTCTTCTTTTTTTTTTAATTTGTGAGTTCCCAAAAAATCAATTAAGAATGTGATGAGCTGAGATGAAAAGAGCAAAAAAGAGCATTAATAATGTGCATATACATAAGTGGGTAGGTAGAAAAAAGGGTGCAAGGTATTAAAAATGTCACCTGTCTAGGTCAATCGATCCGTATCAAACATTTATAGTGTAATTATTACTCTTCTTTTTTTTAATAAATGTAGTAGGTTAGTTATTATTTGATACCTTCTTTGGTTCCTTATTGTAGGTTTGTAAGAGATTTTTTTTTGAAATACAAAAGTAGCTTCTTCATATAATTATAAAATATCCATTTTGATTTTTCAAAAAATTTTAATATCAAGATAATTGTTTTTGTATGAAAATGTATTTTTAAGATTTCAAAAAAATGAGAAAATTGTAGTTTTAATCTATTTCTCAAAAAATTTTGAGCATATTACTAATAATATGCTCAAAATATCCTTTCTAGGAAAATAATGAGAGCTCCCAGATGGATCAAAATTATATGGGACCACATAAGTCCCGCCCCAAAAAAGGTCCCCACATAATCATTTTAGTTCTTCGCTTCTATTGAGTAGGTGAGTATTCTTCTTTTTATTAGAGCAATTGTCTGACGTGGAACCTTGTGTTACGATCCACCGAAAAATTTCTCAATAAAAAAATTTATCTATTTTTTGAATTCACAATGTTTTGAAATATTCAATTTTATTATTCCATTTTCATTTTGTTGACGACAAAAAAACAGACTTGGTTGGTGAATTGAAAAAAAAATTGTTCATAAATCTTTTTTTTCCAGCAAGCCGCTCTGAAATTTAATTTTCTCTCACCAGACCAAGCTTGTGATCTTCTTTTTTCAATTCAAAATTGTTTTGTTATGTACTAACCATAAAAAATCGATATTTTTGCTCCGCTTTATTTTCTCCGTCTCCATCCAAATCCACCTTTGACCCCTCCTTCTCTATGTCTAACTAAACAGGTCCGCTACCTGTTCCAAAAAAACTTACGATTAGCGATTCCTAAAGGCACAACACAAACAACTTGTTGACCGAAAAAAAGGCGGCGTCATCGAGTGTGTGTGTGTTTGTTTTTGTTTTTTCTTCATCTTCTCGCACATGATTGTTTTTATTCATTTTTGAATTTTTTTTGGGGTTAATTTCCATCGGGAGTAATAAAATTTAGGTTATCTTTGACTAGATTTTCTTTTTTGGTTTTGGAGCACCAGAATATAAGTTAGCTCAATTTTCATTAGGGATCATACCCTATGATAAAGATTTTTCAGACAAAACAAAAGTATGACCCCAATTTTTCAATATTTGCTAGTTAGATGAACTTTAAATTTCCAATCTGTTCATCCATTGTGTTAGAAAAACTTCAGTCAAATGATAAATCACATGAAAAACGTATTTTTCTCTTCTTTCATCTTATGACCTGACACTCGTCGAGAAAAAATCACACACAAAGACCAGTAGTTGTTCTAGTAGTCAAAGCAATAATCGATACCAGCTGCTCTCAACATTCTCCATCAGCTGTTCAATTTACTCTCAGTTCATTCAACGCAACACAGACACACACACAAAAAGTGCAGGGCCCCTGTGAGTATGTCTCAATAGAGCGCACTTGCTTGCATGCCAAGCTACTCGAGTCATGTGTTACACCTTTCTCTCTTTCTCTACCCCCAAAAATTATTTTTTGCCAATGTCCTTTCACTAATTATATATATTGGTTAGTATTACATTTTTGTCTTGACCATATTTTTTTTATCAATTTGAACTTGCTTATCGATTTTTGTTATTTTTTTCAAAATCTAAATTTTTTAAATTTTAGGTTTATGGTTGACTTCAATTTAACAAAACCGGTACACACAATATGGTGCCGGTTAATGCTGCAGCGATATCTTGGGAAATTTTTAGACAGAAACCTAGAACTTGAGCAATTATCGGTTGATTTGGTTGGTGGAAATGTGAGGATCGAAGATTTGTCGTTAAATGTGAATGCAATTAATGAGGTCTTCACAAATATCAATTTGCCTTTAAAATTGATAGATGGATATATTGGAATGATTACAATTGATGTTCCGTGGACATGTTTAATGGCAAAAGCGACAAAAATGAAAATCACAGATTTACAACTTACATTTGAACCGTCAGGAATCATGAAATTTGATGACAGGGATGCCAGTAAGTTTTTTTTTAAATTAATTTGAAAAATTTTCGATCTACAAACCTTTATATTTCCAGTCAATTCAATGGTTGGGAGCGTTGTGAATAGTCTTGTCTCATCCGGTGAATTGGCAAAAAGTGTCATAGAAGAAGCACAAAAAGAGCATGAAGATGTTGAAAGTTTGGATTCGTTCGCAAAAGTCATCGATGCTATTTATTCGCGGTTTTGTGTTGAATTCGAAAACACAACAATTCGGTTTGAACAACAATCGAAGACTGAAATGAGCACTGCGTTGGAAGTGAGATGTGAAACGTGAGTTTTAGGAGGAATGGGAATTTCAAAAGAATAAAACACATTCGGAAATGAAATTAAAAAAAAAATAAAAGAGACAGAAAAAATAGAAAAATTACAAAATGATTCATTTGACAAAAAAAATGAAATAAAACAGGAACGAAATTTCATAATATCATGGGATCTGTTTTGAAAGAGAGAGAGAGAGGAATTTAAGAAAATAGAGAAAAAAGAGTTTTGAAATTATATAATCCAGATTTTTTCAGTATCCGTTTCATGGACGAGCAAATGCGCGCCTGTCAACAAGATCAACAATCCGCCGAAAACATCACCAGCCAACCACACGGAATTGGTAACATCACAAATCTCAACAAATTTGTCACCATCGATGGATTATCATTCCACACTGATGTTTTCTCGAACATCTCAGATGTTGCAGCTGGAATCGAGGCAAATGTTCTTATTACGAGTATGCATATTAGACGGGAAAAAATGAAGCAGCAATCTCCAACTCGATCTCCACAACATTCTCTTCATCCGGATATGTATGCATCGGTTGCTAGTAATATGACTGCTTTTCATTCCTGTTATAACAGTTGTAAGTTTTTTTTCGGGAAAAAATATTCAAATACATATTACAAAAAAAACTTTTCAGTATCCCACGAGTCTGGAACATTTTCACCGGATCATTTGGAGCCAGTGAAACCTGTGCCAACCGAACCTGAACTCTTTTCCGATCCAATCAAGTTTGCCGAAATTGTTGGTCAAACAACAATTGTTTTCCGATTGAAAAACGCGGCTACAAATACGGTTTATGTAGATATTGATGAAAACAAAATCGAAACTGATGTATATATTAAAGGGATCAATGTTTTTGCGAGTCCCTCACAAATTGCGATTTTGAAACGATTTGTCTCATCTGTCGCACTACCGGCCACAAAAATCGGAGAAGGCACTCAAAAACGAATGGATCCCGAAGATTATGAGGCAATTGTTAAGAAGATTGAGGAGACTAATAGTGGACAAGCGAGAGGTGTTGGAAATGGTGTTGGTGGAATGAACGGTGGTGGATGGTCAAATGCCGATGATTTTAGAGAATTTGATAGTATCAATTTACACGAAATTAAAGGACGAAGAAGTTGTGAAAGCAAAGATTTCAACACATTGAGTAAGTGATTTTTCTTATCTTCAATTTATCTACAAAGTTTTCCATAAAATTAATCTAACATTTTTCAGAAAATACTACCACTGACAAAGAAGAAGTCAGAATCAAATCAACTGTTGGAACTTTGGTTATGATCATAACACATTGTGATTATTTATCAACTGATTATGTCAAAGAAAATGGTGGATATCACAATGCGATCTCAACACTTCAAAAAGAATCATCTTCATATTTCAAAAAATCGAAAGATTTGGTATTTTCTGCTCAAACAAGTTTGGAATCGATACGTTCTAGAGTTGATAAATTGTATAGTAAAGATCATTTGCAAATTATTGGATCGGCTTTGTCAGTTTCATATGTTGCGAAAAGAATTGCGAGTTCGGAATCGATGACAGCAAAGTTCTTATTGACAAACTGTGATGTTTTGGAATATTTGACAAAGGAAAGTGTGCCAAGTTCATCGCATCCAATTCGAGTTCCACTTTTGGATTATTCCAACATGGAAAATGAAGAAAATGATCCGAATCTCAAATTAGTTGTGTCCACATCTTCGGAAACAAAGGGAGAAATGAAAGTTGAGGTTTTTGTCAGTGCTTGTAAAACAGAATTGGATTTTTCAATGGTGGATCGAATTGCAAATCTTTTGGTAACACAACCATTCTTTGACGAGCAAGATATTGTGGAGAGATCGGGATCTAGAAAAGATATACCGCAATTGAAGGATGATTTATTCCCTACTGGTGTTCCTGAAGAAACTGATTCTACAACAAGTGTTTCGCTGATTTGTAAAAATTGGTTTGTTGATCTTCGAATACCAATTGCCGATCTTCGCGATCCATCGGGCTCTCGACTTCCATTTGCACAACGACATATTCATGATGAATATCTGAAAATATCGCTGAAAGATGTGGAACTTCGACTGAAACAAGTGAATTCGGGAGTCGATATTTCTTGCGCTGAAATTTGTGCTGATTTTTGTGGTAGCAAACTTGACATTGCTCCTGAGCAGCAACGGATTTTATATGGAACCAAGGATGGTTTCCAAAGAGTCAAGATTGAAGTGGAAATCGATCCCCGAACGAAGCGAATTCCAATTGTCACAAAAATCAATATTCCATACGATATGTCGAAATCATTCTCAAATCCAATGATGTTTGAACAACCAAGAAAAAGAAGGACCTTTCTCGAAAATTCCCAGATCTTATTGTGATAGTGGAGATCAAAATGTAAGTGATTTCAAAATTTTTTTTGGTTCAAAATAATATTTTTCCAGCTTTGTCAATCTGGAACTCGCGCTGAAATCTTAGAATTTCAAAACGAATGTCTTGAGTTCGCAGCAGTCAAACTGATATTCGATGTTCCCTTACTGAAGTTGCATTTCCCGGAGAAGAAGAATCTTGAGATTCTTTATAATCGATTGATCAATGATTTGGCATTGTTCCAACCAGCTCATCCAGCTCTGCGAGAAGGAGAAGGAAGTCTGAATATAAATGCAATTGATGCTTTTCATGAATGTTCAACACCCAAAAAAGGTAAGGGATTTTTCTTGGGATGCAAAAAAAAGCTCTCGCGAATTTATCGAACAAATCTTTTTTGCAGACAGTGATGGATCAGATTATGAATTAGAAGATGAGATTCCAATGCCACAACAAGTAAAAGTCACATCATCTCTAGACGCCGAAGACTTCGATAGAACAATTCCTCATACTTTTGTTTTTTCATTGAACATTAAAAAAGGCAAAGTTCTTTGCAATACTGAAGTCAAGGAGAACAATATCAAAAAGTGTGATGGACAAGTTGCAATGGAACTTGACGGTGTTCACCTTGGAACAACAGTTGGTTATCACGGTGATGTGAATCACACGTTTTTCCATATCACTTCGTCGAAAACATCTATCGGAAGTTCAGGTAAGTTCAAAAATTTAAAATTTTTGAATCAAAGATAATTTCTAGCTGATCCAAATGTGGTTTTCCAAAAGAAGATTGAATCAAAAGAGTTTGGAAAATGGGGAAAAACCGAAGGCCAATTCAAATATGTTGCAAAAGATGATGAATTGAGCACTGGAACTGATGATGATTCATTGGCTGTTGGACTTCATATGCATTTCCGACCAGAAGATAATATAAAAGATGTTCTTCTTTGTATAGCTCTTCGAAATTCGGAACTGCAAGCAAGACCTGTTGCAGATCTTGGATTATTCTGGGCTACCCAGATTGCGGAACTATTCACACTTCAGGATTACGCGATTCCGGGGTATGAGTTACCGCAAGTGACGACTGATTTACATATCACTTTGGAGAATATGATTGGCAATTATGATCATTCTTGGATCAATCCAAAAAGCAATATTAAATTACGGGCGCTGTTTGGAGCATGCAATTTGAGCAGCTCGTTGCTCACTGATTTGAACATCTCGAAAACACTTTGTATCATTGAGAAAACGTGTATTTATATGAGTAATGATGAACTTGGCAGTGTTGTCACTTTTGAGAGCAATAATTCGAACAAGAAGTCGCTCATTCCGATTTTAGATATTGGATTAGTTCAATTTGATGTAAGTTTTTATTAAAACTCGATTTTGATTCTGATTCAACAGTTTTTTTGCAGATTTTGTTGGCTGTTACACCTGACAACATAACTCCGGCATTTGAAATCAAGTGCAAAAATGATATAATTCAGTTATGGTCATGCTCCGATTCTCTTTCAACCCTTGTAAATGTGATTGTTGAAATCACGCAATCTGAAAAACTGAAATCAAAAGCTGACGAGAAAGAAGAAGAGCAAAATGATGATTCAAAAAGTGTTGCGTGCGAATCAACGTGGAGCGCAACATCATCAAGACATACACAAAAAATGAGCGTCAATTCGAGTTTACCAGCAGACATCGAGCTACGGATACAGCAAGCCATTGAGGATGCGACACGGGAAGAAGATCAAATCGGAATACCTGTTGGCCAGGATGCTCTTGCCGATTTTCGAACTTGTCCGCCTGCTGAAAAATCGGATGATACTCCAAATAATTCGTGGAATAACACACAATTTAGCAATGATGATGAGTTTTGTATGGTTGATGAGGATATTTTAGGATCCGGAATTACTGTAAGTCTATTTTGAATGGTTCAAAAAAAGTTATCATTATTTAATTTTCAGTATGCTGCTGGCGAAGCTCGAGTTCGCTTCTGTGGAAAAGGCGGTGAAAGTGATGAAAACCAGATCGTTCTCGAATCTGATCATTTTTCACAACCCGATGAATGGAGAGCTGATGGAATTCCACAAATCAAGAAGAGTCAACTCAAACCTCTCATAAGATATCTCTTCAAAGATTTGACTATCAAAATTCACCTATTTGCTGGAAATGATTTATCATTATATGCAAGTCCCGCCAAAACCTATAGCACCGATGAATATCGGCACGGAAAAAGGAAAAGAGCAAACGATTGCGAAAAATGCTCACGGCGGACCACATCGTGATCATTCCGCATCGATTTCACTTGAATTTAACAAAATCACATTTATGCGTCAAATATTCGACAAATCGGCTAAACAATTAACTAGTACATTATTCTCAATCGGTGATGTTGTGATAAAAGATCGGGTAGTCGCCAGTAATATCAAAGATATGTTATATCAATATTCATGTTCTGATCAACCACGTCGTACAAATGCGCCATTGATTAGTATTCGTATTTCGGAAACACAAAGTCGCGAGGGTAAAATGCGCATTTCAATGCTACCAATCAAGATCAATGTGGATCAAGATACTTTGGAATTTATGACCGATTTCTTTGAAGACACATTCAAAGCATTGAAACTTCCAGAAGGTAAGTGAAACAAATGATTTGATGTGTACAATAAGTTATAATTTCAGTAAATACTAATTCGCTTGCTTATAACCGGCCAACAATCGAAGTTCCGGTTGATATTTGTTCAATGCCATCAAAATCGTCAAGCGGCTCATTGAATCAGGCCTCCTCAAAATTATATCCAAATCTCCAACGTCCCTCATTAAATATGGAACCATTGACACCGTCGCCAGTCACGCCATCACCGTTGGGTGATCTATCGTATTTTGAAACTTGTCAACAACAAGAATCGCCAGTAAAACGTCCAATTATTGATGCGCCTTTAACCGCTTCCGCTGTTTCAATTGGTAATCTTTTGTTCATTTTTCATTTCATTCTAATTCTCTCTAAAAAAATTATCTTATGATCATATATATTTTTTTAGGAAACATGTTCTCTTCTCCAAGGCAATCTAGATTATCGAATGAGGAAGATCTCGCAAATATCAGTTTTGAATTGAATGATTCAGATGATATGACTGGAGATTGGCACGATGAATGTAATAGCCAGTAAGTTTTTTTTCTGGTCGTTCTTTTTTCATTAAAAAAACTTTTGTTTTTCCAGTTTCCAATATCCAACAACTGCTGATGATATTTTGAGTAAATCTACGATGATGGGATCAATTCATCCAGCAATGGTTGATAATCTTGTTGATACAAGTGATGATAACGAAGATCACGGCAACTTTTTGGATGGTCTTGATGACGATGAAAATGTGGAGGAGAAAGATTCAGAGACTTCAACAATTCGAAGATCAAACAGTCAAACAAGTGTTCGTCAAGACGAATATTGTGATCGTGACACGTTTTTCAAAGAATTCATATTCTCACCATCGGTCAACATTTATGTTGATTATCAAGGAAAACGAAAGATTAGCACAGAGAAGGGTGGAGCGTTGGTTGGATTGTTGATGGCGTTTGGGCAATTGAATCAAATGCCAATTGTTTTGCGCGAAATTGAAAATCGAAATGGAATGCTAGGAATTGGACGATGCTTTAATGTAAGTTACTCACTCATTTACGATCAGAGACAAATTATATTAATCATAATATTTTGAATATTTCAGTACGCTGTCAATGAATGGTCTGGCGATATGTTAACCAATATGCCGAGTGTTCTCGCCAGTTGTGGACCAATCAGTCCACTTGTTCAAATTGGTAAAGGATTCTGGGATTTGTTCTGGATGCCGGTTGAAGAAATGCGAAAAGATGATGGTCGAGTTGTGAAGGGAATTCAAAAAGGTGTTGGATCGTTTGGTGTTTCATCGGCTGCCGGAATTGTTGGAATGGCACAAACTGTCACTGGATTTGTGCAAAGTTTTGCGGAACTGACGATGAGAGAAATGCGGCCATATGATATGCATTTGAAGAAACGACCGAGGAAGTCGAGTCGAACACAAAGTTCAAATCCGACTGATGTTCGACACGGTCTTCAATTGGCTTATACAACACTAGTTGACGTAAGTTTTTTTTAAATTCCACTTTTAAAATATTCAAAAATCGTTTTTTTTTTCAGGGTTATCGTCAAACACGTGATGATCTCGAATTGGCAGCTCAAGAAGATCGAGCATCTGGAAATTCGGTAGTTCGAAGTGCTTGTCGATATGCAGTTCCAGCATTTTTAAGCCCAATCGTTATGGCAAGTCAAGTGACTTATCAATTGCTTGGCGGACTTCGTAACCAACTTCGGCCCGATGTTTATCGAGATGAACGGCGAAAATGGGGAGAAGATAATGTCCCAGGAGGAATTGGACGCGATTGATTGAAAATTCTAACAAAATTCTAACAAAAAATCAGGAAAAATTAAAATAATTCGAAAAAAAAATCCCCCGCTTGTTAATTACCTATTACATATTATTATTGTACATTTTTATTGTTTTACGTTTTCAAATGTTTTTGTAAAAATGTATGTATTCATCGCCTGCATCCATTTTTCTTTCACACCCCCCCGTTCTAGTTACAGGTTGTAGCTTTTATATTTTTGTTCATTTATAATTCAGAGGGTCGTGTCAACGAACTGTGAAAGGTTTTCCTTTTTTATCGGCACATTTTATTTCACTTCTTTTGCTTTTTTTTTGTTTTTTTTTTGTCAAAAAGTTTTATATATCTGTATTATAAAAATGTTTCATCTGATTTTTTGTGTTGAAAAATAGAATTCAGAAATTGTCAGAAAATTCGGAAGCATTCAAAAAACAAAATCTATTACGCAATTTACAGCTTAAAATAAAAGCTGTCAAGATTTCTGCATGGCCACAAAAATAACCAAAAAAGAAAGTTCGCAACTTCCAACGACGTTTTGCAGTTGACAATTTTTCAAAAGGATTCCTTGTAGAATGTTCTCTGAAACTCATTTATTTCAAATTTGAAATCAGCCCGAGTTTTTTCAAAAAAATCGTCCCGAGTTTTTTCAAAAAAAAATCGGCCCGAGTTTTTTCAAAAAAAAATCGGCCCGAGTTTTTTCAAAAAAATCGTCCCGAGTTTTTTCAAAAAAAAAAATCGTCCCGAATTTTTTCAAAAAAAAAAAATCGGCCCGAGTTTTTTCCAAAAAATCGGCCCGAGTTTTTTCCAAAAAATCGGCCCGAGTTTTTTCAAAAAAAATCGGCCCGAGTTTTTTCAAAAAAATCGGCCCGAGTTTTTTCAAAAAAATCGTCCCGAGTTTTTCAAAAAAAAAATCGGCCCGAGTTTTTTCAAAAAAAAAAATCGGCCCGAGTTTTTTCAAAAAAAAAATCGGCCCGAGTTTTTTCAAAAAAATCGTCCCGAGTTTTTTCAAAAAAAAAAATCGTCCCGAGCTTTTTCAAAAAAATCGTCCCGAGTTTTTTCAAAAAAAAAATCGGCCCGAGTTTTTTCCAAAAAATCGGCCCGAGTTTTTTCCAAAAAATCGGCCCGAGTTTTTTCAAAAAAATCGGCCCGAGTTTTTTCAAAAAAAATCGTCCCGAGTTTTTTCAAAAAAATCGTCCTGAGTTTTTTCAAAAAAAAAATCGGCCCGAGTTTTTTCCAAAAAATCGGCCCGAGTTTTTTCAAAAAAATCGGCCCGAGTTTTTTCAAAAAAAAAAATAGTCCCGAGTTTTTTCAAAAAAAAATAGTCCCGAGTTTTTTTTTCAAAAAAAAATCGACCCGAGTTTTTTCAAAAAAAAAATCGTCCCGAGTTTTTTCAAAAAAAAAATCGGCCCGAGTTTTTTCAAAACAAAAAGTCGGCCCGAGTTTTTTTCATCGAAAAATGACTCGTGGCTAAATTAGGAATGCTTCCTAATTTTGCTCGGGCCGATTTTTTTTTTGAAAAAACTCGGGACGATTTCGCATATGTTCTATATTTTTATAATACTTCCATATTTTTATTTTACGAGCACAAAATATTATCACCAATATTTAGCCATGTGTTTTTCCCTTCCAAAAAAAACCCCTGACAGTTTTTCTAGCTAATAACCCCTTTGTTTTTCTCGCACTCTCTCTTATCTCCACACTATTTGTTATTTATGTTGTCTCGATAAATTGCATGTACCTTTATCATTCAAAAACGCGGCAAGCCACACTGTAGTCTACTCGTCGATCAATGTAGCGTTCTCCTTTTTATTCGCATCGTCTTCTTATTTTTATCTATTAGTTTGGCTTGTTTGTGCCTTTTTAGTTGCGTATTTTTTGTTTTACTTTTGTACATTATTTTTCAGAACATGTCGCTTCGTTTTGATGGAAAAGTTGCTATTGTAACTGGTGCCGGTGGTGGTCTTGGAAAAACATATGCTTTAGAATTGGCTAAACGTGGGGCTAAAGTTGTCGGTAAGAAATTTAAATTCTCCAAAAATTTATCAATGTTTTTGCAGTTAATGACTTGGGTGGTGATCGACATGGAACTTCTTCATCAACATCGATGGCTGACAAAGTTGTTCAAGAGATCAAATCTGCTGGCGGACAAGCTGTCGCCAATTATGATAGCGTTGAATTCGGTGACAAAATTGTGAAAACCGCAATCGACAATTTCGGAAGAATCGATATTGTTATTAACAATGCCGGAATTTTGAGAGATGTATCATTTGTCAAAATGACCGATCTAGATTGGGATCTCATTTTCAAAGTTCATGTTAAAGGAGCTTATTCAGTCACCAAGGCTGCTTGGCCATATATGAGAGATCAAAAATACGGACGTATTGTTGTCACTTCTTCAAATGCTGGTGTTCACGGTAATTTTGGACAAACCAATTATGCGGCGGCTAAAAGTGCTTTGATTGGTTTTGCTAATGCACTTGCTCAAGAAGGAGCCAAATATAATATTTTGGCCAACACACTTGTTCCAACTGCAGGATCAAGACTTACTGAAACTGTTATGCCACAGGTTTATTTAATAATTTTGATTTACTGATTTGAAGTTGAATTTTTCAGAATCTTGTTGACGCTCTCAAGCCAGACTACGTTACCCCACTTGTCACATACCTTGTCCACGAATCATTCCCAGAATCTGGAAAAGTTTTCGAAGCCGGAGCTGGATGGTATGGAACTCTTCAATACTACAAATCAAAGGGAAAGGTCATCCCAAATGCCACCGCTGATGATATCGCAAAGAACTGGAATGTTCTTACTGACATGAATGGCGCCGAATACATTGGAACTATGCAAGAACAAACTGGACGACTTTTGGCGGTTTTGGAAGAAACACCAGTCACAACAACAACAACTTCAACTGGAGGATCAACATTCCCAACCAATGTGAAGAGTAGTGTTTTGTTCCAAGAAATTGCTGATGGAATTAAGGAGGATCCAGCTGCAGTCAAGGCTATCAAATCGATTATTTTGTACAGTATTACTGATGGAAAAACTGAACTAGCCAAATTCAGTGAGTTACTGGAATTTTCAAATCAAACCTGGTCATGAAAATTTAGTTTACAGTAAATCAAAAATATGGAATTCCAGCATGAAAATATTAAAAAAATCTCATTATTTTTTCAGCTCTCGACTTCAAATCTGCCACACCATCAGTCTACCTTGGCGATGTGAAAAACAGCGAAAAAGCCAACGCAACAGTCACTGTCGCTGATAATGATTTTGTTGATATTGCCTCCGGCAAAATCAATGCTCAAAAAGCATTCATGGGTGGAAAACTAAAAGTGAAAGGAAACGTAATGCTCTTACAAAAATTGCAATCAGTTCTCGAAAAGAAGAAGAAGGCCAAATTGTAAATTCGCACACACACAAAATTTTATTATTACATCAATCATTTTTGTCGTTTTTTGTTTGTTGTATAAAGCCAGTAAATTTGCTTTTTGCATATTTTTTTTTATTGATATTTCGATTTCCCAGTGTGCAAACCACTGACAAGTTGTTGGGTCAATGCATCAATATCATCACCTCCTCTGCAAAAAAATACGTTTTTTTTTTGGGAAATACCATTAATGATACATACCTTGAATACGATGTTTTTGTTCGAATTTCTTGAACTCGTTGTTGATAATGTGGGTCACGATGATTGACGGGTTCTACATGTGTATTGGCTTCGCGCTGCGAATGGGTCAAATTGTCGTCTCGAAGTTGGCGAACAAAACGATTTGGTGATTGAACTGGGTGATTGGTTTTGTATGGAGCATGGGGAGCATATTGTTCTCTGAAATTTGCAAGATTTTTCAGGGAGATCTGGAAGACGTTGGAAAAAATTTAGGTGTTCAAATCAGAGAGAGCTAAAACTGCCATTCAAAAAATTCCCAATTGAATCATTTTTCAAAACCCCTTATTCTTTAAATTTTTTAAAAATTGAATCAAAATAATTGAAAACTTTCTGATATTTAACTGATGAACAAAAATTCTTGAAAAATACAACCGAAACAAATGTTTGAATCAGAAACCTCTTCTCAAAGTTCATCATCAAGAATTTTCAGCTCAAAAAACTTTCCATTCCCCCACTATTCCTTACTCTGTAGTTTCTTCCGTTCTCTTATAATAACTTTGTTTTTGAACAGTGGTCGTGGCTGGTGTATTATTAATACTATCATCAATGGTGGCAACTGGTGTCATTGTTGCAAATTGATGAATCAATTCACGTGGATTAGTAATCAAATATCCGGTTTTGGTGTCAAGTCGATAAGCTGGATCGGAAAATACCGAAGATGCAACTGGAAAGATTTATGATTTTTTTGGAAAATGTTTCTTGAAGCTAGAAAGCTATAAAGCTATGTTAGTAGGCATATGTAATCTACTCAAAAATGTCAATTTATTCTAAATTTGACTATTCACACAATAATTACCACTGTTTCTTCCATCTCTTGGACCAAGATTTGATTGTGATCCACCGAATGGATTTCCACCATCACCGTGATTCCCTAAACCACTGTAAGGACGACCTGCATTATTGTTATTGTTGTTAACATGCGCTGGGAAAGGATCTGTAAACGGACAATGGGGGAAAATACACGCTAGAAAATTATTATTTGGAATGGATTGACTGGATTTGGGGAAAGTTTGGAAAATGTCACAAGAAAGTTGCGAAGAAAAAAATGCGTATTCTTGGTTTACCTGGCTTTGGAGGAGCTTGATAATTATTTCCAAAATCATTCTTTTTTGGGAATGGTGGTTCTGGGCTCAAAGCACCGCCACCAGCGCGAGAATTTCTACCGGAACCTGGTCCGTATTCACTACCAAATCCTGCTTCACTTGGTGGAACGGCTGAAAATGAAAGAGGATTTCTGGAATAATCTCAAGAAACACTCACATCCTCCGGTACTCCAGTTCTTCTCAATTATATTTAAACCATCGTGTCCTTTGGCTCCACGTTCGATATGTTGAAGTTGAGTGACAGTGACGCGAGGAGACAAATCCATTGGGCGACTGGAAAAGTTTGGGATGAGCAATGTTTTTATGAAGGCTAATAAGATAATGAACCTTTTTGAAAAAAAATCCTTATCTTTTTAATCTCACCGTTTCAATTCATAACCATCAGCAGCAACAGTTCCATCACCAATTGGTGAATAAAACATTGTTCTCGGTTTAATAGCCTTCGGCAAACTCTTCTCATTGGTAATAATTTCACCTCCATTCCAATTAAAACCAGATAACTCTACTCCACTTCCCGGTCGATCTCCAAATCCACTAAAACGACTCTCTTCTCGCTCAACACTGTTTCTGGCTTGACTGTTTGCAGCATGACGAGCAGTTTCGAAACGATTGTAGTCGTCCTGCAACCAAAAATTATTGATTTTTTTTTTCAGATATTTCGATTTTTTCTCGTGATTTTGATTTTTATTTAGTCCAATATTACACAATAAAAACACGGAAAAAAAGAAGAAGATATACACCTACGCGGGAAAGAGAGAGAAAAGCTTTTTTTTTTGAATTTATGAGTTTGAAGTTCGAAAAAATCTGTTTTTCAGATGTTGAGAAGAGTTTGAAAAAACTAATTGATTGGACCAAAAGTGAAAAAAATAAAATAAGTTTTAGAAAAAATATAAATGATCATAACACATTTCATAAAATTTAAAGTTTCAGAAATATTTTAAGAATTGTTTGATCTATATTAATTTTATATTGAAAAAGTTTATATTGAGTTTTGGAAAGTTATAATAACTTGGTTCATTTGGAAAATTAATCATAGGCTAAATGAATCTCGAAATGTTTTTATTTTTTAAGTTGATCACTTGGTCCTACTGTAGATGTACGCTTAAGCTAGGACTCAAATCTCTACAAAATGAGGTCTATGGAAATTATTACTAAAATTTATGGCTGAAAAAAAGTCAATTTTTTTTTCAAAAATCAAAAATGGATCATTCTCTTTCTTAAAAACTCGAGTCAAATAATTTTGATTGCAGATAAACTATTAATATTTGAAAACAAGACTTTAGTTACAAATTTCCGCTTCACTTCAGAAAAATTTCGAAAATTAGAGTTTAAAAATATGATTTATATAACCTTCAGTGTTACACTTATAAAATATTTAAGCTTTCCGAAAAGTTCAAAATTCATGTTCACCATCTAATTTTCCGAATCATAAATTTTGCAAAAAACGAAAAAAAAACTCACCCGATGTTTTCCTAATGAAGCATACGATGGGCTGCCGGTTCTTTCACGAAATTGGCTCAAATTCGCGGCGCTGCCGTATTGCGACATGGTCTAAAATAGGAAAGTTTGTACATATTTCAAAAATAAAAATAAAAAAATTTCACAAAATGAAAAATATCTTGGGAGGTGGGATAGAGATATGAAAATAAGCAGAAGAAGAAGAATAAGAAGAGATAGATCTTTGGAGAGCATAACATATGGTAGTCGTTGTTGTGCTCTCCCACTCACAGCCAACCAACCAGCCAGCCGAGCAGTCTTCGTGCTCGAAAACAGATAAAAAAATTTTGATAGGGGAGAAGATGGGACAAACGAAAAACGAGGGTGATAGCTTGGAAACATTTTTTCTTGGATTTTTGCCAGTTGTCAGAGATCATTGTTAGGTAAACAATCCATGTTTGGTTAAAAATGTGAACAATGAGAAAAGAGAAAACTGGTAAATGTGAAAGGTTTGAAAATAGAAATTGTCTAAAAATAAAAAGAAAAATCCAATCAAAATCACGGATGAATCATGGAAGTGGGCGTTTCTAATATTGTTGACAAATACAGTTCATAAAAAATTTCTAGAAAATTGAAAAACACGAAAAGGAAAAAAATATCAGTCAGATTTTTTTATTTTTCAATTTCTAATTAAAAATAAAAATAATTTCTGAGTTTATGATGAATTAGAACTTCGATAATTATTTGAAAACCAAATTTTTTTTTCCTAATCAATTCTCATAAATATTTTGCAAATTGGTTTGCAGCTGGTCTAAAATTCTGATAAATCTAACAGGGGAACACATCCCTCATGTTTTTTTACCAAATATATGTACTCTGTTAGACAGCCAGAGAATTTTGGAGACTTCTAATGATATTGAATCAGCGTAAAAAAATAACCCAACGAAACTTATTTTAAAAATAAACTAGAGGGAAAGCTTTGAAAAAACTAATTAGGGAAAGAAAATCAATAATTAATTCATAAATTAATCAAAAAGTATTCTCAACTACAAATTTCTCAACCAATGAATCTCTCAAAAAAACCCATTTGTTTCTGCCAAAAGCAATTCCAACAAATCTTGTGAAACATAAAAAAACCTGTAAAACTTTGGAGCGGCAAAAACGAAAACACATTTTTCTGTGAAGCACGAGAAAATCTCGAATGATCTTTTCCGAGTGTAATATTCGCCCTCTCTCCCTGATTCTCTCTTCATTATTACACACACACACTCTGTTTTGCATAAAACAACAACAACAACAACAAAAGTTTATCCAAAAAAAAAGTTGTTTTTTTTCTGCTGAAGATGATAATAATCTACATAATAATGAGGGAAAATTACAATTAATAACTGGTTGTATATGTGGTTGTGTGAATAGTTGAAGCGGGTCTTTGATATTGGCGCGATAAGTTTTGATGAAGTCCGGGTGATAGAGATCGTGCACGCTCTTGATCCAACCAACTGACACCTTTTCTATAAACACATTTCTCATCTTTTTCATCTTTTCATTTTAATTTCAAAAATAATCTCACCGTTTCAAACTGCTATAAGGACTTGTTGGTGGTAAAGTGGAGTGTTGTTTGATACCCCCTTTCAAAGTTCCATAATTGCTCATATTACTTTGTGCTCTTGGAAGACTTGAATATGCTCCACCAAGTGAGCTACCAACTCTTGATCCTGGTTGACTGATTAATCCTGAACTTCCGATTGACACTTGGCCTTGTTTGATGAGATCTTCGATGAATGTGTTGTCAGATAAATATTCGAGTCCAGGAAATTCTTCTGTATAATTATGATTATCGATATTTGGATAACGTGGCAAATCATTTCGATTGATTGGAGGGTTTTCTGGGATGTTTTCTTGACGTTTAGTAGCAAGTCTGTCCAAGGAATTGTATTTTTCAAAGGGGCTTGGACCTCTTGACAAACTTCTACGCATATCTTCATAATGATGACTTGGTGTGTGACGGACTGGTGGTTGGACTGGAAATTGAGAGAGTTTGGCAAGAAAATATTTTAGGTAAAAGTAAAATAATCATGAACTAAAGTATAGTTCTATGTTAGTATCGAAATATAAAAAATTCTCTGAATCTTGAATTATTCAAAAAATCTTTCGCCAAAAAATCAAAAATTAATTTTTGCTCCAGAAATGTTATTAGAACTCACTTATTTCCCGATCTTTCCATTGCAATATATGTGAATTTGCGTCAATAAATCGTTGAAGTACCTTATCTTGTGTGTTCGATAATTCATGACGATTCACAAGTTCGACACCATTTATCGCAATTTGCACATTGTTCTGAAAAATTGCAAACTAAAAGCCTAAGCTAGCATTCGAAATTCTTACATCGTGATATGAAGATGGCATATAACTTGAATACGACATTTGTCTTGCTGAAAATATTCGCAAAAGATCGATTAAAATGAAAACGACCGAAATTGAGTTTTGTTGTGTAAAGTGAGGCGTTTTTTTGTTGCCGTGCTTTTTTGTGTGGGAGGAGGAGGTAACAACATCTGTGAGTTAGAAAAGAAAGCATCATGAAATGACAATGACAACTTTATATCTTCTTTTTTTTCGTTTTGAGATGAAAGTGCCAAAGGTTATGTTTTTTGGTGATTGGAATGGAAAACAAATGGGATTTTTACCCTGATAGATTTATTTTTTCTTCAATTTTCAAAAAATTATATTTATAGTTTATATACATCAACAAGATTGTGAATTAAAAATTATGACGATCCTGATTGTTGTCGAATAAACGCGTACAACAAATCCATAAGAAGTCGTTGATGATCCAAATTAGCGAACCATGTGGTGAAATCGTTGAAAGTTGTGGCACCCACAAGATTTCGGATTTCAGCTGCGAGTTTCTCTTGCTCATCACTTCTCATGCCTTGCACAATATTCATCAAGCTCTGAAAAATAGGATTTTTAATTTTTCTTCGTTTATGAATTTTTGCGAGGTTCTCACTACTAAACATATTCCAAAAAATCTGGAATTAGAATGAGCAATCATGGAAAAATATCAGTGAACTGTGATACTTTTGATCTTTATTTGATTATTGGTACTTGGTAAAAAATCAGAATTTAAAAAATTGTTCTCTGCTTGAAAAATATTTCAATTATCAATAATACATCTATGAACTTGAATTTCATAATAATTATAAAAATGTGTTTTTTTATAAAGTCTAATTTTCCCAAAACACTCACCCCATAATCCTCTGAATTTCTATAGCCAATAACTGCTCCAAAAATTGTGCCAATCAATGCTCCAAATGGTCCAGCAGTCAATCCACCAATTCCTGCCCCAGCTGCCGCATATCCAGTTTGATAACCGATTCCACGAAGAGTATTTCCGAGTTGCTAAAACATTTTCTATTTTTTTCAACAAAAATTCAAAAAAAAAACTTACGTGATTTTTTTGAGCATACGACAATACTTGAAACAAATAGTTCTGTGACATTCTATGAAAAATATTTTTTTTATTAATTTTATTTTATTTCAAAAATCAAAACACGAAGAAAAAGAGAGGAATAGTTTTCGAAAAGAAAATAGTAAACGTAGCATAGTGAGAGAGTTAGTGTATATGAGAGGGAGTAGAGAAAATGAGAAAAAAATGAAAAGTGTTGCGAAATATAAGTAATTTCTCAGATTTTTGGAGATGTTCGTTGTAGAGTTCGAATCATTTGATGGATTATTGGAGTTTGACCATTTCTGAGGTTTTTGTTGAAAAATATGAAGTGGAAATGTTCGGCACAAGCAAACATGATACCAACTCCACTTCCAAGGGCTAAAAGAAGAAAAAGTCCATAAACATTTTCAGCGCCTAGAGCAGTTTGAACTTCTTCAGATTCTGTGGATGCACATTCTCTGGAAACCATTTGTGAAATATGAAAAATGAAAGTTATCAACTCACTGTTGCGATCTTTTCCACCATTGATTTTTCAACATTAGAATGATCCCCTTCTCATTCAAATCCAAAATCTGCCTCGTCAATTTTTCACGCCATTTTGAACCCTTCGGTAGTGCAATGCTGTATCCATTGGATCCCAAGACAACATTTCCAACTCGAGTTAGATTACAATTCTGGGTCACTTGATAATCCAAAGTGGCAGATTCCATCAGAAATACATATCTATCGTAAAAGAACAAATCGGTTTTTTTATTAGAAGATCAGAACTAACTTCTCATTCAAAACTTTGTCGACTCCTTCCTTGTTGGATTTTACAAATACTGATGGGTCACTGGTCTGCATTCTTTCCCATATTCTTCTAAAAGTCTCGATTCTTGAAAATTTAAAAAATTGCATCGTTGATCCACCCAAAATTGCACCAAAATTGTATTCGGTTTGATTGCCGAGCTCTTCAAAACTCTGCAATTTTTTTTAAACTAAAAAATTCTTCTCAAAATCAAACTCTCACATTGAAAGGCATTGATTTCCGATCAACTGTGAGAAGTGCAGCAAAATTAGCAGTGTACTGCGCAAAAAGCACCAGAGTGAAAAACCACCAAACCGCCGAGATTAGACGATTCGCTCCAGATTGACAATTGTATCCACTTCCAGCTCGAAGTAAAATGCAAACCAAATACCATACAGAATTTTGTACGCTGAACTCCATTGTCGATTCTTTGGGTGACAAAAACGCGGCGACTGTTACCAAAATTGCAGTTAACACTGTAGCAAACGCAGAAAATGTCCAAACACTGAAAATTTTAATACAATTTCAAAATTTTAATTCACAATTTATGTACTTCGCTGAAAGGGGCCACAAGAAGCTGGTAAGCGATGAAGAGCTTTTTTGATCAGGTTGTCTCATAAGCATAGAAATTCCAAGCTGGAGGAATGGATCAGTGAAATCAATAACTTCTAGTCGAGTAGCTGTTACGGTGATGGGAGCAACTGCCATATCAACATCGTTCCGAAGTATCTCACCAATCATACCGTCCCATTGATCAGTGCCGTTGATACGTTCGCCATATTTGTTGTCTGAAAACTCATTGCTGATTTCATGAATAACAAGAACATATTTCAAATATTTTCATAGCTCTTCGAGAATCCCATACCTTTCACAATTTTCAGCGTATAATCAAAATGCAACATTTCAGCCAACTTATCCAACAAATCCACACAAAACCCCTCATATTTTATCCTCCCATCTGGCATTATTTTCTCAATAACATATGGTTTCTCATGAATTGAAGTAACTCTCAAAGTTCTTTGTGATCGAATTGTTGCCTGATAATGTTCATGTGTTCCGGGGATGTTTTTAGCGCGCATTGTAAGCTCTTTTGATCCTCCCCAAGATGATTTCCAGGTTCCTGTCTAAAAATATCGATCTTCTCTGGAAAACATTTTCAACTTATGTACCTGCAATCCTGCTCCTGTTATTCCCATTTCCCAAATATGTAGCTCACTATCACTTCTCTCACTTGATCCATTAAAGGATATCAAACCTGTCAGCCCTTTGAATGGCTGAAAATAAAGATCTAAAAGTCCATTGTGAGAAAACAAATCGTTTACCTTCACACTTGGCAACTTGATTTTTTCTGTTCTATCAGTTTGCGAGCATAAAACCACGGTTCTCTCTCCAACATGACAAGCTAATAAGAGGGCATCAAAAATAAACGCAAAATCTTTGAAAGGTGTTCTTGGCTCATAAAGTAATGTTGACAAATATTCTTGATACATTGCAGGTATCTCATTTTCCAAATCATTTTCATTAAATTTCTCTTTTGAAATTGTCAATAGCGATAATCTCATTCCATTGTGAGCGTATTGAGATAAATGTTCCTTTAAGTCATCCTGAAAAAATTTCAGAATATCGGAATCATGTTTATAGCTTACCAATGCTGTGATAAGAAACCAATTATGCACACTGATCATTCCAAGTTTCAACGAAGCATCGAAAAAAGTCAATGTTTCATTTGGGCTCAATTCAATCAGAACACGATTCTTCTTTGGCCAGCAACGATTTCGATCACAAGTATCACGAAGAGCTAAAGCAGTTGCCATCATACTAGCATCTGAAGTGTGAGCTCGAAGTAAGGCTGGACTTTTTTCAAGGCGAGATAATGTTTCGATAAGTTGCTTTGGAGCTGGAAAAAAATTGGATTTTATCAAAAATTGTTTTCAACTCACCATCGTAATTTGAATAAATATACACAAAATTATCCCATTTCCATAAATTTATCAATCTCTCCATTAGTTGTGAATAATCTCGAGATGGATACAGATTCAATGAATTGTCTCTCATTCTGAAACTTTCCGTTCACAAGAAATTATATGCTAAAAAACCCACTGTTTGGATCCCGGTGTCCAATAATAATGTATAAATAACATGTTCATTTCAGCGCATTGTTCCTCAATTACACTTCCAGTATCTCGATCAACCACTCCTATCAAAACTGTGATATTTGATCGAGCCATTTTGCAAACTGAAATAAAATAACTGTTTTTTTTTTGGAAAAAAAATTAAGAGGGTTAAACCAACTTTGCGCATTCAAATCGTAATGAGAATTGCGGTATAACGCAAATTCAAAATGTGTTATCGCAACATGTTTCCGAGTTTTGACAATTTGATTTTGAATTTTGGGAATAATGATGCGGACTGCATTACGAACTGCATATTCTTGCTCATAAGTTGTGATTATTCCTGGAAAATTTATTTTATCAATTCAGTGTTTTCAGTTTTTGGTACAAAAAAAATTATATTCGCATTTTTTTCACATACCTACACGAACTGCCTGATTTTGGATGATAAATAAAAAAAGTAATAGCAGACGAAACATTTTTAGACTAACATTATTTTCTCACCCATGCTTTTGGGTTGAGCAATTAGCACATCTTCCTAATTGATTCAGACTTTTACTTTACCCATTTTCATTTTTTGATTTTTTTTTTCAAATTGAGTTCGTCTAACTTCATTCATTTTATCATAGACAATCCACACACAAACAAAAACTATGAAAATTTGAAAAAACAAAACAAAACAAAAAAATTCGTCCCTGCTAGCATATCTTTCTATCCTTTCTCCCTCTTCTCTCTCGCCTCAGCCAAGCAAACTCGCTCTTTTGATAATGGGTCTTGTAACGCGTCCCTTTCTCTCTTTTTATTTTCTGAAAGGCGGTGCAATAGTGGAATTTTTTTCATGTAATTTTTGCATTTTCTAGGTTAATTTTTGAAATTAAAAATTCAAATTTGATTTCAGGTAATATGGCGGCTCCAAAGTTGAGTTTCTTCGAAAAAATCGCCAACACCTTGGGTGTATTGTACCGCCATCAAGCTGCTCAATTCCCACGTCGTTTGACTGTTTTGAAGGTTGGTGATTTTTTTTTTGGTTTGGGTGCAGGGTGGGTTTGAAAAAAAGGAATAACGTGAAAGAATTTCAGTTTTAACTGGAATTCCAGTTAGAATATTGTTTAAAATTTCGTTTAAAAATATGTTAATCTGAATGAAAACACTTGAACTTTCAATGAGAAAAATATTTATGAAGTAACATTTCGACATATTTGGCTCTGATGAAGATGGCTTAGGAGATTTAAAAAAAAGTTTTATTTTTCCAGAAATAGTAATAGTTTAGATTTTTGAGCCTAGTGTTAATTAGATTTCATAAAACTTTCAAGATTTGCTGGCATAAAGTTTTCTGAAATTCTTCTTTAAAATCCTCTTTCCTTGCTCAAAGCCAAATATTTTATTTAGAAATTCGCTTATCTTAAATCCTGTGTTAAAAATTATACAAATTTCTGTTTTTCTTATGCCAATGTGGTTGTTCAAAATAATTTTTGAAAGTTGGTTTTTTTTTCATTTTCATCAAAACCAACTTTCAACTTTGAATTTGAATTTAAAAATCTAATCACAATGTTTTTTTTAAATTAAAATCCAACTAATCACCAGTTTTCAGGCCGTCGGAAGACACGAGCTTGCTCCACCACGTCAAGCTGATTGGCCAGCAATCAAGGCCGAATGGGGAAAAGTTCAAAGCTTCATCCAAACTGGAGGATACAAGAACTTGACTGTTAAGGTAACTTTGTTTTCACTCGCTCAGCTTAAAATAAATGGAGCATATTTTTTCAGGAAGGATTAGTTTACACCGCCGTTACCCTCGAAATCATCTTCTGGTTCTTTGTTGGAGAAATGATCGGTCGTCGTTACATCTTCGGATACCTCGTATGTTTTTTGTTTTTTTTTGTCGATTTTTCTTCATACCATGATTTTTTCTTCACAGGTCCCAGCTGATTATGTGTCACAAGAAACCAGAAGACAGGTTAAAGAAGAAGCCAGATTGGCCGCCCTCGAAAATTAAAGAAAAATTTGATGCGATTTGTAACAAATTTTGATTTTATATTTTTTTATTTTTCAATTGTGTTTAGTTTCGACAGTTTATCGGTTATTTGTAAATGAACTATTTTTTTTGACAAAAATGTTAACAAAAATGTTAGGGCCGACTTTTTTTGAAAAACTCGGGCCGACTTTTTTTGAAAAAAACTCGGGCCGATTTTTTTCATCCAACGAAAAAACTCGGGCTTTGTTCGGAAATAAAGGGTTTTGGAGAAAATGAAGGGTTTTTCAGGAAATAAAGGGTTTTAGAGAAAATAAAGGGTTTTTCAGAAAATAAAGGGTTTTACAGAAAATAAAGGGTTTTTCAAGAAAAAAATTTCAAGAAAAAAATTGAGAGCCCAAAAACGTAAAAAGAACTCCCCAATAATAAGCCCAAAAATTAGTCAATTTTATCAAATATCTCGATTTTTTTGTCGATTTTTTTGAAAAAACTCGGGCCGATTTTTTTGAAAAAAACTCGGGGCGATTTTTCAAAAAAAAAAAGATTTTTTTTGAAAAAACTCGGGCCGATTTTTAAAAAAAAACTCGGGCCGATTTTTTTTTTGAAAAAAACTCGGGGCGATTTTTTTTTGAAAAAACTCGGGCCGATTTTTTTAAAAAAAAACTCGGGCCGATTTTTTCATCCAAAAAACTCGAGCCGATTTTTTTTTTGAAAAAAACTCGGGCCGATTTAGGGCTGCACGCGGGGCACCCCGCGATGAAACACCGTGCAAAAAATCATTCGCCCCCACGCCCCTTCGCCCCCTCGCCCCTTCGCCCCCTCGCCCCGTTGCCCCCTCGCCCCGTCGCCCCTTCGCCCCGTCGCCCCCTCGCCCCCGCTTGTAACTGTGTGTGGTGAAGAAATAAAAGAAGATAGAAGCGCGCACACAGTTACAAGCGGGGGCGAGGGGGCGGCAGGGCGAAGGGGCGAGGGGGCAAAAGCGTGGCGGGGCGAGGGGGCCGCCCCCACGCCCCATCGTGCAGCCCTAGGCCGATTTTTTTCGAAAAAAAATAATTTTTTTTTGAAAAAACTCGATCCGATTTTTTTTTTTGAAAAAACTTAATTTTTTCTTCTCAAACTCTGAAATTGAACGATTTTTTTTAAAAAAGATTTTAAATTTTTTTTTTCATACACTTTTTTCTCACAGTATTTCAAAAGAATCGAGCTAAACTATTTGACTTTCACTCTCAAAAGTTAGTTGATTTCTAAATGCAAAAAATATTTTTCAAGTATATATTGTTTTTTTTTTAATTTTACGGTAGCAGACCATCAAAAAAAATTATCGCTTTTGAAATCATACTTCAGAGCTCTACTAACACATTCAGAATTGAGTTAGTAGTAGATGTGAAGTATAATTTCAACAATCAAGTATACATCATCAGAATTAGAGAATACAAATGCCATATTGAATGGTACGTTTTTGTAAGAAAAATTGGGCGGAGAATCATTTTCTGCTCACTTCTTCGAAAAGTAATCGATGAGTCAAAACTGTAAAGTTCACTTGTAAAGCAAACATGATTCGTGTTAATTGGTGCAGTTTACAACAAAACCTTCTAGAAAAACGTGATGATTCAATAATTGTGTCGATGTAAAACAAACAATGTTTCTTATTAATTGAAGAGTTCACGGAAATGTCATGAGAGAAGCAATTATTATCAAAAAATAAGGAAGCTGTATAGTTTTGTACTTTTGAACTTTTGAACTTCTACATGCTCATTCGAGAAAAATTGTTGAAATTTTCAACCGCGACGCTCACACGCGGCGCGTTTTCTTCAAATTTTCTTCATTTATTACACTCGAACACTACTGTTTTCCAAGTCACGCCCATTTCTTTTTGAGCACTATAAATTCTCACACAAAACTCACAATCACAACAATATTCTTCTTCCGCCTTTTCTTCGAAATCGATAACTTGACGATGTTTGAGATCAAATTTTGAAGAATCTTAAACTCGTTCAAGTTATTAGTTTTGAGAAATGGAATTTTTAAGAAATCAATATGTACATAAGTTAAGTTTATGACATTATCGACTAAATACAGTAGGAAGCTAAATGTAATAGAAAAATGAATCCCACAAAAATTATCGATCACTGAAACTGAAGTTTTGACTTAGCTAACACAGTTCAAAATGTGTTAGCAAAAAATGAAAACTCCTATTTCAGTTGTCAGACTTGAAAAATATTGTTTTCAGTAGAGAATACAGAATATCTAGTAATTTTGAATCGATCATGAATAGTTCTAGAATAGCCCCATATGTTTGGAATAAATTTTCACAGTTCTGTCCTTCTGTTTTCTCGTTTTCGAAACTCCACCTGTTTCTCTCGCCCTCTCCATTTCTTAGACATCCATCGCTTTTTTCATGTTCACGCCCATTTTTTGAAAAATATAACATCTGTATTGCTTATTTGGAAAAAATACTAACCTAGCCTATGATTATTATTATTATTCATTTGATTTTCAAAATTGATAGAATGGTGTGAATATGATTTATATGTGTAGGAATCTCATTCACGCCATTTTATCGCTTTTGGTCATCAGAATCTTTCAGTGAATATTTCTGTGGTTTGGAATTGAATGAATAAAATTTTCTCGGTACCGGAGGATGAAAATCTGCATAATTCTCAACATTGGTGGATGAATAAATGACGAAAAAAAATAGTTCGATTTTAAAAAATGACGAGTTGGCACGATTCAGATTCATTGCATTTGCATCGGAATCGTGAGCAACTAGTCAATTTCGAAAATCAAAATGTGTATAGATTGAATAAACATGTTTTACAAAATGAAGAAAATCTGGGAGAACGGGTGTATCTCAAAGAAGACTGTTTCTGCTGATGTGAGTGATTGACAAGAGAACAAAAAAGGGAAAAGTGACAAAAAACAAATTGGATTGGGAACATATATGAAAATTAGATGAAGATGGATGGATTTGAAAAGAATTGAACACCCAGGAAGCAATGGAAGAAATCAACATATTGATGTATTCAGGGTTTCTGGGTTTCAAAAAAGGGAATTTTTCAACGAGATTCGCTTCAAATGTTTTCATGGACAGTTTGAGCCATCCTAATGAAGATATAAAAAGGTTCAGCTGTGGAAGAAGACACTGGACCAAGCGCTAGTGGCAATGTTCGACCAAAATCGCATGTTTCAGGGCTCATAACTCAGTCGTTATGTGAGTCAAATTCATCAGAAGCTGAATGTGGAACGTTTTTCTCTTTGGTCTATTTACTAAAGACACTGGATATAGTTACTGAATTTCAACATTTTTCGAAAAAAAAAACGTTTTTGGCGCGAGAAAATAATCTCATTTTTCCTTTGAGAAAAAATATGAAAATTATTTTTAATAAAATCGTGAATCGTAGAATTTCTCTGCATCTCCATCACTCTCACCGATTCCTCCTTGACAATTTGTGTTCCGGCTAAAACTGTCTATAAAAAATTTCGGCAAGCTTTTGGCTATAGGCCATGAGATGTTCAAAACAGCTGATGATTTTGGATCTACGTAACTTTCTCAAATTTATAGAGCACATATCCTGAAATTGACTGCTTCAAATAATATTACATATATTCTATTTGATTTTGAAAAAGTATCCGGTAACGAAAGTCGGACGAACGATTTTCCATAGCTCATTTTCAAGATTAGGCCATGAAAAAATCCCTAATCCAAATTCAGTTATCAGAATGGGAAAATATAAGTGATGATATAGTTAGTCTGAGCGGAGTATAGAAGTTCTTCGAGAAAAAACCAATTAGTCAGAAATCGTATAGTGTAAAACAAACAGTTAATTGCGACGGTCTACAAAAATGTTTTGGGAAAATGTCAAAAATAACGAGGCATTTTTCTTGCTTTCGTATAGTGGTTGTAAGCCACGCCCAAATTTTTTCGCAGATTTTTCATTTGATCGGAAATGACCAGTAAAAGCTATTGTTATTCTCTATTAATGGTGATTTTTGAAAATGATAACCTGGATTGAATTCAGATTCATATGAAGGATTTGAATGAAGCAGGTTATCAATTTTGGAAATCAGAATTTTTCTTATTCAGTCATTGAAGAATAATTTTGTATCAGAAACTGGATAAAAAAGGGAAAATAAAAAGAAAACATATTTTATAAACTCAACTTTCTTCCTTAACAATGTGTATACAAAATGAACCAATAAATTCTTTTGCGCACAACAAAACTCAGGGTTGAAAGATTTATTACAAACCAGGTGCTCATTAGAAGAAGAGAAATTTTCGACGTTTTTTAGGGATAAACTTTCTTTGAAATTTAAAAATTTGGGTGTTTATGATTATATTTTGAAAAAAAATTTGCAATGAAAATTTAAAAAATTGTCCTGGGTGCTGTTTTCGAAGAGATTGCGAAATTCTTGAACGTCAGATTCTTGGTAATGCTTGGCTCGTTAGTTCTTGTACTACGCACGTCATCATCATTTCAAAACTGTACTATGCTTCTCTCACAAGATATTGCATCACTTTTCGTTTTATTTTTGGCAAAAAGTGCAGCAAAAAAAAGAAAAACATATCGGAAACATCAAAAAGAGAGCTACCGTAGTATTTTTATGTGATTTTTAAACAAAAGAAAGTCTTGAGTCACCAGACTTTTTTGAATAACGAAAAAGTCAGTTTGTTTGTACTGGGGAAAATATTTGAATGGAAAATGACCTTGAGTTACGGTAGCTTCGGAAACAAAAGAGAATAAACAGACTTTCAAATGATACCATTTTCGAGCTGGAAGTGAAACTGAAAAGTATGAAACAGGCTTATGCCGCAATTTTTCAAATTTTCTGATGATCCGGAAAATCTGGCAATTGAATTTTAGTAGTAGTATCTTCAAGATCGCCAAATTTTTGAAAAATTTTCTCACATCAGAGATTGACAAAAAATCTGATTTTTTAAAAATGTTATTTTTGGAACTGAAAACAAAGCTCTAAACGGGCCGATTTCAGATAAATATGTGTTTAAAGCTAATTTAGTGCTGAAAATGAAATGTTGAAGCCTCCAAATTTTTTTTTCAGATTTTCAGATTTTCCGACTTTCCCGGGTTTCATCTCTCCGGCACAGGGTTGATTAGCAATATTCAGTATTCCAGAGGAATATTCCAAAATCCAATCAATCGGTTCTACCAGTTTGTCTAAAATCCATCCCAAAAAATGTAAAATTCCAGAATATGAATAGTTGGACTGACTCAGATCTTTCAAACTGGTAGATCGGAATCAAGTCGATCTATTCAGCTTCTGAATTCCGACTCGTTCAGTTTCATTCAGTAATACATAGTGAGAATATTTTCCAGTAACCTTGAGTGCAAAATGAAGAAAAATGGGCGGGACTTGAAACCACCGTAGTTGCTTAGCGATTGTTGTCAGTGGTCAGAGTAAAAAAAGAAGGCGGAGATTAGAAAGAGAGTTATTCTTGTTGAATTTTACACTCCAGTTTGTATTCTACACTCTAATAAATTTGTGATAACTGAAATTAGGAATTGCATTTACGTTTAACCCAGTATTGAATGTTCTACGTATGTAATTCCTAGTTTTAGTGTTTGGAATCATTGTATATTCTGATTGCTAATTCTTGTGATAATATTCTGATAACTGAAAGTGGGAATTACAGTTCCATTTAACCGAGTTTTGATTGTGTTAAGTGAGTGTAATTACCATTTTTAGCGATTAGATTCATTGAATATTATTTGGGAAAAATTGAGAACAATTGACTAAACGCACAGTTTTCGTAGAGACAAATTAAAAGTGGACAAACAAAATTAAAAACAAAAAATTGAGTGCTCCAGATTTCTATTCATAATTTTCAACCAAAAAAATAGGATCATATAAAAACAAAACAAGAGTCAGTTTATGTGTTTTCTGAACAAAAGAAAGTCTTGAGTCATGAACAATAAAGAAGTCAGCTTCTACTGACATGGGAAAATATTTGAATGGGAAATGACCTTGGGTACTGTAAGTAGCTGGAAAACAAAAAGGAGTTGGGATATTTTTAGAAAAAGTTGATACAGAATAACAGAAAATATTTCTTTGAAGTGTAATGGAAATTTGTCCGGGAATTTAGAAGTTCAACGTGAATTATGTTAAAATTTAGAAAGGCCCTAATATGATTTTTGAATTCGCATCAACCAATTTCAACCTGTTCAAAACTATGCAACCAGAAGCTTTGATTTGTATCTTTTTCCAATATTTTGTCTTCTTCACTCAAACGTCATTCCAAAAAAACCAGATTTTCATCAAAAAGTCACTATTTCATTGGGTATTAGATCTCTAATTGGATTTTGATCTAAATACCGTTTGAACTAGTGTTTTTCTGACTTCTGTGTGGATAGTAATAGATAGTCGTTAGAATTCTTTTTTTTTTTGGTAGAATGTGATGGAATCAGACAAAAATGGGCGGAGTTAAATACCTTCTAGAGATAGAGAAACAGAAAAGAAATAGAGGAAAAGAGGCGGAGACTTTTTACGAATTGAAACATGATGAAATCATTGCTGGGCTAATATTTTACATTATTCTATCTGTTTTTATTTTCTAATTCTGACAGCTGAATTTGAGGTCTTCACTGGCGGCTAGCAATAATATAAGAATGTTAGCGGATCATGAAAACTTCGAATTTAGTAGTTAGAGAGTTTTTATCGAAAATGGTATTCCTGAAAACACACCTAGAAAAGAGTTTTTCTGAAAATCACAATATCTGAAAATAAATCTGTAATTTTTTTCATAACTTGACTCATCAAAACGATTGATTTTCAAAAAAAAAAGAAATTTATTGGTGATACAAAAAAAACATTAGAAAAACAAATAAGTTATCCGGAAAATAAACACGTAATTATAAAAGGTCACAAAAAATGTACAAAAAAATTATTAGGATTTATCCAGGGCAAAAAATGAAAAAAATACTATGAAATGTTGATAAAATAAAAACATATTGAATACAAATATTTACAATTGAGCAATGCGATGTTCAATCAAATCGATGCAAGTTCTAGCATCCTCTTCGGAATCGTGACCAAAAGTTTCGGGATTTTCCGATTGAATCGATTTTCCGAGAACTTTTGAGGCCAACATTTTAAGTGCCGGCTTATTTTTTCCAGTTTTGTACAGAATTGCGGTGTCGATAATGTTGTAATGCACCAATCGGAGTGCCTTGAGATCCGATTCCAAGGAATGGCCAATCAAGATTGTCTCCGAGTTGACGAGTTCGAAGAATTTCTGTTGACACTGAAAAATAAATTGATTTTAAAACATTTGAAAAACAATTTTTTGCACATACCGATTGTAAATCATCCTCCGCTGCTTCGATGTCTTCCAATGTCAATCCAGAAAACTCAGTCATTGGATCGACAACTTTTGTTGGCGGTTTGACTCGAACATCCAATGCCAAGTTTCCGTCTGAATTGACCACTGATAATCGAGCCAATGCCAATCCCTCCAAGGTAGACACCATTTCACAATCGAGAGCATAAATGCTTCTCGATCTTGGATCTTCTTGATGCGTTGGCCTCGAAGTTGATGTAAAGTTCTCAAGCTCCTCGGCAAACCATTGATTGTGGATGTGTTTGTTATCGGCTCGACATCCTTTTGTATCTCCTTCGATTTCACCACAGCAATTCCGGATCATACAATTGAGAGCTGGAAATGAGGAAATTATTTTGAATTTGAATTTATTATTTTTAAAACTGATTTTTTGAAATAATTTAGTCTCAAATGAGGACTTGTTTGCAAAAAATTTACAAAACTCGAAATATCAGAAAAAATCTCATAGTTTTTAAAAATATTTCAAATAATTTTAAAAAATTTCAATAGAAAAAACTCACTGTTATCAAAGCGAACTCCTTTTGGATGATAAATGCAATGATTGAATTCGCCTGTTCCATTATTCTCAAGTTCATAATCGGTTTTGCATCTGCTACAAGTTCGGATTTTCTCATCTTTATCGATCCAATTTTTCAACAAATCATATTTGGTCTTCTCAATTGTCACCATTTTTGTTCGGCGATCGTCAAAATATGGATATCCATTCGCAATTAATTCTTCCATCGGTGTTTTCATACTTGAAAACAATTCGAAAATGTCGTTGTTTTCATAAACATTGTGAGAAGATTTGCCTGAAATTTATCATTGATTAATTTTACAAATATTTGTATGAATTGAATAATAAATTCAGCGGAAAAATGAGAGACTCCCTAGCTCGTATAATTTTAAAAATAAAAAAAACTTACTTGGATCCGAGTAGTATACTGTTCCGTTGATTTCGACTGGGAAAACTGTGCCTTCAGGAGTACAATCCAAGTTATCATAGATACCATAATCTAGATTCACATCATAAATTGGTTGTGAATCAGGAGCAATGATGCATTCTGGATGTTGGAACACAGGAACGAAATATTGCATTGGCTCATTGTAATAAAAATCAGGTTGAACTGGTTGATATTGCACAGCACATTGGTCCAAATAAATCGTCTGATTTTGTTCAAAAACCAAACCAGAAGTAGATGGATAAATGTTGGAATAATTGTGGAACATTGTAGGAACAGTAGTCACACACTCGTTAGAGCAAAAATTAGGTAAATGAATATGAGCTATATCATATCATATCCATTTTTTCACACATTTTGGCCACGCCCTTTTTCTTAACACCTATGAGCCCACGCGTGCCTATTTCTGGTTAACACACATGTGTTAACTGAGAAAATGCTTACAGGAAAGGGTTTTGGGAACAATATATGTTTTTTTGGCGTTAGTTGTGCGGAAACTGTTTTTGATGATTTTTCACATTCATTTTGTTTTTGTGGTGTAGGATACTGTAATTATGAAACAAATTTTGATGTTTTTTTGTTTTTCTGAATGTTCACCAAAACTTTATTTTTTCTAGTTTTAAAAATCTTTATTTTTTTAATCCAAAATGCATTACCCTAGTATGGAATTGATATTTTAGTATTTTTTTGATGAAAGTGTCAATCTTAAAATTTTTTCAGATTTTTAAATCCAAAATTTATCCTTTCAGCCTGAAATTGATATCAAACCATTTGTTAAGAATACTATCTAAAAAATTATTTTTTGATTAACTTTTTTGGTGGAAATTCTGCAAAGGTTTCTAGATTTCAAAAAAAAAATCTTTATTTTCAAGCAAAAATATGATTTTTTAATTATTTCAATTAATATCTTTGCTTCTATTTTAATTGTAAGTCATTGAGGTTCTGTAATCAAGCTTCTTATGAATTTGAAAACGCTTGTTTATCATCAATTTTTTCATGGTCCCTTCAAACCCTGCACATACTATACTTCCTTTTTTTTAGTTTTCTAATTCATAAAACATTTCGAAACTCTATTTCTCTAACCTCTCACTACTTCTTATTTCATTTTCATGGTCAGCCCAAACTGCAGGTGTTCAAAAAAAATCGGAAACATCAAAAACAGAGCTACCGTAGTCAGTTCATGTTGACAAAAGAATTTAGCTTTTTAGCGAGTTGCGAAAATATTTGAATAGAAAACGACCTTGAGTTACCGTATCTGGGAAACAATGAGTAGATTGGAATTTTAATAAAATTGAAAAAATAGCAATTTTTCAAAAACTTTTTGAATTCTAATTTCATCAGAGCATTCCTAGGACCTTCTGAGTCTTTTTCAACATTTTCAAACTCAAGCGTGCCTGAATATACATAGATAAAACATATTTAACTGGGAAAATGCTCACAGAAAACGGTTCCAGGAACAAAAAACGTCATAAAGTAGTCATTTTTCTTTTTGAAATTCACCTACACAAGAGATCAAGAGGTTAGTTTTTAAAAAATTTTAATTTCAAGAATGAGGAATTTGTTCAAAAAATGCAGAATATCAGATTTTTAGTTATTTATTTTTATTTTTCCAGAATCCATTGTCTCTTTTCCCGATTTTTGTTTTTTTTTTCACCCAAAAATGTCAAATTTCAAAAGATGTCCAGTCACATATGACTAGCCAGCTTCAGAAGTCCGACTTGAATATTAGCCTCATATTTTAAAACTTGTTTTATAACATCGTAATTTTGTTTCAATTTTTATCACCAAGAAAATGTCAGTATTCAAACGTGTACTAGTCATAATAACACAGATATTCCAATATGCCTATCTGTGTCACAATATGACCAGGATACTTTTGAAATCCGACTTGAATATTAGTCTCATTGTTTTCTTGTTCCAGTTTCTTTCAAAAATTGTCGAATATCAAAAAGTGACCAGTTGTAGCCATCAGATCTTTCAATTTTCACATCTGATGGTCATATAACTAGTCAACTTTGGATGTCCGCATTGAATATTAGAAGGTGGTGTTTGTTAGAAAAAATGAATAGATAAAAGGAAAAAAATGGGCGTGTTTAGAGAAGGAAAACATAACGTTTTCTTGAGAGCGTCCCTCATTTAGAAAAAGAAATAGAGAAAAAGGCGGAGATTGATTCGATTGGTGGATACGGTATCGAAGGAGAAATGTGGAGAAACAGATGGAAAATATTAGAATTTTGAGAAAAAAACATATATTCCCACTAAACTCTGCTATTTGCTTATACAGTGAACTCTGACAATTAAAATCGAACATCTCATTTCTGTTCAACACAATTTTGAACGTGTTAACACATTTGGGTTGGTCAATTTTAGTGTTTGGAGAATTTCGAGATTTTTGAGGCTCGATTTCAGGGTTGTTTGGACAATGAAAACAAAAACAAAAACAACATGTCTATAAAGGGAAACACTGTACACAAAAACTTTCACCAATTAAAACTTTTATTGTCCAAATTCATAAAAAAATTTCATAGAAAAAACACATTTTGCCACGTCATAACTCGTCACTGCTACGTTTAAATGAAAAATAAAGTACTCCACGTTCATCAGGAGGTCGAAATTAGTCAGAAACCAAATTTGCAGAAAAAAAAATAAAATCAAGATATTTTTCCCCGTGGGGATCGAACTCTTGACATTCTCGATTTCTTCCGCATGGGAGACTAATTCTCTACCAGCTGCGCCACTTGGGCGACGAGAGAGGAAGAGTGAATTGCTAATATATGGTTGATTCAAGAAAAACATTGTGTTGCAGTGGTAGAACTGGATGTCAATTTTTGAAATCAAATATATCGTTTCCGATAGATTTTGACACGTTGAGAACGTGTCTGTGGTCAAATTTTGTTCTAATCGCAAAAGAAAAAATTATGGCCATTTGAAGATGTTTCTTTCTAATTGAAAAATAGTCGCTCGAAAATTGCGATTCAAAATCTTTCAAAACTATCTGTCAATAATAAATCATTCAAAGTTTGGGCGCGAAACAATGCGAAACTTTTCGAAACTCCGAAGATTTATTAAGAGCCAGGTGCTCATCAACATCTATTCACAAAATTTCTTTTAAGAATAATGGATGACCTTAAACTTTATTGTTATTTTGGTAACAAATAATTTGAAAAAAAAAGAGTTTATTATCGAAAAAGATGAATTGAAGTCAAGTTTACTCAGATTTCTTTAGAATAGGAATTAGAATTACCTGAACAATTTCAGGGAACAATAATTTTATTACAAAAAAAGAACAGAATTGCATTCGTTTTGCCACCTAAAATCTGAAATGTATGCAAAGCTGGCTTATTAAAACAATTGATTTTTAAAAATAAAAATTTATTGGGGATACAAAAAAATGCAAAAATTTATAAAAAAAGGGAAGGGAGAAATATTATAAAAGATTAATGCAAAACAAACATATTGAATAAAAATTATTATGATTGAGCGATGCGATGTTCAATTAAATCGATGCAAGTTCTAGCATCTTCTTCGGAATCTTCGCCAAAATTTTCCGGATTTTCAGATCGAATCGATTTTCCAATCGGAGTGCCTTTAAATACGATTCCAATGAATGACCAATTAGAATTGACTCCGAATTGAAAAGTTCGAAGAATTTCTGTTGGCTCTGAAAAATAATTCATTCGGGGAAAGTGAAAGAAAATAGTCTCTTGTAAAACTCACGATTGAAAAATCCAGGAAAATTTTGTCAACTTTTTCCAACTCCACTTCCAACAATCGGAGGAGCAGATTGTTCTAGCATCCTCTTCGGAATCATGACCAAAGGTTTCCGGATTTTCCGATTGAATTGATTTTCCGAGAACTTTTGAGGCCAACATTTTGAGTGCCGGCTTATTTTTTCCCGTTTTGTATAGAATTGCTGTGTCGATAATGTTGTAGTGCACCAATCGGAGTGCCTTGAGATCCGATTCCAAGGAATGGCCAATCAAGATTGTCTCCGAGTTGACGAGTTTGAAGAATTTCTGTTGACACTGAAAAAATAAATTTGATTCGGGGAAAGTGAAAAAAATAGGCTCTTGTAAAACTTACTTTTGAAAAATCCAGGAAAATTTTGTCAACTTTTTCCAACTCCACTTCCAACATTCGGAGGAGCAGATTGTTCTAGCATCTTCTTCTGAATCGTGACCAAAGGTATCCGGATTTTCCGATTGAATCGATTTTCCGAGGATTTTTGATGCCAACATTTTGAGCGCCGGCTTATTTTTTCCAGTTTTGTAAAGAATTGCGGTGTCGATAATGTTGTAATGTACCAATCGGAGTGCCTTTAAATCCGATTCCAAGGAATGGCCAATCAAGACTGTCTTCGAGTTGACGAGTTCAAAGAATTTCTGTTGACACTGAAAAATAATTTGATTTTAAAACGTTAGAAAAATAAATTTTGAAACTTACCGATTGTAGGTCATCTTCCGCGGTTTCGATATCTTCCAATGTCAATCCAGAAAATTCAGTCATTGGATCGACAACTTTTGTTGGCGGCTTGACGCGAACATCCAATGCTAGGTTTCCGTCTGAATTTACGACAGACAATCGAGCCAATGCCAATCCCTCCAACGTAGACACCATTTCACAATCGAGAGCATAGATGCTTCTCGATCTCGGATCTTCTTGATGTGTTGGCCTTGCAGTTGAGGTGAAGTTTCCAAGCTCCTCGGCAAACCATTGATTGTGGATGTGTTTGCTGTCGGCTTGGCATCCTTTTGTATCGCCTTCGATTTCACCACAGCAGTTCCGATGATTAATACATTGATTGTATTCGCCTGTTCCATTCTTCTCAAGTTCGTAATCCTCATTGCATCTGCTACAAGTTCGAATTTTCTCATCTTTATCGATCCATTTTTTCAACACATCATATTTGGTTTTCTCAATTGTCACCATTTTTGTTCTACGATTGTCGAAGTATGGATATCCATTTGCGATGAGTTCTTCCATCGGTGTTTTCATACTTGAAAACAGTTCAAAAATGTCGTTGTTTTCGAAAACATTGTTGGAAGATTTGCCTGAAATTTATCATTTATTAATTTTAAAAATATTTATATGAATTACATAATAAATTCAGCAGAAAAATGAGAGAAACCCTAGCTCGTATAATTTAAAAATTAAAAAAAAACTTACTTGGATCCGAGTAGTAGACCGTTCCATTGATTTCGACTGGGAAAACTGTGGCTTCTGGAGTATAAACAGTCTCATTATAAATTCCGTAATCCTGGTTCACATCATAGACAGGTTGTGAATCAGCAGCAATGATATATTGTGGATGTTGAAATACCGGAACAAAATATTGCATTGGCTCATAGTAATAACAATCAGGTTGGATGATAAATGCAATGATCATATTCGCCTGTTCCTCAAGTTCGTAATCCTTATTGCATCAGCTGCAGGTCCGAATTTTATCATCGTTATTGGTCCAATTCTTCAACACATCATAGTTGGTCTTCTCAATTGTCGCCATTCTTGTTCTGCGATTGTCAAAATATGGATAGCCATTTGCGATGAGTTCTTCCATTGGTGTTTTCATACTTGAAAACAGTTTCGAAAATGTTGCTGTTTTCATAGGAACTGCGAGAAGAGTTGCCTGAAATTTATCATTGATTATCTTTTAATAATTTTGGTGTAAAACAAGAAATGAAAAACAAGAAACATATTTAAAAAATAATGAATCAACATTTTCTAACAAAAAAAAAAACAACAAACACTCATCCATGATCATACAACACTACGAGAAAGAACTGTTTTTCTCTGTTTCTCTTGTGCTCTCTCTCTTTTTCTCTATGTTTTCTCTTCCCCGCGGCCCATTCCCCTATTCGAAAATACGTTTTTTATTCAGCTATCACTGCTCACTTGCCATATTGTTTTTCTTTTCTTATATTCTCTCAATCTTTCAAAATTTTTCCCTTAAATTTTGAAAATTTCCAAGTTTACTGATATGATTTTATTCCAATTGTCTTGCTCATCTTAAAAATTTTCCAATTTCAATTTTGATCAGCGATGAAGAAAATACAAAAATCTATGCGTGTTTTCATAAGAAAAACATCGTTTATTTTTGAGAGCGTTCCTTATTTAGAAAAAGAAATAGAAAAAAAGGCGGAGGCTCACTTGATTGGTGGATACTGTATCGAAGAAAACATATGGAGAAAACACATTTGAAAATATTTTCACAAATTCCTAATAAATTCAAATCACATCTACTTTTATTCTTGACATTATGAACTCTGACAACTGAAATCGAATATCCCATTTCCGGCTAACACAATTCTGAACGTGTTGCCTGATTTGGGAAATTCAATTTTTGTGATTGGACACTTTTTGAGTCTGGATTTGATACATTATTTTAGTTCTAAAGATTTGGGAAATGAATAGGGAAAGATGGAATCAATATATTTTTTTTGAAAATTGAAAGATTTCCTGATGATCGTTATTTCAAAATATGATTCTGTACTTTATTCACAACTTCTCTTCTAATTGTCAAATTCCTGCTCAAAACCCGTCTTTTCTTATATTTCGAAACTTTTTGTCAAGAATAAATCATTGTCAATGATAAATCAAGTTTTGGCGCGCAACAATGCGAAACTTTTCGAAATTCGGAAAATTTATTATGTAAGAGGCAGGTGCTCATTAAGATCTATTCAAATATTTTTTGTGAAAAATGAATTTTTTTGGTACATTGCTTCATTATCGAAAGGGAAACTTCTGAAAATATCTGCATATTTAAAAATTACAATAACTTCAAAAAAAACATATTTTTCTTGATGAAGTTTTTTCCCGGCACTTCTTCCTGGAAATTTTTTACATCGCACCCGATTTTCTGAAACACACAGTTCATTTTTGCAAAGTATATGGAACAAACCATCTCCCCTTCATATTATTAGTAATTTTGAAAAACATCAACAACTAAAAGCAAAATTCAGATACCCAGCTAACACGTTTAATGTTAGGTTAGCTGGAAATGTGAATTTTAATTTCAATTGTACATCCTAGCAAAATTTGAATTTTATTTGAAGAATAATTTGCTCTTCCTCAGTCTCCGCCTTTTTTCTTTGCCTAATTTAAACCTACAAAATGTTTAGGCTCATCAGCCACGCCCCTTGATCTATTCATTCATTAAACTAAAAACACGCAACATTTCTCATTCACTCCATTTCTGATAACTGAAACTAGAGTTCGTATAACCGGCTAACACTGTTTTGAAAAGTTGTCAGCCAGTTTGAGAATTCTAGCTTTGGTAGTAGGAAACTTTGCGCACTAAGTTCATGTTATTTCACAATATTCTACTAATATTTTATCTGATTTTCTGAATTAATCAATGGCTTTTGTTTAGACACGCGTTTTGAAGTATCTAAATAAATCCCAATGATTAGTTTTGGGAATTGGAGATTTTTTAACGATGGAGGAGAACAAAGAATACTTGAAAATATGGAAATGAAAATGATTGTGTGAAAAATAATCACCAGACAAAAATTGTACTGAATCTTTGGGCTTGATAACACTAGAAAGATGTTATTTGTTGGAAATTCTTTCATCTTCAAAGCTTGCAATTTTTCAAAACAATTTTTGTTAAAGGTGGAGAGATAAACATTAGTGAGGGTATTTTTGATAGAAGATCTTCAAACATTTGAAGTAAAACAAGTTTAAAGTTCATAAAAAAACAGTGAAACACCGTGTAAAATGGCTTGAGAAAATTCAAATTTGCAAGTAGTTTGGCGCTTTCACTCCATCTAGTTCTGAAATTCTGAAAACTTTTTTTATATATAACACAAAATTGCGAAGATATGCCAATTGTAAAATTTAGAACAATTTTCGTCGGGATTTTAATTCAAATTTTCTACCTCCCTTCTGATCTGAATGTCAGAATTTTTTCCCAAAATCATTTCGAAACCTTGGTTTGGTGCCAGTCGATTTCACTCCAGACAAAAATGTGCTTTTTTTGAAAAATAAATCAATCAAAGTTGCGCGCGAAACAAAGAAAGAAACACTTTTCAAGTTTGAAAGATTTATTATGAAGCAGGTGCTCATCAACTTCTTCTGTTTCGAAAATAAATGAGAAGCATAATTTTTGACATTGTTTCAGGGGGAAAATCTTTCAAGTTGTTCATATTTGTGGCCTTATTGCTTACGTCCGATTATTTAAAAAAATAGTTTTATAATTAAAATAATTTCTGAAAGTTAAGGAAATATTCAAAGAATAATAAAGTACCTTTTTTCTGAAAAAAAATGTTTTTTGATACAACTGAGTACATTAAAAAATCATTAGAAGTTTTAATTAGCTTAAAAGTCGGCCCCAGTTTTTTTTTTGGTTTTTCTCATGAGAACAGTGTTCAATAATTTGCTCGTTAGTTTTTGTACTATCCACGTCATTCAAATATTGCATCACATTTCGTGGTTTATTTTTAGAAAAAACTGCAGATGTCGATCGGAAACATCAAAAACAGAGCTACCGTAGTATGTGATTTTTAAACAAAAGAAAGTCACGAGACATGACACTTTTCTGAATAACAAAAAAGTCAGCTTTTGCCGATATGGGAAAATATTTGAAAAGGAAAACGACCTTGAGTTACGGTAACTGGGGAAAATTCAAAAGTTCACAAAAAATCGATCCTCACTGATTTATGTGAAAATCGATTAGCCACAAATCAAAATATTGGCGGAGCAAAACTCCAGGGTGTAATTCCTTAAATGCTAATTGAAACATTTGGAATTCGAATAAAACTTCAGAATGTTTTTATTTTAAATTTTGTAGTAGAATTTGTTAGCGTGTTTTTTAATGACTTTTTTGTCTGATTTTCATAAAAAATCTCAGCTTCCAAAAAGTGACAAGAGGGCTTGGGTGAGATTATTCAATATACATATCTAACCCTTACCATCTTGCCAATTTCAAGAGACTAATATAGAATAATAATAGTAGTCATATGTAGCTGGAAATATTGAACACTTTTCAAACTGAAATTGAAACTAGTAATAAATGGGCGTGGCTTGTGAAGATTTTTTTCAAATTTCGAATATTAGATGGGAAAAGAAAAAGAGCAAAAAGGCGGAGACTGGGAAAATGAGAAAAAATGGGCACATTTGAAACACAAATGAGAAACTATCGAATTCTATTTTGAAAAAAAAACTAGTACAACATTATTCTATACTGAAACATCTGATAACTGGAATCAAAGCTCGGACTTACATTTAGCTCTGTTTCATATGAGCTGAATGAACTCTGAGACTTGACTTTAGTGATTGAACATTTTTAAAACTTGAAATTCATTTTTAAAACTACAGAAGATCATCGATTTTACGGTAGACCTCAATGTTTAATTTCTAAATGAGATATTTTATTTCCGATAGATTTTGACACGCTGAGAATGTTCCAGTGGACAGATTTTGTCCAACTCACAGAATAAAAAAGATATGGTGTTTCAAAAATAACATTTTTATGTCAGAAAATAATATAAATATTCTCTAAATTGTTTTGACTGGCATCAATTACGTAGATAACGATAATTTTTTTTTAATATCAGAAAAAAATCTGATGAGTCATGGAAACTGAAATATTGTGTTATTGTTTTCAAATGTTTCAAATTAAAAAAAAATTCCCTCACTACTTTAGTTCATTTTTTATTATTCATCAAAATATATACATAGATAGTTTCAGGTGGCCATTTCAAGGTCACTGTATTTCTCAAAAAAATTCCACAAAATTTGCAATTATTCAACACCTGTCTCACAAACCATATTGCATCATTTTTTGTTTATTTTTTCAGTTGAATATATTTCAATCCTCTTGAAAATAATCAGACAAAGCTACCGTAGTTATTTTATGTGAATTACCCCCTTATTCTGGATCAGAAGTTGAAATTCCAGGATGGAAATCGATTTGTTGAATCTATTTCGATCTCCATGAAAAATTTTCAGACTTCAAAAACTAAATTGATCGGTTTGCAGGACATTTTTCTCACATTCAGTGTTCTACTATACCGATCAATTCAATTTTTAGAATCTAGATTTCGAATATTAGTTCAGTAGCTTCTGAGAAAAAACTGGAGAAAAATGGGCGGGAATTTGGACAGTGTTGAGTGGACAATGCTGGAAAAAATAAGGAAAAATAGGCGGAGACTGGGAAGCGAGAGAACAAGTATTGAGAGACAGAGAAACCCAAAATAGGAGCCCAGCCTTGTGGACACTTCCTGTTTAGTTTTGTTTTGTTTGCAAGGAGCCATGCCTTGTGGGCTCTTTTGTCAAGAAGTCGCGAGCAAATTTCATCTTGACAAAGAGACCCATGACAAGCTTCATATATTTTGGATCATAAATTAAAAGAGGCTTCAAACCCGTGAAAAATGTTCCTTTCTTTTAAATGCGCGCAAAAAGTCATGTGCAGAACACAAAAAATTGTCTGTGTCTCCTCTCAATTTCTTCGATTTCAATTCTTTTGTCATCTCACCTAACCACAAAACATTTTATCCAGATTCGAAAATGAATCAACAGCAGGAGAAGCAAATTCTGGCGATGCCGATGGACGAAAAAGAAATGAAGACTGCTGTAAGTTTATTTCAAAACTACTGTATTTCTAAAAATATGTAATTTTCAGCCAGGGTTTCTCAAGTTGCCAGAAATTCTTGTCGATAAGATTTTCGATTTATTGGAGACTCGTGAAATTCTAAAACTGCGAAGAGTTTCAAATGCTTTCCGGAACTATATTGATGATATGAAATACAAAAGAAAGTAAGGATTTGGTTTGGAAATTAAAAAAAAATAATTGTTTTTCAGTGATATTTTCCCGTTTTGGGTTGAATTCAAAAACGACACATTTCATATCTACTGGACCAAAGATGATTGGATATTAAAACGGAGAAATGGTCCTTACAATCTTTATGGTCCAATGCAGTTAAATTGGATGTTGCCAAACACAATAACATTTGAAAATTCAACACTTTTTGAAACACCTTTGAAGCTGGAGTGCTTCTTCGAGAATGTTGAGTCGGTTGGTGTGAAAGCTCTTCCGATGAATCATGTCGATAATTTATGCGAGAATCTGAAATTTATGAAGAAATTCCAGACATTTTCCATTGAAGATGAAACATTCGAAAATGACGTGGTCGTGAAAATCATTTTGACTTTGCCGGATAACAACGTCGATGTTTGGACCCTGAGCCTTTGTGGAAAAAGTTATTTTTATGATAAATCGATAATTGATGCGTTTTTCAAAGTTTCATCAAATGTGCGTAGAAATGCCGATTTATGTATTATACAACCACAAAAAGGTTACACAACTCAAAAAATGTTGGATCGCTGGATCAATGGCATACGTTACTTTATCAAAAAGCAAAACGTGAGTTATTACATAGCTTATTTTGGAAAATAAAAACCTAATTTGGTTACAGAGCTGGAAAACAAAATCAATCAATTTTCACTTTGACAAAGTCAAACATTTTGAAATTATGATTGACAAGATTCAAGAGAAAGTTGCTGGAAAATTGGAAAATTTGGATTTGGGTTGGGGATATTTTGAATATTTCTCAGACAATTGCGTTATTACGGCATATTGCTTTTCAAGCATCAAAACCCGGAATTTTGAACAATAGCTTTGAAAATTACTTATCGGATGTAAAATTGTTTGTGAAATGTTGTATTTTTTTAATTTTTTTTTTGAATAAATGTTGATTGAAGAAACTGCAGATGTCAAAAAAACATCGGAAACATCAAAAAAAGAGTTACCGTAGTATTTTTATGTGATTTCTAAACAAAAGAAAGTCTCGAGACATGACACTTTTCTGAATAACAAAAAAGTCAGCTTTTGCCGATATGGGAAAGTATTTGAATAGGAAAACGACCTTGAGTTACAGTAACTAGGGAATGATGAAGATTGTGCCCATTTTTTCACAGAAAATTGATCCTCCCAAAAAATATTGACTTATGAGTCTCGAAAAGTTTGATTTGCCACAAATTAAAACAAACTTTGGCGGTTCAAATCTCCCAGGGTGCAGTATATAAACCATCTGGGGTGAAGTTGCCAGAGCAAAACATAGGAAGTTTTTGAATGATTTTTAAAACAATTCCTGTATCATAAAAATTCCTTTTATTAAATTTGTGTTTTATTTCACTCTATTCATCTTCACTTAAATCTACTTTAATAGCCAGGAAAAAGTTCAGATCCCAAAAATTAAATTGATGGGTGGGTAGGACATTTTTCTCAATGTTCTATACCACACCGGCCAATTTAATTTTTAGAATCTAGATTTCGAATAATAGTTTAGTAGCTTGTATATATGTATGTGAACTAAAAGTGAGAAAAAACTGGAGAAAAATGGGCGGGACTTTGGACAGTGAAGAGTGGACGATGCTGGAAAAAATAAGGAAAAATAGGCGGAGACTGGGAAGCAAGAGAACAAGTTCTCAAAACGGAGTCGCGCCTGTGGATCTTTTTTTAGTGTCAAGGAAGATTCAATAATCCTGGTGAAAATGTGAAAAGTCAGCAGTTGATTTTGAAAAGAAGTTGTATTTGAGAATATTTTTTATTCAACGAAAAAAAAATCTTATTGTTCCAAAAGCTTTAGATGAATTTTTCCAACTCCAACAAAACTAATAAGTTCGTGTTGCTGGCTTCATCACTGTCACCAAGCTTTCTTGATTCTGTAGAGTTTGATTCGTCAACGATACTTTATTCAAAATCCTGTAAAAATAGAGTTTTCTCAAATTTCCTTTTCATCAAACTTGCCATGAAACTTTTCCAACAATATCTTTTCTATATCTACCATTACAAACAATCATAACAATTGTAGCAGCTAAAGAATGCGCTGTTATCAAAAACATTGTGTCAGTTGCCAATTCTGAATGTGAGGAATTGTTTAGGGAAACTTAGGTTCAAAAAACGCTATAAAATTACCCTGCATTTCCAGCCAATTTTTGAGGAATATCACAAGGATTATAATCACTGGAACTATAAGAAATGTAACTGGTATTACACATTGTAAAGTGATCGCGAATAATGAAGCAATATGATTTTTATAAGTTGCTGGTGACATATGGACTTTCATTTTATTCAAAATTCGGATCGTGTGAGTTGCTAAAAGTATCAAGTAACCACCAAAAATCACACTGTTAATAACTGCATATGCTCCAAGAAAAACTAGCCAGCGATTGCTATCATAATCATATAAAACAAATCCGGGAATTTCCAATAGATGTATACATTCTGGATAGTTCTGCAAAATGAAGGGGGTAGTTTCAATCCTATTTTGAAATTTGGAAATATTCTTTGCTTCAACAAATATTGCATCATTTTTTTTGTGTTTCGTTCTTGACAAAATAAGCAAGAAAAACAGAGCTACCGTAGTCAGTTTATTTGTTTTCTAAACAATAGGAAAGTCTTGAGTCATGAAAAAGTCATGAATGGAAAATGACCTTGAGTTACAGTAGCTTGGGAACATGTTTCTTTTCTGAATTTTTTTTTTTGAAAAATAACCTTTTGTAAATAATCGTCAACTTCTTTATGTGTCGTAGCACTGATTGACATCACAAATGAATTCACAAAAGGAAAAATATGCCCAAGAAAAGTCATTATGTATGTGAAAACTAATGGAAGTCTATCAACCTGTAAAAATCTTGATGCAAATCAAAACACGAAAATTCTCTACCACAGATAATTCTGCTGCCAAATGATTTCTGTATTGGAAACACAAAACAATCGAGGGAAGTTCGAAGCTCAAAATCAACACATAAAATACAACACTTGTATGAGTTGATATGAAACTGCTAGTTATTTCTGAAGTATTATAGCCAGCAGGAATTGGGAAATAATAGTATCCCGGAGCTATCCAAGACATATATAATTCAGTTGTGAAGGATGTTATCTGTTGGAAAATATTTGCTCAAAAATTTTCAGAAACTAAACTTCTTACCTGCAAATACAATTGACAATAATGATATTTTGATTGTTTTTGAGAATGTTTGAAGACTAAATAAAGACCCAAAGCATTTATTGGAATTGAAATTCCAGCAATAAAATGTAACGTGAAAATATAATAGAATTGTGCTTCTCTTGGGCACATTTGTTGAAAATAATATTTTTTGGAAGTAAATTGGTCTAACAACCGGAGGGTATAATTATAAAATGTGCTAGAAGAATAACAACGTGGTTGATTCTGATTTGTTTGAAATTGTGAGTTCATTTCGAGTACAATATTATAATTGTAGATTGGCAAAAATGTGAGTTTGAACAACCAAAAATGGGAAATAAAACTTAAAATTGTTAATAAACATATATAAATTTTGAACAATTCCAGAATTCAATGTTCAAAGTACCAGAAACCCTGCAAAAATTCCGTTCTTTCAACATTTTTTTCTGACAAGGGAACCTTTTCAAGTTGCCATCGAGTTTTGAGCTCCAAATTTTTGAATGCCAACTTCTTCCAATTCTCTAAATTCCAAATTCCAATCTGAAAACTCGGAAGATGATTTCTAATCTCGAACCTTCCAATGCAATTTCTAACCTATCATGAAAGTCCCCCTAAAAATTTCCGAAAAAAAATGTACGGCAAGTTTTTTCCCCTCCTTTCTGTTATACTAATATTTGCTATTTGCACATACTGTTGACTAACACCATAGTCTGTTTCAAAAATAGAAAAAAAAGTTTCCATTGGCAAATTTTGAGTGCATCGAACTTTTTAAGGGAAACATCAAAAATCGGTTAATGTTTGTAGGTTGGAAAGTTTGAGTAAAAATTGGGACTCTTTAGCAGTTTGCCACTTTCATTTCATTTGCAAAAAAACCATTGCATCAGCCAAAAAATCGGACAACAAACAAATAAATATATAATTCGATTATATTCTATCACGAGGTTTTGAAGGCAAAAAATTGGTGTTTTTCATAACCTTAACCTTGGAAAATACCGTTCGTCATGAGATTTTCGAGAACATTCATACATATGTTTTTTATGTGATAAAAAAATAATAATAAATGTTGAGATTTTTGATCTTTGAGAAAAAAGTGAAAAGAACAAAAATCATAATTATCGAAAAAGTGCAAATTTTTTGTGTATTTTGGAATTATGTAATTATTTGTTTGCTCGATTAGAACACAAATGCCTTTTTTAGGACCGGAAAGGTGTCTGGAACAAAAATATATGTTTGGGTTTGGGTTTTGCTAATGTGCAAGCTTGGAAAATTTCTAATTTTGAACTATGAAATCAAGAAATTTTTTTCAAAACCAGGAGGATTTCAAAAAAAAAGCTTCCGCTTGCTGAAAAATCGATTTATGCTGGAATTATTCAGCTTAGTGTGCATGGCAATTTTTTCATCTTGAAATCAAAATACAAATTTTTTTAGCTTTCAAAAATAGTACCTAAATTTTTCACAAAAAAATATGATTGTTTTTCAAATTGAAACTTTTTTATTTTTCAGTCATAGAATTTTTAAAAATTTTAATTTACGTGAAAAATAAAGATTTTTAGAAGAGGTTTCCGCATTTTATTTTTAAAATAATTTCCCAAAAAAATTTTTTGACTTTTCAGTGAGTTAAAATTTTTATTTTAAAAACTGTTGCTCTTATCTTGCTCCAAGTTCTTTCGATCTATTCAGCAAACATTTATGAAAACCTTGCTCTGTTCTTAAAATTATAGTCCAAATCAAAAACTCCCATTCTTCCCATGTTAAAATAACTTTGTCACCCTCTCAAAAAAAAAAACTGAACATGGAATATTTATGACAAGCCGGTGCACACCGCAAAAGACAAACATTTCGATCTCCTCTCATTATCACACAGTAAAAGATACATTCCGAAAAAAGTTGTCGACAGAAAACTCGAAAGAAACATTGCGATGAAGAAAAAAACTGTGATATATATCTAGATTTTCGCTGCTCCTTCTGCTCCGCGTACGCGCACACAAACATAAAAGTTATATGCCGCGCGGCGCAGGAAATGGGGTTATGTACACTTGAGCGACATACTTTTTTATTATCAATTTGGCATGGTGTTACTTTTTAGTTTTTTTTGTTTCTTCACAGTTTTTTTGCTATCTGATTGATTTTTTGATACATCCCTTTTTTCATTATAAATTATTTTTTGTCGTTTTTTTTCGAAAAATTGTTTGATCTGTCTAGGTCAAATTGATAAACAGCTGTTAGAATCCCAAATTTTTTCCACCTACATTTTTTTTCGAAAAAATAGCTTTCCCTCGTGAGCACAAAAAGTGTAACATCAAAAAAATCGAAAGAACAAAGATCTACAGATTCTAAATAGGGACAGGACAGGAACATATTTAGAAAACAGCTGGTGAAGAATAATAAATAAGAACCCATAAAATTGCGCATCTGTAATTCATCTGGCGATTGGGGAGAGGAGTACTGTAGTTGCACTTTGTTACAGCTGGAAGAGTCTGGAAATTGGTTGAAAATTATAACGGTATAAACATCAAAAAAGTTTCTTGAAAATTTTGCAAAGTATTTTTAAGCAATGAAATTTTTGTTTAAAAATTTTTTAGGTCCTAAAAATTCGTTGCGTTTTCAAAATTCCCCTTCATTTTTCTTTCCCCCTCAAAAATCTTACGTTTCAGATAACCTTCATAATCCCTATAATAATATTAAAATTAGCTTGCACTTTAACTGATAATTGTAGGTTCTTGAAAAATGTACTTACAATAACTTTGATTTCTTGCAAAAACACGTAAAGCAACAAAAAAAAAACAATCTAGATTCATATCTTTCTTGTTAATTATTGTTTTTGTATACACTTTCATTGTACTGCTGAAAATTATATACAAGTTGTTTAAAAAAAAAAGTCTTTTTCTCACGAAAATTTGAGGTTTTTCAAATTTTTTTTCCAGGAAATCATGATACACGATGAAAATATGATACATCTTATTTGGATATTTATCTTCGCATTATTATTTATGGTATTTTCATGTCTTATGCTACGGATTTTGCTGTTATATTTAATTGAAAAAAATATTTTCAATCTCCAAGTGATTTTCAGTAACACGAGGTTAGTTAGTAATAAGAATTGAAAATTTCAAAAAAATATTTTTTTAATTTCAGGTTGCTCCAAAGTCCCCAAGAAAAACGAATATGTGATGCTTTAGCAAAACAGTTGAAGAACACTTTTCAAGATTCAAATATCAATATGATCACGCCAATTCAGCCCCAATTTATGGTTTCAAATTTGACGGAAGGTTGGTGATTTTTTAAAAAATATGTTAGAAAGACGAATGATTTTGGAGAACATGTTTGTTTAAAAAATCAAAAACCACAGGTGATAAGCAGAAATTTGACACCACAAAAAATATTTGCAAAAAAACAGTTTTTTCATTGAAACAAAAAATTTCATTTAAAATTACTGTTTCGTTGAAAATAATGTTTTTCGTTTTGAAAGAAAAACAGAAAGTTTTTAGAATCAAAATTTTTCATGTTTCTGAAATTTAGAATTTCGAAAAAAAGTCCCATATTTTTTGAATTTTCATTTTTATTCAAAATTAGGGGTTTAGTTTAATTCTCCAAAATGTTATTGAATAAAAGATCTAGGCTAATTTCAACCCAAAGTTAAGATCAAAAGCTTCCAAGCCAATCAAAAAAACCTCCACCCTCACATTTCTTCTTCTCAATTTCATCCCTCGAAAAAAAACATCTCTCGCGTTTTCTCACAAACGAGCTAGCGAAAGCAAAAAAAAATTGATGACGACTTTTTTTTTCCATCAGATGAACGACGGACGCATCGAAACAACACTGCTGTTCACCATTGGCCTTTATTTCAAATCGCAGTTGATGGCAAGGTTATTCCCATTTTTTTGCGTTGTTTTTTTCTGGGACAGACGAAACGAACGCCGTTTTTTTTCTTCTCTTTTCATTCGTTCGCTCATTCATATGTCATGGGTGTGGCGGTCATGTGTAAAGCGCAGCAGCCAAAAAAAAACAACAAAAACAAGACAAAAAATGACCCAGGGATCATGATTACGAAATATGTACATATCTATTGAATTTTTCCAAGTCTTCCCCCAAAAAGAGTACATACATTTTTTGGCAGGCAGGAAATTTAACTGCCTTTGTGTATATTCATATACATAAATAACCTTGTGAAAGTGCAACCACAAAATGAATAAAAATAAACATTTTGCAACAACAGCAAAAAAAATAAATTATGTTTTGATCCTTTATTTTTCAGTGGTCAAAACAACAATATCAATTTTTGTTTTGTTTTTCAGTTAACATAGAGCGTGTAATTAGTTTTTTTCTTTTTCTTATTTTTTGCGTTCTATGATTTGAGAACATGATTATTGATCAGAAAAATTATTATCAGGAATTTCAATATTTATACAGTATTGCGATACTTTTTCGGCCTTCTTTTGAAATATTTTCCTATTTCTGTCTATGTTTTTCTAAATTTCAACATTCCGGAACAATTTTGAAAACATTTATATTTTTTATGTTTCAACAAAAACTGCCACGTGAATACAAATTTCGAAATCAACAGAAATTATGAAAGACCCAGCAAATTCTGTTTCGAAATGCTGGTCTGTTCCAATTTCACATGAGAAAAAAATTGAAAAGTTTTCAAAACTGATTCAATTTTTGATGTCTTAAAAGTTGCAAATGTTTTCTGAATCTGTGTTGATTTTGCAGAGAAATGTTGTTTTTCAATTTCAAAAACAATTTCCAAGAAAACAAATATTTCTTGAAATTATGATAAATATCGGGAAATTTTGAAGACTGAAATTTTCTCCCACAGTTTTTCGCACAATTCTGAATGTTTTCATAAACAAATTGGGTACATTTTGATGTCTGGAATGATGTTTGATTCTTTCCAGAAAACATGACTTGCGGTTCTGAAAATTCAGAGCTTAGGAATCATTTTTTTCTGAAACGGGAGGAGGAAAAACATGACACATTGAAAATCTGAAAATATTTTAAAATTAGACGCAGACCCTGAAAAAAAATCCAATTTGTTTTTGACAAGGAATTTCCCTGTAAAGAGTTCAAAAGTTCCAAAAATTTCCTGTTGAGATACCCACATGACTTTTGCAATCTGGAACACCCATGTTACTTTTTTCTCTAGAATCAGTTTCATTTCCCAAACTGTTCGATCTTGTTTTTATTTTTTATCAATCACGTTTTCTCAACAAATCAGGTATTCTTTTCTTTTAAAGGTCATATTCGAGATGTCTTCTAGTTAAACCCATTGTTCAATGAACTGAAAACTTTTTTCAGTATCTTTTTCTCTCAAAACAAAATTTGATAAAATGAAATCGAACCGAAAGATCATTTTGCAATCACAATCAGTTGGTAAATAAAAATCAAATCAAAAAAAGTATGTGCTTATGTTTGTCTCTTCTTTTTTCTTCCCAATTTAGTTAGTGAAGGTCGACTGGTCACAAGACGCCACGTTTATAATAAATATAAATATATGACGAGTAGAAAGAAATGAATGGATGGAATGACCAATTGTTTCCCACGTATTGACCCCTTATCGTATTAATCATGCCTTTTTAGATGGTGGTAACAAAAATATGTTGTGTTGTATGTAGATCATTTTTAGGATACATTACATAACATTCTGATGTCATTTCGAAACACAAAAGCATTATATTTTAGAGGGCCGTGAAAAAAAATTTGGAATTTACAATTAATTTTTGATGCTCTGCCCTGCTCTGCAAAATTAAAATGTTGCGTGATCGAAATTTTTTATGATGCTCATTCTTTTATCAATTTATTTCTCCTAGATAGACAAAGGTTCAGAGAAGCACATAAAAAATTATATTTCTCTATACATATAATATTTTATCACTGACTCATTGCAAGTACAATCAGATTACTGTAGTGCCCTTTTTGCTAAACATATCTAATCTGAAAATAAAAATAAAAAGTTTTCAGAATCCCGGATGGCAGGAAATCCGGATTCCTTTTTCGAAATAATTGGATATTCAGCTAGCTGGAATAGTTGGTTCTTTGAGCTCAAAAAATCGAGAAAAAACTTCTTTCTAATCCCAAAACAAGACTTTTCTCACAAATCCCTCACATGTTCATTTATTTTTTATTTTGAATGTGAGATATATGTATATAGCATACTGTAATTTATATTTTTCATTTTTCACACCCTGGGAATCGTTGAACTTTTCTATAAAAAAAAACCTTGTATGTTTCATAAAATTGGCTTCGTTTAAACTTTGCGAGGCAACAAATAATTATTTTTATTTTTATCACGGAATTTTTGATAATAACAAGAAAACAATAGTATTTTATTATTAGAATGACATCATTTTTGTTGTTTCGGGTATATGTTCGCACTTCCGATATATCTTTTGATTTATCTCATGACTCATCTTGATTTCTTTCAGATTCTCGATCCCGAATTATTGATAGCGACTAGAGCGCCGGATTATCATAGTGTTGTTGGTGAGGATTTTTTTTTTTGGTTTTTTGGGAAAACGGAAAAATTTTTGGGCTTATTCATCGGGAATGAAGAGAACAATAGGAAAAGTACACGTTCCCAGCCTTGGGTTTTATATATTTTTAGTCTTGAGAAAAAAACCATTTTTGTTGAAATTGGAAGTTCAGTTTTGAATCTGAAAATTTTCTCAAAAGCTTCATCATTCCATGAAATGTCACCCTGTCTATCAACATTTCCCTTTGAGTTCTGACCTTTTAGTCTTTTCAAAAAATGGAACATTCCCATAAAAAAGTGTAGATCAAATTTCCTACTTCAAACAAACAAGTAGTTGTTTGAAAAAATATGTAGTTCCTGATCAAAAATCCCATTTTTCACCATAGCTTCATAAATCTTTCAAAAACCCCATCAATTTATTAATAGAATCAAAACAAATTTGATCTCTGATATTTTCAACCCAGAACTTTTTTTTTTCTGCTGTGTGAATGAAACAAGATGACAAATTTTTCTCATTTGTTCATTTTTGTTTTGAGAAAGAAAGAACAGACCGAACAAATATATCTGTCTGTTGTGGGCGAGAAAAATGTTGCGCTTTTTCGAAAAAAACATGTGGTTGATAGATCAAACTTTTTCTGAGTGCTGTTCGAAAAAAATTCAAAGTTGAGAGGTGCCCTGGTTTACACAAACAGAACACTTGAATGCTTGCTAAAAGTAACATAAACCAAACAAACGCGACGCAAAAATTTTATTTTTAAACAGATCGGTTTTTAGTTACTCATCTTTCGATACCAGTTCCTTCCTCATTTCCGCGAGAAAGAGTTGATTTAACTCCTCCGCCGCAAAACTTTTTTTTATTTATAAATAACTTTGACCCTTGATCAATAGCGCGCTCTGCGCATAGCGCATACACACATTTATTCAAAAAAAAGAAAAAGCAAACATTACTCTCTCTCTCTAGGCTCCTCTTCTGGCGCGAAAAACCTTTTTTTTCACTCTCTAACTTTTCTTTTTATTTATTTTCATATTTTCTCTGTTACTCGTTAAAAAACATACATAAATAGGTGGATAGTTCCAAAAAAATCCTCTATCTCGCTCCACCTCTTTTTCGAAAAAATGAAGCTCCGCCCATTTTCGGGGTTCGGTCATTATCGGCTCCGCCCACATCGCATACTTTCTATAACTGCTCATCGAACGTGTATATATATATTTAGATAAAATAAAATGTTCGTTGAAACAGTTTTTTTTCATTTTTTTCACAAGTTAGTTACATTACTTTCACTTTTCACTTTGACCCCTTATCTTTTTTCATTTATATTTTTTTCGAAATACATTTCATTTCATTTTATTTTCAAAAAAAAAACTAATTAGATAAGGTTTTCTTTCTGGTAGGGAATGGACTGGGTTTGGTTTCAAAAAAAAATCAGCCCAACTTGTTTTCTTCTTGCTATGCTAGCTGATCGTTAATCCATGAATCCTATGATTTTTCTCTTCTGTTGTGTTGTGTTGTGTCTCTTCTCTGGGGGGGGGGGGTAGGCAAAAAAAGAGGCTCGTTGGCACTCGCTATTTTTTATGTGTTCGTTTTTTTCTGGCCACCCAGAGTGTTTTTTTTTGTCTTTTTGTCGACCCAGAGAATCAATTTCTTTCTCTTTGCAGAATCATCTTCTACAATGCTTTCCACCGATTATTTTCGCAATAATGTTCAGCCACTTGGAGTTAACACAAGTCTAAACCGACATGAGGTTAGTTGAATTTTCTTTTTATTTTTCTTAGGAGATTTTCTAGAATAACATTTACAATTTTTTAGGATTCCCGATTTGGCTCAAGCTCATTCGGATCTTACGGTAACTCGCAAGATCACGTGCCAGTCGATCGGCCACTTTTTGTCAACACATCAATGTCGGCGTCGCAGCGAGTTGATTTATACCGACGCCTTTCTGACCCGCCAAAAGACAACGAGCCAGCTCTCACCTTCAACTACAGAGGTTATTGATTGAATTTTTTCGGCTTGGCTCTGCTTGAACTCAACAATTTCAATTTTCCAAATGATCTATCGTCTAGCAAAATCTGGTAGCAGCTCGAGAGTTATAACTCTTCATTGTTTTTTTTTGCCTCCCTCTGTTATTATATCGCAATTTTCAAAGTTTCAAACTTTTATGTACTTGTAAATATTCCCCAATTGGTTGGAATTTCTTTTTTTTTCACACAAACACACACCCAGGCGTTTATTTTTTAATTTTTAATTTTGATAATCCAATCTCAAGTGACCCTCCCTCTATTTCTCTGTATATATTTCAGCCCATCTTATGCAATTCGTGTCCAGAAAATTTACATGTCCGGTTAGCATCCCGTTTTGTTATTTTGATTTTTTTGAAGAACTACTGTAGTTGAAAATAAGATCATAGAATTCTTGGAGAAGAACAGAAAAAAAATAATATTTGTTTGTTTTTTATTCACCGGTAATAAACAGTTATACATGGTAATCTTTGTGTTTTTGATTGAAATGATTTTTTTCAGAAAAAACAAGTTCCTCTAAACATTTTACTGTTTTCGAGGTGCTCAGCAATCCTACCAAGCCCAGGAAAATCTAGACCCATTAGATTTTGTGGGTTAAAATCTAACCTAGAGATCTCGCCTAAGCCTAAACCTAGATGTTGAGCCTCAAGCCACATCTCTAGATTTTGATCCATTTTATTCAGCCCTTGCCGTTCCAAACTTTTTTCTTTATTTGAGAACAAAGTCAATTGCAAATTAGGGTCATTTTTTGCCTCATCAAAAAGAAGCAGCAAAAAAAATTTCATTCTCCAGACATTTTTTCAATCATTTGTTCTATCTTTTCAAACACAAAACGTATCATTTCGAAAATCAAACAATTTTTTGGGTGTTTGCAACAGCAAGGTTGACGGCTATTTTAACCCAACACAAGAACAAAAACAGCAAGACAAAAAATCATCTCTGAAAAAAAAAACGAATGAGAAAAACATATTTTTCCCATGTGCTGTTTTGTTTTTCAAGTGTCCACCAAAGAATATTTTTGTCTTCTCTCTCGCTTATTTTTCTTCATCCAGCTCGACTTTTTGCTGAAACTGCTCGAGGCACACACACACAAAAACACAAAGATCGCGTTTTTGTTTTTCTGCACTTTTGAAAAACATCAATCTGAAATCAGATGTACTTGTTTTTTGCGATTGATGAACTTCGATTTATCTAGACGTTGGTTGATGTGATAAAAAACATCAGTGTTCTGAAACTGAAAATAAACACGTGAAGGTACGTATTTCCTTTTCAACAGAAAATGTATAGATAAACTTCCGATAGACATTATTTCAAATAATTGGATTTCATGTTTTCCACTGCCGTTGTTTATTTATGTATAATTTCAGAGAACTGGTTATTTTCAGATACGAAAATTAGTTTTTTTTGTAGTTTGGGTTTAGTAATGATTTATTTGAAAATGGTCAGGTATGTAAACAAGTATGAATGTTGGTCTTTTTCTGGGTGGTCCTGAAAAAAATGTGGAAGATTCCGAGAACATATTAACATAAGTAAATTGAAATTATGTATTCAATAAATTCTGAATTTTGAATTCATATTCAAAAAGGAAGGACATTTTTCATTTACTCAAAGTGCTGGAATTTTTAGATTTTTTTCTTTTTTTTTCTACTTGAAAACAAATTGGATTTTTTCAGAAGGAAGAAGGGGTTTGCAGAGAAAATTGGGAATGAAGGAGGAAACTGGATTTTTTGTGATTGAAAATTTAAAAAATTTGAAATTTTTGAGTTGGATATTATTCAAATTCAGGATATTATTCTAATGAAGAAACGTGAAGTTTCCAATATTTATGATCTGATCTACGCCGACAATTTTTGATGAAATTCAAGCCTAAGAGTTTGAGTTAGTAAAAAATGTTCCCAATCATTTCCCAATTTGAACCAGTCTCGATGCATTTTCAAATACAAATTCCATAAAAAATTCTGATCAATGATCTATTTTTGTCATCAAAGGCACATTCCCGCCAATTTTTTTCTTACAGTATTTTTCCTATTATTAATTCATGTGTGTAAAAAAATGACATCACTGATTCATCTGCTCCTCTCTCTCTCTCTCTCTCTCTCTCTCTCTCTCTCTCTGTACAAAAAAGAGCCGTCGACTGACCGACCGATGGACAGGTGACCCGCGCAGCCCAACAACATAATATATTAAAACTGACGTCATCCTATAGTATATTCGAGAAGAAGAAGAAGAAGAAGGAGAGATTTACCCGCAATATAGTGAAAAGCGGGAACATTCGAGAAGAAGGCAATGTACATACGTACATAATTATTAATGACGTGTACTGTAGAACACTTATTTGCATAAAATTGGCAAAGATGGGATGAAGGAGAAGGGAGAAAGAGACGTATGGCGGTTTATTTTTTGGTGAAGGGAATGGTGAATTTTCTAGACATGAATGTTGGATAATTTAAATTTTGCATGCTTTTCGTACCAAAAATCGTTTTTGCAAACATCTCTAATTGTACCTGTTCTGAGAAAAAAGGAACAAAGTTAAATTCACAAAAATCAAGAGGACGGCACTTTTTTGACCATTGTGAGAATTAAAAATAATAAAATTCAGTTACAGTTTCATCGTCAAAAATCTGAAAATAATTTTTTCCCAATTTATCAACTTTTCGTAACCTGAAAATGCATTTTTAATTAAATTATTGATTTAACAGAAGATAATTTTCAAAAATAGCTCTGGAAATCATTAAAATTATTTTCCAAAGTTTCTGAATTCATCATATGGATTTTGTTTTCAGTCAAAGTCAGGATAACATTTTTTCAAAAAAAAAATTATTTTTTTTGCTTGATTTGTCAAGGTTTTCTGTTTATCACTTCCAGAGACCAGGAACTATTTTTTTGTACTAATTTTGCACTACTTAGACTTCCGCTCTAAAACCACAAAAACATTTTTTTGCTATTTCAAAATGTCTACTTTCGGGTCACGAAATACAGTTACGATGATACCAATGCGTTCAAAAATACATCAAATACAAATCTTATCACATAAAATAACTAATTAATCAAACCTTTCCGTTCTTGTTTTTTGAAACCAAAAATAACGTTTGAACTTTGATTTTCGGGGGATTTGCTTTTCCCAGAAAAAATGCAAAAACTGTACGATACAATTTTTAATGAGAAAAAATCACGGGGTAAATATGGATACAAATCCTTGGATTATACCTTGAATTTTTAATTTATTTTTTAACCTCTTTATAAAATCCCGTAGGTATGAATTCTGATTAGAAATTTTTTCGCACATTTTTTCACCATTTTTTTCACATTTCTTCAGAAATTTTAAAAATCATACCTAGCGGATATAGGAAAATGCTTCGACTGGGAATCGAACCCGTCAAAAATGCTCTGATCACAAGGCAGAGTTACGTACCACTTGACCATGAATGCCTACGTGAAAATCAGTTTATTTCTTTAATTTATAAATGATCATTTTAAAAAAGCGAAAAAATGATTTTTCTTTGAAATTTTGAGAATTTATACAACTGTTTTGTCTAGGGGCATCGCCCCTAGTTGTATTTCAAATAAAAACAATTAGTCATATGACTACTTGATAATTTCAAGAAATAATACAAACTGATTGAGAAAATATGACTAGAAAGAGATCCAATAAAGATTTTAAAAAATATGAATGGAACTTTTCATGAAACTCATGTGAAAGTGGGCTTTCTGTACTCTGGTGTCATTTATTGAGCACTTTGTGATAAGAAAAAGTTCACTATCAAGTTTTCATTCTACAGAACATGTGGGTTTTTTCTGAATTTTTGTATTTATTCAAGGTACATTCTGTAGAATTTACAACATTTTCTTACATTTAGTTGTTAGATAACGCACAAATTTAGTTTATTAAAAAAAAACCTGGAAACAAGAAACCTCAATGAGTCATTTTAAAGAGAGTTTTTAAACTAAAAAAAACTCTCAATTTCTCAAATGGCTTTTTTTTAAATTTTTAAATGTGTTCTATGAAGTTGCCGAAAAGGCAAATATTTATAATTATTTGCAAATGTTCACTGAATTTATGAATGGGTTTTTAGATTTGAGAAAAATTCATGTAGAAATTCATACAGAAATTCATCAAATTTTATTTAGACGTGTCCAAATTGCCTCGTCTAATTGTGGATACTCTGAAAAATCTGAAATTATTTTCAGTTTCTGCAAAACATGAATTATTTTCTCTTCATTTTTCTCTCCGTTTTCCTTCTCAACAAAAACATCGATCTGAAAACCAATTCGAACCACATTTTTCATCTGTAAACCCCTTTTTCAATACAAACAACACTCCACTTTTCCCGTCGCATTTTGTTTAGCAGTGGGTCTCGAAGCGCGGCCCTTTCAGTTTTTTTACTAGTCAATACTCGACATAAGGTGTTTTTTATTTATTTTTTCGTCTTTTGTCTTTCAAACCGAGTTATCTCATCTCTCTCTCGCTCAAAAAGAAATTGAAAATATTTGTTCTTTTCACATGATGACGTTGAACTTTTTTCTTATCATCAACAAGAAAAAGAGGCATGCGGAGGGAGTTGTAAATTTTTCGCTTATCTTTGTGACGTTTTTTTGTTCGATTAAAGTGAAATTACCATATCCGTAATATTTTGCAGAATGTCGACGGCAAACTTGCAAACAATTTTCAAAGGAGTTGTTCGATTTGTTGCACAACAGATGGCAAATCCACAAGGAAACACGCAAGTTGTTCAAAGTTTGGCTCCTGGAAATATTCAACAAAGACCGTTTTCGAATCGAGCTGGACTTTTTAAGGTGAGAATTTGAAAGATTTTCTGGTGGAAAATATTAAACTTTGGGGGAGAATAATATTTATTTGTGATAAATGATAAATCAATATTAAAACATTCACGAATTATTGCAAAATAAGTTTTTTTCAAAGTTTTTTTTTCATCTATTTTTAATTAAAACCTGGAAATGCTATCCTGAAATATAAAAATTCAGGATTCTAATGAATTTTTTTTTGAAAACTTTCAAATATTTTTTTTAGAAATCTCTTACGAAAAAAAAATAAATTTTATTTTATTTTAAAATATTAAGAACGTTTGAGCAAACATTTAATGTGACTCCACGTAATTTCAAATGTCTCTTGAATAAAATAATTTCTTGATCTTCGAATTTGAAAAAATCAAAAATTATCTTTTTTCCAACAAACCATGTGACCTGGTTTTTTGCAAAAAGTGTTCATAACTGATAATTTTTTTAAAGATCAAAATAGAGTTTCTTGAAAAACTGTGAAACTCTCAAAATGTTTTTGAATGCAGTAAATAAAAAAAATGAATTCATGAAAATCAGCAAGACTTAAAAATTCCAAATCAATCAATAATTTTTGCAGCTCTTTGCCGTTTGCACCAGTTCACTCTACCTCGGAGGAATGATTGCTCACAAAGGTGCCTCATTTTTAGAAGAGAATGAGATTTTCGTTCCAGCTGAAGATGATGATGACGATTAATTTTTCTTCTTCTTCTTCTTCTATAATTTTTCCCTTTTCTCTCATATACTTAATCTTGTCTTGCCCATTTTCTTCAAAACCTGTGCTGATGTTTCTTCAACCTTTTATGGGTACCCAAATTTCTATCAACGCCAAAGCATAATTTTTTCACATTCATAAGTACTTTTTTTGTATTTGTTGTACATTTTTTTCAATACTTTTATAGACATTGATAATAAAATTTTCTATCTTTTATTTCACATTTGTTAATTGTTTTGAGTCAGCTGTTTTTTCAGAGGGAACATGAAAACACAAATTTAATTGTTTGATAAGAAATTTCGATTTCTAAAGGGTTGACAGAAAATTGAGAGTGGGAGTTTTCAATACGTGTGGCATCAGAAAAAGTTTCATTTCGAAATTTTTTTTTTTGGATTAGGGAATTGAAAGTTTAAAAATGGTAGTTCAATCAAAAATATAGCTTCAGAAGCCATCATTTCCCTAATCGTAACTTATACTTTTTTCAAATCGTAAGTATACAGTTTTAGTTAGGGAAATGATGGATTCTGAAGAAAAAAATGGCTCAAAAAAGCCACCTTCTCTTGTCGTTCTTTTTAATACCTTTACATATTCCAGGAATTAATAAAGATGACAAGAGAAGATGGATGAGCAAAATGTGGATTCTGATATTTAACCGGATAAGCCAAACTTTTATATTTTGGGATTATCGGAAAAATATGAGAAGTGGTAGTTGAATCGGAATGATTGAGAATAGTTTGAAAACGCAATTTAAAAAAGTGAATTCAGCACCGTTAGTTCTGAATCTTGAAGGTGTTGCTCTAAAATAAATCAGAAATGGTAGTGGAATCAGAAAAAAAAGCTTCAGAAGCCACCATTTCCCTAATCCTAACTTATACTTTTTTCAAATCGTAAGTATAAAGTTGTAATTAGGAAAATAATGGCTTCTGGAGAAAAATATCAGCTACTTTGAGGGTTTCATTCAATAAGAAATCAGAAATGGTAGTGAAATCATATAAAAAATATAGTTTCAGAAGCCATCGTTCCTCTCATTCTAGCGAATACTCTTTTAAAATGTAAGTATAACACTGTAATTAGAAGAATGATGGATTCAAAAACACAAAGGTCAGCTCAAAAAGCCACCTTTTCCTGTTTTTCTATTCAATACCAATTCATATTTCAGGAATTGAAATGGAAAACAAGAAATGGTGGATGAGCAAAAAGGTAGTTGAATAATGAAGGTATGCTCAAAAGAGCCACCTGTTCTTGAAGATCGATTTAATACCTTTTCATATTCTAGGAATTGAAATCGATGTCAAGTAAAGTTGGATGAGCAAACTAAAAGTTAGCTCAAAACCATCTTCTCTGGGCAGGATATGTATACCTCTTTTTCTAGAATTTCCGGGTAATATCTAAATCCTGCACAGAAAAGATAGTTGAGCCAGATTCAGAAAACTGAATGATTTGTGAATCTCCTCATCCCCTTTTATATGGTCCGAAATAGGCGGATCTTTGACTAAAAGTGGGCGGAGCTTAGATTACCTAGATAAAGGTGTTAATTTTGACACATTCTATGTTTTTGGGAAACACGAGGTGTGAAAATTGATAGTGGCTTTTTTTAACAGGTGCGACGGGCGATATGGGAAAATTCTACATTTGCATTGGAAGAAAATAAGTTTACGGTTTGAGTTGTGAGAAGAAAAATAGACAGATTATTGATGAAAATCAACACTCAAATTTCTGACTTCAGCCAAATTTTTACAGTGGAATCTGTTGATGCGAAAAATTGAGTGTTTATCAGTTGGCTGGACAACCAAATCAAGATATGATGGAGCATTTTTCATATTTTTGCTATCATTTCTGATTTCTTATCGGATAAAGCTTCTGAAATAAAGGTTCGGACCGATTTTTCGGACCGAATAATCTCACCGATTATTTCACCAGTAACAAAAATAATCGGGCCGATTTTTTTCAAAATAATCGGGCCGATTTTTTTCAAAATAATCGGACCGATTTTTTTTTTAAAATAATCGGACCGATTTTTTTTTCAAAATAATCGGGCCGATTTTTTTCAAAATAATCGGACCGATTTTTTTTTTAAATAACCGGACCGATTTTTTTCAAAATAATCGGACCGATTTTTTTCAAAATAATCGGACCGATTTTTTTTAAAATCCTTCTTTCATCGAGACACCACCCAATCGGGATTTTATGAAAAAGGTAGATTTCAGCGCACGTAGAAATAGAAACAGCGCCGAAGGTTGTTCCTAACGCAAAAATCAATGTCCCTTTAAACTATCAGCATTTTTATATTGCAGCATAACACTTGTATTTTTTTGCAAAAATTCATTTCAAAACATTCTTTATCTGGGATCATTGCATTAATCATCACATATTTTTTCACAGTTTTTTATCGTGTTTATTTTTCAGACATTTGTTTTTTCTTACATTTAGATATTGTTTTTCGATAAATCATTTTTCATTTTAACATAAGAAATATTGTTGATTTTATCAAAATAATTTTTCCAGGGCAATGGACGGGTATAGCGTATTAAAATTGTTTGGTTTTCGAACAACTACAGTATTGGATATTGAGAAACTTCTCGATCTCACTCGAGAAGATTATATTATAACCTCAAAAATTACTGGCGAAAAATTGATTGACTTGCGAGTTCATCCGATGAATTGTGGTTCTGCGTTTCTCCGTCATAATGGAAATATTATGGCACTGCATACTTTGTTCAGAATTCAGTGAGTTGATTTTTTGGAATGCATTTTATTGAAATTCTTTTTTTTTTTAGGCATGACATCAGAATTTATGCTTCTGAACCACTGGTATACGAGCTGGAGAGTCCGAATTACTGGATTCCGATTTCCCAGTTGATTCTCACAAAAATCATTGAAGAATCAGAAGAGCCACCAAGAAAACGAAAATACAAAAATTGGTTGAGAAAACTTTCGCTTCGAAAATAATACTGTTTTTTTAAAGCAGATTCATGTAATTATGTATTTTTTCTATTTTTCGAGAAAAATGAATAAAGTTTTCAATCTGAAAAAGCAATGTTTTTTAGAAACAAAAATGATGCTCAATAATCCACCTTCTCTTGTCGCTCTATTCGATACCTTTCTCTACAAGGAATCAAATTAGATGACAAGTAAAGGTGGACCTGAGGAAAATGTGGATTCACAAACCACTATCTCTAATTCTTAAAGAAGCAAACCTCTATTCTCAAAGGTTTCACTCTAAAAGAACTTAGAAATAGTAGTTGAATCAAAATATAGCTTCAGAAGCCATCGAACGCCCTTAAATAAACATATACGTTTCAATTATTACGTATATGATTATAATTGGGCGATTGATGAACTCGAAAGCGCAAGTGATACCTCTAATGAGCCATTTTTTTGAATACCAGAGGTCAATAAAGATGATTGGAGAACTTGAATGAGCAGAAAATCGATTCAGAAACCACCATTTCCAATTTTTTCGAACCAAACCTATAGTTTTGAGGTTTTACTCGGAAAAAATCAGAAATGGTAGTTGAATCTTATGGTAATCTAGAGTTTTTTAGATCTAGAGAATGGAATGATAATTTCTTTCACTCGTGCTCTTTTATGTGGATAAAAAAAAGGCGGAGTTTTGATATACCAGGGTAATTTTTTCATACATAAATCTGGAAAAAAACCTTTTTTGAGTACAAATCATCGCTATACGATTGTACGAAAAATAGTACGATTTTCTCTTTTTTTGGATGGAATATGTATCTTGTCCTTTGCCGGTTGTACTAAATTTCCAGAAAATTCTGAAAATATTCTAGGTGTTCGGGTTGACATGAAGTTCTGAATATGAATTCAATTAAAATTTGTGAACCTACAAATCACATATAAAAACATAATTTCCAAATTTTTTAAAAAACTTTAATTATAACCTTGCTGTGTTTTTGCAAAATTTAGAGAATCAAATTCAGTGAGCCAGGACACCCCACAACGTCCGATTTTTCCATGGATCAATATGTTTATTATAATAATTTTTCTGTAAACTGATTCTACTCACAATCAAAAATCCAAGCGTACTTTGTGCTACTTGCTCCAAAACAACATTTTCTGCTTCTCTTGTTTTCACTCTTTCTCTCTAAACTCTCCTCATCTCTAACACTATTTTTCAATAGAGAAGGTCCAAATGTCCTCCGCCAGTTGTTGTTGAGGCGATTTTGCGCAACAGCACGTATTTTCCCGAGCTTCTCGTTTTATTTTTTTTTCTTGAATTGTTTTTGTAGTACTTATCAAAACCTTTTTTTTTTGAAAATATAGAAATTATTGAAAAATTTCAGATGGCTTCCGATGATCATCATTCAGCTTATGGAATCGAAACTGATTCTATGACATTGCAAAGATATGTGATTCAATCTCAAAAGAAACATCCATCAGCGACTGGAGATTTGACCAATCTTTTGACTTCATTGCTCACCGCATTTAAGGTAAGATTTTTGAAAAATTGAAAGCTAAAGTCTCCTACACTTCAGGCTATCTCAAGTGCTGTTCGAAAAGCTGGTCTTGCTCAACTCTTCGGAATCGCTGGAAACACAAATGTTCAAGGAGAAGAAGTCAAAAAATTAGATGTTTTGAGTAACGAACTTATGATCAATATGCTCAAATCTTCGTTTACAACATGTGCCTTGATTTCAGAGGAAAATGAGCAGGTATTATCATTAAAGTTATACTAACTTTATTCATTTTCTTTCAGTACATTGAAATCGAAGATGCAAAGAAAGGAAAATACATCGTCACTTTTGATCCACTTGATGGATCTTCAAATATTGATTGCCTTGTTTCAATTGGAACTATTTTTGGAATCTATAGAAAAGTGAACGAGGGACCAGTCACTGGTGCTGATTTGCTTCAATCTGGAAGAAAATTGGTGGCCGCTGGATATTGTCTCTACGGATCAGCAACTATGGTTGTTCTTTCAACCGGGCACGGTGTTAATGGTTTTATGTTGGATCCAGTGAGTTTTTTTCAGAAAATTAGTTAGAAGAAAACTTTTTCACAATATGAATTCTGATATGAAAATAATTATAGAAAAAAATTTTATTGTTTTCCAGAGTCTTGGAGAGTTCATCCTAACCCATAAGCACATGAAAGTCCCAGAAAAAGGCAAAGTCTACAGTATCAACGAAGGCTATGCTAAACACTGGTCAAAAGGTCTTACCGAATATGTGCGAACTCGAAAATTCCCAGAAGAAGGGCAAAAAGGAATGAATCAAAGATATGTTGGATCAATGGTTGCTGATATTCACCGAACTATTTTGAATGGTGGTATTTTCTTGTATCCTGCCACCAAAGATGCGCCAGATGGTAAACTTCGACTTTTGTATGAAGGAGCGCCGATGGCGTTTTTGGTTGAACAAGCTGGTGGACTTGCTGTAACTCATTTGGTTTGTTTTAATAAGGTGATTTTGGAAAAAATTCTATTTTGTTTCAGGGAAAACCAATTCTTGATATTGTGCCCACTGAAATTCATGTCAGAAGCACTGTCTTTATGGGAAGCAAAACTGATGTTGAAGAATTGATTGAATTTTTCAAAAAGTATGATAATATTCAATAAATATTTCTCTAGGTTTATTTTTCTATTGAATTGCTCTTCTCAAATTACAATATACAACATTGAACTTGAAACTATAAACAAAATGATCAAATTTTGAGCATTTCTGTATGGGTGGCCTGGTCTGAATTTTTGAAAAATTGAAAAGTTCACAGGCGAAAAAAACAAAAAATTTTGTTCATTGCGGACCATCATTTTGCTGTTTTTTCTTTTCATTTTCATTTTTCTAGTCAATTCTCGAACGATTGTGTGAATGAAAGAGGGATCAGAGCAGATTCTGGAGGGGTTCCCATAAGGTACACTGTAGGGTACAGGACACGCCCCTTTCCCTCTAAAAGTCCGCAGTGTGCCCTTTTTCTTCTACAGAAATGTACTTTTTCTTTCAATAGAATGATGAAATTGGCATTTTGCCAAATGCCCTCGCGCTGTTTCTCACCGTCTGCGTTTCTCAATGTTCTATCTACAGCCATATTTTTCTCGCACACCACATTGACATGTGTAGACGCTCGACGTTTTCGAAATCATTTTTCTTTATGTTGCTATTCTATATTTGATATTTCACGGGTTCTGCAGCAGCTATGAAGGTAATTATAACTTTGCAGGATTAGGAAACGTGAGCCATTCGTGACCAGGGATTTTTGCTGGCAATCATCCCGATCCTTCTTCTTCTTCTTCTTGTGTCTCCCCCGAGACCTGATAAGTTTTCTTTCCGGTGACATTTGTGTTACATGTCCTGCTCATCTCATTTTACTCTTCATAATCAAATTTGTCATATTTGGAGGTTCCGCAGCTCGAGCTTGGTCCCAGATGTGATTGGTTGTTTTCTGGATGCTTTTCACTTCTGTGTTCCACGTCTCAGCTCCATAAGTTGCGGTAGCAACTACACTTTGTTTCAGTAACTGGGTTTTCCTTGGTATTCCAACTCCTGTTAGCGCATCTGCCAACCCATGATAAGCCGCCCAGCTACTCTTTTTCGATTAGCGATTTCTGATTCGAGAATCCCGACTTTTCTGAATATACGATCCAAATATTTTATCTGATCCACATCTTCAAGTCTTTCACCTCTCACAACCACAAATCTCGTTTCGCAGGACTTTTGATTTTGCCGTGTTGAAATGAAGTCCGGCTTCTGTATGTTTTTCGGTATGTCTACTTGAGGTGTCAATGTGCACCAAGTCGTCAGCGAACAATAGTCTTGAAATATATTGACCATGAATTTTGCAACCGTAACTACCATCGGAGTCGTCTTCTGGAATCGAATCGGCTTGTCTCAGCAGGTGGTTCAGCACTATCGAAAAAACGCTTGTGATAAGGAGTCGCCTTGGCGAACTCCGCGTTCCATTTTGATTTTAATCTTTTTTCGTGCACTGATAGTTCTCCGCACTCCAATTCTCGAACGAGAGATAATGTGAATCAAAGATGTATCAGAGGTACACTGTAGGGTACATGACACGCCCCTTTTACCTCTGGAATTTTGCCAAATGCCCTCGCGCTGTTTCTCACCGTCTGCGTTTCTCAATATTCTATATACAGCCATATTTTTCTCGCACACCACATTGACATGTGTAGACGCTCGACATTTTCGAAATCATTTTTCTTTCTGTTGCTATTCTTTATTTGATATTTCACGGGTTCTGCAGCAGGCTATGAAGGTAATTATAACTTTGCAGGATTAGGAAATCCACCTGTTTTCAGTGTTGATGGTTTGTTTCCATGGTTATTCATTATAAATCCCACATTAAATCATCAAAAACCATATTTTCTGATGTTCAAAAATCTGCAGATTTTTTTCTGTTTTATTTTAGGAATCCCTGAAATTTCTATTTGTCAATTGAGATTCTGGTTAAAGGCACTAATGCATCTGTTTCAAACCGGCGAAGGTGTTGAAAGTTCTGGAAGATTCTCAAATTAAAATTTTCTACTTAGCTAGACCATGGTCTGATTTTTCAGTTGAAAAACCAGAGTTTCTAAAAATTTTGACAAAATTTATGTATTTTCCGAGCATTTTTATCAAGTTCGATCCAATTAATTTTGAAAACCTTTCATTTATTGAGCTGATCTGTTTGAATTATGGAAAGTCTGATTTTTTGCCCTTGAAAAATGTGTAGATTTTTTGAAGTTCTAAGGAACTTCTGTTATCAAAAACAAAATATAGTATCTTTGAAAAAATCTAGAAGTTTCAATTTATGTGCCAAATGTTGTTAGATATTATGGTCTAAAAACTGTAGAAAATTGAATCTTGAGTCCTTTTTCTCCAAAAATATTCACCTCCTCGTATTGTTCACTTTCCCATACAGTACTCTTAGTCAACAAAAGGCAGCTTACGAAAATAACCTTTTTCCCATAGAATTGAATAAAAACAAGTGTGATTCATTCGGTGTTTTCCCCCAAAACTAATGTCGTTTTCTATTGTGTTACTTACTTTCTTTTTTTCCTAAAATAGTGGTAAACAAGAGATATTATTGGCAAAACAGAAAAAACAGTTTTGTTTTTCAGCTGTTAGTTTATTTTTGCCCTTTCCACAGATGTTTAGTTGTAATATTTTCTGGATTTTTCTATCTATGTTCCTTCCTCCTTTCTCTTTTATATAGTACTGTCATAAGACTCTCACTTCCTCTTTCTAACTAACTATATAGTGTTCTAATCTCGCCAGATGTTCTAGACAGAAATTTGAATCAAATATCTTTTACTTACCGCCAGGTGTAACAAAAATAATCCCTAATCCCTATAATTATTGAGAGCACGTGAGATTTTTCCATTTGCCAAATAAGCTATACTTTTTCTCCCCTTCTTTGTTCAAATTTAATTTTAAAATGAAAAATATGATATCAAAAAATTGCACTTTTTTTCAATGACAAAAAGTTTCATTTTTCATACGTTTTTATGTAGATAAAATCTAACACATGTGATTTCTTTTTTGTTTAATGAAAAAAAAATTAATGAAGATTATGTAATTAGACAGAACAAAAGTTTGATATTTCTCACAATAATTATTTTTCTCTTTGTTTTTTCCCAAGAGCGCAACAAAAAAAATATTATTTATTTATTTACATGGTCAGCTGGTGTGTCGCACTAAATGCGCCCCATTGCACACTCTCTCATTCTAACATCTGTTATTTTCCCCATTTCTCTCCATCTTTCTTTGTTTTCTTTTTATTTTTTGCCTTTCCTTTTTCCATTTCTTCCTTTTATTTTCCTTTTTGATTTGATAATAGAATTTTTTTTGAATTATTTTTTCTAGAATGACCGATTCAGACGAGGAAAATGATATTTTCGAAATCAACGATTTCACAGTTGTCACACCTTTAGAGGAATGTTCGGCAGCTGTTGAACACTTTATTCAAAAATGGGGGCTTTATGATCGCCGTCCGCTTTGCTCCCCACAAAATTGGACTTTGCAAGTCAAAGAATCTTGCACAATCAGTTTTGGCGAGAATAAATTGAAGATTCAGTATATTCAACCAGTTTCGGTTAGTTTTGGTTTTGCAAATTTTGAAAAATAAAAAAAAACAAAAACGGTTTCAGCCAATAATTGAAACAAAATTCGATAGTGATGGAAATGATATTGTTGTCGTTGAAGAGCATCAAAATGTTCCATTTGCTCTTGTCGAAGATTTGAAGAATATCAAACTTGGATTTGATCCAAATGATGGAATTGTTCTTCAATTCGGTGTTCGCGAATATCTCTACGTGACACCAGCTGACGGAATCGCTAATCAAATCACAACTGAGGCTGAATGTGATACAATTCTTGGAGCAATCAAACTTGCTCTTCATGCAAGTCGCTGCGAAATCCCAGTAATCGTGCTCGCTAAAGATGGCGAACAACAAATCAAACATGGCTACGGAACCGATGGAATATCGTCGTATAATTTCTCAACAGTTTCATTGAGAACTATTAGTCAACAACATTCGCATCTCAATGGGTTGATGGCAATGTTCAAGGAACATATCAATGTGAAATCGATGCCAGATGATGATGAGATTCGAATCACTACAAGATTCCATAATTTTGCCGAGATTAGAACGGATTCATTTTTCCGAACTTTGAACGCCAGAAAATTAACTATGGTTCCATTTGGAAGTTATCACTATCTTCCAATGTAAGCTTTTTTTAATTATCAAAAAAATTTCTAATAATTTTTCTTGCAGTAATGTTATCAGCGTTGTCGCCACATGGAAAGATTTCCGCGAAGATGTTATGACTGAGAACGAGAGTCATTCAGACTTTGACATAAATCACGCAACATTTTGGACCATCTCACTGGAACAATTGGATGATTCGGACAAAAATTTGATCTTGACATCAGCTTTGAAAGCATATTTGCGCACCAACGAAGGAAGATTGAGTGACAAAACATCGAAGGAGGCGTTGGGAACATTCTACACACCACAAGGAACAACTGCAGCTTTCGATAAATTGACGGGAGGAAATGCGATGACTTTGAAGATTGGTGGAACACCAATCAGTGAGATTATTTCGGAGATCAATGGGCCAATGTCGCCAGTGAGTTTGAAAATTTGAAAACATGTTTGTTTTTTTGAACAATTTTCAAAAGTGCAACTGATAAGACGTTGAATGAACAAATTTTGAGAGGGATTTGAGAAAATTCAAAATAATGTTCACGAGGAAATTGTGTGACCAGTCCCCGGAGATTTTCAATGAATAAAAGATCCTGTTTTCAATTTTTGCTGAGAAATGAGCCGAAAGTTAAGGATTTTTTGAAAACCGCGTTGGATTTTTTGAAAACCACGTTTTTGATATCCCGTAACTCATATTAGAGAAGTTTTTATCGAAAACAGAGTCCAGGGCGATGTTCAGGAGGGTTGATTCACCAAACTCAAAAGTTTTGACAACATTTCCTGAACCACAATATTTTTTTCTGAAAAAGTATGAACTTACTAACTAAAAATTTGTAACTTTGGTAAACCGACCTTCCCGAACAACGTGAGCATTCAGTTTTTTTTCTAGAAATCATCTTTAACATGAGTTATGGGCTCAAAGATTTCCTCAACTTTAGGCTCTTCAGAGAGTAGCTCAGCAAAAACTGAGAACAAGATCATTGTGAAAAATGTCTCATTGAAAATCTACTCTTCAATCGTTTCATTTTTTCAGAGATTCGTGAATTTGTGGATTTCACTCATGTTTGGAGATATTCGAGCTGAAGATTTGCTAAACGATGAATTCAAACAAATGTACTCGCTTCAAAATCGTAGCACAAAGCACATGAATGATATTGTTTTTGTCATTTTCGAAGATTTACTTTACCCGGATCACCCACAAAATTCGCTCAACACCGCATTATTCAAAGCTGCTCGTCAACCATCGCTTGGTTGGAAATTGGCGATTGCCATGTTGAATATTCAAGTTTTCGAAAATGCCAACGTTCGTAGCGAGCCACAACTTTGGCTCGAATTTGTCAAGCGATTGAGGGAGAAATATGAGAACAATGAGGATATTGAGTGAGTTTTTGAACTCGAATATTTGGAAAATATTCTGATCAAAATCATTTTTCAGCATCTGCGAAACATCTGGACAAATTGATTTGTCGCAATGCTTCTTTGCACAGAAACTTCAATTGCTCCAGGCTTGCGTCATCGCAAGACGCAAGAGATATGCTCTTTTGGAGAATGCAACAGATGTTGCTCACGATGAATTTTTCGACGCTGAAGACGATTTCAATGAGAGTTTGAGAAATTTGAAACTGGAAGAAGGTGGAGCACAAGGAAGATTGAAGAAGTTGGGAAATGCTAAATTGTTCAAGAATCCGAACGAGTCGATTTATGTTCCAATTACTCAGGTTAGTAACAATTCCTTCAAATATTGATTTTTGATTTGGAAAAAAAAAATGAAAATTTTAGGATCGTAGTCCAATGACTGAAGATATGTTGGATGAGCAAACCGATTATTTGTGCAATCTCAACGAGGAAGATCGTATTTTAGCACAACTCGAACCACTTCGCAGTGATATGATGGGCTTCAAGGCCGCGAATCCAGGATGTACCATCGAAGATTTCCTCCGCTGGCACTCGCCAAAAGATTTTGATGAATCGACCGGCGAAGTTTCGGAGAGAATGAGAATTCCTGACAATACCTGGCTGAAATGTTGGAACACAACCAAACCGGTGGCTGTCATCAACCAGGCTCGCCTATTCAACGACACAAAATTGGCCGAAGAGGTTTTGGAACTTTTTGAGAATGCAACTATCGAACAATTCCGCAAATGGCTCAAACCGATTGTTTTTGTTGTGGCGTTTCAACGTGTTGCAAGAGTTCTTCATGAGAATTCAGTCAGATGTTTCGACTGGATTCAGAAATCGAATGATGCTATGCGAATGTTGGTTGTTGCTACAAACTCTGACAATGAGTGAGTTTTGATCGCAAAAGAAACATCTGAAAATCTTCCGGAACAGGCTTCCGATTAAAATACCTTACAATAAAATATGTGTGTTTGCAGGGCTAAATACGCCGAACTCTCAAACTGGATCACCAAATCCGAAATTTGTTTGAGCGCTGCTCTCCACCTCGAATCGCTCTTCAACTCAGTTTCATCATCACCAACCATGTTGGGCCCACTTCCAGAATCACAACCAAAACGCGAATTCATTCTCAAACTCGTACAAAATTGGTATGATAAATTGCACAGCCCGGAACCGGTCGACGATTTGAATATCAAACCGCAAGATCCAATCGGACGTGCTGTCGCGAATTTCTGTGATTTTGAAAATCAAGAGGATAAGAAGAACCGAATTCCAGAGAGGTTTGTATATTTTGTTTGATTTGAAATAAAAGTTTAATTATTTTTTTTTGCAGAAAGGAATATATCTTGAACTGGAATGTCAAGAGACCATCCGAATGCAATTACAAACTCCCACAAAGAATGTATGCATGCTTGGAAAACGAGTTCAATCACATTTGCTTTTCACTTGGCCACGACTGCAACTTTAACAATACCATAATGGATTAAACATTTTCTTTTGCCCATTTTTTCTCGTTTTTTTGCCCATTTCCCCAAACATACCGCAATATTTTACGGTTTTTTAAGCTATAACATTAAGCTGTAACTTTTTAACACCAAATAGTAGTTTACCGTCTACATATTTTGTTTCTCTGCTGCTAATTCATATCTTGTTGAACTTGTCTCACCCTATGTTCGTTTAGTTGGGTCATTTTCACTTCCGGTATCCATATTTTTCCCCCACACACGTTTTTTTGTGTTTTCAATTCAATATATTCTCAAAACATGTCTTTTTTTTTGTTATAATGAATGGTAATGTGAATTTTTTTTTTCAATCACGGAGTTTTTTCTTGCTAACTTCTCGCCTTGAGGTTTGTGATTAAAATTTTCATGTTTCTGCAGATTTGAAAAGGGTTTTGAGTTCAGTAATCACTACGGGTTGATCAAAATTTCGATCAAAATTTCGATTTTTGTGGTTCATTAGAAACCCACCAAAATCAACATTTCAATTTTTGTAGGATTTTTCATTAGCAACCCACCAAAATCAAAATTTCGATTTTTGTGGGATTTTTCATTAGAAACCCACAAAAATGAAAATTTCGATTTTTGTGGGATTTTTCATTAGCAACCCACCAAAATTAAAAATTTTTTCCGTTTTTCCTTCAGCTTTCAACCAAGCTGATCTGACTATCAATTGATTTTCGAAAAAAAAACACATTTATTAAAATCTTCAGTAAAGTTGTATTGTTCTAAAAGAACCCGATAGCGCCAAAGTGCAAAAGTCCCGCAATAAAAAAATAATAAGAATAAATGATTAACAAAAATGATTGATTGAGCTAGGCGTGGAACGATGGGGAAGTCTGAAAAATCATTTTTTTTTTCATTTATATTTAGAGAAAATCAAATAGACATACATGAAGTTGGAAGTTTTCATACATAGTAGCATCTGCTGATGAAGAAACCGAGCTGCTGAGCATCGATTGACCTGACACGGATTGTTGCATTTTGGATTCACGTTTCGCTTGCGCCAAAAAGTTGAAACGTTGTTGAATGCAGTTGCAACAACAGAAACAGCAAACAGCAAGCAGAATGATTCTGAAAATGAAATTGTTTTTTTTTTCTTAAAGAAAAAAAACGAAACTTACGTCAAAATAAGAATGAATTCCAAACTCATACTATCATAGAGTGTCTTGACTGCTTGTGTTCTTTCTGTCAAGCATGTACTGTAGATCACCGTCATATCGTAAGTAATAACCCATTGCAGACAAATTTTGTACTCCTGAAACATTTGATCCATATTTAAGAATCCAAGAAAAAAAGACTAACCCTATCTGGTTGCAAGTTGATCAAATTATAACTGCAATACATGTTGTATAAAGAGAGTTGAACTTCTCTTCTAAAATCGCTTCCACTTTCAATCACAAATTGAAGAGCGATTCGATCAACAGCCTGAACTTGCAAGTTCTTGTTCCAAGTCAAATGAACTGTTGTTATACCAGTGTGACTTGCGTTAATTTGAATGTCGGGTTTGACAACTTTCAACGATATTTTTCGACTTTGGGTTTGATCGTCTGATTTGGCGATGCATTCGTAAACTCCAGTGTCTTTCTCCAAAACAACATCGATTCTGGAAATGTTTGGATGAAAAAAAAGAAGACCGTAAAAACTACTAACCCGTAGAAATCAGTTGTTGGGTGAGTTCGATTCAATTGATTTTTTGACGACGCTGGATCTAACAATGAAGTTGTAAAATAATCTTGTTTCTTGAACGCAGTAATCAATTCAGGATGTCCAGCCTCTTCAATTTTCCCGGCCGGTGTTTTCCACGTCACTTTTGCTCCTTGATTATCACTTGAACAATGCACTTTGAACGTATCACCAACGGTCGCAATTTGCTCATCCCCGAACGGAAGAGCCAATCGATCACGACAACTATCTCGTGATGTCATTTTTGCCTCGTTGATTTCACTCATTCGATAAACTGCACCGGTTTTTGTCACACACATCACTTCTGCCCAATCAACGATTGTGATTCCGTCAACTCTGGAGAGATCGTGAGCAGCGCAAGCGCAATCAAGGCGGATTCCGGCGAGATAAATTCGGCTGATTTGGCGGAAGATGTTGTATGGGAGTTTTGTGAAACCAGTGTTACGAAGATCCAAACTGGAAAAGTGTGGAGTTTTTTTTGATGATATGTATATTTTTTTTCAAATTAAAAAACCCCTACCTAAACAATGCGCTTTTCTCATTAGTCGCAAACGGTGAAATCGAAATCAATCTCGAATTATCATTCAAATACAATGTGTGCAAATGTGGCAAATAAGTAAATGCTCCAGCTTCAACCACCGACAAATTACACTTGCTAACATCCAAAATTTGCAAATTTGGCAAACGAATTGATCCTTCTCCAATAATCCGAATCGGGTTTCGACTAATGTTCAAAGTGACAAGTCTTTCCATATTTCTTATTCCTTCTCCAGGAATATCTGTGAAATTATTGCCGCTCAGATCAAGAAGTTCGATTTGTGGAAGAGGAGTGCTTGTGTCACATTCAATAACTCGAATTCGATTGTTGCTCAATTTCAAGCTCCGCAGCGAACTTGCACTGTAGAAGTCACTGGTCTACAAAGAATATTCTGAATTTGTCAATTTTCATATGATAAAATTACCACAAGTCTTTGCATTTTATTTCCAGTCAAATCCAATTCTTGAAGTTCAGGCATATAACGAAGAATATGAACACCCAGGAGCTGAAATCATAAATTCAATAGATTACACCCGATTTTCCTTATACCTGAATATTGTTATCTCGCAAGTTGAATTTTTGAAGTCTTGCTAAATGGAAACTATCGTGTCCCAGACTTTCCATACCATTTCCAGATAAATCCAATTCAATCAATTTTGGAAATGACACCATAAAATATTTCGAAAATGTCTGGAATATTTTTATCAGATTTGAAAAATCTAGAAAATTTTCTTTTTCTCACCGCTAGTTTCGAATTGACATAACGCATTAATGTGACATTTGGGAATTGACCTCTTTCCAGAATCCATTCATCAGAATTTGTGCAATTGTCGATTATTAGAGTTCTAAAAAGATTTATGCTTCGGTTTCTTGAAATTCAGAATTTATGCGTAAAAAGAAAAACATGTTGTAGTAAACTAACTTGAGTAATGGGAGTGAGGGGAATTTGTTGAGTGTGAAATTCGGAGTCGATTTAATGGAGAATGTTTCGATGTTGGCTAGTGGAAGATTTGTGAGACTTGAGAGCATTTGAGAGAGTTCCATGGCTGATAAACCATCGCAGCGGATTCCTTTCTCTGAAGCATATGTTTTTGAAAATGTTTCTGGTCAAAGTTATTTTTTGTTTTGAAAACTGACACTTTGAATCATTTTTTTTGTGGATGAAAGAGAAAAAAAATGTTTTTTGAGCATCAAAGAGAGAAGATTGATAAATACGAAAAACTTGTACTTTTTTGAAGTTTTAAAATTTTAAATTTCAGCACTAAATAAGTTTTAAAACTTACTTTTACCTGAAATTTGCTCATTGGTAACTGTTTGAGATTTTTCAGATGCAAAAATCAAAAGATTTTTTGTCAGACTCTTAGAAAATTCTTCAAAAATCGGGCGATCTCAAAGATATTATCACTAAAAATCACTTTCCGAATTTTTCCGGCACATTCTTCTGGTAAACCGGAAAATAAAATTTTCTATGAAAAACCGGAAAATCTTCAAATATTTTCAGAATTCGAAAAACCAACTAAAAAAATCCCTTTCCCTAAATTTTTGAACTCTATGAGTTTCCTCATTTTCCCGAATCAAATGTAACCTTGAACATATTTTCTCATTGTTTCATTCTTCATTTCTTTTGTTATGTATTCCATTTCTTTTTTCCCCTTATTCGAAAAAAACACATATTCTCATGTGTTCTGCTAATCCCATTCTACTTAAAAATGATACATAAAGTAAAGTAAAGTACAAACCTTCACAATGACACCCATCTGGACAGCAATCTCCAAAATAAACTTTGAGAATCAACAACAAAATGAAAAATGTCGAAGAGAAGTTCATCTCATTTAGCCCTGAAAAAATAAATGTTTTGGATGTGGCAAACAAAAAATGAAATAAAAAAGTTGTATTTTTTGACATGACATCCATATATTATTTATTCAAAATATAACAAATAATGGAGCTCAGCTAAAAAGTGAAAAGCTAATGGATTAGAGAGTAAAAAGGCGGGTAAAATAGGAAGCAGATGGGGGACTCAAATCTAGCACATTATCATGATGTTCTTCTCTTTTTTCTCAAGTCAATTAGTCAAAAAAAAAATGTGGAACAAATTTTTTTCTAATTTCATTTTGTTTTTTTTTTTGAAAAAAATAAGATGAAGAAAAAAACAAAAAGGTACACAAAATGTGTTTTTCATTTTCTTTGTGGACAAAAAATAAAGCAAACAAATATCTATCTTTGATATTAATAATAATAAATAACAACAACTTATTGGAAATTTGAGACTAAATGTGAGGAAATTCAGACTAATGAGGGTTCTGGGTGGTCCGAGGAAATTTGATGCTATAAACTGGGTAGAATGAAAAAAATTTTGAAGCTTAAAGTTTATCAGACAAGAGAAGAATTTTAAGCTGAACCATCTATGTATGTAAAACTAGAAAAAAACTAAACGCTCATCATACGCTGTAGATGATCCCCTTAGGAGGTGCAATTTGTCAAAAACAACGATGTTGCTCAAAAATTCGTCCTCCTTTTAGTATTAGACAGAAAAATAGAATGATTCGCAAAAAATGTGGGTGGTGCTTATGGAAATTGTCTTGATTTGGTGGACCACTAATATTGGACCACCCTGTCTGTAATTGGCAAACTGGGTGGTTCTTCTATATGTGGTCTTTAGAATCCACCCAAAAAACTAGGTCTCTAAAGGTTCCATATAATTAAAATGGCTGATCCATTTTTTTTGAATATTCCGAACAATTCAAAACCCGGGTCTCAAAATTTTATGAAAACTAAAAAATTATTTTCTGACCTTGCGTTCTAGAGAAAAACCCTAATCTTTTACCGCCCCAAAAGAAAAATGACCAAGATTACGTCTCTTTTGAACACTGGAAAATTCAAGGATTACACAGAGTTTCAAAAATTTAAAATTCGAATGTACTTTTCGTAATCTGATACTTTGTATGATATCCGATGTTCAAGAGAAAAGTGGTCAAAGAAATTTTTTGAAGAGAAATTTCATTAAAAAAAGTAGATTCTGAAAATGAAAAAGAAAGACTGGTTTTTTCTAATTATTCAAGTATTGAGAAGCTGAAAAAATACTTGTTTTCTTTTTTTTTGCAGAAAAGTTAGCCTATGTTATATAAAAAATAAATTATAAAATGAAAAAGGGGAGAAAAATGCAAATTATAACAAGCTGTCAAAGCTGAATGTGAGAGATAATTAAACTAGATAGATGGAAATAAATGGGAAAATGTGCTCAAAATATTTTCAAAAAAAAATTTCGATGATGAAAAATTGTATTTTTTTTATTCATCATTTTTGTTACTGAAAAGAAAGCAAAAGCAGAGCGAAAAAATTCAATTTACATATAAATATGATGGGTGGTCCCAACTTGCAGGCTGGCAGCCAGAAAAATCCAATTTTCCGTTTGACTTTTCAAGTGTTTTTAGAGAAAAGCTAAAGCACTTGTGAATCAGATTCGCACCCGAATTCGCTCAAAATTAACTTTCTCCCCTTCCTTTTTTCGTGTTTTTGTTGACGTTGTTGAAAAATCAGCACATCTATTCAAAAACTTGTAATTTGGTTTACACTCTCCTTTTTTACCCCAGCTAGAAAAACTGCTGTTTTTTTTGACGGGGTCAGAAGTTTGTTTAGATGTATATAAAATTCAAAGATTTTTGGTTTGGAAGTGGTCAAAACAAAGGTGCTTTTTTGAGGAACAAACAAAAACAATTATGAATTTGAAATTTATTGAGAATATTTGAGATTTTAGAAAAAGATAGGGATATTTTCAAATGAAGTTTTGGAAATAATGGAAAACTGCTTCATAATTAGAATTCGGCGCGTGAGAAAAATTGAAAAGTTTTTTTTCGGAAAATTATTCGTGGGGTTTTGGAAATTAGAGAAAAATTAAGATTCAAAATAAAAATTTGGGTGAAAAGGCCACGTGGTAAAATGTGAAAAAAATTCGGAATTTCAATTTGTTCCAAACAAAAATCTCATGAGAAACGTGGCAATTTTCATATCTTGGAATGTGTTTGAAAATTGGAAAATAATAGGTTTCGGAAAAAAAAGAAAACAAAAGCACAAAATTTTTTTTCAAAATTTTCTGGTGAACAGAAAAATTCTTGATTTGTGAAATCAACCCAAAACAAAAAAAAACATCTGACCACCAAACGAGAAAAAAGCCTGCCGAAAAAATGTGTAAACTTTGTTTTTTTTTTTGCATGTATACCGAGAAAAATAATTGGATGTGAAAGTATACGAACCAAAAAAAAGAACACACGGATGTAAACAAAACCCCAAAAATTTTGTCTTGTTTTGATTGTTTGTGAAAAAACACACTGATTTATATTTTGAAAAAGGAGAATATGAATCAAAAAAGATTTCAAAACCGATTATTTCACTTATGAATCCTTTGGGGATCCGAATAAAAATGAAAAAAAGAATGAAAAGAAAAAAGGAAATGGGAAGAGAGAGAGAAAAAAGAAACAAGAAAAATCGAGACTAATTGAGACAACTCAGAAATGTGATAAGCTGTGAACGTTGCAAAAAGGGAAGAGTCCAAAATTGGAATAAAATTAGACAAAAAGAGAGAAACAAACGACACACCGATTACGGCGTTGAGAAACTACGCTAATCCAATTTGCTTCAATTAACACTTGCCCTCATAATTTGATTGTTTGGGAAGCTTGCCACTAATTTTTGTGTCTTTTGTTTGATTCTGCGATTCTGAGTCAGTGGTGAATCAGAAAAAAATTAGAGAATCTGAAGACAATCGTGGGCGGTCAGTATAGCTCGCAAAAAACTGCAATGCCGAAAGCTACAGTAAGATATTTTTAATCAAAGTTCGCAAAGCCTCTCTTATCATTGTAAACAAAAACATAAAAACAATTATTTCATTTTTGAGAAGCTACAGTAACCATGACCTTATCATTTTTAATTATAAATGGTGATATTTGAGAAGCCTCGATGTGTCAATGCAAACAAAAACATAGGAACAATTATTTAACGAAACTGATTCTGAGTTAGAAAACATCTTGCTACTCACTTTTTTTGTTCATTAAAATAATCTAGTTAAATCGTGGCCAAGACAAGTTATCCTACTGTAATCATATAAAAGTTGAGTTCTACGGAAGCTAGTTCACCGCCAATTTTCGTGCCTTTTGTTTGAATCTGCAGTCATTTCTCATGCGACTTTATTAGTCACACAAGAAAAAACCGACGAGACTTTTCGGTATGAGTTATGCTAAATGACAGGGGTACTGTATATACACTTTGACTAGGTCTAGCGAGACTACATCAAATTTGTGAGGGGTGAGAAAATGTGGTGAAGATGAATATAAAGGGGCGAAAAGTTCTTCAAACTCCAAGGAATTGCAGGGAAATGGGGAAAAATGGGGAAAAATGAGACAAAATGAAAATGAATCGGTTTTTAAACTGAATTGAAGAAAAAATGGGCGGAGCGAAGAAAGCTTGCAAAAACTGCACTTTTATCAAAGCTACAGTTCTAGAAGCTTTCGATCGTGAAAAAAAACATAAAAACTGTGCAATAGAGGGCGGAGCCTGGCAATTTTTGCAAGAAAATTGGAATTGCATCATCTTTGAGAAGCTACTGTGAACAATTATGATGTTCTAGAAGCTTATTTCTGTCAAAAAAAAAAATATAGCAACGACTTTTTTCCCAAAACATCGAGGAATTGCATTTTTGAAAGAAAAAAGGAATTGGTTTTTGATTTCAATCGAAAAAATCATCCAAAGAGAGTCTAGAAAACCAATGTTAGCAGAGAATACAGAAAATATCCTTCGGAAACATCAGAAACTAGATCTAGGGAATATGAGCAGAGTTTGATTGGATTTCTCAAGTACTTGTGAACCTTTTGATGAAAAAAACAACCCTGAAAGTTCTAGCTGAATTACAGAACATTTTGGCCTTTTTTTTGACAGCCCCAGGCCCATAAAAAAAATCTTCGGACCACTATTTTTGAAGCTTACATATTTCGGTCTTTTATTTTTATCATTTACATATTTCACAAAATGAAAAATCCAGCCATCAAAATTAAACTCTGGCTTAAATTTTCTCTAAACCTTTGTCAAATCCAAAAATATATAAAATACTGCTTTTCGAAAAATGTTCGAAAAATAAATGAGTAATGGTGGGTGGAAAATGGGCAATTTTAAGAGAGCCAAAAAAAATTGTGTCCTGATTTTTGCTAAACAAAAAATGGGGCAAGCTTTTTCTGCACATGAAAATCCGTCTTTCCAGAAGCTGTGTTATCTTATCAAAACAAGAAAAAAGAATCCTTTCATGTTATAGAGCTGATATTTTCATAATAAAACAAAAAGCAAAAAACATTTAACCATTGGTCTTTTTTCTTCTTTTCTATGAAAAATATATGAAAATGACACATCATGTTGCCTTTCCTTTTTGATTAATAATAAAATGAAACATTTTTGGATGAACTTTTTTTTTGAAACATTGGAAAATTTTTTATTCAATCTGAAAGTATAGAGAGAAGAAGGAAATGAAGATGAAAAACGAAATGGGACAAGAAAGCAAAAAAAAAACACATGAGGCAAGTAAAAAAAATAAAATTCTCAATAAATTCGAGTGGAAACCAGAAGAAGTCAAACACAAAAGGCAAGAAGATCATAAATAAATTGAATGAAAAAAGAACAACCTGATTTTTATAGTTTTGTGTTGAAAATGGGAGAGGGATAACAATTTTATTATATTTTTTCTTACCCTTTTTTCCATTTCAAAAAAAATCATGTTATATTTTTAGCTGGCAAGTTTAACTTTGACAGTTTGATGTCTAAAACAGAGAAGTAATACGGAAATGAGTGAAATGAGAAGGGTTGATGCTAAAAATGCGACCAAGCCGGATGCTGTTGATGGCGATACACACACGTCAGAAGTCATTTTTGACAATTGCAATTGTTGCTCCAATTCTGACCCGAGTTTGTTGTTGTTGTTCTTGTTTGCATCTGAAAAAAAGAGGAGGAAGTTATTATTTTTATTGATGGAGACGAGGGATTTTTAGTTTTCGAGATGTCTTACCTAAAGATTCATCGATATCGAACACTGTCATTTTCTGCGAGACAACATCCACATCATTTTCATTTGGTTCAGCTGAACGTTTTCCACGAAGTGTTGCTGGACAATGGTCGGATGATCTCTGAAAAATTAGTCTTTTTGGAAATTCTAGAAAAATATTTCAAACTAACCCTACAAACACCATCTTCATCCTTCAAGCTCAATCGAATCTGGCATTGGAAAAACACAGATGGTTGATCAGCAAATTTGAAAACCTAAATACACAATTTTTTAATTCTAAATTGGAATTTCCAAAAAAAAAACCTGTGATAATTGTCCTCCAGTCAAGTCATTAGTATACTCCAAATTATTAATCAAATATTTATCAACAGCACATCCATTTTCATCGAAAAGTTGAACCTCTTTTCCAGTCTCATCTTTCACACTACAAGAGTGGACTGTTGCGCAAAATGGTGAGGATTCTGTGAAAAAATTTTTTTTTTCTAGATCACAAAATTTTTTGAAACCTTTCTTATCGATCGGCTCACATGACCATTCATGATAAACTAATTGTCCGACAGTCGCAAATTTGACAGGCTCCCCATCTTTGTTATTTGCCAGAACCTGGAATTTTTAAAGTTTTTTGTTGAATCGACAAAAAAATCTCACTCGATAATTACACTCTGGAAGTGGTACATTGTAATTGAATCTCTCCTCTTCTGGGCTGAAAACTCCAATAACATTAGAGACATTCTATGTAAAAAAAATTCTTACTCATGAACAACTCGCTGATCTTGCTGGGTATTATTTGAAGATCCACTTTCCTCATCACCAACCATCACAAAAATTTTCTTCTCTTGATCTTTTCCAATGCTAAAAATCAAGTGAATCAGTGATGATTCCCTGTAAAACAACTTACTCCACATTGAATTGTTGAGTGACTGTTTTAGCAGCTTCTGCGTAGAAGCATTGAACTTTGTAAGATTTGTCGATTTTTGTGATGAACATTGGGTGAAATGAAATTATAACTGTGGTGGTTATCATGATTCCTCGAGGATTTGTCTGAAGAAAAAGTAGAATTAGGAGTATTGCATTCGAGTGGGAAAAATTACCGATCGTTGCCGCAGAACATCGCATGTTGAGTATGGTATTGTGAGATTGACAGAGGGTTCGAGTGTAGCATCGTTTCGGCATTGTTTTGTGCTGGAAAGTATGTATTTATTCTAAAATCTTGAAGTTCAAAAAGAAAATTCTTTCAGAAACTCTTTCATTATCTAGAAAAAGTCCAGTTTCCAAATTTCCGCAACAAAAATTGCTAATTCTAACCCTAATTCATCCAAAATTAGCTCTTGATGTGTGACCAACCAACCTGTAATGTCCCTTAACATAAGTATGACCCTCAAAAGCACTTTGTGTTTTGAACTGTATTGAAAGACTCTCACTACCGCATTGGACTATCGGCTCGCCTAAAAAACTTTATTTTCACTGTGGTTTCTTCTTCATTTCTTTCAAACCTGTTAAACCATTGTTAATGAGATCTGCTTGAGAAGTGTACAAGTTCTGAAAATTTTCAAATTTTTTTGTTTCTTTCAGCTTTTGTTCTATGTATTTTTGGGATTTTTTGGGGAGAAGGGAGAGTTATTTAGGGCAACAACCCCATAAAATTGAGAAGGATGAGTGGAAGGACGTTTTTTGTTGGTTCGTTTTTTTTTCGAAAGTTACAATGATTTGAAATAGAGTTCTTTGGGAACATTTTTGGAATTTGAATTTCTTCTGGAATTTTTTCATGGGTCGTTAAAGTTATGGTGTTTTTTGAGAAGGAAGAAGAATTTTGGTTCCAGAGTATGATTTTTTGTAAATAATGGGACATTTTGAATGTGGAAAAATTGTTAGGTAAACTATAACTTTCATGCTGAAAGTTCATGAAGCATGTGAAAATTCTGAAAATAGTTTTTACTGAAATAAATAATGGTTTTTGAAATTTTGAAACATGGATCGTTCGAAATCCCTTTCGGATTTTTAAAGCTTTTTTTCTAAAATGAAATTGAATTATTTTATCAATTTTTGAAGAAACCTCTTAAACTTCAGCAGAACTTCACAAAATAATGCTCACTTGAAAATTCACTAACTGAAAAATTGAAAATCTTAAAGCCTTCGACACTGTATTATTTCCTTCAACTCTCCAAAACTCACCCTAAAAACCGAAACAATGATAAAAGATTTGAAAAATAATGGAATCATTTAGACGAAATCAGGCAGAATCGGAATAACAACAAATGGTATTCGTATCGAGTAGGCGGAGTTGATTTTGCTGAAGTGGTCAAATACAGGTCACTCTCAATTCCAACAATGATTCAATTTTTTTGTGTGTGTGCGCGTCCCTTTTCGAAGTTATATTATTCTAATAATATATCTGTGTATCATGAATAATAATAAGAACAAGTCGAATAATAAATATACATTTACAAAAGTGACCGTCAACAAGAGAATGAATAAAATTTTGGAATATGAAATAGAAATTGCAAAGCCAAGCCAACAGTAGAAAAAAAACAACAACAAGATGATGAAAAAAAGAACATTTGGGGTTGAAGGGCGGACATTTTTTATTATTTATATTTGTATTGTTTTTATTTGATGTTAGAGTACATCATTTGTTTTTTGTTGATTGAATTGTTAGTGGAAGAAAACAGTTGAGAAAATGGAATTCAAACGTTCTGGGAAATTTTTTTAACTTTTTAAAATCATTTTTTGTTTGAAAATTAGGGCTTTATGAAATATGCAAATTAATTCTAAAAGTTTAGAAATTTTGAAAATTCTTGGAAATATTTATATTTAAAAAAAATTAGATTTTGAAGTTTTGGTTTGGATTTGAAAACCTTCAAAAGGCTGGGCATTAAATTTGAAAGTTGATAACCAGAACAATCGAGAATTTCAAGTGATTAACTAATTTAAAAAAAAAATTCATATGCTTCAGCGAATCACAAAAATAACTTCTAAAGTTCTTCTAAAAATTGAAGAGTTGCTGCAACTATGCCAAACTCTGGAGAATTTTAATATGTTTGAAAAAAATCGTATTTTACAATAACTTCTAATTCAAGATAATTCAAATCTACAGTACTTTTCCACAAACATTCAAGACATTCCCATGTTCCAAATAGCACAGTTTCTTTTCCCAAAATTTCCTTTCATCACAATTGTTTCTCTCCCCAATTCATTCATTTTTCTCAAATAGTAATTAGAGACAACACAAGAATAACCTACAAAGCAAAAAAAAACCATTTTTTTTTCAATTAAAATCTTTATCTCACCTCAGTCAGAAAAAGTGTTTGCCGAGGTCATTTTTAATCAACAATTGTTGTTTTAACGCCTCACAGATTTTTCAACAAATATTTTCATGTTTGCAAGATGAAAAAATGAAATATGAGTGTGAAAAACTTTTTCACAAAGGTCAACTTGGCTGGAACAAACAATTTGAAAAAAATGTTGGCAGAAGAAGAAGAAGGTATTTTAATTACACCAATTATAAAAAATAAATAAATAAATAAGTTCTCGCTTGTGGCAGAAATTGAGAGACGAATTTGATTTTTGGTTTGAAAACCGTAAAAATCGTAAAACACCGTGTTTCAAGGACTTGTTAGCTCAACAGGTGGTTGATAGAGTAATTTGCAACATTTTTGTTTGACAGGTTGGGGTGGGGAAGAAATGCGGATCTACAGCTTCAGCAGCTTAGTTAGGGTAACTTTCAGGGTTTTTAAGACTTAGGCTTTGGCAAAGCAGAAGATAGTGCTACCAAAAATTGGAAAACCTTTTTCGGAAAGTGAAATAAATTTTGAAAATCGGAAAAAATTGAAGAACCCAGAAAACAATAACAACAAGTGTTTACAGAAAAAATCGCAGGCAGGTAGGTAGGTCAAAAATAGAAACAACTTACAACCAAACAAAAAATTGAAAGTTGAGAAGATTAATGCGCAAGCAAGACAAAAATGCAACACAAAAAAAAGGTGTAAACGCTTCCTTGGCTGGTTGAGGATAATTATTTTAGCAAGACATAATATTTCTATTTTTATTATTATTATGAAAGTTGTGTAAGTGACAGCAAAAACGACAAGAGGAGACCAATTGACCTTATATGTACCAATTATTATTATTCTATATATGTAACTATGACTTTTTTGAGTTGAGTCAGCTATACAATTAGAAAAAGGAAATGAATGAACAACTAATTTTTTTGCACTTTTTTGAAGACCAAAACTTGTTAGTTACAACAGTTTCCTAAAAACACCATCAATCATCATTTACACTAACTAACTATGCGTTCGAAAAAAATCCAGAATTCCAGAATTCTCTCTTTTTCTGAAAATGGAATGAAATGAAATGAATAATGGAAAAACATTTGTTAAAATAGATAGAATTTCCAACTTTAGCCTTGACAATAAATTACCATTTTGACAAATTGTGGCCAATTGAAATTCCGGAAAAAGTTTGGTTTTGGTCCTGGGTGGAGATTGAAAACTTGAACTATTGAAAAGGGAGGTGTGATTTATGGAATTGGAAAAAGAGAACAAGTGGTCTGGAAATAGTTTAAGAAACAGTTTAAGTGTTACGTCTAGGTGGTCATTATTGTTCTGGAAAGTTTTTGAAATTTCAGGTTGGCTGTTCGACTTTCACAAAATTATATATTTGATTTTTTTCAATGAGAATTCTAATTAAAAATTTTTATCTTATAAACAAAAAATGAAAAAATCTATTTTCCCCGAAAACTTCAACAAAATTTGACTCTGCTCAAACAAGAAAAAATTTCATTTTAATTTAAATCTTTATTTGTTAAGTGTTTGATAAGTCTACATTCAAAATTCCAACACCAGACTACACATAGCTTCACAAACTTCTATCAAAGAAAAAACTAGGTTGCACTTTTGGTGATCTAGGTAACCCATAAATAATAACAATAATACCCCTTGCCCCCCAAAAAATACTTGTCTCTTCTCAAACACCACAAAAAACAATACAAGTTTCACTTCTTCAGGGTGTGTGTTTACAAGATTTTTGAACAAGCAGTCACAAAAAATATGTTTTGTGAAGTGCATACCATTTGAATATCCAGGTAGGTATAATTTGAGAGGGGAGGGGGTACTCGAATAAAAAACGGAAATTAATCCGGTGTTGCTAATTAATGAACAGAAAATTTTCTATGTTGAACATGGAATTTTTCAAATGATGAACACAGTTTAATTTGAAATCTGAATGTATTTTTAAAGCGTGGCATTTTCTGTTAGTCAAAGAGATGTTGTGATAAAAATTTTACAAAATGATATCCCTCTGAAAAATATTTTGGAACAATCTGAAATCTAACCGTATAATTTAAGAGCTAGAAGAGAGGATTAGCTAACTACAGTACTTGTTTTGAATAAATAATGCACAAAGGTCGTATCTATATCAAGAAAGGGAACAACCTTGATGTATGTTTGAATTAATTATTGTAAAAATAAAAATGCATAAATGTTTGCGACATTTCTTGCCAAAAATAGGCGGGATTTGTTTTATTGGAACTAGCCGCTTCTTTTCTTCGCTTTTGCCAACAAATATTCCATAACACTACAATAATATTTGTGTATTTAACCCCGTTTTTATAGCTTGGTTCTAGTAATTCTGGATAAACAAGCATACAAAAAAAATATTTTCGAACAGTTTTAGTATAATTTTTTTTCAAGTGGTTTTTCCTTCGGTCCGGAATCATTTCTTCCACCTAATTATACACATATCGACCTTGGAATATGAAAGAAATATGGATCAAAAAACAACTTTTTATGCATTTTTCGGGAACAATATAATAATAATAGAAGGCCTAAATATCACGATTTGATTTTGTTTTTTGTGAATAGAAACTTCAGAAATTTTTCTGTGGCAATACTGATGACTGGAAAATGAAATGAAATATGTTTGACTGAATAAAACCTGACTGAATTCTAGACGTGTGCTGATTTTTTGAGTCCTAAAATTGATTCGGCAACTCCGATGTAGTAGACGGTTTGAGCGATACCAAAGAGTGGAGCCATGACCATCATACGACAGGCGGCGCCTTTGAAAAGTGCTTGTGGTCCTTCGTTTTTCAGAATTTGGCTGGAAAAATGCAGAGGGTTTTTTTTTCAAATCTAGAATCGCAGAGAAAAACTCACACAAACGCGTCTGGAATATTCTTATATACAACTTCATTAGCTCCCTTATTAATTGTCTGCATTCGAGTTTTTATAACATCCAAAGGTGTGACAGTGAAACTTGAAGAGGCTCCCGAAACTAAACCAGCCAAGAAACTTCCATAGAATACAGCATCTCCACTTCCATCTGATTTTCTTGGTGCAAGAGAATCCAAATATGCGAAAAGTGGAAAATAGATGACTGAAAATGTGACATCTCTGGCCAGTGTTGAGCTCAATCCCTTGTACAATCCAGCGATTCCGTTTTCTTTGATAATTTTCATTGTGAGTTCAGTGGCTGACAGTTTCTTTTGACCAGGTTCTGAAAATCTTACATTTAGTGTTTCCATTTTCCCCGATAGATCTACTTACGCAAAGTTCTTCCTTGATCTTGCATCTGAATCTTCAAAAGTTCCATAGGTGTTGTCACGGTGATTTGGAACATTCCAGCCAAACCGCCAGCCAACATTCCACGACCAACTGACAATTGTTTTTCACCATCTTTGGCTAATTTATGACGGAAGAAATCGTTGGCGACGAGTTTGATGGCTTTTTCTGGGGTGATGAGAAGAATGTTGACACCTGATCCGCTGTACATTCCTTTGAATTTGGCAAAGTTCGAAGCGCCTCCAGCACGCCATGTTTGTCGAGCGCAATCGGCACTCAAAATGAGAAATTGTGGAAAATTTTAAAATTAAATTTTTAAGACGATTCAGAAATTCTGTTCACTTTCAGAACTGATTTTTAACGTTTTTTTTATTTTGAAATATTCTAACTATGATTTAAAAAATTAGATAATCTAATACACTTCAAAAAAATATGCAAAATTAATTTTTCATATAAAAATTTAACAAAATACTGATCTCAAACTTCAAAAAGAACATTGAAATCGATTAATTATTTTCAGAATTCAAGAAATCTTCTAAAAAACTCACATTCCCTTATACTGAACCTCTCCATTCTTTCCAACCGTCTGATTCTGAAGTCGAGTTTTAACCAAGTCGATGGGGAAAACACACGACACTCCAATGATTCCAGCCAAACCACCATTCATAATTTTTGGAAGGTAGGAGAAATTTTTCTGCTGCGGCTGGTTGGGTGCCATTTTCCACCTAGAAGGAATTTTTTGAAGAAAGAACATTTTGGAATAAATATCAAATAGTTATCATAACTATTTTCAAAAAAAAACCAATTAAGAAAATATGTTTAGAAATCTAATAAATTAATTAATTATTGCAATAAATTAACATCAGAAGAACCCGCATGAAAAATAAATGAATGAAAAAAAATGCAAAATCACAAAAAATCACCCCACAGATACAACAAAAAACACAATTCTAGTGCACCCTGATATTTGCGTCCATGATAAGATGCGTTTCCGAGTCGGTCGATAAACTGGCTCGTTGTTGGACGTTTGCCAGCAATTTCGGTTCCGAATGATACAAAAATGAGAGGAAAAATTGGACAAAATTATTGATTATTGTACTCGTCGCATAAACACCACCCAATATCGAACAAATACGAATCAGATAAGAGAATATTGTTCTGTAACAAAGAAAATATGACGTCATCAATTTCGTTTTATGTCAACTTACGTTGAAGTTCTCCTAACTTCGATCACATTTGCAGTAAACTCGTACTCAAATAAAATACCACCATGTGAATGTTCGCCTTCGGCCAATTTCTTTTTCTAAAAAAATTTAATTATTTTTTATTACACTGTGTTTCTTCTAATGATCATAAACCTACCAAAAATGTGACCGAGTATTGATATGCCATTGTATAACCAAAATAGCCATAGATTTTTGTTGGTACAACTTTGATAAAATATCGATAAATATCCTGACCACTTTCCGAAATATGTTCAGCGCCAGATAATGGTGTAACCAATCCAGGAATTCTGGGGCCAAAGTTGAATTTTTCGATGCGATGTGAAATGTTGCCAGCTATAAAATAATCAATAAAAGCAAAGAAACAAAGAAAAAACACTCACAGGTTGCTCCAAAATGATCAAAAAGCTGCATTGGATTTGCGATCGATATCACGATTTTCTCCTCGCTTCCTTTTCGAACCTTGAACTTTCCGTGAACACGACATGCGGTACCTGGAAGAACAAATGATACTATTTTTATGACTGGTCGAGTGAGACTGATAAGAGATTGATTTTGCTTGAATTTCAATTTCATTGATAAACAAAATCAGAAATTCAAATGTTGCAAAGTTTTTGATAACAAGTGAGGTAGTTTCTATGAAAAAACAATTAATTTCAATTTAATTTTTTTATCGAAGCGTTTTTTTAACAACAAAAAAGAAACAAATCGATTTTAAAATTCTCACAAAAACGATAAAAGTAAGGACAAAGAACCAGAAGAAAGAGAAGGTTTCTTTTTTAACGATCAATTTTCTACAGAAAAAAAGAAAAACCCTAATTTTTTGTTCAAATTCTTTTATTCTTATGTTATGCCCTTATTAGATTAGGGTTGCGAGATCTACCATCCCTCCTCAATTTCACAAATCCAAAAACTGGAAAAACCCCTTCAATTGCGTTTTCAAAAGATGCAATTTATCCTACACATCATACCAAAACCGTCTCTCCCAATTCAATCTAATCTCAACCCAACATGGGCAACTCATTTTTATCACAACAATGTATTATAAATCCTAACCAACTCTAGTCATTTCCCCTCCCTTCCCCTATTTGTTACATCTTCCACCTCTCAGCGCTACCCCCTCCACCTAAAATGTATTGGCTCTCGCAAAAACAATTCATTTCTGCACAAACACATTTCTCTCTGGAATAAAACCTCAAAAACACTAACTCGTCTCCCTCATAATATAATTCCACATCTGAAGTCTCTGCCATCTAACCATTTTCTCAAAGCATAAATCTCACTATGCACATTTGGACTACCGTACTCTTGCGGGTACAAAAGTCCATCTTATATTCTAAATCACTAACCTCAAAAATCTTGGCATCTTAAATTTTCCAATCTCCTTCTTTTTATTTAAATATTTATTTTGGCTTAAAGATGTATTTTCTTCTCTCTCTCAATTTCTTGTAAATTTAAAACGTGATATGAATATATAAATTAAGAAGAAAAAAAGCTTCCCAAAAATTATAGAAAAAATGAGTTTTTTAAATATCCAAATTCAAATCCATTAAAAAATCTCACCTTCTTCCGCTCCTGTTCCACCACCATTATCCGCCACCAATTGAAACATACCAGCACCATTATTCACCAAAAACATCTGGAAAACGACATTATCAACATTTTCTTCCAGCGTAGTTTTATTCAAACTCACAACTTGTCCAAATCCTCCTCCATGACCACCTCGACCTTCTTTTTTCGCCTTCTTTCTTTCGGATAAAATATGTTCGGCTTCATCTTTTTGTTTTTCTTCAGCAAGATGTTCAAGAGTGCTTTCGACGTCATCATCAATGTATTCAAGCTGAAAAAAAAGAAGTTTTGGGGTTGAGGGAATTTATGGAGATTTGGTTTCCGGTGTTTTTTTTCGAGATTTTTTGTGGATTTTCGGAGACTTTGGAAAATGTTTTTGACTCCTAATGTTCTGTCAGAATTTCTAGAAAAATATTTGAATTAAAAAAATCTGTAAGTCAAATTTCCAATAAATTTCTAAGAATTATTCTCAACAAAAACCATGGAAACAATTTTTTTATTGGAATATTTTCTTTCAAATTTTGTAGTTTTTTTTTTCAAAAGCAAAAAAAGGTTACCTGCTCAATCGCTCGAATTCCTTGTTTATTATACTGAGCATGAGCATGTCTCAAAATCGTCCAATACATTTGTTCCTCATCAGTAAACTCGAATCGTGTCGGATTTTTCTGAATCGTTTGCTGAAGTCCGCCAAAAATTTCAGTGTATTGATCGGTTGAAGATATCACTTGAAGACTTCCACACGGTGTTGCCACAATCATATCCAAGTCTAGCATTGGCATTCTGAAATAAATTATATTCCAAAGAAAACAAAACGTGAAAACTTACTCATCCATTTCTGTATCAACGCCGACTTTATATTCGAATTTTTTGGAGAATAAAAACGCATAAGTTTCTGTTGAAAACAGGAACAAAATTAGTGTGAAGCACAAAAATGAGACTGAAAAATACCGTGTCTAATTAATTATCCAACAAAAAAAATCAATACTCACTCAAGCCAGATGACGCCTTCTGCTCTTCTTTCACATTTTCCACCACTTTTTCAAAAATATCAAAATCCTCCACGATTTTCGTTATCCCTTTTCTTTGCCTCAATCCACCATCCGGATTGAGCTCCATTTTTGAGAAAAAATCTGAAAAAATTGATATTTTTGTTGTTGAAAAATAACAGTTGACACAAAGAAGTGTAACGCAAAAAAAAGGGATAGAAAAAATAAATAAAATAATATATGTGGTGGTTGTCTACACGGCGACGCACAATTGCACACAAATAAATTATATGGGTGGGCAAAAAAGGAGAAAGGGAAAGAAGAATGAGAAAATGTGATAATTTGTATGTTTTCGGGGAAATCGAGTAAGTTTCACACTGAAAATGTTTCAAAATTCAAATTAGATTTAAAATTATTTTTAAAATTGAAGAAAAATTTCAAACTTAACAGTTTTTTGCAGAAAATAAGACGTAAAATCATATTTACAGAACAAAGAATGTTTTGTGTAAAGCACGCGAGAAATCTATGCAAACAAGAAACTCAAATTTTTTTGATTGTTTGAACCTTTGAAAACCCGACATTTTTATAGAAATTTAGGTATTGAATGCAAATATTTTTCAGTTTCATTGTCCAAATAGTTCATAGAAGAAATTTTATAGAAAAAACCATAATTTCAACAAAAAACACATTTTGCCAAGTCACTACTACGTGTAAATGAAACATGAAGTACTCCACGTTCATCAGAAGGTCGAAATTAGTCAGAAACCAAATTTGCAAAAAAAAATAAAATCAAGATATTTTTCCCCGTGGGGATCGAACTCTTGAAATTCTCGATTTCTTCAGCATGGGAGACTAATTCTCTACCAGCTGCGCCACTTGGGCGCCGAGAGAGGGAGAGTGAATTGCTAATATATGGTTGATGTTTTCGGCGTTTTATTCAATTGTTGCAGTGGTAGAACTGGATGTCAATTTTGGAAATCAAACATATCGTTTTCGATAGATTTTGACACGTTGAGAACGTGGATGTGGTCAGATTTTGTTCTAATCGCAAAAGAAAAAAGTTATGGCCATTTGAAGATGTTTTGAAAATGACTAGTGAACCTCTGTGTGAATTAGTTGCAAAGTTATTACTGAAAAAGAAAAAATTCTTATTTTTCTTGCTGTGAAAAAATCATTTGACATCAAAAACTTTCCCATTTTCAAAAAATCGTTTCCCATAAAGCTTGTCATAAATTTCCCATAAACCTAAATGAAAAATAAAAGATAACTTCACACCTTTCAATCACATCATTTTTGGCTTCTTACACATTTTGCCTATCTTCACACCAAGGTGCCAATTTTTTTTCGAAAAGGTGAGATGCGAAAAATGACACGTGTCTATTCGATAAAAATTATTGGATATTTAAAATTAGAATTTTTTTTCTGAAATTTCTTTTACAAGTTCTATTCAACCGAAAAAAAAACACTTTTGATTTAACCAATTTTATTGTTTTTTTCAAAATACATAAATTTTACAGGGTTAAAAAAAGACACATAACACGAGATCGACTGGATAAATATTGAAACAAATAATAGCTATTGAGAGACATGGGGTACTGTAGTACAAAAACAATAGTTTAACAATTGTATTGTTGGAAAATTTCGTCGAGCTCAATGTCAGATGGAGAGCTTAATTCAGATGAAGAATTTGATTGAGATGGAGAGTCGCTTTGACGAAGAAGCTGCTGCAAGTGTGCAATGTATCGTTGAGCCATTTGAAGAGTTTCGAATTTTGATAATTTCTTGTCAGAATTGCCTCCATTGGGAAGAACTTGACGAAGCTGAAAACGATTCAATTTTGAAGTATGAAAAAAAAATTTTGGAGAAAATTTCTTACCTGATCATAAGCAGCATTCATTGTGTTGACACGTTTTCTTTCGCGTTCATTGGCTGCACTTCTGCGCTCTTGAACGAGTTGGGCCGATGGAACTTTGCAGCGTTGAGCCTTTCCGCCGCCACTGCTGAAAATTCATTTTTTTTTCTAGAAACTCCTACATTTACAAAAAGAAAAATTGAAAAAATACTCACCTCAATTGTTGTTCATCATAGGTAAATTGCGGAACTTCGAAATCAGTTGGACTTTGAGATGGTGTAGATGAATGTGCGCTTGATGCAGTTGAAGATACTCGATCGGGACGATTGAAGTTGCGCAATGGATTGTGATACTCTTCAAATTGCTCCCAAGTCAGATTATCATAGCTGTAGTTAGAAGAAGAGGATGATGACATTTTAGAGAGCTGAAAACAAAATTATTAAATGATAATGTAAAATTTTTGAAGAAGAGATTTCAAAAGTAACAACGATCAGCAAAAAAATGTTTTGAATAAAATCATAAGATGAAATAAAAATAACCAAACTGAATGAAAACGGGATTCTGATAAAATAAGCACTATCTGGCTCCGCCCAGCTCCGCCCCTTTTTGGCACATGCTACCGTAACTCTGATTTTGCACATGGGAAAAAAGAAATGAAGGTGATAACTTTGCCAAAAAAGCGGAAATATGGGAAAATGACTACATAGAAAAGGTTTGGGAAAGTTGTTTTAATTTGGCTATTTGAAAATTAGTTGTGGGAAACTTAATTATATTTAATGCTATACGGCTTAAATGAAAAAAAGAAAACTGATAAAAAATAAGTAATGGAACGCAATAGCGATGCGGGGAAGATGAGAGAGTGTGGAAAAGGGAGAGAGAGAAAAGGGAGGGAGAAAACTATATTCAAACTATATACAAATTAATTATGTAAAAGAAATGGTTCTATTTGGAAATAAAGGATTTTAGACAAGAATAACACAATTTTTAAAGGGTACAAATTTTAATTTTCAGCAACAATTTGAAAAAAAAACGTTTTGAGATTTTTCGTTAGCCAAAAAATATTTTAATCGTATTGAAAACTCCCTCCAAAACGTTTTTGTATTTTTTGTGATATTCTTCTTTTTTTAAATCAAAAACTAATTAAATTGATAAGAAAAATAATAATCTTATCTAAATTTCTGACAGCTGAACTATACAAAAAATGTTCGCTAACATGTCAATCTGAAATTCCATATAAAAACGATATGAACAAAACAAACCCGTTAGTTTCCCCATTATGAAGTCAATTATCTTGGCTTCATTATTGGCGTTGGCGTTTGCGGCCTCGCCAATTCTTGAGCATTATTTTGAGCCTAACTTTGAATATCAATATCATTTCGATGGTTTTATTCTTTCTGGTCTTCCAACGAATCAACAATCTCAATATGCTCAATATCGCATTTCTGCTGGCGTTCGTCTTCAAATTGTCGAAAAAGGTATTCTACATTTCAAATTGGTTGAAATTGAAATGTTTGCTTCGAGTAAAGAACAATCGAAACGAAAATATCCGAAGCTTATCCCATCAGAAGAACTAATTATCTCACCTGAAAATGAAGATCTTCTTTATCTTCCAGTTCGTGCTGATTTAGAAAATGGACTTGTCTCACGTGTTATTTTTGAAAAAGATGATGCTGAATGGTCAAAAAATATCAAAAGATCAATTATTAATATGATCTCATTTTATGATGTAACACCATCTGACGAGATTGAATCACTTGTTGAAAATAATGAATTCCAATCGTTTGTAACAAATGAAACAACAATTGAAGGAGATTGTCAAATTGCTTATACAATCAGCAAACAGAAGAAAAATGGAAGACTTGTCACTAAAACTGTCGATTTCTACAAATGCTCAACGAGAGAACAATTGGTTTATGGAAATCAATTTTCGGAAAACACAGATGATGCAGCAGAAGAACATTTGGATTCGTTGACACCACAAACGTTTTATACTTATCTCCTCGAAAACAATTTATTGGCTGAAGTTGAAGTTCGTTCAATTTACAGTCAAAAATTGAGAAACCAAGAAATTATGAAGACTGATATTCGCTCAAAACTCACATGTGAAAACAAATATTCAATTGAGGATGCAATCAAATTCGTAAGGAAATTCATATTAGATTGTTAAAATTTTTTAAAAATTATTTCAGAAAACCCTCGCACAACCAGAAAATATTATGTACAGTACAAAATGGGAAAAACTTGTTGAAAATTTCTACAAACATGGAGATGAAGTGGAAAATCCATTCGAAAATGTGCCAACTGAAAACAAAATGAGTTCACTTGAAGACATTTTCGAAAACGTACATGATGACTATAATGATCAAGAAACTGTTCATCAACTTGCCAGGCTCGTCGAACTTCTTCGTACTTGTACAATCAAAGAACTTGCAAAAATTTATGAAAAATATTTCACATCTGAAATCAAAAAGGTCTGCTTGCTTATAACTTAAATATTTTTGTGTAGTGCCACATTTTCAGAAACAATCAATGATTGAACAAGCTCTTGCTATTGCTGGAACCAAAAATACAGTTGAACATTTGTTGAAAGATTTGAAAAGACAGAACAACAATCCAATAAAAGCAACTGTACTTATGAAATATATTCAAGAAACACCATATCCAACTATAAAAATAGCTAAACTTATACTTGAGTTTCTTTCCGATAATGAAGAACCATTGTATGTTCAATCCAGTTTACTTGCTATTGGAGTTATTATTCGTGGATGTGTTTCACAACATCAACGTGGAGAAGAAAACACAATGAAACTGAAACAAGAAATTATTGGAAGATTCATGAAGTATTTCAGAGAAGTTAGCACTACATATGAAAAAATTTTGGTTCTGAAATCATTTGGAAATGCTGGAATTGATTTGTCAATTAATGCGATCAGTGAAATCATCAAAGATTATAGTCAACCAATGATTGTTAGAAGAGAAGCTGTTGATTCTCTCCGTCTTCTTGATAATGTCATGCCACTGAAAATTCAAAAAACGCTTCTTCCAATTTTTATGAACCGAAGATATGCTTCAGAACTTCGAATGACTGTATTATGGCGATTGATTCAAACAAGACCATCATCATCGATTTTGTTGCAAATTGTTTCACAAATTGAAAAAGAATCAAATCAAGAAGTTAGAAAATTCACCTATGAAGTTTTAAAAAAGTTTTCAAAATCAACAAATCCCCAATTCAAACAATTGGCAAAAGACTGTGAAAATGTTCTTTCATTAACTCGCTTCACATCTGAACAATTCAAAAATGCCAAATCAAAATATGTACAACTTCCATTGTTTGCCACTGATCTTCTTTCTGGTGTTCAATTGGATTCTTCTGCAATTTTCTCGAAAAATGATTGGATTCCAGCTGAATTTCAAGTATCACTTCAATCAGTTTTTGGAGAAAACTGGAACAAATACTTGCTTCAATTCGGATTTTCACAAGAAAATGTTGAGAAGGCGATTTTTGACAGGAGATCAATATTCCGAAGATACTATACTCGTGCAGAACGCATGAATGATCCAAATATGGAAAATATCAAAAAAATGGCAGAACAATTGGATTTGAAACCTCGTTATTATGAACGAAATCGAGAAAAAGAAGAATTTGCTATGACTTATTGGAGATTCAAAAATATCGATTATGCTATTGTTCCATTTACAAGCCGTGTTCTTGAGAATATTGAAGATATAATAAAAATTGTGGCACAAAAATACACGATGGAAAATTATGTGGAGCAATTTGAGTACACACAAACGGCTTATTTCTACGAAAAAATTCACCAAATTCCAACAAGTCTTGGTATTCCACTGGTTATTTCTGGCAAAACTCCATCTATTGCAACATTCAAAGGAACCTTTGATCTTGATGTGGAAAAACTGATTGTTAATATGAATTTTGTTCCATCTATAGTTTCTACTCATATTTTTGAAATGAGAGCGGTGACACCATTTACTGCTCCAGGAGTCAAATTATTGAAATCTGCCAGATTACAAACTCCAATCAATTTCAATGTTGCTCTCAAATCAGATCGAAATGGAGGTGGATTCAACGTCAATATCAATATTCCAGAAATGGAAGATTTTTCATTTGAACTTTCCAATCGTCCAGTTGTTTTCTTTCGCCATGTTCATTCGTTGGACGAAAAAACACTCACAAGCTCACAATTGACAAGAAATTGGGAAAACACTCAAAACGCTTTTGAACTTGAAGTTATCACTCGTGGCAATGTTTTGAGCGATTGGAATTATTGGAATACTTTTTTCACTGAACAATATTATGAAATTGTTATCAGAAATCTCAATAAGGAACCAGCTGAATTTACAGCAGGTGGCCACTTTTTATATGGTATAGTCGAAGATTATAATTTTGAGATTGACAATGAATTCAAGAATAAATTCGAACTCGAAAAAACCGTTGAAGGTTACGAAGAAGAAATGAACAAATTGGCTGAATCATTATTAAACGTAGAAGTTGGCAGAATTGCTCTCAACTTCAATATTAGTGCTCCAGACAATCATAAAATCAATTTTGAATGGGAATTTGTTCTCGATAGATCATTACGTTATTTCAAAACAGAATTTGATGCTGTGGTTTCAAACAAAGACGATTGGAGATTTAATAATCAATTTGTTTTGCTTCTTCCAAACAGTTTTCACTCTATTCAAGACTACAAAAATGCAATTCATCGTGAAATTCTTGTTAGCAATGAAATGGCGTGGGGACTTGTTGGAGATTTGGAGAATGTAAATCAAATCAAATTGAATGCTCAACTTGGACAATCTCAAGCTCAACGAAATTCTCAACAAAATCGAGAAACTCATGTTATCAGAGCATCACAGTTGAATCAATTAGATATTTCTGCTCAATATAAATTCAATGATCAGACTCAAAGACAATTCCAAAAACTTGTTGATCGCTCAAATCAATACTGGCCAGACACATTTCAATATCAAGAGAATCTAGAAAATCATTATGATTTAAGAATGATTGCTGATCCAATAACCCGGCAATATGTTAATATAACTCTTGTGAGTCCAGAACGACGATTGGATATTCACAACTACGGAACTCCAGAGTTGGAACTTATCAGTTTTAACAATATGATACATCAAAATGAAAATCAAGTTTGCACAGTTTCAGATAGAAAAGTGCAAACTTTTGATGATATGACATATTCTGTTCCACTAACAACATGTTATTCAGTTATTGCTAAAGATTGTTCTGAAACGCCAACATTTGCTATTCTGGCCAAAAAAGAATCGAAAACATCGAACAATTTGATTGTCAAGTTTTATACCTACAACAATATTTTTGATTTTTTCAAATCTGCCGATAAATTTGTTGTTGAAAGAAATGGAGTGGCTTTATCGGAAGATCAATTAACGTGGAATATCAAGTATGATTTACAGTTTGAAAAACAACCATACAGTTTTTTCAGAATCAGAATCAGCGGAGAACAAATGTTTGTTCAGGATGAGAACATTCATATTCAATTCAACGGTCAAAAAGTTCGAACGAAAATATTTTCTCCACTAGATGTTCCACTTTGCGGACTTTGTGGAAATAACGATAAAGAGGTAGTGAAATGTTGATTGGGAAACCCACAAAAATAACAAACAAAATATTGTTACAGATGGACAATGAATTGCAAACTGCTCAAGACGAAGAAGCTGACGATATTAAAGATTTCCACATATCTTATATTTTAGACGATGACGAATGTAAAATTGAAGATGATGTATTTTCACACAAGAACAACTATCAAGATATTCGAAGCAATGATGAAGACAGTTATGAAGATGAAGAAGACGAGGAGCAAGAAAACGAAGATTCTGAACATCGTAAGTTGTATCAATAAAAATTCGGTAATTGATAACTTTTTCAGATATATATTGGAGAACTCACATCATGGAACAAGCTCATCGTATTTGTTTTTCGCTACAATCTGTTCCAACATGTCTTCCTAATTTTGAAGAAGAGCAAAATGATCAGCAAAAAGTTGAATACACTTGTTTGCCACGACACGAAACTGAAACTCGTGCTTTGATGATCAAATCACGCCAACAAGATATACTTGATTTGGAAAATTATGCAGTTTCATTCATGACACCTGTTACTGTTCCAACGCATTGTGAACGAGAATGATTGAAGCAAACTTGGTTTTTTTCAATAAATTATTTCTATAATTTAAGTATTTTTTCTTTGTTGGTTTTCAAAATTTGTAACGATTTCTATATTTCACTTTAATTTTCAACGTCGCCTGAAAAAAAAACCGTCAAGAAATTTTTAATGGGTCATATGCGCTCTATTGAGACTGCTGCACTAAAGTTTGTCCCTATCAACAACCGTAGTTGGTACTTTTCAGTCACGGCGAGAAAAAAAGAAATTTTTGTTTTTCTTTCCCCTCCCACAGAAAATATAGAGGAGCAGAGAATGTGCGCTCTAATGATAATGCGTGCGAGAGTAAATTTTCAAATTTCTGCAGTCATTTTTGTTCACTCTCTCGCTTTTCTACACCGTTTTCTTTTCTTTAAAAGTACTTCAATACTTTTTGTGATTCAACCTTTATCAAAGTTTTGATTCAAAGAAACAATTTTATTTGTGAAAATCTCTCTTCAATTTTTCAAATAAAATTTCGAACATACAAAATTATATTTATTTTTTCAGATAATCTTGATTTCTCCAACTATTTTGCAAAGGCGCCTCCAACAACAACTGAAATGGCCCAAGAATTGTGTAGGATAAAGCCGAAGTAATTTCATGGAAAATCCTCCAGCAATGTCCTGGGAGACCTGCCAACATTCCGAACAATTCGCCAGTGACTATGATCCAGGGTTCATCGAGAAATCAAGTTATTGATTAGATTCGTTATAGGATATGATCAAGAAACAATTTGTGATGCAAATCAAGTAAGTTTTTTTTTGCAAATTTCGTTTTGTAAATATAGTGTAACAAGATTATTTTTCAGTTTTTTTCTCACTGGCAACCATTTTTATGGGATTGGCACTCCGAATGAAGCTCATCAAGAAGATCAATTTGGCATGTAGAATCAAGTAGTCCAATTGAAAACGTGAGTTCGTTGAGTTTTTTAGTCTCAAAAATAATTTGTGAACTTTTAGGACTTTTTTCGATGTGAGAAACCAATATGTGCTTCTCTCGAAAATATTGAACGCTTTTGTTCTTCTAATTCTAAATGTAAGTTTTTTTTATTACAAAACAATGAACTTTTAAAACATTTATTTTCAGAAAAACAATTCAACTTGGATCTTGGAACACTTCAACGATTTGCCACAAATTGCAAGTTCAACAACAATTTTGGATGTTCTACGTTTTTGTGATCAAGTTAGTTTATTTTTATTTTTTGTGTTTTTCTTGTATTTGTTTTATTTTTCTCATTCTCCCCACTAACTCAAAAAAATTAAAAACATTAGTGAAACCTTTGAAACAAGGATAGAAATATGAATCAAAATTAAACAATCATAGAAATTTTTTTTGTTTTAAAACTTGAGATCTCAATGAAAAACCTCGATCAAGATCGCGCTTTGAAACCACGTTTGAACATAAAACCAAAACTTTTTCAGAGGGATCCCTGGTTTTGCAGGTGCTCTGAAAACAAATATTCTTTTTACTTCAAAATTTTTCATATTTTTCTAAAAATATTAAATTTGATTTATGATCAATTTTTTAAAATTATTATCACTCTCAATATTTTTTCACACTTCACATATCTTCTTTTCATTTTCAAAACCTCCCTCACACAAACTAGAAAAAAATAATATCAAAACAAATCCCGGAATTCATTACACTTTACCGAAAATATCTCCACTCAATTACCTTCATTTATTTTCTTTCCTTTTGTGAATGAATTACACGTGACCCTTTCGAAGCAGCTCGAAAGGGAAACGACACAAAAAAAAGGAGAAGAAGAAGGAAAATAGAAGATTGTGAAAACGACAAATTAGGCAAAGTCGAGAAGGCAATTACATGCATACGGAATTGTAGCATCCGATTGTTTTCAGCAGTGTGTTTGTGGAACTTATTATCTTGGATTGAATGTAGATTGTGTGTGTTTTCTTGTTGTTTTATTTTTCTCAGATTGTTTTTCTGAACTTTAAGTGTTTTGGATCGTGATTTTTTGAAGATAAAATGTTGGAAGTTTCATAGAAAGGTTTTCTGGGCTTAGAATTTTCCAATAAATGAAAATTTCTTTTCAGTAGATTTTCAGGATGTTTTTCATTTCAAAAAAGTGTAATCGTTTTTTCTAATCTTATATAAATGCTCTTATTTCTCAAAGTTCTAGCTTCCTTTTTTCTTTCAAAAATATCAGAAACTATCCGAATTCATAGCTTCTCAAAAAACAGAGCTCATTGCTTCTTCATAGATCCCCTGAAAAATTTCAAAACATTTTTCAAATCTGGAAGTTCTTTGAAGTTTTTTCTCTTCAAAGAATCTTTCTTCATAATTTTCTTGGAGTCTCATTAAAAAATTTGTTTTGATGAACTATGTAAAGCGTGGAAAATTGGTATTTGATTTTTGAAAAATTATTATTTTAATTTGAATCAGAGTGTGCAAAACTTTTTTTTTCATCTGAAATACTATTCATACAGAATTTGATTTGGTCTAATTTTCTGAATTTTTTAAATCCAATTATAGACCTTCAATTCTTTAAAAAAAAAATTAGGAGAAAGTTTAGTCGCTCAAAAAATCGTTCCTCTTGTCAAAACTAATTATCCTAGTAAAAATGAACACAAGAAAAAAATCACAGAAATAAAAAGATGAAGAAAGCAAAGCAAAACAAGAAGTTTTTGGAGCATAATTGCATTGGGCAACTGTGTGTGGCCCCTCCGCTCTGTCACGCGCAGTTTTATCTTCTATCTCTTACTTCTGAATTGAATAGATGCGAATAGAAGATGTCACATCTCGCCTCTCTGACTACTGATTTTTTTTTCAAAAAAAAAAAGAAAGATCCCCTTCCTTATTGTCTGTTACATTCTCTTACTCGACTCGCACAAAAAGATGTCGTACTTTCTTCCGAATAATGCACTTTTTCAAGTTCTTGTTAGGGTGTCATTAATTTCTTCGTTTCCTTTCGTTTCTCTTTTAAAGAAAGGTTATTTTTCCTTTTTTCTAGGATATTTTTCTTTTTTTTTCTAGAAGATTTTCAGATCTTTCATTTAATCTTAAGCATCATCTTTCATTTTTTCTCCTTTCGTTCAGTTTCAGTTATCTTGATGACTCCTTTTTTTTCAAAATTTTTTTTATTTTGATATTGATAGAGGTCCAGATTACTGTAGCTTTGTGGATAGATGATGAAACATCGATCCTCTAAATCCAGATCATCCACAGACGCTTAAGAAAAATTCAGATACTTTATTTTTTTGCAGTTTCCTCCTGTCAAATAATTTATTATTGGATTTATTAACCCATAATTTTCAATATGTTTTATAGGAAACTATTAACTTTTGAATGATTTATGTATAATCAACATTAACACCGAGAACATTCAGCTCGCAATAATCTTTTGATACTTGGAATTATGAAATGCCCGAGCAGAAATGTTGAATAGAGAACATTCAGTTTTGATTTTGCGCAAAAATTCAATTTTCATATTAAAGTTGTCAGTGTGTTTTGAGTTTCGAATAGTTTTGTTGGGAACTTATTGATGGAAATTTTGAATTTAGATTTTTTTGGAAGCTTAGGATTTTCGAGTATTGTAAATTCATTGACAAACAATTTTTATGTGCCAAATAATATCATTTCTTTTAAGAAAAATAATAAATTTGAAAAAATAATAAATTTCAATTTTTGGTAAATCTGCAAGGTTTTTTCTGTTGTGAAATTTTAGACACAAGACACACAATCTAAAAAGCAAAAATCTCCAAAAAGATCGAAAATTGTCAAAAATACCCGCGTCATTTTCAAGCCAACCATTAATTATGTATCACTTTTGAAAGCTCAGAACTCATATATCGAATTCAACCAAGTCTAGTTTGATGTTCTTGATATTGTTTTCTGAGAACGAAGCCTGTTAAGAATGTCTTCGTATGCAGTTTACATGTAATCCAGATTTTATTTTGGTCATGTCAACAAATGTTTTCTGATTCTGCAAACCCCCTAATCTATTTTAAGAATACGATTTTTTGCAGAGAAAACTGAGATTTTCTTTACCAATATATGTATAACCAATTAAAACAAAAACTTGAGCTTAGTCAGTTCCCATAAATTTTTTGTTCGCTCACCAAAAAACAACTGAAACATTTCAAATCCCTTGGGATGAAACCAAACCACAATTCAGTTTTTTTTGTTATAAATAAACTTCTAATAGAAACAGAGGAAAAATGTCATTTCCAACCAAACCAAATCCGAATTTTATCTTTTTTTTTCTATTTTGCCAAGGTCGCTTCTGTTGCAATTTTCCCTTAAATTCCATTTTATAGCCCCACAAGGATTATCGTATTTGGTTTGGTGCGTATATCAAATTATTTATCTGTTTTTTGGTTTAGTTTTGATCTCAGTTTCACTAAAGTCTTTGATCTTTCTTTTTTTTTTGACTGGAGAATTTGCCACAACTTTCAAAAATCGGACTTTTCGGGTACTGTAATTCAACGCTGTGTGAATTACAGTACCCGAAAATGTCCGAATTTCGAGAGTTGCAGCAAGTCTTTCCCTTGTGAGCTAGCTAAAGTCTTTGAACTTTTTTACGGAAGGGTCAATTTGCGTTTCGAGAAGAAAATGTGATTTTTTTTTGCACGTTTTTCTTTCTCTCTCCAAAAATTTTTTCTTCATCTTCATCTTACATATTCAAAAGTGTACCCAAAAAAAATTTATGTCCTTCTCTTCCTCCCAAAATTTCCTCCTTCATCTGAACGTTCAATCTCATGAGACATAAAAGTTGCAAAAATATGAAATATTATTTTTATATGTGTACATATATATTTTCTTCCTCCTCCCACTCGTTTTTCAAAAAATTTTGAAACTTTTTTTGGGTTCATCTTTTTTATGCAAACATAGTTGTTTTGAGAATTGGTTGGAAGTTGCACTTTTTCTTGCAAGAAATTGGAAAATAATTATTATTTTCCTTGGAGTTTGCATATATTATTAGTGTTTTGATTTATAAACTAGATTTTTTATTTATGTTTTCATTAGGATCATAGAAAAAAATGATCAAAATTTTTTATTTTGTTTATTTTCAAAAAAAATTGTAACTTGATGCCCAACTAATCATAACTTGCCTTCGAGCTATGATCTTCTCATCTATGAACCTTGGAAAGTGAGTTATGACCATTTATGGTTGAGTTCTGGGTTTTCTAAAATTGAGCTTTGATATTCGAGCTTGATGTATGTTATGAGCTGGATATGATTCGATTTTCAAAATTTGAAGCTTCATAAATCGTTTGAATTTACAGAAGTGGACGTAAAAAACTAATTTTCACACATATCTGAAATATCTTGTTGTAAAAATCTAGGACCAATTACATTCAAAAAATCTCAAACTTAAAAAATCTCTCTGTAAGTCACTTCCAATCAACGTCAATTTCTGATTCATAAACCTTGAAAAAAATAGATCAAGAAAACGTATACGAAGATTAAAAAGATTAAAATATGCACACATATTTCAAATGTAGCTCCTGAATGAAGAAAAACATTTTATTTATCGTCACGAAAAAAAACTGATGTTTGATAGAATGTTGTGCTAGCTACAGTAATCGTGATTAATAGTCACATCTTTCATTGAAAAGGCACCTGTTTGAGTTGGGTTATAATATTTTTTGACCCGCCCAAAGTTGTTGTTTTTCTTGTTGGCTCATACGATTTTTTTTCGAAACCAAACCAACAAAAAAAATCTTAGAAAAGTCACAATCTTATTGTTTTGAACATATCAATCTCTCATATTTGTTGTGTCTATATTTTTTTCTCCCCAAAAAATTTCTCCTTTAAAACCTCGTGTACATATATCTATGTGTATTTTCATTCATTCGCAACAGCTGACAATGATCACAAATATATTTTTATTATTTTTTATATATCATATTTTCTTCTGGAAAAACAATCAATAGTTACGAAATACCTACAGTATTTCCCCATTTCAATTTAATGTTTTGATTCTTGTTGTTGTTGTTTTGTTTGATATCCGAGTCCCTTTGGAACTTTTTCTCTCTCCTATTCTACGTCTTGACAAAGAAAAATTGCTTTATTTTTCTTGTTCAAATTCATCAAGTAAATGTCAATTGTTGCGAAGTCACGCAAATAAGTACAAAAGAATGAAATTTTGCATTTTTTAGGTTCTTTTTTTCAAGACAAATTAAAATTCATTTTGGAAGGAGATAGAAAATCGATGTGATGTTTGCAAGGTGCGAGTCCTTGTTAAATATTCAGGGCGGCATGCAACAGCTTCCGCGTAGTTTTTTCACGATGTTTTGATGTTTATTTTGGTTGTTGAATATTTAGAGTTTCAGCTGAAATTTCAGAATCAAATTCGAACATTTTTCTAATTGGACTTTTTGGGTCTTTTTCAGAATTTACTTGACTTTCTCAAAAAAAAAATCCTCGAGTTTGATTCCCAGAATTTTTAGCTGCGAAAGATTCGAACTAAACTAATTTCTAAAACAC